CATAACAGAAAAAAAAAATATATATATATATACATATATATATATATATCACGTCGACTTCCCACACAAGACTGATGTCTATAGCCACACTGCTGCTTCAAAAACAGTAAGCGTAACTTGTCAGACAGCCATTTACACCCACCCTAAACTAACACCTCCGAAAAGATCTGTAGAAAGGGTCAAGATCATCGCTCCTTTCTGAGAGTTGATTGAAGCCCTAAGGCAACAAATATACTCTAGATGAAAGGCAAACAAGTAGATGACCGGATTGCTAGAATCACAGACAAGCTAAATAAGTTCTCACTTTGAGGGTGTAAAGGTATCTCACTCATCAACCAAGTTGGATTCAGTGGCTCTTTTGAAGAGTCAAAGAGAGACGTGACCTATAGAAATGATCCTATGAAGTACGTCGACAAAGAAAAAAAGGAAAAATGAAAAAAAATTTGATGGCATCGATGCTCTTTTATAGACATCCGGTTTTGAGCGCGGCTTTGCATCGCGGCCATCGCCTTTCACGGTTATTGGTAGCTTTAACGAAATATGCCGTAATGGCTACGACTAGGACGGGACATATCTGACAGCTTCTATTTGGGAGTTCATGTAATGTTTAAAGCCCAAAATGATTACTTCAGCAATATAGAGTGTCCAGATTTAAAGGACAATGGGGTTTGTACTGTTTTGAATTGCATCTTTGGACATAGGCCAAATAGGAAGAGAAGTGACGACAATACAACGGATGATTGGCCAAGGAAGAGATCAAAAGAAGACCTCAATGATCAAGATTCATGGAGATTAAAAAATGATAGAGATACAACAGATAGGTTTGTCAATCAAGAAGAAGAGAGCAATCGAGATGATATCAAGCTGAGGAATGATGCTAGAGTTGCGTTACCCAAGACATTGAATCATCTGAAAATATCAAGAGATGAGAGAACGTTAATGGCAAGGAAGTTGGCAGAAAAATTTGCTCTCGAGAGACAACTAAACCCGAATCATAAAGCAATTGATACAGAGTTTGAATGGGCCAGTGGGTGTAAAACAGTAGAGGAGTATCGTACTAAGGCTCAAGCTTTTTTCAATAGAGAGAAGGAAGCGCCAAAGGAAGACCCCAGATTCATAATGCCTAGGGAAGTTCTTCCGTCTTCGCCTGCAACAATGCAAGTAAGGAAAAGGTTTATTCAACTTCTAGCGGATGCGATACACAAGGCTGAGCCAGATCTCTCCACACCCGTGCTTCATGCTATAGATGAAGAGTATAACCTTGCATCTTCCAATAGCACCAATACTTATCAACACTCTGTCAAAAGGAAAATATATGAAATCAATCATCCAGAGAGATTTATCAAATCGCCAAAAGAGCTTAGTGATGACGACTACCTCAGATCCCTCAATTCTCTTGTGATTCCTCCTGATGTTCTCGAAAAATACGGCTACATTATGGAAATACCGTCTACTGAACCACTAAAGAGGAGGCAATTATGCAAAAGATGTAACACTGAGTTTGCTCTCGAAGATCAACTTAAGCCCACAAAGTGCTATTATCACTCTGGGAGAGCAATAAAGGTAGGAAATGGCACGAGGGCTTACGACTGTTGTGGAGCAATAGTTGGAAGTGACAGTGAGCCGTGCTGCTTATCTGAGCATCATGTTTTCTATCTAACTGACCCAAAAGAACTACAATATGTGCAACCTTTTCAAAGGACAACAGAAATATTTGGACGCAATCCTCAATGTTTCAAGGCAGTAGGTATCGACTGTGAAATGGGATATACGACAATGGGATTTGAGCTACTTAGGATAACTGCAATTGATTTCTTCACTGGTGAAGAAGTCATTGACATCTTGACGCGACCAAATGGAAAGATTATTGATTTGAATACTAGATGGTCAGGAATCAGCGAAATAAAACCAGAGGCACTCAATTTTGAAGAACTGATTAAATTACTTGGAGAAGTCATTGATGCCGATACTATTTTAATTGGCCATGGGCTTGAAAACGACTTAAACTCTATGCGTCTTCTTCATAGTCGCATTGTGGATACGGCGGTGCTCTACCCCAAGCACAAAACTTCACCAACTTTCAGATTCTCGTTAAAAAATTTAGCCTTTAAGTATCTAGGAAGAACTATTCAGACGGGACAACATGATAGTGGTGAAGATTCCTTGGCCGCTATTGATGTCGTAAAGTATTTTATAAATAAAGATTATAATTCATAATGAATAATGTTTATTTTGCAAATGTAAGTATCTTTCAAAACTAAAATCCGATTACACTTTATTATACCAACACTTCATTCGATAGGAATTTCTTTTACGTAGGTATTCTTGTATTTTATATATTGGTGGTGTCCCCCTTTTTTTTTTTTTGCAACACAGGAATCGCAGATCTCCACTCTATTTAAACAAATTGGAGTACACATTCTCAACAACTGTCATATTGATCATCAGATTACGAATCTACAATGCTGTTAAAAGTCGTAATATTAGTTGGGGGAGAAACAACGGGCACCAGGTTCCGTCCATTATCAATGGATGTCCCTAAAGTTTTATTTCCAATAGCGGGAAAACCGCTAATTAGCCATATTATTGACAACATTGTTTCTCAGGTTGAAGATCAATTGAGTGAAATCTTATTACTAGGGTTTTTTAAAGATACATCAAAGTTTGACGAGTATTTAGAGACCACTAAAGGTATCTATCCAGATTTGAAAATCAGATATCTTTCGGAACCTTACCCCATGGGAACTGGTGGTGGACTACAGTACTTTAAGAATGAAATTGCTTCCAAGTCTGATCCGCATGGTAAAGTTATGATCATTCATGGTGATATAGTGACCATCTACCCTTTCAAGAAGATGCTTGACTTTTATGAATCCAAAAAAGCAAATTCTATTATATTGGGGATCGATCCCTTAATTTTGATGAATAACTCACAGAATACAGTTCAAGTCCAAAACCAGAATTCATATAAGACATATGAGAAAGATAAACTTTTGAGCAACTACGGTACAATTATAGCGAACAAAGAGACTTCTGAAGTGGTACATTATGTGGAGAAACCGTCATCAAAGCTTTCAAAGTTTCAAACAATTGCAAGTTATGACACTTTTATAAGTGGGGGCATATACTTGTTTAATGACATATTCTTTAAGCTACTCGACGAAGCCCAAAAAGAGAAATCCTCAAAGCTAAACCATTTCTCAATGGATGATATCGATGATGACACTGTTGATGCAAATATCTTGTCCTTGGAGTTAGATGTTTTGAAGATACTCGCTAGTGAGAAGCAAGGGAAGTTCTATACCCTTAAATCAAATAGCTTTTGGTACCAATTGAAAACACCCGTGTCTGCATTATTAGCCAACAGTTTCTTTCTCGAGCGTTGCTTGCAGAGCGAATTTAAGAGTGAGCTTATGCAACCTTCCATAAATATCTATCCACCGGTTAAAATATGGGGTTCGGATTTGCCAGGCGCTCAAGGATACAAAATAGGACCGAACGTATCTATTGGGAGGAAAGTCAAAATAGGAAGTGGAACAAGGTTGAAAAATTGTATTATTGGCGATAATGTATCAATAGGTGATAATACTTTTATCGCTAATGCTATAATTTCAAAGGGGGTCAAGATTGGTAAATGGTGTCGAATAGAAGGAACAATGGATAACAGCACTATCAGTAAAGATTTAACTAGAGTTAAATCTGACGGATACTTTAAGATAATCAACAACATTGTGGTATTGTGCGAAAATACTACCGTTTGCAACCAGGTTTTTGTGTACAATTCAATTGTTTTGCCTCATAAAGAACTAAAGAACGACATCAAATATGAGATTGTAATGTGATATGGACCTATGACCACTTAGGATGTACATTTTTGGCTCAAACACTGCATCTTATGGTATTACTACTCCTTAATTAACTTATTTTGACACCATTTTCATATCATGTGGTCTGAAAAGTTCACAGATTTAGGAAGTAAACTAGCTGGAACTAGTTCAAGCAGATAAAATCTACGTGATTTTGCTCCCTAACTTTCTAGCTTTCTCTACAAAACAATCAAGAAGGTTCTATGATATGGGAAACAAGATTATATATCTCATTAACAATACTTTCACTTAGCTTTTACAGTGATATAGCTCGACAACTATGACAATTCAATTCCCAAGCTCAGGGTAAAGAGCATCTCTTTTTTTCTGGACACTAAAAGAGTCTTATTTTTCTATTGAAGTAGTTTAAGTAGTTTGTTCGTTCAAATACCAAATTAGACCACGCGATTGCAGCAAAATGGTCTGTAGAACAAAACGCGAATGTGATAGCACCAACGCGGTTTTTATTGTCGTAAGTTACGCTCATATTTCTAAACATTGAAAGTACTCTCATATATATCCAGATACCGAAGCTCAGAGTATACAAGTCTTTCTGTTGCTTCAGATATTGAAGAAAAAGGACATGAAAAAGTCTCCTGGAAATGCCCAGAAAGCAGTAAAGAATGGCGGAGGTACTCCTAGTAATAGGATGAAACAAGCATCTTTGATGTCATTTTTCAAGCCTGCTGTTACCACTAAACAGCTGCCTCCCGTTGTTAATGAAGTCAAAAAGGAAGAAAGCATACCGGTGGAAACACTGATGGAGCTGGAAAACCCAATTAAAAGTACTCCGGTAAAAGGCTTAGAGAGTGAGAAAGATAGTATGATGGATAGGACCACAGACACGCCATTAACGTCAGAGTCAGAGGGAGCAATGCCTTGCGGTGATGAAAAGAGGAATGATTGGCCAAAATCTTCTCCGGTTTTAAATAACAATTTAGAGAAAGGCAGCAATGCAAGCAACAGACCTGATAACAACAGTGATAAGAACGGCCATGGTGACCCTACTCACGATTCGAGTCCTCTAGTGAAAAGAGCAGCCAGAAGATCGGTGAGATACGTAGAGAGTGAAGACGAAGATGGGGATGATGATCTACATCCTGGTCGTGAAAAGAGAAGAAAGGTGTCTACTAGCGATGACGAGGATGATAATTTTAGTCCCGCAGCTGAAGACGACGAAGATGATAATGATGACGATGATGATGATAATATGAGCGACTTCATCGCTGATGACAATGAACCAAGTGAACCTGAAGCGGAAAACAGTGACTCCGAGGAAGAAGAGAGACCCCCCAAGAAATCGAAATCACGTAATAGCTCAAGGAGTTCGGGCTCTTCACCAGAGTCAAAGGCAATTAAAAGGGAACCTTCAAATGGAGGCATTTTAGCTGAAAAATTTAAAGCGGGCTCCTCCTATAAATCTGCAGTCCAGTCTTCTATCCCTACGGAAAGTAAGCCAAAACCAAATGCTATTGCATCACCTAAACCGAAAAGTAATTTTGCGAAAGAAAACGAAGAAAGATATCAATGGCTTGTTAACGTTAAAGATGCTGAAAAGAGGACGGTAGATGACCCAAACTACGACCCGAGGACCTTGTATATCCCACAGTCTGCCTGGGGAAAATTTACACCTTTTGAAAAACAATATTGGGAAATTAAAAGTAAATTATGGGACACTGTAGTGTTTTTCAAAAAGGGCAAGTTTTATGAACTATATGAAAACGATGCTGCCATTGCAAATACAGAATTCGACCTAAAGATAGCTGGTGGCGGAAGAGCAAATATGAAATTGGCAGGAATACCCGAAATGTCTTTTGAATATTGGGCAAAAGAATTCATTAGTCATGGCCATAAAGTTGCTAAGGTAGACCAGAAAGAGACACTTTTGGCGAAGGAAATGAGGGATGGTTCGACCAAAGAAGAGAAAATTATAAAGAGAGAATTGACTGGTGTTTTAACAGGAGGAACTCTAACTGATTTAAGCATGATCAATGATGATATGGCTATATATTGCTTAAGTATAAAGGAAGTGATACTGGAAGATGACATCAAAACCTTTGGCGTCACCTTTGTCGATACAGCCACTTCAGAATTGAATTTTATAGAATTTGCAGATGACAATGAGTGTACAAAGTTGGAGACATTAGTGGCTCAAATCAAGCCAAAAGAGGTTTTATGTGAAAAAGGAAATTTATGTCCGATCGCAGTCAAGATCTTGAAGCATAACGGGGCCACAAACAATCAGATTTGGAACAACTTGAATCCGATTTCTGAATTTTGGGATTATGAAATTACTTTAGATAGCTTAGTCAAAAGTAATTATTATGAGGCTGAAGATTTGGATGACTATAGCAATTTTCCTAAAATTTTGGTTGACTTTAAAGATAATTTTAAAGTAGCCTTCAACGCTTTTGGTGGTTTGTTATACTATTTGAAATCTTTAATGCTCGATGAACAAATCATGACTTTGGCGAACTTTAATCGTTATGAAATATCTAAAAATGCTTCAACGCATCTAATTTTAGATGGAATAACCTTAAATAATTTAGAGATTTTGAATAATTCTTCTGATGGTGGTGACAAAGGAACTTTATTGAAGTTGATAAATAGAGCGGTAACGCCTTTTGGGAAGCGAATGTTGAAGAAATGGGTTTTGCATCCACTCATGAATGTGAAGGAGATAAATGACAGATACGATTCCGTCGATTTCTTTACAAATGGAGGCGTTGATTTCAGGTTAATATTAGAAGAGGGATTTCTTGGTCTTCCTGATTTAGAAAGACTCTTGGCTAGAATTCATAGCAAGACTTTGAAGTTCAAGGATTTTGTAAAAGTCATTGAGAGTTTTGAAAAGATAGCGGAGATCATTCATAAGCTTAAAGGCTCTACAACGAATAGTGCTGGATCATTACACAGATATATGAATAGCTTTCCTGAGGAGTTACACTCATTAAATGCCGAATGGGAGGATGCTTTTGATAGAAGAGAGGCTCTTCAAGGGATTGTATCTCCTACAAAAGGGATAGATTCTCAATTTGATGAATCACAGAGCAAGATTGACTCTCTCGAACAAGAATTAAATGAGCATCTTCGGGAATACAAAAAGGAATACAAGTCAAATGAAATATGTTACAAGGACTCTGGGAAAGAGATTTATTTGATTGAAGTGCCCAATAAATTGACGAAGATCATTCCTCATTCCTGGCAACAAATGGGAGCAACTGCAAAAGTTAAGAGATATTGGTCTCCGGAAGTTAGAACATTGGTTAGGAAATTGTTAGAACAGAAGGAGTTGCATAAAATGGTCTGTGAGACGTTGAAATCAAGAATGTATGACAGATTCGATAAAAATTATAATTTATGGATGAAAACAATCAAGGCGATTGCTAATATCGATTGCTTGTTAGCTCTTACAAAGGCATCTGAGTTGGTGGGGACTCCTTCTTGTAGACCACAGTTCATGGAAAGTGAAAAGGCTGCGATTGATTTTAAGGAATTGAGACATCCTTGTTTCATAGGAAGTAAGGATTTTATTCCTAACGATGTTATATTGGGAGGTGATAAGCCTGGCTTTGCTTTGTTGACAGGCGCTAATGCTGCTGGAAAGTCCACCGTAATGAGAACAACTGCTCTTGCAGTCATTTTGAGCCAAATTGGCTGTTATGTTCCTGCTCAGAATGCAACATTGACACCAGTCGATAAAATTATGACGCGTTTAGGAGCTAATGACAATATTTTGCAAGGTAAATCTACATTCTTTGTCGAGCTCTCTGAAACCAAAAAGATTTTAACTAATGCGACGCCCGCTTCTCTTGTGATTTTAGATGAGCTTGGTAGAGGTGGATCTTCAAGTGACGGGTATGCTATCGCTGAATCAGTTCTCTATCACTTGGCGACTCATGTGCAGTCATTAGGTTTCTTTGCAACTCACTATGGCTCTCTAGGCTTGTCTTTCCAGAATCATCCCCAGATAAGACCATTGAGGATGGCAATAATTGTTGACAATCATTCGAGGAATATAACTTTCCTTTACAGGTTAGAAGAAGGTACAGCGCCGGGTTCTTTTGGCATGAATGTTGCTTCTATGTGCGGAATATCCAATAAAATCGTCGAAAGGGCCGAGATAGCAGCTAAGGAGTATGAACAAACTTCGAAATTAAAAAGAGCAAGTGAAAACAGTGAAGCTAACAAGCTCAGTTTAGGGGTACAAAGTGATTTCAGTTGGATAGTAAACGGAAAATTTGCATCACTTTCGGAGGACATATTGAAGTTCGACGAGAATGTGAAGAAACACTCTTTACAAAACATCTTTGATATCATAGCAGGTTTATAGATGCCTATTAGCAGATTTATTGATGCCTATAGGTTGAAACTTAAAATGTATGTTCAAAATTATCAATCTTCTATGTTAAGTGCGCATAATGGCGAAATATTAGTAATTAACTTTAAATACCCTTACAAGATAGTAATCAGACATAGCAAAATGATTCATAAATTAGGATTAAACACGAGTGCACCTTATCACCTATTATTTTACTCACTAGTATTTGGAGGAACCGTTTCCCACTCTTTCATTTTGTCCCCTATCGCTTTCAAGAATTTGCCTAGAGCGGAGTTTGGAAAACTACAAAACAAAGTTTTTCCCTTATACTTCATCGGCCAAGCTTTGTCTCCTCTTATTTTGGGACTCAGTACCCCATTGAAGCTTTGCCCTTTTACTATTGGGTTGTTATCGCTCTCAGCGTTAGGCGGAGTCCTTAATTATTTTGTTTTATTACCAGTTTGCCGCAATATCAAGGCAGAGACTGACAAACTTCTAGAGGATAATAAGGCATTCGACTCAGAGGGAAAGCCTACGGAAACATATGACGCTGTCAATAAGAAGTTTGGTAAGTTCCATGGATTCTCGATGTTGTTCAATTTGTTATCAATTTTGTCTCTTGGAGGTTATGGTGTTGTTCTTGCAAAGAGACTAGTTTAAGGATTATCAATAACAACTAACCTCAGAATGGGAGGTTCACATCTATTATATGAATGATATTGCTACCAAGAAGAAGAACTTTATAATTATATAAATTGAAATATGATTTGTGTTCTACTAATATTTGTAATTCGACAATTCTCTTGAATGCTTCCATTACGACAATTTTTTCCTTTGAATTGAATTCCCTGATTGATCTTGAATCATAGTCATTTCGTTGAACTCATCTTATTATTGGTGATCTAAGCTCAATATTAGGTATCAAAATAGCACAATGAGTAAAACATGATTGAGCTGAGATTTTTCAAATTATGTTTAATAATGTCTCTAAGCATTCAAACCTTGCTCTGAATTCAGGATTTCCGAAGCCTTAATTGTATTCTTTACTCCACGTGAATCAATTCCTCTTCATAGATGCTTTATAAGTAGCATTAAACCAAAACCCACGACCTGCATATACTAGATTTATGTAAGTGCAACATTGTATGTAAACATCAATTATTCAGATTCCCATTCTTTAATATCTACGGATAGGAACAATATGAGTACGATCCAGCTGTTAACAACAGATCTACTTAATTTAAGTTCTGAGTCTAAAAGAAAAAGTTCAGAGGTTAGGCAAAGTTGTGATGTAGCGTTACTTAAGTTGAAAGAGCTTCCTGGCCTGGCCAATGCCAAAGACTACTTGAGTGACATCGATATGAAACAAAAAATAGTTCAACCGTGCTTAATAGCTTGTACCTCAGGTAATGTTAAATTAGCCACAATATCGATACCGATCCTTCAGAAGCTAATTGTTACAGAACTAATACCTGTGAGTAGTTTGGGTGAATTAATGGAGGCATTGAAGGAAGCTACACACTTAGCTATCGACATTCAATTGAAAATTTTACAATGCCTACCGGCTTTAATGCAAAACTATGAATCTGATATGCGAGGGGATCTTTTGATTGAGTTATTGGGAATATGCACCAGCTTAACTGCAAATAATAAGTCGACAGTTGTCATAAATACGGCATCGGCAACTTTACAACAGCTTTTTGGAAATATTTATGATAAATTGAAAACATCGAAGGAGAAAAAAGGTAACAACGAAATAAAGATAGACAGTGATGAAATTGTGCTTGTTGATGATAATTCACTAGAAGCCTTCAATATTTTTAAAGACCTCACGAGATTGATTGAAAACGACGAGGTACCATATTTTAAAAATGAGATTCACATAAGGGTTCTGTCAGTGTTGGAAATCATTGAAAACATATTAATAATCCATTACCAAATATTTCGTACCCATCAGGAATTGGCATACTTGCTAAGGGTGAAAGTTGTCCCAGCGTTACTCAGAATACTATACTCTCCAGATAAAAACTTTGCTTTAACAACAAGAGCTATTAGAATCATTCAAGTTCTACTTTCTACTCAACTTGAAAATTTAGAAATAGAAAGTGAACTTATTTTGTCATTTTTAAACCACATTTTAATCGGTAATGAAGCTAACGAGGAACATTCTGATCAGACAAACTGGGAGAAAATGCTAGTCTTGGAAATGTTTAAGAACATCTTTGCGAACTTTGATATTGTTAAGTCTATATTTGAGAAATTCGATAGTAACCCGAGAAAGAAAAATGTTGTTAAGGAATTGTTATCCATATTTTGTAACTATATACCCCGGAATGCCCCTACCATTAATGAGATTATTGAATTTCCTCCCCGATTTAACCCTTCGCCGTCACAGGGTCAGCTGCTAACTCCTGTTGTGTTATCGAAATCCTCCTCTATCATGAAGAGTCCTTTACTAGATCACTTGGATAAAACGGAGGCACCGACTCTGTTTCCTATAACATATCCAATCTACTGCATCTTTAACATTCTATTGGAATATGCAGATGGTACGGCAAAATTTGTTCAAGGTTTATCAGGCGATGCAAATCCTGAAAACATTGAATCTGAAGTTGAGTTTATCAACGTATTTATTGAAACAAGCTTCAATGAAATTTCTTCAATATACCACACTTTCCTTTACTTACAGATGGATAATGACTGTTTCCATTTGTTAATAAGATCTCTTCAAAAATATACCCATACAACAGGATTATTAGGTGCTTCATCGCTTAGAGATGATCTTTTAACGATGTTATCTGCGGCCATTGTCAAGAACTCAAGAGACCATGATAACCGCCGCCCAATCCTGATGCCAAATAACCATTATGCTGCTTCCTCAATTCAAGAGCAAGGTAAACAATTACTTGCATTCGGCGAATCAATAGTAGAATCATTCAGTTCCAATCGTCCCTCAACTTCAAGTGAGGGTCCATCTTCTCAGTCAACCACCGATTTGATATCTTATTCTCGTTACTTCAATTCGAGGCAGGTGACTTGCTTGAGAGCTCTTATAAATTTAGCGGTTTCTTTGGGTTCGACATTACAAAAGTCATGGCGTATAATCTGGTTGACACTTCAATGGAGCGACTATTATATCAAAGGTCCAGATCAATTTAGTTCGAGCAAGGTGTTCAAAGGTCTAACTGGTGACATGCTACCAAGAATAACAAGTCAAGACGAATCCAACATTCAGGTTTCAGAGAAAAAATTCTTCGAAAGTGTTAATAAGTATCCCAAGAGACCCTTTCAAGATTTATTACAATCTTTGATAGAACTATCTCAGGACCTGTTAGAGGAATCTGAAAATAGCCCTAACAACAATAACCTCGAAAATTTGGACGAGAAGTATACTAGACTATGTCCTTATAACAAAGTATTTTTTTTGACTAAAATTCAGCAAATATGTGATATCAATTTGCTTAAATTTTTCATTGAATATGATGAACCATGGTTCTTGATTTCAGATTACTTTATAAGACTTGGTAACAATAGGTCCATTCAATACAACTTAAGGATTCATATTACTAAAACTTATGCTCAACTTATAAATAACCTTGCTACGATTGGCTTCGAAAATTCTCTGGAAGAAATTAATGGCAAGACATCTAAGAAATCCTTAGCCGCATTAATTGGATTCTTGAACAGGCAGCTGGAGATTGGTGCCCCCGATGAGTTACTAGTTCTAAACTGTGAAACTGAAATTCATCTTCTAATTTTGGATACCCTACATGATCTTGTCGATAAGTACGACACTTTCTATCAGAATTCTTGGAATATTGTTTTTCAGATTTTGAATACGCCTTTTAGAGTAAAGTCGAAAGATACGAAGGACAATAACTTGAGTGAAAAAGTACGGTCACTTATAGAATCCTCATTTGATACCTTGAAGTTAATTTTAGATGAATTTTTGGCTTCTATTCCTGCTAACCAATTAAAACTATTGATTGACACGCTTTTTAATTTTTGCAAACAAACGTATGACTTGAATATATCATTTAGCTCGATTAGCTATTTCTGGCTTTTTAGTGACTCCTTAAAGTTGAGGATAAATAATACTGAAGAGATTGCTGGAGAATTGGCGACACTAAGATCAGAAAAAGATTTGACTCAATTCATAGAGAAAAAAGTTACGAATGAATCGAGAGCATTTTACTTGGCGCTTGACACTTACTTGTTATCTACTCTACTTAAGTTGTCTGATGATAATAGAGCGCAAGTAAGAGATGGCTCAATTCAAACATTTTTTCAAATAATTGATGTCCATGGAAATATTTTAACGCCACTTTGGGATTTAATTTACGAAGCTGTCTTACCCAGCTTATTAAATCTCAATCTAGAGATCAATAGTCCTTCATTTATAAAAAAAGAATGGATTGAGAGCTTGAGTCTCATTCTTTCGGGTCTTATTTCAATCTATAGTAAGTTCATGATGGATCTCACTGATGAAACATGTGAAAAATGGGATGGTCTCTTGAAATATTTTTCTAAATTATTAGATTTGAAGTGGGTTGATCTTAACTTAAAAATATTTAGAAGTTTTAATGACTTGCTAAAGGCATTCCAGCTTGATCATTCGAATGATTATAGCGGGAATAAAAGGATCCAAGAGTTATTATTTAGGTTTTGGAATACAGTTCCTGTGGAATATGACTTTACAAATTCGTTATATCAGGAATCAATTACAGCATTAATACAATGCTTCCCACCCTTGTACCTTATAATCAAGCGAAACATAACCCAGAAGGATATTAATAAGATCATTAGTATTTTGAACAGATGTGCAAGATATCCAGTGTTGCCAGGTAATCAACTTGACAATACTAAGCCTTCTAAGTTGCAGGCTGCTGTTTTGAAGGATTTAAAGGTTATAGATGATAAAGATCCCCAAATTCAATCGCAAGTGGTACAACTTTTAAACAGTATTGCTACATATCCATTCGGTGTAAGAGAAAGAATTGAACAGAAATTAACTACAGTTTTACAAGATAAGGTAAGAGTACCGAGCTTCATCGCAGTCAGTCATTTATCTGTTAAGCTTCTCAGGTCGAAGCTAGCACTGATAACCGATTTCAAAGTGATGATTGAGGACAAGGCGATCAATAAAATTTTAAAATCACTTTTGGAAATTATTAAGTTGAAAGCAATTGGAATAGAGAAAGAGCCGAAACCCTTGTGGGTGGAAGCGACGGACGTACTTCGATACTCAGTTTCTAAGCTCATTGATGAAAATGTTTCAGAAATTGACAGTGATGAATTGTGGACTCTAATTTTGAGGGGTGTTACTATTTGTTTTGAGTCTAATAGTCCGACTTACGAAGCCATCAACTTGGAGCAATATTCTGAGCTAAGTAGTGTTGTTCTACCAGCAATTCTAGACGATTCCCAGAATAGAAAACGCTACATCGAGGAGTTCATCACGTCTCTATATTCGAATTCGACCCTTTATGAATACGATGTCTTAGAGCTGTCTCTACTTGAACAAAATACGTCTCCAGAGAATATCACCCACGCATTCACGTCTTACGACTTCAACTCGTTCTTTGGATCTACACAGCCTCTCGTGACCTACTCGAACAAGAGCACAAGAATCCTTTGTCTCAAAGAATTAATCAGATATTCCGTTCTGCCATCAGACACAATCCTCAATACTTTCAGCCGAGCTTATTTCATTGCTAGAGCTTCAATGGCACTTCGGAGGTATATTTGCGACCGTGCTCTCTTGTTTCGATGCCCAGTCCCCAAAGTCCAACATCAGGAGCTATTGCTAATCTTAGATGGTCTATTGAAGATCCAAAACACATCAACCGAAGATAAGACCTTCAAGAAGTTACAGCCGCTCTTAACCAGGCTTATTCCTTACGCCTCAAACTTTTCAAACCTCGATCTACTTCTCGAACCCTTGATAGATGCCCTCTGTAGTGCATAGATGCCTCATCACAAAAATAAACATTTTCTTCTGATTCACATAGTTAGGGATCAAATTAGAACAATCTTAATGAAAAGCTCGTCTCGTAGAGATTATTAGCGTCTCGCACTTGAAATAGCGGAAGACTAAAGGAATTGATGGGAGAGTGTCCCCGTAGTTATAGCACCAATACAATATAATCTATCACTAAAGTTTGTAACAGATTCCGTAATTATTTCCTTTTTTAGTATAATTAGTAAAGTGCGAGGCGTATGTAAACAACAAAAATCTTTTCTCAAGGTAGCGGGACTGATTTCTTCTTTATAGTTCCATATATCAAAAAGTCAGTGCAAAGTATCAAGTAGCTCAGAGCGCTAAATTCACTGAATCATAGTATATTAGTTTTCGATCTAGTGAAAATCTGAACTTGTGAGTGCTATTTGGGTTATAAGCTACGCGATCCAAGCATTGAAGAGGTATTTGGTGTACAAAGCAACGGACAGTGTTGATCTAAAATCTTTGATTGTGGATTAATTGAAATAGTAGAGGGACCTTAATTAGAGGATCTGAGAGAAAGCAGATCCGTTTGAAAGGTGTTGTAACTGAAGCGACGCCAAGAGAAGAGGTTAAAAAAAACACCTTAAGTGCTAAAAAAAGATTGGAAAAATCGGCAACACAAAAAACTCTTTATACATGTCATTTAATAGAAAAAGCGGTGAATCTAGTGTTTTCCAGGACTATGATCCTGAGGCGGGAGAGATAAACCGTAAGAGATCTTTGGTTAGGCCAGAGAGATCACGTATCAGCCATGATCATCCTAGATACCACTATTCACAAATTGCGTCGCAGGAGGCGGATCATTTAAAAATCATGCCTTCAACCACTGGATTAGATCCACAAATTTCTAACCATGATCCTCGCGAGAATGTTGAATTTTCTCCATCTTACTCGAACAGAAACTCGACGGGCGAAGAAGGCATTCCTTTGATGGACATAGGAAACAAAAAGGCTTCCCCCAAACGTAAGGGTACATTAAATGGCGGCCGAGAGGTGTTTGGTTTAAATGATGAGGTAGAACATTCGCCTCGTAGGAGGGCTACGAAGCGAGCAAAAAACCCAGCATATTTAGAAGGAAAGAAACCCAAGCATGATATTTACTTCTGGAAGGTATACTGCTACCTTATTACTTTTTGGGCTCCAGCTCCATTACTTAAATTATTTGGATTACCAACTAAGCTGAGACAGTTCGCATGGAGAGAAAAAATCGGATTGATTTCGTGCATTTTATACATCGGGACATTTGTCGCCTACTTAACCTTTGGGTTCACCAAAACCGTTTGCTCAAATAAGCAAATCAGAACTAGGATTAACCATGTAAATAGTGGATATTTGATCATCAATGGTCGATCGTTCGACTTGACTTCATCGAAGCATCCAAAAGCAGCAGGAATCACAAGTGGTGCCAATGTTCTATACCCACCTATTAATGCCGGAGGTAAAGACGCATCTTTCTTGTTTCAAAATGTCAATGGTAATTGTAAGAATTTGATAAAACCAAAGAAGGACTGTTCCATTCCAGTCAAGGATGGCGATGAGTTGGCATGGTATATGCCCTGCCGCCTCTTTGATCAAGATGGTTCTAGTAAACCAAATTTCACAAAGGCGTATTATGAGGGATGGGCCTGTCACACTAGCTCTATTTCGAGAAAGGCTTATTATAATATGAAAGTGAATGGCGATGTCTATTTTACTTGGGATGATATTAAAGATGAATCTAGAAACTTAGTTGTGTATTCAGGAAATGTGCTTGATTTGAATTTGATTGATTGGATTCAGTCTGATGATCTCACTTACCCTGATCTATTTGACAAGCTAAGAGACGATAACACTTATAAAGGGCATGATATCTCACTTGTTTTAACCAACAAAGACGAAAGGCAAGCAGCTAGGTGTCTTTCAGAGATTATAAAAGTTGGTACCATCGATTCAGACACTATTGGATGTCTTGCTTCAACTGTTGTATTGTATATCTCTTTGGTCTTCATTTTGTCTGTTGTTGTTGCTAAATTTTTGATGGCATGTTATTTTAGATGGGTTATTGCTAGAAAGCAAGGTGCCACTGAAATTGACAACAAATCTATGTTTGAGAGAAATAAAGAAATTGAAAACTGGGTTGACAATCCTGCTGCTCAAGGGGAAATTAAGACGGTTCCTGAGAGGGCTAGGGCGAATTACAAACCAAACAAAACCAACAGACAAAGTGTGTTTCATAGATCCAGCAGATTGTCTGTGGCCCCTAATGTTGATTTATCAAAATACTATGACTACTCAGATCATTTGTCGAAGAGCTTCAAGTACACCACTATGTCTACGCAAGCTGCTATGCTAGATAGAAATAGGAATAAAAGCAGCAATAGAGTTGCTAACAGACAGTCAACATTATATTTGAATGAGTTCAACTCTTCAACAGATTTCTTAAACAGACCAGCATCTACAATTAACCCATTTGAGACATTAGAAGAACAAGCAGCTACCGGACTATCCCCTGATATTATCCATCCTGACGTTGTTCCTCAACCTCCAGTGGAATATCAACCATTTGGATACCCGTTGGCTCATACGATGAACTTAGTCACTTGTTATTCGGAAGACGCAGAAGGATTGCGTACCACCTTAGATTCCATCGCAACAACCGGTTTTCCAAATTCTCACAAGTTGATAGTCATTATTTGTGATGGTATAATCAAGGGGTCTGGTAATGATATGACAACACCAGATATTGCCTTAAGCATGATGACTGATTTTTGTATTCAACCCGATGACGTGGTGCCTTATTCTTATGTTGCTGTTGCACAAGGTAGCAAGCGTCATAATATGGCTAAGGTCTATTCCGGGTTCTACAAATATGACGATGAAACAGTTCCAGTAGAAAAGCAACAGAGAGTACCAATTTTAACAATTGTGAAATGTGGAACACCAGCAGAAGCCAGTGCAGCAAAACCTGGTAATAGAGGTAAACGTGATTCTCAGATTATTTTAATGTCCTTTTTGCAAAAAGTCATGTTTGACGAAAGAATGACTCAATTGGAATTCGAAATGTTGGTCAATATTTGGAGAGTTACGGGCTTGATGGCAGAATTTTATGAGATCGTTTTAATGGTGGATGCAGATACCAAGGTTTACCCTGATTCCTTAAACCACATGGTTGCTGAAATGGTCAAGGATCCGATGATTATGGGACTATGCGGTGAAACAAAAATTTCAAACAAGGCTCAAACATGGGTTACAGCAATTCAAGTATTTGAATATTACATTTCTCATCACCAAGCGAAGGCTTTCGAATCAGTTTTTGGTGGTGTTACTTGTTTACCAGGATGTTTCTGTATGTATAGGGTGAAGGCTCCAAAGGGCTCTGATGGGTACTGGGTTCCTATCCTAGCAAATCCAGATATCGTTGAGCGTTATTCAGATAATGTTACTGATACTTTGCATAAAAAGAATTTGTTACTTCTTGGTGAAGATCGTTACTTATCATCCTTAATGTTGAGAACTTTTCCTAGGAGGAAACAGATTTTTGTACCCAAGGCTGCTTGTAAAACAATTGTACCGGATACCTTCAAGGTCTTGTTATCACAGCGTAGACGTTGGATCAATTCAACTGTCCACAATTTGTTGGAATTGGTATTAGTGAAAGATTTGTGTGGTACATTTTGTTTTTCTATGCAGTTTGTTATATTCATTGAATTAGTTGGAACACTCGTGTTACCGGCAGCAATTTGTTTCACGATTTATGTTATCATTGTTGCCATCGTTTCCAAACCAACGCCAATTTTGTCATTAGTCTTGTTGGCAGTCATTTTTGGGTTGCCTGGTTTCTTAATTGTAATCACGGTTTCTTCATGGTCTTACGTGGTCTATTTCTTTATTTATATTGTTGCATTACCAATTTGGAATTTCGTGCTACCAAGTTACGCTTACTGGAAGTTCGATGACTTTAGTTGGGGTGACACTAGACAGGTTGCAGGAGGTGATAAAGGTGATCATAGCACATCAGCAGGTGAATTTGATTCGTCCAATATAACTATGAAACGTTGGAGAGAATACGAGAGGGATCGTAAAAATCAGGATTCTGGTTTGGAGGTTCCTGGTGCAATTTGGGATCCATCGATGGAAAAGACAATAAGTGACGGATATTCGGATGAGTCTAATACATCTCCATAGTATCTTGGTTTAAGAATGTCATTTTTGACACAATTAGGAAGATGAGAATGTCTATCTATAAAATATAGATTTGTTTATATACTAAATCAAGAATGAACAAGAATTTTTATGCGTCAATTAATATCAAGTAGAGTGAACCCAATCCCCGTGTGTATAAAACCTAAGTTTACATGGATACGATTTTATAATCAGGCTATGCTGATAGGAGCGAATCATGGAATATGAAGTTTCTCTATTACTTCAATGCCTACGACGAGGTGTATGACAATAATAAAATGCGGCCAGCAGGTATAAAGAAAGGACTCAAAAAGTACACTAAATTCATTTATTCTTTGAAATTATATATGAATTGCCAAAATTAAGAAGCCGAAGACAAAAGAGAATAATTTAAACGTATAGAAAAGAAGTCTAAGCCTTATGATTGAATTACCAGACATGATTGTGAACGAGGGTATACGAACGTCGAACCGATTAAACTGTAAGTAATCCTAAGATTTTATTAACTGCTCAATGCTGAACCTGCAACACTCAATAAGATCTTCTTTTAACCAAAGTGGTAGCATAAGAGTCATCAGTCAATGCAGCGGCAGCAGCAGAAGCAGCAGCCAAACCTGTAGCGTCACTACCAGTTCCTGAGGTCAAAGTTGCGAAGAGATCATCAGCAACACTTGCAGTTGTGGTAGAGCCAGAAGATGATGATGATGATGAATTGCTTCCTAAGAGCTCATCTAAAAGCTTTGATATGTCTGAACCATAAGTACCGCCATGTTCACCAAGGTAGTCAACTATTTCTTCAAGAAGGCCGTTCTTTTTAGCGTAAGAGTAGAACTCGGTTCCAAGGGAGAGTGCAGTTTTGCCAAGAGATTCAGCCAAACTAATGTATTTAGATGGATCATCCTTAATGCTGTCGATGGCTTTAGAAACGAGACCAGAGCTCTTTACTTCGTTGTAAACCCAAGCGAGAATATCACTGGCATCTCTTTTAGACAAGTACTCCAGATCGACTATGTCACGCTTCTTTGCAGCTGCCGTAGTAGTAGCAACTGTTGCTGATGTGGTAGTGGTTGTGGCAGCACTGCTTCCTGTCTTATTAGCGATAATTTTTTCAACTAAAGCCAAAACTGTACCAATCGAAGCTTTAACTGCATCAAAGATTGCACTTTTTAAGTCAGAGTCCTTTAAAAGAGTACTCAAAATATTCTTTAATAAGCCAGAGTCCCAGATGGTTTTAATCAAAGCTGGTCCTTCAGCCAAAAGAGTTTTCAAAATGGCCTTACTTACTGTGACAACTTCAGATCTGAAAGCACTGTTTGTAGACAAAGTATCCCATACTTCCCCAATAATACCAGAGTTGATGACAGCAGAAAGTAAATTGACAATAACGTTGTCAGCTCTCTTAGAAAGCTCCATGTGTTCATCACCGGAAGCAAGCTGTCTCTTTTCTTCAATTTGCTTGAATTCAGCTAAAAGATCCATCATCTTGTTGGCTTCAGATCTTCTCACGAGTGTTGAGCCTTGGTTTAAAGCTGGGGTGGCAGCGGCCATAGTAGATGATGCAAAAAGCGCAAGGACGGCAGTATTGGAAATCTTCATTGTTCGTGGTACTTCAGTTGTAGTCTATGGTCGGTAACGTTCTTTTAGAACAATTCTGTTAGGATTATCTTACTTAAGTTCTTTTTCTTAGTTTACAATACAGCAGCTCACATCATTTTTATATTTCACCTTCCTTTTCACCTATTCTATTCGCAACTACGCATTCCACCTTTGTCACAGTCCTTTAACTCATCTAGGAAACTTATGGCTCTAATTGTTTTCTCCACACACAAACCTTCTCTCCATATTGCTTAATACGAAGATTTACTTATTCTTTCCGCCACTTCTGCTGTAGATTTTGTTATCCTTTTGGGGTTAGTTTTTCTTCATGTTTACAAGTATTCAGATAGAAATTTCCATTTTAGGAAGTGTGATGAATGCAAAAAAATCTCGAGAAGTGCAACATTACCCAAAAAGGAAATCCTTGTGAAAGCTGAGCTGCGAATTCGGTAGGAATTGGGCTTGGACTTGACATAGGGCTAGAAGAAGGCAGGAACAGTAAGAGTATGACAATCGAAACCTAAATTCTTGACCAATTCAAAGACTTTTCTTGGACCAAGTAGTTGGCTTACGCTACAAGAATAGTGTAGGGTTTTACAGGAAGAAGAAGTAGTTAGCGCGCCCAGTTTGAGCTAGTTATTATAGATGAAAGATATCTACTTGAAAAGAACTATTTAGTGAAAGCTACAAAACAGTACATCCGGTGCTTAACGCTAAACTTTCCAGCAGTGGGGCATCTGTGCATTTCTCAAAATAGCTCGACAATCTAAAAACTTCTTCATATGGATAGCCCTCTTAGGCTGCCGAGATGAAACAGAGGGGAATAAATAGGTAGGGAAATAGATTCAAGGACTTGCTATTAGGAAATCCATTCTGTAAGATTCGCTTATGTTAGACGAAGAGAAGTATGTGGGTCCATGAAATTCTATATTCAAACGGCACAACACATTCTTGTTTTCTTCATAGACTTTATTGTGTTACTCGTAATTCTATCTGAAATATTCAGGAACAAACTAGAATTAGATTATGGTGAAAGTGCGTTGTAGAATTGTCTAAAACAAAGATAATACTAGTAACAGAACTAGTAATTCTATGAATTAACACGATCGTACTCCGGAAAAGACAAAAACGAGAAATTAATGGGCCTGTTCAGCTGTTTCTACTGTAAACTCCAATGTTCAAATCAAAACCACGCTGAAGCAGCCTTCTTTCTTACGAGCAGAAAAATCATGTAGAATTAAACCACTTCCTACCATTCAGTTTCCTGTTGCAGGTTACTGTAATTAAGATGTGGGGACCCTTTTTAAGGTTTTCAGGTATAGTCGCTTTGCAACCCGATAAGATTAATACCAAAGACTACAATCGGCCAGGGGAATATTTATTTCAGAAAAGTTAATTCACATATACTAATGAAGGAAATCTGATAGCTCCATCTTTCAAAGCATCCATTAGCACAAAAGGTTTGGACTGTTGAATGATATAGGCCCTCCAGCTCATTTTAGTTTCTGTTAAGTCATCAGACATCTTATCTTTTTCTAAAAGTAAACTTATTCAGAGACCTTTCAATAACAATCCAACCACAAATGATTGCCTTGCATATCTTCTTGAAAGAAATATGAAATTAGACCTCAGGGTGTATTGAAATTTACTCCTTAAACTTACCCACAAAGGGTCGATGTAGTGTAGCCTTAAGAAATAAAAGCAAGTTATCAAAATCGCTGGCATCTATACGTCTAAGCTCGCCAAATACACAAGTTCCTTTAACATAAACGTTAATGAGAGATATCTATGAAGAAACGCATCAATCTAGAATAGTTGAGAGACTAATATTCATTTTAATGAAAGAGCTTTGCTGTATTAGGCCCCAAACTAAGTCGGCCACAAGCACTTATAAGAGAAAAAATTTAGAAAAACAATTGTCTCGATTTCCTGGAATATATGTCTAGTGCTTCTTCGTTTGGTACTTCTAACAGCAATACTCTTTGTTGCTATTTTGTAGACGAAGATACTATTCGCTAAGCTGAAAAGACATTCATTAGCTCAGCTATTATCATCCATAAGGTTTTACTCTTCCGTTTCGAAGAGGTAAGAGTTTAACTGGATAGAATTAAATTTCCTTCCTATCTAAGTCAATAATATTGATATATATAGATTTGCGAACTATTGAAAAATTTTTAAAAATATCAGCATCAACAGTACTTTACCATGTACAGACAGCTTACCACCGCTGCAACGACCCTCAGGGGAAGTATACGCTTGGCGTATGGCATTCATAGAGTGCCTGGAGCTTCGTTTGCTTTTCCACGAGAATTTCATGGGTCTACAATCAGATTTAATGAAACGACTATTCCGAAAACATATGAAGAGGAAAAGGTCATAATCGATAAAATTAACTCTGAAAATCTCACAGAGAAGGACCATGCACTGTCTTCGAGGATTAGAAATATAGGTATCCTGGCTCACATTGATTCGGGAAAGACCACATTCACAGAACGAGTTCTTTTCTATACTGGTAGAATCAAGTCTATCCATGAGGTTAGGGGCCGTGATTCCGTTGGAGCCAAGATGGATCATATGGATTTAGAAAGAGAGAAAGGTATTACTATCCAATCCGCAGCGACATACTGTTCATGGGATAAAGACAACAGGGACTACCATTTCAATTTGATCGATACGCCTGGCCATATCGACTTCACAATTGAAGTGGAAAGAGCCCTTAGAGTTTTGGATGGTGCTGTCTTAGTCGTTTGTGCTGTACTGGGTGTTCAATCTCAGACTGTTACTGTTGACCGTCAAATGCGTCGTTATAACATTCCTAGAATAACTTTTATCAATAAGATGGATAGGATGGGTGCTGACCCTTTCAGAGCTATTGAACAAATCAACGCTAAACTTAAAACCCCAGCAGCTGCTATTCAAGTTCCTATCGGTTCTGAATCTGAGTTAAAAGGTACTGTAAATATTATTGATCGTGTTGCCTTGTATAATGAAGGTGCACAAGGAGAAATCTTGAGGACTGATGCTATTCCTGAAAACTTGAAGGAATTAGTAGAGGAAAAGAGACAAATTTTAATTGAAACCTTAGCAGATGTTGATGAGGAGATTGCTGATATTTATTTAGAAGGTGAGGAGCCTACTGTTGATCAAATTAAGAAAGCTATAAGAAGAGCGACAATCGCAAGAAAGTTTACTCCTGTCTTAATGGGTTCCGCATTAGCCAATAAAGGAGTGCAGCCTGTGTTAGATGCAGTTGTGGATTACTTACCTCAACCAAACGAGATCTTGAATACTGGTTTAGATGTCTCTTCTGAAGTTGAAAAGCCAATTCATTTAGTTCCGTCTAGCTCGGCTCCATTTGTAGGTCTCGCTTTCAAGTTAGAGGAAGGAAAATACGGCCAGTTGACATATATTAGAGTTTATCAGGGAAAATTGAAGAAAGGGACATACATGAATCATCTCAAGTCAGGCAAGAAGGTCAAGCTTGCAAGATTAGTCAGAATGCATTCCAATGATATGGAGGATGTCGACGAAATCGGAGCAGGTGAAATTTGTGCTACTTTTGGGGTTGATTGTTCTTCTGGGGATACTTTTATTGGGCAAAACTCAGATCAGCAAATAGCTATGAGTTCAATGTTTGTACCGGAAGCAGTTATTTCGCTAAGTATTCAACCAAAGGCCAAAGATAATGGAAGTTTTTCTAAAGCCTTGAATAGGTTTCAGAAGGAAGATCCCACTTTTAGAGTCAAATATGACCCGGAATCAAAGGAAACAATTATCTCAGGAATGGGTGAATTACACTTGGAGATTTACGTGGAAAGAATGAAACGTGAGTACGGAGTTGAATGTGTCACTGGAAAGCCTCAGGTGTCTTACAGAGAATCTATCACCGCTTCAACTACATTTGATTACACTCATAAGAAGCAAAGTGGAGGATCTGGTCAATATGGTCGTGTTATCGGTGAAATGACACCAATTGTTGGTGAGAATAAGTTTTCTCAGCACATTGTTGGAGGAAAGATACCAGAGAAGTTCTTGTTTGCTTGTTCTAAGGGATTTGAAGATTCTTTGGAAAAGGGTCCTTTAATTGGTCATCGTGTTTTGGGTGTCCACATGCACATTAATGATGGACAAACACACGTAGTGGATTCTTCTGAATTATCGTTTAGAACTGCTACCCATGGCGCTTTTAGACAAGCATTCTTGGATGCCCAGCCAGTAATCTTAGAACCTATTATGTCAGTTGAAGTTACTGCGCCCAACGAATTTCAGGGAAGTGTTGTTGGCTTACTTAATAAAATAGGAGGAATGATTAATGAGACCACTAATGGACAAGATGAGTTCACTGTGAATGCGGAGTGCTCATTAAACTCCATGTTTGGTTTTTCTACGTCATTAAGAGCTTGTACCCAAGGTAAGGGCGAGTTCACATTAGAATTCGATAAATATTCTCAATGTTCGCCTCAATTGCAGAAACAATTGATTGCTGACCACGAGAAAAAGAATCAAAAGAAGTAAATAGGAACGAGAACGGTTGCCGTTAGGTGACATGACTTCTCAAACAAAGTCAATTGTTTTATTATCTTGTATATACTTATTTATACGTTTCTACTACACGATATAGCCATTTTTACTAGATATTATGTGAACGTAAACATTAATGAAAAAGAAAAAAAACCTAACTATGATACCTTCAAACTGATAATAACTAAAGAATACATGTGGAAAACTGTATATCACCAATTATAGTTTTTTCATTCCTTTTCTAATGTTTAAGCTTTAACTAAAGCCTTTTTAACAGCGTATCTTCTTTGCTTCTTTAAGACCATGACTTGGAATCTTTCAAAGTCAGTTAATTGAGATCTCTTTTCTCTAGAAGCTAATTTCTTTGCCCATGAAGTTGAAGCCCACTTGGCATCAATATCAGCAGCAGCCCACTTCTTGTTAACATTGGCAGTTCTTGCACCTCTGGTAAGGTTTGGCAATACAACTGGAGTCAAGGTGACCTTACTCAAGTATACAGCCTTTCTTTGAACGTTAGGACCATCAATCAAAACCTATAAATGTTAGTATTGAATTTTCAATAATGTATTGAGGTTCAGGAACTAAGAACGATCGTCAACATACTTCTATACCTCAGAAGACTCTTCGTGTTTTGGTTCTCTCTAGTGATCTTCATTTAATTATTTCATCTACTTTTGTCCTTCGATGTATTCAGTATTATTTGAACGATCTTGCCTTAGCTCCATTTATCCCATACTTAGTTTCTTGTAATACATACTCTCTTCTGATCAATTATCTCAACAATAGTAGCCAACTTCTTGTCTTCTTGTAAGACAATACGTCCGACTTCAACAAATCTCCAGTTGGCGGTCTTAACAGTAGAATATGATGACATTTCTGATTTATCCAGCTATTTGACTTCCTTCAACCGAAAAATTCTTGTTATAATTAAGCTAATATATAAACTAACTTAAATGTCAATAACCAGACTTTGATCTTGTGAATATCTATAACAACCACTAATAAAAATTTTGATAGAGTAGACTCATCTACTAATGCTCGGCAGGTGCGAGAGTCGTGAGGTTTTGGGTGAAAAAAATTTAAAATTACACAAACATGGTCGCAGTCATTTAAGCACGTGCAAGAATAAAACGTGATTTAGGGCACGAAACTTAGAATGAAACAGGAAGTCTTTGCTGGTGAACTGAAGTTGCTCATATGATCAATCACATGACCTTTGGTTATCCGGCATAAGGCTTCGATGTCCACATTTTGAACATGCGAAGACAGCCTGCAAAGAAAAGCGAATACCTTCTATACTTGACCATCTAAAATTGGAAGAACAATATAGTAGACTTTTTTATTATATACCTATGCTCTTCATAATCCAGTCTGCATCCCAGCCTTTGCAGAGACTTGGTTGAAGACAGGTTGTTGAACTGCTTACCCTATGATGATGAATAATTTGCGTTCTAGAGTGTTGATCCTGAAACTATGCCTGGTTTCTTAGTAGGAACAGCATGTCATGCGACCAATCTATTTCTGAGGGTGTTTTGGGCAGAGTTAACGAAAATCAGTCCCTTTTTAATCCTTTCCCAGCCTATCTGTCGTTCAGACTTAATTTTGTAGACTGCTGTAGAGAAGCGAAAATGCACGTGATTTGGATTTACTTATTGGTGGTCCTCACGAAGATGACTCTTAAAGATTGTGGGCGTCTAAGCGTATGGTACAGTGGCTCAGAAGGACGTACAACCTTATACAACGTCAAAGAAATATGTCTAGTAAGCAGGCAGTATCTCAGCCACATTGGAACAAGCCGACCAACGAGCAGCGTAGTGGAACTGTGTCTCATTCGCCTAAGTTGAAAGTTTACAATTCACTTACTAGGAATAAGAATGAATTTATACCTATTAGGGAGGGACATATAACTTGGTACTGCTGTGGTCCAACAGTTTATGATTACTCACATATGGGACATGCCAGGAACTATGTTTCGACAGATATCTGTAGAAGAATTCTCCAGGACTATTTTGGTTATAATATCACATTTATTCAAAATGTTACTGATATAGATGACAAAATTATTATAGCAGCTCGTCAGGAGTATTTGTTTGAGCAAAAGTTAGCTGAAATACCTTCCGTGGACCCTACGTTAATCGACCAATCGAAGACTTTTTTAATAAGCTACGTTGAAAAGAATTTACCTGAATTTAATGGAAGTTTGGAGCAGGATTTCACTTCGTGGGCTAATAATGCTGATGTTGCTGAGATTTCTAAGGATAAACCAAAGTTTCCTATGTACCTCAAAGCAGCATCAAGGGCACATGAAGCTATATTTATCTCTAAGGACAAGATTTCTATAGAAGATTTCTTATCTGCTATCAAAGAAGTGGCCATGCCATACTTGGATAAGGAATTTGGCGCTAGTGTCAATGATCCTTCAATCTTCAAAAAGCTTCCGTTATTTTGGGAGAAAAAGTTTAACGAAGATATGGCAAGACTAAATGTGATGCCATCGACTGTCACCACTAGAGTTTCAGAGTATATCCCAGATATAATCAAGTTCGTTCAAAGAATCATCGAAAATGGATTTGCTTACGTTTCAAAAGATGGGTCAGTTTACTTTGATACTGCAAAATTTGAAAGCAATCCCAAACATGATTATGCAAAATTGCAACCATGGAATAAAGGCGACTTATCGTTAATTAATGATGGCGAGGGCTCTTTGACAACTGGTCAAGATAGAAAGAAAAATCCGGCTGATTTTGCTTTGTGGAAGTCTTCTAAACCTGGCGAGCCATCGTGGTCATCTGAATGGGGTGAAGGTAGACCTGGATGGCACATTGAATGTTCTGTAATGGCTTCAGATTTTACAGGAGAGACAATGGATATTCATTCTGGTGGAATAGATTTATGTTTTCCTCATCATGATAATGAACTAGCCCAATCAGAGGCCTGTTTCGACAATAAACAATGGGTGAACTATTTCATGCATAATGGACATCTACATATCCAGGGTCAAAAAATGTCTAAATCTTTAAAAAACTTCATCACAATTGAAGAAGCCTTGAAATCTTATTCATCAAGGCAATTACGGTTGGTTTTCGCCATAAGCCCATGGGAAAAACCTCTCGATTTTAAGGATACTCTAATCAAAGAAGTTAAGTCAATCGAGTCGACATTATCCAAATTTTTCACCACGCTTCGTGCTTTGAACCTTGACTATAAGAATGCAGTTGAAAGTGGCGAATATATATCTAGAAGGTGCAATGAACCCGAAAAACAGTTGTATAGTGATCTCTGCAGGGCGCAAGATGATGTTTATGCAGCATTTTGTGATAATTTAGCATCTGGTCAAGCATTGAGGGTCATTACTGACTTGGTTTCGAAGGCAAACAACTACATTCAAAGCCATTCAGGTACTGATGCCTTAAGAATCGAGGTTTTGCTTCTGGTCACTCGCTGGATAACCAAGATATTGAATATTTTAGGTTTTCCTGCAAGAGACGACAACTTGGGCTGGAGGGATCCGAAAGAGGGGCTCGACGATATCTCCAGCTCTTCCAAAGAAGATATATTGCTACCTTACGTCAAGATCTTATCGAAATTTCGTGATGAAATTCGTAATTTGGCGATATCCAAAACCAACTCTCTGGGTGAATATTTAAGTGCCACTGATTCGATCAGATCAGACTTGATTCATTTGGGAATTTCTTTAGATGATCGTCCAAATGGAGAAGCTTTAATCAAGTTTTTGAATAAACTGGAGCAACAAGAATTAATTGACCAACAAGCTGCTAAGGAACATGCCCTTCTCGAGAAGCAAAGAAAAAAGCAGGAATTGGCTGCAGCCAATGCCAAAAAGGAAGAGGAAAGACTCGCAAAGATGAAAGTTGATCCTAAGGTAATGTTCAAAGACCCTAAACTCTATTCTGAGTGGGACGAAGCTGGTCTCCCGACAAAAGACGTGGACGGAGTAGAAATTACCAAAAGTATGAAAAAGAAGTTAACAAAGCAATATCAACAACAAGAAAAGCTCTTCCATGAGTTCTTGAAGTCGCAATCGAGCTAAATGTGTCTGTTAAATAGAATATTGTCTCGTATATAAATAATAGATTTTTCTTCCATTTTGCATTTAACATTTTGTGACTCGAATATAAATTATCGGAAAATAGACTATTGACAGCATTAGGTATATTTGATAATTATTACAAGATGTTTAACTTGACTAGTAGGTTTCAAAATGCCACAAACCAAGCATTGTCTTCATCTATAGCGATTAGTATATTAATAATTGGATTGACATTACTTCAATTATACAAAGACCAAGTTTGGTCGATTCAATCAACATCAATAAGTAACATTAAGGCGAGAGCTACATTGAAACATTCATTCAACTATGGGGCAGCACCAAAGAAGCCAAAGGAAAATTCAAAAATCAACTTTGACTTAGATGCTGATTTATCCCCTTTGTTCAATTGGAATACCAAACAGGTGTTCGTTTACCTAACTGCAGAATACCCAGGAAAGAGTGATACGTCATCCAACAAAATCACTTATTGGGATAAGATTATCACAGACAAGGACGATGCTAAGATAAGCTTGAGGAATCAAGCATCTAAGTACTCAGTATGGGACATAGAGCGGTCTTTCAGAAGCAGAGATGCTATTGTAAGATTGGAATGGAATATTCAACCACATATTGGTCCTTTAATATATGGAGAAACCAACTCCACGGGTGCTTTCAGTTTTGCAAGTCTTCCAGCTCCAAAGAAAGCATAATTATTCATATACATTAGTGTGATAATATAAATATATATTTACAAGTTAGTTGCGAATATGATGGCTGTATGCGAATGCTTACGACAAGCTTTTTATAGTGAAAGATGTTATTAGCTTAGACGGTTATGGATTCTCTTTTCAAGTACTTGAGAGCTCTTATAGCACGATCGTATCTTGATTCAACATCTTCTTGTTGGTCACTTTTGGGAGGAGGTTCAATTTTATCTACTTCAGCTCTGAACGCTACTAGGCGGAGTCTTGCAGGACCGTTATACAACAAATACTCTACCGTTTCTGGGAACTCGTCCATCAACTTGAAGGCGTACATTTGATCGTTCTTGGAAAACTTAGAAAATAGTCTCCATATTTCACTCAGTAATGAGGGACTGATCTTGTTTTGTGTTGGTATATGTCTCTCAGGAACGAAAAACTCGGGAATATAGTTCAACAAATCATCAATAGACCATTGTGACGTTTTATATACCAAATGATTGTACACATCTAGTTCTTTTTTCAAAGCAGCTAGTGGGTTCGAAATATTTTTGAATTCTTTCTCCAACGCATGGAGATCTCTAACATTATAATAACGATTCAATATCCCAAACGATTCTTTGACAAAATCTGAACCAACAGTCCTAACATAGTAGAGTATTAAAAGTTTGTATAAATACTGAAGCTTTCTCATAATTTTGGATTCAACCCAGTTTCCAGATACTAAATACTCTTCACAAACCGACAACACGATAGGAAGAACCTCTTTGTTTGATAGCTTCAAGATTTCGGAGATTAAACGAGAATACTGATAACCTGATAGTCTGACGCGACAATTAGAAGCCTTGTTAAGCGAATTCAAGTATTCATGAGGGCCACGGCTAGATGATCTCATTGAAGTTAATTTCAAGTCGAAAAGGCTTCGATATTCCAGTTGTAATTTCGTTGGGACCCTAATCTCATCATCGAGGAATGGATATTCTTCCACGTATTTAGATATAGTATGACTCAATTCTTCAAGACCGCTGGACACCAAATTCTCGCCCAACTTTAGGTTGCCTTGCTTTTGATATAGCCTTCCCATCTCGGTATATAATACAAACTTAAATTCGGTGGTAAGCTTGCTTCCTAGTCTACGCTTAATCTGACCAAGAAAGCTGACCAAAAGATCCAAACTAGAGTTGTTATTCTGAGCAGTCGCAGTGACATATTCAGACACAATTCGACACAATTGAACCGAAGAATCAGAAAGATCATAGTCATTTCCTTTATTCTCAGCCGTTGGTGAAATTGACAAACCATTTAATTCGAAGACGGATTTTAAAAGTTCATAGGAGTTTTTGTATCCATTTTGATTTTGAACATCCAATTGAAGCAAAGCCTTCATTAAATAAACATAGGTATTAGTAGTAACTTGAATGTTTTCTCTAACCATCTCTCTATATAAATCCAAAATTTTTGAGTTACTTTCAAAATTCCCTAGGTTTGAATAATGCTTTAACAAAGGAGTGAAATGATGTTCTGTTATTACATCATGATTTTTAGCTTCTTTCAAATAGACCCTAGCTCTTGCTAGATCATTCTTTGCAATGAAAAACTTGATACATTCATTATAAAGTCCATGATTTTTTCTTAAGCTTATTTTTTGGTCATCAATCCGGCTGATGATAAAGTCTGCTCTTTTCAGAATCATTCGCCGTACCTGCTCTGACCTTGCAACCCTAAACCAAAATCTATAATTTCTCAACTGGGATTTATATATTTCAGCACTCGAGAATGGGACATCTGAATAGCTATGAGCTTCAAAGACAATGGCATCAGCTCTTTCATACTGATCTAATCTGATGTATGCTCTGATGAGCTCAATATAAAAGGATTCCGATACTAAGTTTTTTTGTAATGCAATGGATTTAATACGTTCTACCTCTCCAATCCTATAGCTTGTAGCAGCGAAGTTAATAAGCTTGCATAGTATATCGCTATTAAGTAGGTTGTCTTGCCCCTTTTCTATTATACTATCAAACAATTGTTTTGCAGATTCGTAATCACTTGACTTCATATAATAGTCGATTAGTAGGTTGCAAAAGGAACCTGATACAGGCTCATCAACTTCACCTTTTTCCACTCCATCTTCATATATGCGAATCCAATTCTTTGCATCTTCTATGTTGCCTTTATGGAGCCTTGATTTTATCAAAGCTGCATATATTTCGGCAGAAGGTTGGAGGTTTCTTTTCTGTAGCTGATGATAAAGCTGATCAACTTTTTCTATTGCTCCAATTATGGATAATGCATTCATTACAATGCTATAATGAATAACATGGGGAAGCTGTCCTTTGCCATACATATCCTCAAACTGATTTTGAAGTAATTTGTAGTCTTTCATGCTATCGCTGATACGCAACAAAACTTCAATTTGCACTTCATGATGTAGCTGAGGAAATCGCTGATATAAAGCTAAGGCTTCCAGTGGCAAATTCAATTCACACAAGGATATCATGGCACATTTCAAGTCCATGTAGTTAAGCACGTTGTTTCTCGTCTTATTATATTTTTCATAGATTTCATGCTTATATTCCCAGTATTTTAAACAATTCGATGGAGCATATGGCAAAATTGCGATCATTGTTGAGGTCATGAAATTTAAAAAGGATGTTTTTTCTTTAATGCTACTTGAAAGCATAATTGCTCTCAATCTGTCGAGATGATCGGGTAAGGATTGTGATATCGAGTTTATAAGTCTAAGTGATTTGTTATAAACAGAATATTTTTGGTCCATGAAAAAGAAATCATCATCATTCAAATCTCTTAAATGTTCAATGTAGTATTTCGTAATAGAGTACTTTTCATTAACGTCATTACTATAAAGGAGCCCTTTCCTAAGAAAAATAGCCAAAAGCTTTCTCCGGGTGTCAACTTCAATCGATTCATCTTTCAAAAATTTTGATATACCGTTATTATTGAAGCTTAGGACGCCATATGAATCGTTTTTAAATCGTAATGTTTTTGCAAGAGTGTCACACCACGATTCAGTGAAGCCGTATTGTTCTGGATTTCTCAAAAGTGGTTCCATAACTTTCTCATAAAGATCATAAGCTCGATAATTAATAAGAAGATGTGTTAAGGCTCTTCTATGACGCAAAAAATTATCCTGAAGATGATGAACAGATTCAATACTTCTATCTTTCGTAAAAACTTCTGCCCATATCTGACAGATAAAATCGACTACTTGAGGACTAGAAAACGACCCAACTAGGTCAAACAAGTTCAAAAAATTGGTAGTGATATACTCGATGTCGTTATCCGAAAACATCTTCAGTTCTAAAATATAAGTTAGGAATGCAGTTTTCGATAAATCATTATTGACTAATGGCTCTGTCTTGGTATACTTGTATGCCATAATCCTTGGATTAATAACATTTGAGTCATTCCTTTTTCGCCTCGTAGATGAGGAACTTCTTTTCGAAGATTGTACACCATTGAGCTTTTGGCCATGCTTCAATATGATTTTTCCTAATACTCCAAATATAGGAATGAATTGGGACTTTAAGCTGCTTATGTATGTGTTTTCCCAGCCGGGATTTTTGATGCTCCATGATAAAAGTTCTTCTGCCCGTGAAACTCTTTGTTTGAAAATTCCTCGTAGACCAGACAGTCGTAGCATAATGCAAATGATATTATTAAAGAGTTGACCTAAAAGCCATGTATATGTAAAAGCTTAAATGCTTTATTCTATAGTTTGAGATCTATTTTACACCTTTATATGTTTTATAATCACTTTTTTCAAGGTAGCAGTACATGAAAGCTGAAAAAATCCGGTTCATAAATATCATCGATACAATATACAGTCCTTTAGGTAAGAATGCAAAAATATCCTTTAGTAACAAAGAGAAGGCTAAGTGAGTAAGAATACGTTTATAAGACTACGAGAAGAGTTGATTCCAAGGAAGTTACTCAAAAAAACTTATTCGTACTTTATTAGAATTTTTTTTCTATCGTCCTGAACAGTGAAGTGTCATTTTGGTAAAAACTGGATCTCAAATGAACCTATACTTTATTACTTAGAGTTTCTCATACTTTGTCTTGTTAGACAAAACACTATCTCTGAACTCGTTGACTCCTAAAGAACTTGTGTGACCCCATGGCTTCAATGAATTCTCGTTATCGATCGCAGCTGCGAAACAGTTTAGCCACCCTTTTCTCTGATAAGCCTTATTTACGGCATCTAGGGTATCAGGATGGATGAATTCCGTATTGAGTCCTACATTATCCAAAATAGTGGATATTTGTAAAATAAGCCCTAAAGATGTGATGTACCCAGTCTCACCCAAATCTTGGTGACGAATGATGGCTTCGCAAACAGCTTCCGCAAAGTCTTGGTTTCCCTTTGTTCTCTCAAAAACAAGATCTCTAGCAAGAATTCCACCCGAAAACTCAAAAGACATTTTGGTCAGCTTCATGTTCTTGGATGTGGTTCCAATATCGTGTAACAAACATGTCACGTACAAGACCTCGGTATCCAAGTCCCAACTCAGAAATTGATCCTTAATAATGGCTAAGCTGTACTGATAAACTCTAAGGGAATGGTTAAGAACTTCTTGAGGTAATTCTTGAGTAGCATAATCCGTTATGTACTTTGCTAGTGGCGTTTTTGGAACTTCTGATACCGACTGTGGCGATGGAGGAAGTGGATCGGCAATTGCCTCTTTTATGCTCCTGGGAACCTTAACAAATCCATAATTAGACATTTCGTATCAATGTATATCAGTCAATTTACCTGAAAGAAACAGTAACTACTTCCTGCAATATAATATAAAATGACTCTTCCGAAGACTTTTTCATTTGTAATTGCGGGGGGTTGTTTGACAGAATTATACATAACGGTCTATTAGTAATTAGCTCGGAATTAAGAACAGACATAGAGCACCTGGCAGTTTCTTTAAATTTAAACATTAGATACTAGATGTCTTTACGTTGCTTTGTATTTTAAGAATATTGATTGCAAAGTGTAGTTGTGCGATTGCTCCTGTTCAAGACATATTTGCTTTACCAGTGAGCCACGAAATGAAAAAAAAATTTTATACAGAGATTAAAGAGTTACCATGATGTTCAATAACATGTTAAGGTGGCCTTGAGACTTAATGTCATTATCAGATCAAAGTATTGTTGACAGATGAATATAAAAGAAATCAAGATTCAAAAGGTCTTTCTACATTAAATTGCTCTCTTGTTTTCGTATTATTGTACTGTCAAATTAGAAGAGAATTGGTTTCGTCAGAGTCATTAAATCAGTATTTTGTTTTGCAATCACTAGAGTAAAAATACTCGTCATACAGTGTGAATATTAGATGATCATCATTGAAACCAAACTGATCTTTGACATAAATGCTATATTATGGTTATAAATCCTTGTAGATGTTAGTATTTGCATCATTTTATCACTAAGATTATAGAATTTAAGATGTCATATCAGTAAACGACCTGTCATCATCTCCTACCAATCAACACCTCAAAATTTGTACACAGAAGTGCGACTCCTCCATCAGAAATGAAGGGAATGGTAAGAGAATATGTCCGCCCGGTCGACAGCTTTCCTCATTTATTTTGACATCAATATAATTCAAGCAAATCTTTTACTTACCTAATGACAGTTAGTACATAGTTCATCAAAGTAGAAAAAAACCTTTATGTATACGTTTTTGGACCTTAAACATTGGCTCATACAAGGCTGAAACTTAACGATATGCAATTTGTCAACCTGGAAATTCAGTTGGAACAATTGGTAAAATGCAATAATCATCGCCAATTTAAGGTAGTTCTGTATCGTATCTTCTTATAAGTCAAAGTTTTACTATTAAAACTTAAACCAAACAAATCTCAACATACCATTCATAACCTTAATATATCCACTAACGTCCTGAGACCCAGGATCAAAGGTTGACAATCCTTTAAGAAGAAAAAGAAGTTGATGGATAAACTGAAAATTTTTATATTGAGACCGAATATTGGTAAAAAGAGAATATACACGACCCTAAGCATTAATTAGAAAAGACATACTTAGACAACAATTCCAAAGAAAATTGCCTTTACTGAGATAGTGAATACTAAATGAGCAGCTGCCATGACCCCTAATACGACCAAATGTAGTTTATTTGAAGCACTCGAATTTCCGTCGTTTAGCAAGAGACAATTCTTCATAACTATTGGACTTACCTTTGAAATATTACTAAGACCGGTAACGAGGCCACTTGCTAAGACAATAACCCATTCTAACACATTCAATATTAAATGATGGCTCTTGTTACTCACAAAAATGACAATTAGGAAATTAATGATTGTTATAGGGAACCACAAGACATTGGTGTAACCGAAGATGGAGATCAACTTTGTTAACGAGATTCGCTCCGGAAACTTGACAACATATGAAGTGCCCAAGTAAAAAGCCAAAGGAAATAAGATGTTGTAACCGTAAAATAAAGAGATTGATTTGGTAAGTAAATCAAAATTGTATTCGTATTTGTGTTTTTTATCAGAATGAAGCCACTCAGAGAGCAAATTCGAACCTGTAGAGCTCACGAACATCAAAAAGATCAACGTGCCTGTTATCCAGATGAACCCATATAATTCAGTAACTTCATCGTCGCTTTGGTCGGTTTCTGTGGGACTTGAAGACTTGTTTAAAGGGTTCAAAGCCCGTTGAATCTTCAGAAAAAAGGTGTCGGTATTCAAATTGAAGAAACGGCTATAGAAGTTGATGTGAAACATATGATTTTTTTCAGGACTGATAACTTGTGGTTTTATCACTGCTGGTTGAGCCGAGCTTGATTGCTGAGGAACATTGTTTTCTTGATTCTGGGTTGAAGTGGCAGTATAGGATGCATTAGTTGCTATAATATAGTGTCAGTATATGGTAAATCTTTCATGATATGTATATATATATACTTACTATCTGGCGAAATTAGGTCATCTTGGTCAATCAAGGATGTCTAGTTGTTGTTAGTAAACGTTTCAAAAAGCGATATTAATCTCTATTATGAAAGAAATGGGTTATTATAATATATACATACCTCATTATCATCTATGTTTGACAAATGACTGTATGATTGTGGCATTGTTGTCTTGCTGAATCAAGTTTTAAACAAAAGTTACGATTCCTTCGATTTGTCTTTACTGTATATCAGTATCGAGATCGAGCCGCACCTGGCAAAAATAGTATATGAATTGGAACCACAATAGATGTAAGTGAAAACTCACCCAATCAAACAACAGAGTAGATATTCGAGATCCAAAAGCTACTCTCAATACAAATGATATTTGGGATAGTGTGAGTTGAGTAATCCGTTAGTTTTTATTATGTTGAACAAAAGAGCGGGAGGGAAAACGACTAGTTCGATTACAAGTGGGATGTTGTCCTGACTTCAACTAACTTCTAAAGTGATACATGTCTCTCGAGTTAGTAAAACCTTAATAACAGTGACAGGAATTTTCAGGCGAAAAAGTTGACTTCCGTGTCCATATTAAAGCGCATCTCTATTAAGTAATCTTCTGAACTCTATATTGAATGCTCTATTTTCTTCAAAAATCATTTTATTCGTAAAATAATGATAGTCTCAGTGTCAAGAAGAGAATAGACACACCTTAGCTACAATTATTGAAGAGCTATATCTCAATTCCATCCCGTTGTTGTCTAGATTGCAACAATAACGGGCAATGAATGAAGAATGCCTCAAACCGCTTATGAAGTTTGTCTGAGAATAATATAGGTATAATAACTGTTCGAAAGGTATGCTCCGAACTTTCCAAAAGGAGCTCAACCTCAACTTTTTGATTTTAGTCTTACGCTGTTAATTTTCTAATATTTTGCATCAATTGATGTAGAAATAACAGATAATTCCATTTGGACGTAAAATTGAACGAAACTATATACTTTTGATGCCCTAGTATAAAAAGATACAAGCCAGCTAAAACGGTTCTTTGGAAGAATTGTTAGTTTAGAATGGATGATGAGTGATCTTTCTTTAGCAGCCAGTCTGTCACTAACGATGATGGTTGTCTGATAACTTTACATTTTAAAAAAAGTTTACATGTTAATCCTTATCGCGAAAATTACAGGTTATACTTTGTTTAACTTAATATATTATAAGAGTATTATGATCATTAATGAAAACTAACCAATAGATAGTAAGCAATTGCTTGAAATATCATTGTTAGAAATGGATTATGAAGATTATCCAAACATTGATGTGAAAGACTTTTTCCCATGTCGCGATGACGATTCCCAAGAGAAATATATTAAACAAACACTTTTGCACTCACCTATTTTCACGAACATTATCCCCGGCTTCAAAGTTAACTTATCGAAGCCATTCAGAGGCATTATCAGCAGTTCCTTTAATGATGAAGCTGATCAATATCTTGGGCAACAGGAAGAAGATTCGCAGCGAGACATCTTTAGCGATGACGAGGATGAATTGTTACTTGACTTAGCACCAGTGAGTAAAGCTCCATCGATGTCACCATTATCAGAGATGATACGTGATGAAATTGTGTCTATCAAAATTATTATCAAATTGACGTCATTGGTCATTGATGATGTCGAGTACCACCTTAATGCTCCGGTAAGATCATCTTGTCGCGTATCATCTGAAGAACACGATGAGGATTCATTACTCTTGTCTTTAAAATCGGGGTTTTTGTTGCTAATTAGAATATTTTACGTACCGAGAGATCTGACCAAGAGGGTTGCTGGAATTGTACTGAATGATAATTTGAAGGAATATGTTTTTGAGCCTTATATAGTCCAGTGGTGGGATACATCAAGCAGGCTATCTATTCCTTCGTTAGAATCTTCTGGGCACTCCTTAAGTTGTCACAGCTCCGGTAGATATGTAATTTCATGCTCAGCTAATGGACTTTTTAGAATATATCCAACTCAAATGACAAATAATGGAATGGTTTTCCAACCCCATATTAACGTCCCCCTCAATGGGTTTATTTTACATTCATGTTTTGCCAAACCATTAAAAGAAAGCATATTTGAACTGCATTATATTTTCATGACTTTAGTATTCACAAATCATAAACGGTTAGAAATTAATTTATTTGATTGGTTTTCGGACAACGTGCAACATGATATGACCAAGACGACGCTTCCTCTTGATAACTCATTTCATATCCCAATTTTTGTCATCCCAGTCAAATCTCTCAATGGGTTTTTATTTATTTATGAGCATGAGTTTATTATTATCAGCATACACAATATAGTATCGGCTGAATATGAATTCAGATACGTTCCTTTCTCAGGAGCGTTTCCTACTACGTATTACGTTCCAGAAACAAGCATATTGAAATCAAACGAGAGTGACGAAGAGGTAGTAATAGCTACAGATAACGGAACAATATATTCTTTGATCGTAAAGGATACTAATGATGTTTCAATTGTTCCAATAATACGCATAGCCGACTCTATATCTGTATTCAGCTTGGAAAAGGATAAATCTGGATTCCTTTTGAACTTCGGGAGTGACACAGGATCTAATAGGGTTCTTAACATCAATGGTTTATTTTGTGAGGATGATTTGAGGGACTCAGAGGGCTCTAAACAAAAATTAGGCTACAGCAGTGTCCTGCTTATTCATGATTACAGAAATTGGAGTCCTGTCATTGATATACAAATAATTGACACCTACAAGCAGAGAACTTTAAGCAACCATTCGGATCAAGAGTTATGGACTTTAACAGGGACTGGAAAACGTACAAGACTAACACATCTAAGAAACGGATATTTTGCATCACGTAAGAGTAGAACATTTGAAAGCTTAAGAAGGGCTTTAAAAACTCAAGTAATTGAATATAATAACAAAACATATTTATTTGCCACTCTTCCATTACTGACTGTGGTTCTTGAATATCAACATGATGAAGTGGAAGAGTTCGCTGAAATAGAAGATCCTCTTATTATTTCGAATGCTCCAACAATCTTGATATCTAAACTTCCTACTCCAGAAGAAATATTTATTCAAGTGGTCGATAGTGCATTATTTTTGACTAACCTTTCAAATGCACTGATTGCCTTAGAATTTCACGATAAAAGGGTATTGGATTGTGATGCTGATAATGAACTACTCCTTATAGTTTCCGAAACACTTGCTGTTCACTCCCATAGAATAATTGAACTTTACAAATTAAATGCCAAAATTGATTGGAATAAAAGTTTCAAAGAATGCAATGCCTTGACCATGTTACAAACAGAGATGATCGACTATCAACCATCCGTAGTTCGATTTTTTCAGATCAAGAACGAAAAGTACTTTACTGTTGGTAGCTTTGATGGTTGGCTATATGTCTACGCAGTTGGTGCTAACTTTTTCAGGTTGATACATGAATTATCGTTGTATCACCTATTAAAGGAAAAAGGCTTTGATAGCCAGAGCTTAGTTGCCAATGACATTGTGCTTCTAGAAAATTCACTTCATGTTGGAACAAGAGATGGATTTTCCATTCAATTGAAATGGAATTCGAAGAATGAAATCTTTTGCGACAAGATACTTCAAGTCGGAGACACGTCCGTGAACTACTGTGTTATTCCTAATTATGAAAAATGCATGTTGATTTATTCGAGAACCCTCTGGTTGCTAAATCTCTATGATTCTGCATTTCCTTATAGAGTGTTTTTTGACGAGAAGCACGATAGAGCAATATCAACGGTAGCTCCTTTACCAAACATATCAAAATTGAAAAGTAATCCTAGCTTTGCATTTGTCCGAGAAGAAGGATTGTTGACAGGTTCCATTTTTACTCACAAAAAGCCCTGCGTGAAGCAGATAAATCTATCTGAGCCCGCAAAGAAGTTCCTCTATATGCCACACACATTCATGTTCTTAGTACTTTGTCCCTCGAAGGAATGTAACTCACGATTGAAATTTGTCGATCGAAAGTTATTCAAGATATTACCACATGAAGAATATAACTCTAAGGCTATCTTCGAGCACATATTCAAAAAAAATGAAATCCCAACCGCATTGTGCATCTGGTTGATTAGAAGAAGTGGTCGCGTTTCGCAAAAGCTATTGGTTGGAACATCAATTGATAGTAGCAGAGGGTCAATAAAAATCTTGGATGTAAATCGGTCCCATTCTACGGATAATGAGGTCATTAAAGTTACAGAGCTAACATCATTTGATCACGGAGATCCAGTATCTTGCATCCAACAAGTTGAATCCAACATTGTGTTTTCTAGTGGAAAATCGATATATTCCACCAGTTATAATATGAACGAGAGGAGAATGCGTCCTATTTCAAACTTGATCACCCTTTCAAGTGATATTACGTCACTTATTGTTGAGAAGCCGAACAAGTTGTTGGTTACTACAAAATTAGATTCAATTTATCAGTTCTTGTATATGCTGACGAGTACTGAAGAAAATTCAGAATCTTTAAAATTGATTGCAAATGATCCCTTATCAAAAAGTCTAGTTAACCAAGCGAACATTAAAAAGAAGGTCGTAGTAGGTGAGAAGTTGAATTCTTCAATACTCATTATGAACTTAAACGACTGGGGATTTCCAAGCCAATTTTCATACAAGATGTCAGCAATTCCTAGAGTGTATGCATCTAGATTTAACAGTCGATGGGCAATACGGGGCGATAGTGAGGAGACAGATGAACCCTCAAATATTTTGAGTGTTGGAGTCAACGGAGAAGTAGTTTCATTTAGACTTATATCAGAAAATAGCATCGAGCTTCAATCTTTAATGCAGAAGCTTAATGATGGAATGAAGTTCAAAGAGCTGTTAGATGTTGCTCTCAATAAGTATGATGATCCATTTATAGATAAAGTCACTGGAAAAGGATTAATTGGTTTAAATAAGCCATACTTCGATTTTAAGGACAACAAAGAAAAAAAGGGCGTAGTAATAGACTACGACATAGAAGAATTTTCAAGAGCCAGCATGTCAAATATTTGCATTTAATAGTTAAATACTTAATCAAAATAATAATTTGGTTACTCATCTGTAAACACACCAAACAAAAATCTATGAACTCAAGAATTGCGTGTCTCGTCTAAAGTTGTACCATTCTGCGATTCCTCTGCAATAGTATCATCGGCCAACGCAGTATTACTTAACTTGCTTCTCAATCTTTGCTGTCTGAACATTTGAGCCGAAGGCTTTTCTAGACTTGGACCCCCGTTGTCATTATTCACATTTCTTAATTCTTGTAAAAGACTCCTTGCTCTTGATCCAACATCCTTTTCGTCGATATCTACGTCAAGATCTGAGGCATCAGTCAAAGCCGTTTCGACCTTCAGATACGCTGAAAAACCTTCTTCAAGCGGCGAACTAATTGGGTCCTCATCAGACATATGAGGAGAAGGTTGATTTAGATTGTTCTTCTGAGAGTCAAGCATATGTCTTTTCATTAAGGCTCTCTTTCTCGCTGAAGAAGCTTCACCTTTAGGAGGACCAGCAGCTTTTAGCTTTTCCAACAAGGAATCCATGACATTTGTTTCATCCTCACTCTCTTCGGCTTCCCCATTAAGATTAGCTTTTTTGGGCGTTTCCAAAAGCTTCCTTCTTTGTTCGTAGATTCTTACCTCTTCTTCCCTTTTGATATTTTCCTTTTGCACTCGTTTGAAGTCCCTCACAAAATCAGCAAACTTACTAATAAACGAATTTCTTACAAATGAATCCGTTGGATCTTCACCAAAATATATCATTAAATTGTCGAACTCTTTGAATGTGAAGTTTGATTGATCTAAAAGTAGTTCACCTTTTCTTTTCGCTTTGGGCAATGTGGGTAATACAACTTTCAAGACTCTATCCTGAGAATGAAATTTAGATATATCACTCAAATTTCCCACATCTATCGAGCTTTGGACATTCTTCAATGATTGTGCATAATCTTTACAATCATTTGAAATTACTTCAATAGAATACTTCGATATCTCCACACATTTGGCCAAATCATCGATAAATGATAACAATTTGGGATATTGGTTTCTTATAATTTTTTCAACATAATGCAAAAATGTCATACTGTTTTTGTCGTCTTTCATAAAACTTAATCTTTGCAAGGAGCTCAACTTGAATCCTTGTGCTTGTTTGGTTCTGTCATTCATGTAGTTTCCTACAGTTAAAATGATTTGGAAGACGGCTTTCAAGTGTTCAGATTTTTTGATTTTTTCTACCGCGTCATCAATTGATCTCAATTTTAGTACTAATTCTTCATAATCCTTCTCATAATTCGTAATGACTCGTAAAGCTCTAATTCTGGACTTCCAATAATGCTGTAAGTTGTAAATAAGTTCGACATAAATTCTGTCGGGTCTCTGCAATTCATTAGGATCTTTATCTGGTTTTGAAATCTCATCCGCAGTATAGTCTGTAGAATATGGTTCCAAATTTCTCGCCAAAGTATTAGGAACTTCTACAATTTCCTCTTTACTGAAGAACTCTAAGACAGCTTGGTTTGCTAACACGTCCTTATCACATCTCAAAATCTTCGCAATGAGATCTTCATCAGATAAGCTATTGAAGGAATGCAAATTAATTCCAAATTGTTGAGAAATATCCCGAGGTAGAAACGTTATCTTATCAATATCTTCTTTTTTCTTAGTTGCCAATTTCTTGATCTCCTTGGCAGCAAAGATAAGTTCAACCTCATCGAAGACACCCCTCTCGGATAAATCCCTAGCTAGTTCAGATGTCTCTGAATCTTTCCAGAAAGAATGCACATTGTTATCTTCAATTTTTTCCCAGTGTAATTGCTTCAACTTCTTCTTTGGCCTTGGGCGATCATCTAGAACCTCTGTAAGATGAGGAGATGGTGGAACTGGAGAAGGCTCACGAACTGACTTCGATGTTGGAAAAGGAGGAGGAGGAGGAGGCGGCGGTGGTGGTGGTGGAATGGTACCTGATGATCCAGGAAATGGAGGAGGCGGAGGAGGTGGAGGGGGAGCTGGTGCTGATGCACTTTTTTCCTTGTCACCCCCAAGTAGGGAAGGCAAAGGTGGTGGAGGTGGCGGAGGCGGAGGAGCGACAGATTGCTTACTGTCAAGAGAAGAGGATGACTTGGATGGTGGAACGGGAGGAGGAGTTGGTACGGTATCTTGACTGGGCGTAAGTTCCTTAGAGCCATCTTCAGTATTTTGACTCAAGCTCTCTCTCGCATCTTCAAAGTTATCTCCGTCAGACGCAATTGGCGATTCCTTCTTAATTTTGGATGCCAATTCTTGTAAAAATTTAGGATTCATGCCATCCGTTGTTGTCCTTCGGTTACTCTTATATGCTCTGGATCGCGACGTAATATCGGCTCCACTTTTACCTTGAGCATATTTAGCTTCGAGCCTTTCCAAAGCGTCGCCTTTATTAGACTTGACTGATTTTATCTCCGAAGCATACAATTTCTTCTCTAATTCCTGCCTGAGCCTCTCGACTTCGTCTAACTCTTCTCGTATTTTGAGCTTGATACTAGAATCAATTTGTTCATTATTAAAAGTGAAACCGTCTGCCCCATCCTCAGAATTGAAATCGATATTGAAATCCTTGAAATTATTCTGCAATTCTCTTAGTCTTTCCATTGCGAGTAACTTTTGTTTATTGAACAAAGAACTACTATTGAATTTCAAAATATCATTCGATTCGCTTTGCAAAGATGATAGCTTTTTTCTTAATGTGTCTAGTTTGTCCAAATCATCCTCACGGCATGGTCTTGGGGGACCCTTTGGTACAGGGGGGGGAAGAGGGGGAGTTGAAATGGATTGAGGCTCCACATCTGAAGAAGTTTCGGAGCTGGTATCAACTTCAGGCTCAGATGGAACTTCATTGGACTGAATTTTATTAATTTCAGGACTCACATATGTTTCAAAATCAGTCATTTCCAATTCCCTGGCCATATTCTCAATATCACCCATTTGATCTCGTAATGCTCTGAGTCTGGAACTTGGTTCCACTGATGTTCCGAATTGGCGATTATCTAATTTGAATTCTGCATTTTTCCTATGTATCTGCTTTTGCAATTTTTGTATCAACTTCTCATTTGAAGTTTGTACAGAAAGTGTCGTTTTGTTGTCTTTTTTCTTCGCCTCGAATTGGGCATTATTCAACATTATCAAAAGCTCTCTCATTTCCAATTCTTGTTCTTGCTTCTCTTTCAAATGCTTTCGTTTCAAATCTTCAAGCTCTTGAGAATACTCCTCGTTTAGCCTTCTGGTCCGTAATAAAATAGTTTCTTGTTCTTTCACTTCATTGGACAAACTAGCGATTAGACCTTCAGCCCCCATAGAAAGCTGACGGGACATATCATCCCTTTCGGCAGTTGCCTCTTCAGCAATCCTCTTGAAATTCTTCACATCTTCTAAAGCTTTTCTGTACATATCGTCAGTACTTAGACCGGCAAATAGCCTATTGATAGCAACACCTACAGCTGAATCCTCGTCTGCCGTATGAGCCATCGTCACATTTTGTATAAGACCATCAAGCAATCTTAAACTTCTGAGTAATTCTTCGTTGCTTCCTCTTTTTTCACTTTGATTTAAATAAAGGTGTTGTATAGCACTTAAAAAGAACCCTTGAGCTTCACTATCTCTCACAGAGTCCCATAATGATTTGATTAATTCAACAGGATCATTGAAATCAATGTTCTCATCTATCTGTTCACTTTGCTTCAATTCTATTTCGTCATTTTCAGCAACGTCGAGATATTTAGAACATTGTTGATTCAATCTATCATATCCGAGTTCTTGAAATTTAACTATTAATCTATTCAATCCTGCAGCCCTAAACTGTGCCCTAAGATGCATTCTTACCCTAAAGTCAATACCATATTCAACAATCGTGTTTATCAAAAGCATTGTTCCTAAGCAGTACTCCAACAAATGATTCTCCAAATTTCCCTGCTGAGTTGTCCCTGCATGAGCTGATTTTAGTTCATCGCTAGCACCAACCAAAGAGTTCATGTACTTGCCCTTTCCATCGATTGTTCTTTCCACTAATTTGAGCCATAATTCAAATCGCTTGTACTTATCAGGCGTAGGCGGCTTTCTTACAAGTTTTCTCTTCGAAGATGTCCCTGGCCCTTGTCCTGATTCGAATTCAAAATGTGGTTTAGAAGATATAGAGTCTAAGGCTTTTAATATTTTGTGGAATTTTCCGTGATCTTCACCATCGTTATTATGACTATAGTAAGCAATCATGAATGTCAATGCTTCTGCTGCAATCTTTCTTGTCACTATCCTAGGAGACAAAAGAGAGCCAGATACCGCCATCACGTACAAATTAACATCTGTTCTGACACGCTCGGCCCCTAACTTTTGATTCATCATACATTTTAAAGCTTTTAAAGTATTGAACTCTTTATCAAAAAGATTATGGTCGATGTCATAAACATCAACGCTACTTATCTGTTCTTGAATTTTCATGAGATAGGCGGAAAGAATAGCATCTCCCTGGCAATCATATATGAAATTTCTAACCCATTCAATAGGTTCGGTTCTTAAAGAAACCCAAAGATTTTTCAATTGCTCTGCTGAAATGGTTTTGGCAAGTAACTGCTTTGTATAAAACTCAGGAGTTGCATTTTCTTCTTTGTTACGAACAACCCTTTCCTGTCTCTTGTATTCAGTTAAGGCATCCTGATAGATAAGCATCCATTTTTTATCAGGGCTATAATTAATCATTTCTTGTTTAGCTTTGACGGGAAGAGAGCGAAAATCTCTTTTATCCATTAACTCTCGAAATAGTCTATCGATCTCATACACCAGAGATGGCCGTTCCAAATTAAATCCTCCGATTCCAGATGATAATGAATCATTAGTAGGTATCGTTGAAAATGATGGTTTAGAGATTATTGACGATGTCGTTGACTTCCGTGAGAGACCACTGTTCCTCGCCGTCTTCTTATCATAAGGATTGGAAAGTGTCGAAATACTGTATGTTGATGCTTGACGATTATGATTGGAATTTGTTATTTGAGAATTGGGAACTATATTTGTTCCAGATGTAACACCCTCTTTTCTCTTATAAATACTCCCAGAACTTGAATTAATATATGGGTTACTTAGTATACTTGCGGAATCGTTGGATGACAAGTCGCTAGTGTTATCATTGCTGCTGTTTACACTATTGGCTGACTTGTCTTTCTGCTTTCTTATGCTGAATATAGACGTCGACGATATTCTATTATTAGACTGCTTATTAGGAGACGTCAAACCTTTCAGCTTGTTATATGCTATTGAATTATTTAGCTCATCGTTGATTCTGGGGTTCAACTGCAGATTCGTATCACTCAGTTTTCTTCTCATCGCAAGAGCCACTCTACTAAACCTCTACCGCAAATTGTGAAAATATAATACACTTCAAACTTTGTATTCAGCCTTAATGGCCCGCAGTATCCCTGCAACCTTCAGTTTTTGTTTTCTGATGAAATGGCAATAGATGTTGTCTTGAAGCAGGTTAGTATCTTAAGTTTTGCCCTCTTGTATGCCTGCTAGTTTAATTACAATCTTCTTCAAAAACTATATTGCTTCTTTAATTAGACTCAGTCGTTCTGAATCAGCAAGCTTGATCTCTCAAATGTTATAAATGATTACAAAGGCTTGATTGTAAATAAAATAATATGTAACATTAAATTTACCGCTGTGTCAGAAATTCGGTTACGTTAGACCGTCTAAAAGCGGAAAACTCTAAGTGCGCAGGATTTGTACGCGTGTATTAAAAGAGAAATTATACAAGGTGGATTGATTGCTATCCCTACCTGATCTACTCCTTGATGCTTTCTTTCAACATCTCCATAGTATTATCCAAGCCACTATTGACTTCTTTCTTGAGCTGTTTGGACTTCGAATTCTTCCTCTTTAGAGTACCCGAAGATTGTTGAGATGCGGGTTGCGTCAAAGTATCATCGGGTTGATCAGGTGACGGAAGCGTCTCCGAAGTGTCAGCGAATTCTTCATCTACAGACTGGTCATTTATATCGTTATCAGAAGTTTGATTCGTGGTCGAAGGGGAAGTAGTTTCTGACTGTTCAGACGCAACGGTCTTGCCGGAATGAAGTTTTACTTTGCCCTCTTCATCAGTTGTGAGTTTGAAATCTTTCGCATGAATATGGCTAGTTCTTCGTTCTATCGTTTCGTGTTTCAATGTGTCTGTTTGCACTTTTTCTTCTTCAGACTTCGTCAGTTGGTCGTCACCTTTTGGAGATGAAACGCTACTATGAACATGCTCTGTCGCAATGATTGGTGCAAAGGCTTCTGTAGACAATTCATCCAAGTTTGATTCGACTGTATTTTCAGCTAGATCCCAAAAACCGATTTTACTCCAGAATATCTTTGCCCGAATTGAAGCCAATATTATGTAGAGCTTAGTGAGCTTGGATTCTTCAACCTCTGACAACATGATAGAAGTATCGGGAATCGATTCATTCAGTGCTCGCTTGAACTGAAAGTTGTTAGCAATGTTGATGACTTCATCATATTGTCTATTTTGTTCAATTTTGTACACATTAGAATGAATGAGTCTGAGCTTTGCAAAGAAATCACAGATATTTCTTAATTTAATAAGGCAGTAATTACAAAGCGAGTAACTTGCAATGACCTCATTGTTATCAACCAAAGACAAGGAACTAGTGCTTGGAGTTGCACTTGGAGGTTCTGGGTTCAACAATTTCAACGAATACAATCTCGCGTGCTCCAAGTTATCATTCCTGGATTCCGCACAAAAGCTGCATGGTTCTTTAGTTGCAACCGGTGCATTATTATACGACCCACTAGCTCCTTTATAAGTCAACTTGAAAGTTTCATTGACTCCTTTTATTGGTTCAATAATTGCCTTGCCTTCAACAAGTAGGTTCCAGAAAGTCTTTCCTTTTTGCCATCTGTTGATGAAGTTGGCATTGGACATACTAGGTATAGACGAGATGCTATTCTCTAATTCTTCCATCCATACTCTACGGAAAAATTTTGTGTTTTTCAAGCTCAGGAGATCAAACTGGAACGTTGGTTTGATTATTGTATATATGAATATTTTAAAATCATGTTGATAATTAGGTAGATCAAGTCTTATTGCTTTTATGGTGGGTGAATAAATTATGTTGTCTAGCTCACTTTCAAACTCACTACTCTGTTCAACCAAAGGAGTTCCATTACGGGAACTACCCTTCTGCTTATCTTCAATTTTCATGAATAGATCTTTCAAATACTTAAGTTGTTCTTGCAAATCAGTAATTATCGTATCTTTCTCTTCAAGCTCTTCATGCAATTTTCTGTTTTTGACCTTAAAGTTGTACGTTTCCCTCGATGCATTGCTTACCATCTGGTTTGCTTCGTTAAATAGTGACGCCGTCAAGTCTTCCACTTCACCTTGAAGCTTTGTATTTTGGGCCTCCGCATCTTTCTTCAACTTGTCCGTTTTATCAAAGTCCAACTGCAACTTATCATACTTTCCTAACAATGACTCATATTTCTCTTGATACTCTTTCAGCGACGAAAGTTCTCCTCTTATTCTTACATTTTCTTTATGTAAATGAAGCATAGACTCTTCCAACTCAGATTGTCTTGCAACCGAAGTGACCAACTTAGTAGACAATTCGGTTAGCTCATGTGTCAATCTATCATCTAAGCTCTCTTCTCCAGGATTATCTGTCATTTCGTTGGAGAAAGACTTTTAACTTGTCAAAATGGTGACTTGAAACTTCAAAGATAATTTGTGAGAATAGGGCGTGATAATCCTTTATCTAACAATTTTAAGTGGAACGCTAACAATTTGATACAGATTGTTTGGCATGGGGCTGGAGAACTAAATTGCTATATATAGGGGCTGCCTTGACTGAAAAGTACACTGCCTCTTATATGCTAAATATTAAAAAGCTTTTGAAGATATTTAGTTTACTCGTGGCGAACAAAGATGCGTGGATCTCTTTCGGGGTTCAATAGCCCTCGAGGATATGGTAAAGATCCCACACTCAAGAATAATATTCTGCCGTTTGAACAGAACTTTATGAAAGAATACAGGGCTATTCATCAGCAAAATGACGAAAAATCGAAAGTCAACTTGGAATCACTTCCGTTTGAATTAAGGTTGAAGATAAGCAATGAGCTATCCCAAATCGATTGCTTAAACTTGATGAAAACAAGCAAAACTATGTATTATTCCACGGTGATACGATTGTATCAGAATATAGTAATTGACGAGAGCTTCAGTCAATTTAGCAAAGAATACAAATTCATAGATTTTGATGCTTCTCTCGAACTTTCTTGCAGCTATATCAAAAGCACATTTGGTTTCAAAAGGTTCTTAGCAAGTTACATTCAATTGTACGACTCAAGGTGCCATAATATTTACGTGAACTCTAATGAGACATTTGATATCACTTTTCCTTTCATTCAGAAGATCCAGTGTGTCGAGTTGCCCGATTCATTGAATACTTTTGACTACGAATTGAACGATAACATGCTAGAGTTTTTTTCACGATTACCGTGTCTAAAGGAGCTCATTTGGCTAAATGATAACTTTAGAGTTGAATATCTAGAGAGATTACCAAATAAGCAAAGTATCGTATCCTTAAATTTAAATTTAACTTTCAGTAACTACTTGAATGAATTGAGTTCTTCGTTTGACTCATATTTGCCAGATGAAGTCGAGGTAGATAAGCTAAAAGCGCTTAATTTTCCCAACTTGGTTCACTTCCAAATCCGCCCTTACCAAAATTCGAAGAGGTTGACTCGAATAATAAATGGTTTATTGGTCGGAGATAATCCTCAGAAAGTTAGCAAGCAATTGAAAAGCTTAAAGCTAGCAAGATTTCATAAAGATATGGATGCTTTAATTCCACCGTGTAGGGATTTGATTGCATCAAATAATAGCGATGTTTTGAATGATATTGATTTGAACACTGTAAATTCTATTTTCAAAATATCAAAGTTGAACTACTTGTCAACCTTGACCACGCTTCTGTTCAATAATTGCTTATTAAATCCAGCTGACTCCAAAACATTGATTTCTTCAATGAATTTGACTAACTTAACTTCACTCGAATTGAAAAATATATCAGAATATCAAAGAATTGACTCTGATGTTGGTTCAAATCACGTAAGGGATCTTCTCGAACCAAGTTTTTTAATTCAAATAGCTCCTCATTTAACGAATGTCGAACATTTATTGATTGACTATAGAGAAGCTTTTGTTGATTCAGTGCCCTCCTTTTTAAGTTCTATTCCTACTAAAAAATTGGAGTCTTTGGACTTAATTGTTAAATTAAATGAAACCAAATCGCAATATTATTCAGACTTAGATGAAATTTATAAAGCGTATGCATACGCGATGTCAACAGGTAACAAGCATAAGACTTTAAAGAAGTTATCAATTGAGGTTAAAGAAGAAAATCCTTTCTGTGACATTGACATGCCCTTAGAATCAGACCTGCTTTATTTAGAACTATCGAAGTTTACCCAATTAACAAGCTTACGCGTGAACCCAGGTGAATTTCCATATGAATTGATATCATTGATAAAACACTTACCTCTTTTAACTACTTTGGATGTGTTTGGGGCCAAAGCCGGTGGTTGCCCCAATTTAGGATTAGGCATGGTTCACCCCAACATATATGACGAATGGTTTAAGGTGCAGCATGTTGCCATGCTATATTTACAACACAAGCCCGAACTAAAATATATCCGTATCAATCGCTATATTTTCGAAGGTTCTCCTGATACACTTGAAGTTAACCCTCGAGATGGTATTGACAGATGGTTCAATAGAACCGTCAGAGTTGGGTGGCCATAGAAGGACTCACTCAGCCTACAAACGATTGAATTAATTAAAATTATTAATATTAGTTTCATATATCGAGTATGAGTGGAGTTTTCTCATACTCATTGTAGTCTATAAAGTCTCCGTATACATCCAAACATATGCATTAGTTACCAGATTTGATTGAAAAACCAAAGAAATTTCCAAGGAAGCTAGTTTCAAACTTCTTCTCGAATTGTATAGTAGATGCTCTTATTTCTTTCATTATCTGAGCCTCTTTCTCTTGGGCAGTCATCTTTGTAGCAGCAGACATTGTAACCTTAATTGAATAGTGATTATAATTTATTAGTGTAGTTTAATATTCAAGCGTTCTTGTTCTTAGGCAAAGCGATACCCATTACTTATATACTTCTTTTTTAGAAATGCCTTCGTATGCGACTTCGGACTGAAGGGAGATGCAAAAGACTTCAGTCAGACATCTTTCCGATAATTAACCAGTCGCAAGCTTGCAGCGTCTAAAATTTGATGAGTGTTACGAGCACGGAGAATAATTTTTCCGATCGGAGGAAAGGAGCTAAAAATGACAGAACCTAGACCAAAAATCGTCGCTTAAAAGGCACGAGTAGACGCCTCTAATGGCTGAGTCATACTCTATAATAAATAGTTTCCCGTGTAGATATTCAGTAATTGGTTCTTTTGATATGTATGGCTTTTGTTTATTCGGTTGTTCATTTGTTTGGGCATGAGATGAAAAAGTAATTTTTTTTAGCCGCAAATGGTAGTCAACGCCCCAAAGACCAGCCCCATCCGTTGGGACGTCTCCGCATCTACACCACCTACAAAACCACGCGATTTGAAAATAGTAGTTCAACCCTAACTCTCCCCGCCTATATACGATCTTGTCGCGGAACAGTTGTCCGCTTGAGACAATTAATCTTCTATTGTGGGTTTTTCCATGGTGTTGGGAGAAATTTCAAAATTTCTATTGCTACGCTTGGATTATCTAATGGCAATAGCGGGTTCCTATTTCAGCCTGAAAATGGAGGAAAGGATGTCAGTTGGGACAACTTTTACATCAGGCGTGACAATTCGGACCAAGGGAAGTAAATATTCTACGCGCATATTGTATGCGAGAAAGTATACATGTCAAATTACGCTCGGACACGGAGTTCTAGGGCTCTCAGCTAGATCTTTGGCCCATGAGTCAAATAGGTCATTCATTGAGTCATACTACAAGTCTTACATAGATAGTTAATTTTCATCATTCATTCATGTACAAACAAAAGAGTATCATTTTAGAATAGGATCGGAAAGCATAACACTTACAACTTATCTGCAGCAACTGGTCTGCCAATGGTAGTGACATCGTCGTAAAGCAAAGTTGTAACAAAATCTGAGTACTTCTCAGCGGCAGCTTCTGGCTTGAAGTATTTCAATGCCTGCTTAAACTTGTTACCAGGCTTAGCAGCCTTTTGCAATTTAGAATATTCCTCATCCAACAATTTGGCAACGTATTGTTTAGTAATAGTGACACCAGTATCGGTCTTGCAACCATGGGTAACCCATTGCCAGATTTGAGTTCTAGAGACCTCTGCAGTTGCAGCATCCTCCATCAAGTAGTTAATTGGAACACAGCCAATGTCACGTAACCAAGCTTCAATGTATGACAAACCAATAATGATGTTTGCCCTGATACCTTGTTCAGTGATCTTGCCACCAGGAACATAAGGGCTTAATAAGTCCCTAGCGGTAACTGGAGTATATGGAACCTTTGGAGGAACATTGATTTGATTTGGACCCTTCATGTGCTCATTGAAAACTTTCAATACAACAGGCACTAATGCAGGGTGTGCTATCCAGCATGAATCGCATCCGAGTGATACTTCTCTCAACTTATCCTTTGCAACGTTTTCTAAAGCAGCCTTGTTTCTCTGCTCATCATTCTTGATTGGAATCTGGGCAGCCATACCACCTAAAGCATGGACTTGCCTTTTGTGACAAGTGTGGACAAGCAATTTGACATAAGAAGACATGAATGGAGCTGCCATAGTGACTTGGGATCTGTCTGGCAAAATAAATTCTGCGTGATTCCTCAATGACTTGATGTAAGAGAAGATGTAATCCCATCTACCACAGTTCAAACCACCAATGTGTTGTCTCAATTGGTAAATGATTTCATCCATTTGGAATGCAGCTGGTAAAGTCTCGATCAAAACAGATCCTCTAATAGTACCTCTCTGTAATCCAATATAGTCTTGGGAGTAGTTGAAAATATCGTTCCATAATTTAGCCTCAAGGTGGTGCTCCATCTTTGGAAGGTAAAAGTATGGTCCAAATCCTTGCTTGACAGTTTCTTTGGCATTGTTAAAGAAATAAATGGCAAAGTCAAAGATACCACCAGAAACCGGAACACCATCGACGAGGACATGTTTCTCATCCAAATGCCATCCTCTTGGTCTTACGATCAAGGTTGGGATATGTCTCTTAGGGTCAAGGTTTAATGCGTACTTCTTTCCATTGGTCTCAAAGGTCAAATTCCTTCTAACACCATCATATAAATTGGCTTGACCATCAGTTATATTGGCCCATGCAGGGGTCAATGAATCTTCAAAATCAGCCATATAAGTAGCAACCTGAGAGTTTAAGGCATTGATAACCATCTTTCTGTCGGTTGGTCCGGTAATTTCAACTCTTCTGTCTTCCAAACCCCTAGCCAATGGAGGACCGGTCCAAGTTGGATCTTCCCTTATATACTTGGTTTCTGGAAGGAAGTCAGGCAAGAATCCTTGATCTCTCAATTTTTGCTGATCCTTTCTAGCAGCCAATAACTTCTCTCTGGTAGGTTGGAAAGCACGATGCAAAGTTGCAACGAAAGCCAAAGCTTCAGCATTGTAAATGTGCTTAGCTTTCTCTGGAATTGGAGCTAAAATCTCAACGCCCTTCAATTTATCAGCAGTTTGTGGAAAAGGAGTAGCCATATTGTTTGATTTAACCAATTTATAACTATTTCAATAGGTTCTCAAAAAATAATTAAATTTATGACCACTAGCAATTTATAAAAGTGGGAGATGCTCCCTATTTATATGTGCACATATTACCCCAGATATTGTGAGCGAGTTCCAGCGGAAGTGAGAGAAAGCAATTACCGTAAAATTGGGAGTATTACACTACGAAAAACGGGAAAAGAACCATGTAGTCTCGAAGAGGGCCAATAGAGATATATACTGTAGCTATTGGTTCTTCTTAGACTCTAACCATCAAACTTTACTAACTTTCATGGTTCTACTTGATATGGTCGTGTTGTTCGATCCCGAGCTTTTGGTTACTTTATTCGGGCTTTCGGAACATGCCGAGTCAAGCATATCACGAGGTGCAAGAAAGCGCTCGTTTTGATATCCAATCTAGCGTCCACAAGAATGCAATTAGACAGAGGTTTGTCTAGCCATCTTAGAGCTACTTTGAGCAATATGTTAAGTCTGCACTCCAGAATGTGTCACCTAATTTGTCTCGAAAGTCTCCATTTACTAACAGATATCTTTGACTATTCAAAAACCAGAGTCTAATAGGTCACGAGATATAGCGGATATAACAGGACATAACAGGATATAGGATATACATGGACAGAGTCAAATCAAGAATCCGAAATGGACTTAAGAGCACTCCGGGAAAGACACGAAAGGAAGCAAGCTGATAACCAGCATAGACACAACCGACCTTTGATACTGAACATCCGACACAGCTTCTCCAGTTAACTCCGGATCGGACAGGTATTTGGTTAATTGATAATTAGATAGCACAGATTACATTGCGCAATCTAATCGTATACACACTACATGCCGAAAATGTTCCACTGATTTCTACACTTGAGTTACAAAGATAAGCGTTTCTTCATATAAGAATGTGAGCATAAAGCGTCTACCACAGAAAAAACTATAAATACTCTTCAAAGGACATGCCTCTTTACCATGATTGTCATGATATTTTGTATTAACGTTTACAAGAAACTATTTGACCCATTCTTGCTTAGTTTCTAATGGAGCTAAAAGTCCTTTTTGAGCAGGAATATAGTTGACTCTGTGGTAGGAATTTAAGTTCTTCCTCAAGACAATTTGATAACATGTAGCCGAACCCTGTCTAGAGACTATGGTAGATGAAGCTAAGAAAAATTCCCAAATTCTATACCATCTAATACCATACTTGTTGACAACTTTTTCCTTGTTAGAAAGCCAGTTTTTGTACCACCTGTACAAAGTACCAGAATAATGCACACCAATGTTGTCTAATGAGACAACTTCAAAACCTGTAGATTCCAAAGCAGTTACAACGAATGACAATGGGGTAGAAGCATCAGCACCAGGAAAAATGTATTTGTTCATGAATAATCCCCATACTAAGTCTTCATATTGCCAGCGCTTTCTTAAACCAGCATATTGTAAGAAAAACAAACCATCGTCTTCTAAGGTATCATAAACTTGTTGCAAGAATGTACCAAACCTTCTGACACCAACGTGCTCTGCCATTTCTAAACAAGTAATCTTGTCATATAAACCGTTGGGTTTCTTGGATGGAGGAGAATCACGGTAATCAACACATTCAATTCTCGATTGCTCTGAGCTTACACCGTACTTCTTAAACAAATCAGTTCCCCATTTAGTTTGATTCTTACCTAAAGTGACACCAGTAACCTTAGCACCATGCTTGTAAGAAGCAAAGGCAGCCCAAGTTCCCCATCCACAACCCAAGTCTAAAACATGCTCATCTTTTTTCAATTGAATCTTGTCTGCCAAAATGGTCAATTTGTTATCTTGCATTTCCTCTAAAGTTTCTTCTCTTTCAATATCACCGATTACTCCCGACGTGTAAATCATTCTTGGACCCAAAAACCAAGTGTAGAAGTCATCACCTCTGTCATAATGGTCTCTCACTTGCTCTTCATCTTGAGACTGGGAGTGCAAAATAACCTCAGGAATCATTCCAAATAAGAAAAACTTGAACAAGGAAAGGGTGAAGCGGAAAGTAGCCCAATCATGCTTATATTCCATAACATCTAAACAATCTCCCTTGAATGAAACTTTTCCATTGAAAAATAACTCTTGGAATGTCTCGAGAGGAATCTTCTTGCCCTTACCACCATTTGAATCGACATATTTGGCTTTCAATTCAGGAGTATGATATTCAAGATAGTATGAGATTGGACGGTTAGGGTACTTGACTTTTTCATTAAGTCTAGGAGAATAAGAGGACAAAATCGTCCAGTACGCCATCAAAATCGGGAGTGCAAAGATAACAGCAAAAAGGATCCACGTCTTGAGACCTCCACCGAGCTTCCTAGTAACGAATAAAGGAATTAGGATCAAAAACCCAACCAAGGCAAGGTTGCTAAATTGCTTGGATCCTGGTCCATCTGCTGGCAATGGAGCATTATGAATGGCAGGTGACGCGGTCGTCATGATACCACATTTATCAGTAGGTGGATCAATTGGCCCTTGTTTTGGAGTCTTGACGAATTCAGCAGAGTCCATGATACCTCTTTCAATTATGCTTCGAGTCGGTGACAGAAAAAAGAACCCTTAAGTTATAATTGAAAATTTTTCGTTAAAGAAAGAGGACAATTGAAAGTTGATTTAATTTTGGTAGCTGCTTTTTCAGATTGTCGACAATCGTCTGGGTAGTGCACGTGAACACAATCATCGCCAGGTGTTCTTAATAACAATTTTAAAGGCCAAGACATTCGAAACAAGCGTACAGCAATCTCCAGAGAAGTCAATTTATTTCTATCACCATTCGCTGTAAATAATGACTCATAAACATAGTTGAAACGACTTTTATGAGTTGTTTCATAGATTTATGAATTTTTCGCAACTAGAAGAGCTCTATATAAAGAGCAACAACGGTCCCTATCACACTTCTTGTGGTAGGTAAAAGTGATAGGACTTCTCTGATGCCTCCCTTACAACAAGGGAAGCTATAGCGTAGAAGGGGCTTCATTCACAGGAGTTGCGATTTCCAATCGTGATTAAATCTTGCAATTGTGTACTAATATTCGGACTTATCTTTCATATTCACTGTAACTTAATGTGTAACTTGAACAGTGTTGCTGAATCCCACTTTGATGCTTTGAAATAAAATATCCCTTCGAAGATCCATTATTATCTAGGGACCTATATGCTCTCTTTCGCAACTGCTCCATTCTGAGAGGTTTCTGTATGTATCATGTGACATTGTGTATTTATACTATTATAGCAACACTTTAATTCACTATCCGATAAATAATATATGGCAATTTTGCAACTATTTGAGAGGTGAGCAGTGTCGATAATTTGGCTCTGAGTTACCAAGGCATCATATCAGATAATAATTTACTCTATCAATCAAGCTAAATGTCGATTGAAGGAAAAAATGACTTGGTGTTTATAGACTCTGACTCGAACGATGGAGATCAGGAGTATCCATTATCAAAGAAACAAAGGACAGGGGAAGAAACAGGTCCAACAGTGAAATCATTTTTACCAAGCTCTTCTGATGAAGAGGAGGCTAATGTTGAACCTCAAGGCTCATCAAGCTCATCAAGCTTATCAAGCTCCTCTTCAAGTGATAGTTCTGAGAGTACTCTAAGTTCTGGGGAGAGGCAAGAGGTGATATCCAACATTTTTGGGATACCTCACGAGCTTATTTTAGAAACTAGAAGGTTCCTCAAAGAGAATGGATCTATTAAGTTTTTAGAGAAGTACCTTCCCACTACTGCGACGAGTGAAGATATTCTTAAATTAATTGTTCAGTTGGGATATATACCACGGGGTTTTCCCGATTCTGAAACCCCATTATTCGAACTTATAAAACTCTTGCATCAAGCTATGAAGAGCATCAAGTCATTACGCCCGAGGCTTCCCGATTTTTACACCGTTGAACATGTTTTAGACAAATTGGAAAGTGCAAATAAAATCTTGGTCATTACAGGTGCAGGCATATCTACAAGTTTAGGCATACCAGATTTCAGATCATCAAAAGGCTTTTATGCTCGAGTTCAGCATATGGGATTGACTGACCCACAGGAAGTTTTTGATCTTGACATGTTTCACAGTGACCCAAGTCTATTTTATTCAATAGCGTATTTGATTTTACCTCCAGAAAAGGTATTCACTCCTCTTCATTCATTCATCAAAAAATTGCAAGATAAAGGAAAACTACTTAGAAACTATACGCAGAACATTGATGACATCGAAAGCCATGTGGGCCTACACCGAGATAAAGTTATTCAGTGTCATGGGTCATTTGCGACAGCCTCGTGCGTTACTTGTGGTTTCCAAGTTAACGGGGAAAAGATTTTCCCTCAAATAAGATCAAAGGACATCCCTTACTGTTCCCGATGTTATAAGACGAGAACTAAGTTGATGAACAACGATGATGCCTATATCCCCGAAAGTTATGGTGTAATGAAGCCCGATATAACGTTCTTCGGTGAACCCCTTCCTAGAATCTTCCATCAATCTATTCGAGAAGATCTCCAAGACTGTGATTTGGTGTTAAGCATTGGTACCTCTTTGAAAGTTTCTCCAGTTGCAGATATCGTTGGAAAGATTGATGATCTTATTCCTCAAGTATTGATAAATAAGGATCCCATAAGTCATTGTAATTTTGATGTTAATCTTCTTGGATATTGTGATGATGTAGCATGCTACTTATGCCACGAGCTTGGGTCATCATGGAGACTTGAGCATGGGGATTTTGATGAGATCGTTGGAGATGATAATTTAAATGTAAACACAATTGATAGAGAACAAAGGCTATTCCAGATAATTAATAAAAAAAGAGTAGATCAGATTATAGCAGAGAACCTGTCAGAAGGCGGCAGCTCATTAGAGCTATCTCAAGGTAACAAAGAGGAGACGTCTTTGACGTAAAGAAGACACTATAGATGTAGCTTTAATAGAGTTTAATACAGAAACGGCATATTTTGAGATTAAAATAATTTTTTTTCTCCTGGCTCTTGCAAAATTCAAGTTCAATATACGACAGAAGTAAAACTTAAAGAAAACATGCTCAGCTTATCAGCTAGAATGTACTATGCAAGACAAGGAAGCATACGGATGCCTTCTGTCTTTAGTCAAATGAGACAAATTAAAAAGTGGAAAAGTAGTTATAAGAGCCCGAGGGATTATGATCCTCTTGATCTAGAGCACTTGAATATCAAGGTAGAAAAGACGCCCGAAAACAGGGAAGATACAAATAAGGCAGACGTTGATGCTCTTGGAGCCCTTGTAAATGAATCGTTGGAAGCTTCTGATAGTAAGAAAGGAATTGATGACCTTTTAGCATCGTTGAAGTTAGATGAGGATTTGGTGAATGAAGAATCAAATAACGAAAAATTGAGCAACATGACAAAAAAGCATTTCGCATCTAGCAATAAAGAGGTTTCTACATATAATAAGGAAGATACTGATAAAGGACGCTTTACTGATAAACCTTCTGATAAGAATATCGTTGAAGAAGAGAGACGACTATTTCAGAATATCTTCGAATCATATATGAAACCACTTGAGCAAGATAATAGTAAAAACCAGTTCTTCAAATTGAAAGATACGGTCAAGATTACAGATAGAGCTATTGAAAAGCTGGTAGATACAAATCAAAGAAATAAATATGATTTAGATTCTGTTTCAAGTGATTTGAAGAAGGACCTATTTAATAAGTCTAAAGCAGCATTGGGCCCATCGATTGACTATGTTGGAAAGATTGATTCTATTGATGAATTATTCGGTTTCTTGCGGAGAATTTTTAAGGATTGGAGGAAGGAAGAAGACAAACATGATATCCAATTACTCCTTGAAGAAAATAACAATAATCGTTTCACAAATGAAATTGCAGCAAGGTCTGAATCTCAGCCTGATCTGCCTATATTGAACGCCTTCACACTTCCAATTATTTTCAATAAGGTTTTGCATGATTTAAGCTTTAAGTTTAAGGACGGTCAAGCAGCATTAACGTTATTTAATTTACTAAAGAAAGATATTAATTTGTATACGATCGTCTGCAACCAACAAACATATAATGAGATACTAAGAACGCAGTGGATATATACAGGTAAGTCAAATCTTTATGCCATTGAAATGACTTATATAGAAATGCTCAATAATGGTTTCACTGGTGATAAAGTTACATTTAACATATTAAAAAGCATTATACTCGACTACTATAATTTAAAAATGGCAAACTCTAACTTAAATAAAGTGAGCAGGCTACCAATCTGGACTGGAGAAGATGACAAAAGAGTTCGTAACTTAGAGGGTAAGCTTGAAAATTTAGCCAGAAACCTCACAGCCACGAAGTGATTGTACTCTGTGAGATAAGTACTACCACTTAAATGGTCAGAACCACTCTTTAAGAGTTTTGTGTGTGTTCGGTATAATATTCACAATCCTGTATATAAAAATAGATAATAAACATTAATAAAGGCATAAAGCAGCTATAATTTTATCGATCTAGAAGATATCTTAAACAAGGAATGCCTAGTTATCCATCTTTTGAGGATTCAATTATAAAATCCAGTACTCAATCATTGAGTGGATCGGCCAATGTGTCCGCCACAAACTCTGGGTCGGACTCCCCAGGTGAATATTCTGAACTGAGGTCGCTAAACGTTCCACAGTCTTTAGATGTCAAAAGACAGTTGTCACAGTCGTTTCAAACAGGCAGCTCCCATGGTGGAAGTGCTGGCATTTCAAAGCCACATTCAAGAAAGAATTCATTAATGCCCATGAAATCTAATAGTGACGACGAAGATGACGACAAAGATGGACAAGGGAATGAACGTAAACGCAGAGATAATATTAACGATAAAATCCAGGAACTATTAACTTTAATACCTTCAGAATACTTTCAAGAAGTTCCATCAAACACACAAGTAGCTAACCCTAACGATAACGATGCAGCTATAGCTGCAGCGGTGAAGAACTCAGGTACAAAAGATGGAAAACCAAACAAGGGTCAAATATTGACAAAGTCAGTAGAATACTTACAATATCTTCAAAACATAATTGATGAAAACAATAGGAAAGAGGTAGAGTTGAGGATGAGGCTTAAGACGTCACAACTCAAGCTTCAAAATAAACAGGCAACACCAGACCAACTTAACATTGATCATACTAGTGCCGAAAAAGCACTTGGTAAAATTGGCGTGGGGCCATTGTCTGACGAATATTTCAAAGAAATACTTATCAGCAGCACAAATGGAAAGCAGAGAAGAGGGAGTTCAAGTGACTCTTAATCATAGTTTCGTTCATATATATGTGATGTCTAAATGCCCAATGTTTATAATTTTATCGAAAGAGAAGCGAATTAATGTATTGAGGAAGACAAGCTAGTCAATTTACATTCCTACCCAACCTTTCTCGCTCATCTGCTTTCTCTGAAAGCATATATGCGGGTAAATAATTATCTGTTCCTTCTATCCTTAAACAGGGGTTTCTCATTGTTGATTCCTTTCCTCCTAAGCTTGTGTAGCCCAAATCATACATCTCACAATAACCCAAGTCACAGCCAATCAAGAAGTCCCATACGTCAACATAATTCCAATGCAAAATTGGATGGATACGTAAAAACTTGGGCCAGTTATGATCAGTCATTTGCTCGTAATGTAATTGAGACCCATATGGATCAGAGTGTCGAATTCCAACTACTATAGCTTTGACTTTAGTATTTACTTTATTCAAATATGTCTCGAAGCCCTCTTTCAATGAAGACTTGATAATAATGGGATTGAGATGATAGTGCCTGGTAGATCTTTCGATAAAGTCAGCTAGTTGGGGAAAAGGGAGTTCAGAATTTATGTATATCGAGTCGAGTTTATAGTCAGCGGGTATCTCAGTAAGATCTTTTCTATTATTTGAGATCTTCTTGTGAATCGTGGCCAATAGTATTACTAACATGACCAAGCAGTCCTTTCCACCATTGTAAGACATGGCTATTTCTTCTAGGCTGTATATCGTTAGTGATTGATTTATTTAATGAAAACCTCGTAAAGCCAAAATACATACCCATGCAGATCTATGGAATGCTCCAATACTTCTATACTCTTAAGTACTTTATCTTTAACAGTCTTCCTAAGGCTTTTATTATACTGATATAATGGTTTCTTTTTAGGCAAAGGACTCCATGGAAGAGAATCGGATAAGAATCCTTGAACCAAATTGAAACACTCCTCACATCTAATCAAGAGTTTATGTCTCTCAAATTTCTCCTTCAGGCTCATATTGAAATTTTCTTAGTGAGTCTTGCAACTTTGGCTCTGTTTTATCCAATCCTATGAACTAATGTCAAATGAAAAATTAGTATACAGTCTATATAGATCTCAAACCAGTCGAATTTAAATAAGCACTATTTATATAAGAATTGAAGATAGAATTCCTTTGTATCCTTGTCCCAATACCACCAATACCCCGTAGACATTTCATTAGAATCATCTGGTTTGTCTATTTCACTATGGCTAGGGATTATAAAGCATATATTTTCGTATGGCTCCGCACTTAGCACCAAGTATTGTAATTTTTGGCCATCTATCTCTTCAGACTCATCAGAAGTTCTATCAAGGTATGATACAACAACATTTTGGTTCTTCGTAGAAAGCTCATAGTAAGACATAAACCTGAAGAATGGCTCTTCAGTAGTTATTTTGGGATACTTAACGTGAAATAAAAGGCCCATTTGTAGGGTTTGGGGATCGCGGATCTTTGTAACATTGTAAGAGGGCTTTCCAATCTTTCTCCAGCTTCTCTTGGGAGTATTATTGATACTGATGACATTCGCTGTCGGGACTAATTTCTTATTTAGTCTTTCATCGAGAATCCGACGCTTTTCTAAGTTCATCTGATGCTTTCTTCCTCCCAAATGAGATATGTATGAGCTCTCACTCACATGAGTGGTCAAACAAAGCTTACATTCTAAGAGTCCCAAATGGTTTCGAAATACGTAAGGGTCATTATCAAGATCTAAAACTTGCGTGGTGAGTAATTCTTTCAATCTTCTTTTAGTATGGACATTGGCTTCCTGAAAGTCTGCCACACTTCCGGCCCCCTTTTTTGAGTTTACTCTTTCTGAGTAATCCATAATATAACGTCAAGGTAAATATTGCAGTTTATTAGTTCAGTTTATATACATTTACTTGTAGCTAAGACATAACCTGGTGCGTTTCCCGATGAGGTGAGACACCACATTAAAATTGCATGTTAGAGCTGAAGCTATTTTTACATGTTAAACACGTCTCAATAAAAAAGTCAAAATTTCCTTTTAAGAACGCATTCGACTGATCAACAAGTTCTCAACGATTGGGAGTAACGTCGTATTTTTGAGTAGAATACAAGCCAGTTTTGAATATTCCACACTGTTATAAACTTAATTACAGCAGCTGGAAAGGAATAAAGTCTTTGCTGTTGAATAACAGCGAAGAGTTAGGGTTGAAAAGAACCATTGAATTAATAGACACACCCTCGAGTCCTATTAGATAAACTAAAACAAGATGGACTCACCATTTCACGACGGAGACACAACAACAATGTCAATACAGCGGCGATTAAATAACACTCATTTATGTCAGAAGTGGTTTTCGTCGTTGGAAGCAGCCTCCTATGGAGGTACCAAGGTCATTCTGTTGAATATTAGAACGAAATCCAATGCACTAGAAAACACAATCTTAGTTTTTCGACGTGTTCATGATTCATACTTTAATGTTACTCAATTACTTTCAACTCTTGTTAAATTGGGACATTTAAGTGAAGCTCAGTTAGAAAGTTTTCTTAAAAACGAAATTTTGACTAATACAGATTATCTCGAAGACAGTTCAACTTTCATCTTCGACGATTTTAGGAGACACAAATGTAAAAGTTTAAGGGGGGTTTGGATCCCGTATGATAGAGCGGTGTCCTTAGCTTTGAAATTTGATATCTATGATGTCACTAAAAAATTGTTTTTGGTAGACGTTCACAAATATGACCTGCTACCAAAAGTAAATAAGCACCCCTATAATGAAGATGATAATGGTGATGACTCAAATTTAATGGGGTCTCCTACTAAAAAGCAGAAGATGATACGAGATGATCACCAGGAGGAAACTACCGATAATGAGCTAATCAAAGATATCGCTCGTCGTAACCCTAATTTTCCTTTCACATTGCCAGCCTTAACAGGTGTTGATGATCAGGAATTAGTATCGGATATCAAGCAAAAATTCAGTGAAATTTTCAAAAAAGATGAGGAAGAACTGCTCTCATCTTCACAAATCAAAACGATATTTCAATCCGTATTAAATAATGATGATGCAAAATTAGATATTCCCTTAGATCAACAAGGACAGACCGCTTTACATTTTGCTGCAACTTTGGCTTCTTCTAACTTAGTCTCATCATTTATCCGTCTCGGACTAAACTCTCCTATCAGAGGTAATTTAAAAGGAGAGTCTCCATTGATATCTACCATCCTTGTGACAAATTCTATGGAGAAGGGGAATTTTGCTGATTTACTTAAAAATTGGTTGTGGCCCAATTTATGGTTATATTCTAATTCAAAATGGACTTTTCTTCATTATTTGGCGTCTCAGTCTTCAAAAAAATTTGAAAGCTCAAAGTTTTACCTAACAAAGATATTAGAGTACTTAGTTCTTGACGAAAGTCTGTTGAATGACTTTCTTAAAACAATCATTAACGCTCAAGATGAGACTGATGGCAATACGTGTTTGCATTTGGCCGCAGAAAACGAGTCGAAATGGTTTATAAAAATTCTTTTGACATTGAAGGCTGACACAACTATAGCCAACAAAGTTGGAGTGAGACCGACAGATTATGACATCGTTAAAGATGCAAAAGATCGTACTTCTGACTTTGAAGAAGAACATATTTTCGATCTTGTAAGAACGAGCATAGAATTCTTGGATGATAGAATTGAAGCGAATTGTAAATTCGAATCGGAGGATGGTTATAAATGGAAGGAAACTAAACCAGAAGTCATAAATTCGAACAAGATTTTACAAAGCATTCAAGATCTTCTCTCAAACACTAATGTTGAGTATGAATCAATCATTAATGCGAAGAAGCAACAAATTAATCAATTGAACAAATCCCTTCGTGATTCGACTATGACGACTGCAAATAATAGGTTTTTAGCAAGAAAAGTTGGAGAAAGATTAGTACATCTTGATAATTTGAAGCTACAGATCGCAAATATCACAGACAAGTTGCAATTATCTAGAAGAGAAGACGTTGCTCTTGATCAAGAGGTCGATGGTGAATTCAATGCCGATGAGCCATTCATCATACAGCCACTTTTCGACAAGTTGTCCAATGACGAAGACCCCAATAGCTTGAGGAACGATGAAGAATTTTTGAAGTCTTTGCCCTCAGTTGGCATCCTAAAGGCGAGAATTAAGTCTTACAAAGAATTAAATAATAGCATTGAAACTGAAATAAGTCATTTGATGGACTATAGTAAGTTAACCTCGAAGTTCAAAAAAGTCGTTGGTATTTGCACAGGTGTTGATATTAATGATGTCGATGAGCTATTAGATGGTCTTTTGGAAGCTGTTGAGGGGCAACTGTAACTAAAATCATATAAGTTCTCTTTCTGAAAATTACCAAGAGTTTCTACTATGCCTTACACTACATCAACATTTTAAACTAGATTATATGCCATTTGAGCTAAAAAGTAGCAGTATACACTAATGCAAGAAATTTATACCAAACCTTCGTAAGTACTAAGGGCGTTAGCTATGGTAGGATCGATCTTCAGAAGCTTTTTGAATTCCTCCAAATTAATAGTATCGCTCTCTTCATTCTTATCTAGCATTCGAAAGAATTTCTTCGTTCTTAGTTCTGGTGTCTTCTCATCATCAGGTAATTCAACCATCGATCCAATCATCTTATAAACAGCTGCAACTACTTGTAGCATATCATTGAATGTAATTTCCCCTTTTTTTCTAAAATCGTAGAGCTTGAAGCTCCAAGTAAGCTTTTGGTCATCAGATCCTCTACTTGTTATACTCAAAACTATAATGAATTCTTTAAAATCAATATACTTTGAATTATCGAGATCAAACACTCTGAATAAATAATGACAATAATCCGTTGGATCCCCAAAAGGGAAAAATTGTTTGAATACTTTAGCAAACTCCTCTTCTGATAACTGTCCTGACGGGCAATCCCTTAAAAATCCTTTGTACCATTGTTGCAATTCTCTTTTATCAAAGTATGTAGCCAGTTTTAGAGACTTCAAGTCGTCCTTAGAAAGCTTCGAAACCGCTTTCCCCATAATGAATAAGAAGTGTTATTACACACTAGATACAGATCCTCCTATTATGTTCAGTGTTCCCTAACACTTTACCCTTTACCTTCCCCAGTATTGTGTTTATGAATCTTGTATGTTATACGACACTTTGAAACCGATATATATTACACAAAAATATTAGAAACCAAATTAGCTATTAGAGTTCTTTATAGAATCTAAGAAAATGTCATTATATTGTCAGAAAATGTCAAGGAATAGAAACATAAGCATAGTATTCAAGAGGCTGCTTAACTATGGCAAGCCTCAAAATCCTTCTTGCATTGCTGAAGGACAAAAAATAGAGCCCATCAAAAGAAGTGGCGAATCGCTCGATGTTAAAAGAGCAAGACTTGTATATCAGTCCAGGAAGAGAGGAATCTTAGAGAGTGACTTATTATTATCTAGATTCGCTCAGAAATATTTAAAAACTTTTGAACATCATGAGCTCGACGAGTATGACAAGTTGTTGGACGAACCAGATTGGGATATATACTACTGGGCAACAAAGAATTATAGTATTACTCCACTTCCTGATAAGTGGAAAGACTCGAAGATATTAAAGCTTCTTCAGGAGAGTTCTGAGAACAAAGAAGGGAAAATTTTGAGGATGCCTGCTTTGGAAGAGTATGATCTTCCAAAGGCAGATGCAAATTGATTTTAGTGACAATAGTAGCGTAAATAACCAGCTTGACTCTGTAAATAAACGAACCCCCATAGGTATTTTTGGATTCCACTAGTGACTACCAGTAAGAAATTTAGTAGTTAGCTAATAGCTATTTTCTTGGGTTTTTACTTTTACCTTAATATTTCAATTAATGATTGTAAAGTATATCCTTACTTTTTATAGCTAGTATCAAAATGACATCGATTGAATTAAGTTCTATTCCTGAATCTTTGAAGCTGGATAAGTCTGTGACACCCTACATTACTAGGTCACTCGAATTGCAAGAACTCAATCCTGTGGTGAGTTATTATTGTAAGATATATGTACTTGAGCATATCCTTGCAAACAAGCTTCATACGAAATCAAAAGAAAATGAACAGTTTGCTGTCCTGCTACTTGACAATACAGAAAAGATACATAGCAATGAAGATGATGAAGGCTTGCACAAAGTTTTGAAGGACAAGAATTTGTCAACTGGCATTGTCATGTCATTTAGTTATAAATTGTTTAATTCTTGTTTAGAAGAGCTAGGGAATTTTAAGAGAACCAGAAAGCTAGAGTTGGTTCAGAAAATCAGAGCCACGATAAATTTCTTAAGCTTGCTAGGCATATTCGCCAATGAAGAAAGCGGAGTAGATTTTAAGAAATTAACTGGAGATAAAGCTGAAACTCCCAATCAATTTGATGATCTAAATAAGAACAAAATCAAAATATTGAAATTTCAGCTATCAAAGCTAATCAAAGACGAAATTCCAGAAAAGAATGACGACGAAGAGTTGGAGAAGGAGTTGAATCAAGAGTTGGAAAATCTTACACCATCTTCTAGTCCCGGGGAGGACTTAGAAGATGATTTGGAAGAGGACTCAAAAGAGCACTTGGACACACCAGAGGAAAAAGACCACCAAAGGAGAGAAGCCTCTTCCGAGGCTGGAGTAAAACTTCCACAGGCACCTCATTTTTTGCCTGAAGATGACGATGAAGAGGTCAAGTTACCGGGAGCCCCCAAGTTTTTGCCTGACGATGACCCTACCAAGATAAACAAGACCTCTTCTATACATGTCTTCACCCCAGAAACAGACCACGAATCAGAGCACCTCCCAAACGGGGCCCCAGAGCCTACACCTGCCCCAGAAAAGGGTAAGCGTGCCCTATCGCACGCACCAATGTCTCACTCTTCTGCTCCTCCTATAAACAAAGAAAACGTTAATTCAATGATGGAGAAAGGAGACCAGATAGCAAAGGTCCAGAAGCATGCCAAGTTCGCTATTTCAGCTCTAAACTATGAAGACTTGGAAACTGCTGAAACAGAACTTTTGCAAGGTTTAGAACTATTGAAACTCATCAAAGAAAACTGATAACACCATATAGGGCTCAACCCGTTGGATGCAAAATCTATGTTGATGTACTCCTATTCAGCTTGCCCCTATTACTAGCTTCCTCGCCATATACCTCATTGGTTTATCTGTACGTATGCCAGCTGCGTTAACCCGAAGCGATCGCAGTCGCCAATCGTAGACCTACTACGGCATAATAATAAGGATCCAAGAAATTTGATTCATATTGTAGTAGCCACTTAGCTAAGAGAGACTACGTCAATCGTATGCATCTCGCTTCGCATGCTAGCTATTCAGCTATAAGTAACCGTGTTTGGCAGAAGTCACCCGTTGAAACACGTATTGTACGAACTATATACACGTCCTCGCTATTGTTTTTAGGCTTTATAACACAATAACTGGCTGTTGTGACGCCGTAGATCACGATATCACACGCTGTCACATCGTGCACGCATCGTGGTATTTACATCTGATATTCTTGTCACTGGTCTTGAGACTATCACAAAACATTGAAATTATTCAAATCAACACATTTGTAATATTAATAAATAACAGCAAAAGGAAGCTGTACAAAGGGCGCCTCGGTCTTGAAGAATAAAAGGCTGAAAGAGCTAGCATAGATTTACACGCTGCACAGCGAAGAATGAATACAGTGAAGAAATTGGCCGGTGGTGGATCACCACGAAAAAAGAGAGTAGAGAGGGAACAGCCTGAGGGTATCATTGTAAATAATATTGAAGAGTTGTCACCTGAATTAGTACCGATAGTGACTTTATTGTCTTCGCAGAGCCACAGAAGGTACCATGAGGGGATTTTTATGTTGTATTATGATTTGAATGGAGATGGAAAGCCCGCAGATAGAGAGTGGAGAGAAGTGTATGGGATTTTAACGGGGAATCAGTTGGGATATTGGGATGCTGCAAATTTGGTAGCTTTCAAAGATAATCCTGAGGGATTGTTAGAGGCTTCTGCGAAACCCAAGTACATTAACTTCACTGATTCAGTTTATAATGCAATGAGAAGCTTACCCGCTGCGAAGCAAAACTTGGACAATGTTATAATAGTGTCGACTACTTTAAAGAACCGATATATTCTTCAGTTCAAATCGTATCATGATTTGATTTCATGGTATTCTGCCTTAAGATTATCTAACTACGAATACAACTCTTTACAAGGAGCCTATACTGGTGCGTTATTGTCTGCCCGGGGCTCTAGGTTAAGTGATATTAGGACAATTTTGGCTGAAAAAAGGTTTGAGCATGAGGATTGGGTGAGTATTAGGTATGGTTCAGGTATGGCATGGACTAGGTGTTTTGCTGTAATAGAACCTTCGACTTCGAAAAAGAAGAGCTTTCATCCTGGAAGGGTTTTATTTTATGAAAATGATCAGAAAAAGAAGAAGAATTTGATAGCTGTTGTGACAAATGCCACGAGTATAACTGCAATCTATCCACAGTCTCATCAGTTGATAGATCATTCAACAATGTTAAAACTAGATGCTTATGTCAATTTCAAGTCTCCTTCATTTTCAACAAAAATCTCTAAGAAGCATGCAGAAGATTTTAAAAATGCCTCTCTTTTTTTGATGCCAGAACAACACTCATCTGTTCCTGGATTTGATACCTTGATAAGGTTTTTGATTCCTCTTTTTGATGCATTTGGATTATACGGTCGTCCAAAAAGATTGAAAGCTGATAGGATCGATCCCGAATCTTTACTTTTTGGCTTACCGACCTTACCTAGGGTTCATTACTTGGATATAAATGATGTCATACCTATGACAAATAGTAGCTCGTTTATGTCTTGGGATGCAAAACAATGGACTACCAACCTAATGGGTATAATGAAATCAAAACTTGACAGAGGTTATGAGGGTTGTGGTAGTACTAGAGGTGTTGCAGGTGCAATTACTTCTTTAAGCAGTCCTTCAAGTACAACTTTTGAATCCTCAAAATCTTCAAAATCCTTAAAGTCTCAAAATATCAATAAATTTAGTGGTGAAACTGAATCTACGTATTCAATCCCACCATCCGATAGCATTAGCGAAGTGCAGCTGAAGTCGTTACCAAAGAGGAGGCCTGCACCGCTAGCGTCTACAAATAATACTTTAAAGATGCCCTCTGACAAGGAGGAGGCACATAAATCAGTTCAGTTGGCTGATATATATCAAAAGTACTCTACTTTAAGGAGTCCTTCCGATCAATTCCACAGCAATAGAAATAATTTGTTGAATGGATCTCACGAGAAGCTAATTGAAGATGAATTACCAGAAAATTTCCGTCAATTGGATTTGGGACCTGATGCTGGAATGTACCCAACAAATGATGATAATCTTTTTAGCGAAGATGAGGATGAAGATACAAATAGTGAGATAAGGTCTAGTAACTTAGTTCCTCCGGCTGAAAATGCGTATAGTAATAGAAACAGCAGCTACTCCTCAGTTCAATCGCCAATGACGCAATATCATGAATTTAACCAGCAGCTCAATAGCAGTCTAGACCGCGGTATTCGAAATGATGACCTTACTGGTGACTTTTCAAGTGACGGTCTGCTGTCGTCGTTACCACCACCGCCTCCACCTCACCAATCCTTCGATTATCGAGAGAAGAATAAAGAAACACAGATAGGTAAATCGCAACCATCTTTGAATTTATCAGAAAGCATCAACAGTGTTCCCCAAGGGAAAACAGGACTTCATGCTACTCAAAACTCTTTGGATGAACATTCGATACACTCAGAAATTGGTAAGCTAACTAGTGGTGGCTCGTCTCCATATTCTCATAAGTCAAGTGAATCATCGAAAAACCAGTATCAAAGCTATGATTACCCACCTTCACAATCGCAGTCGCAACTGCAACCTCAACAGTTGCAACAATTACAGCCTCAACAACTATATCAAGGACAACAACCGACGGTAGTCACTTCCTCCCGAGAACATCGTCATCTTCGCCAGGAACCTCAAAAGAAGTGGCCGCTTGAGTCACATGGGTTTAACCAAAATCCCCCTATGAATCCTTCATATGATCAAGTTCCAAAGCATATCTTGTCTCCTAATTCTAGCCAAAATCATCAAGCCGAGAAAGAACCGAGTTCACAAGGTGTTCCTCCAGTAATAGGGTATCAGCAACATGTGCCTCAGTATCAGAAAGTGACGATGAGACCGTACCCTCCTCCATCTGCGCAGCCGAACGCACCACGTAACCCCCAGGCTCCTCCTCAGCAACAAATTTATCCTCAGTCACTGCAGTTTGGTTATACTGCACAGGTTAAATCTTCTAAGCTGACGCCAAACCAGGATCCAAGGCATGGTAACCATGGAATGCAACCAAATTATCCCACGGCTGGTCCTGGACATATGCAAATGATGCCTAATGGGTCTATGCCTATGGTATCTTCCGGGCCCCATCCTCAATATGGACACCAAAGACCAGCTCAAAATTACAGTCCAGCTGGACCACAGCAACCCCCAGGTGATCATCCTTACAGAAACTTTCAGAGAGGCCCACCACCACCACAAAATACTATCAACATGAGAAGTTACGAGCAAACCCTGAATCCACATGTTTATTATCAAGCAGGTATTCCTCCAAGTATAAACCTTACTAAATCCTCTCCTCAGAGTCCTCAAGGTAGTACAAATAAACAGCAGGATTACAGAAATTATCAGAATGGAGATGTGAATCGGTATTAAGTTTATTCACAAGCTTACATATTGTATAAATACATATATTTATTTTTAATTCCTGATTGATGAGCTCTAGCCACCTCAAAGCATTTTCTTTAAACACATCTTTGGAACCACACCTTCTTCTTGAGCAATGTTCGAGAAATACTCGTTACTGTCTCTGAGGAGTCTGACTTTACACCAGTTGTCGGAATGGCTCTCGAGCATTAGAACTTTGTCTCCGACAGTTATATCTACTTCATCATTTAGCAACTTATGGTAAGATTTCACCACTAGATATACATTATCACGAGGGAGCTCTCTTGAATTTCCATGTGGCTCCTTGTTTGAGTAGATTGAGCGATCCAGAGATAGAGTAACGGCATTGATTAAGTTAGGCAACCCTGGAAGAGTTTTATTCTTTGTTTTATTCTTACTCATTGACTGAGTGGACTCGTTGTATCGTAGCGAGAGGAACTGAGGTTCAGTGACTTCAGTCATAGAAGGTTCTGCCACGTTCCTGTCACTTTTATAAATATTTTGTGGTTTCGCTATTGTTGAACTTCGATTCCTACCAAGGTTGAATTTTCTAAGAAAGACTGGAGATTTAATACCATTGTGAAATTCGTTGTCATTGTAATCATCGTCTTTAGGATAGATGACTCGACTCAACCTATCTTTGAAAAATACCCTTAATGACTGTCGCTTGATAGCATTGTTTGGTGCAAGTTGTCTTTTAGGCTCAGGAAAAGCCTTCTCCTGAGCAACATAATTAGTTGTTGATGATGTTAAGGTATTAGATCGTGTTGTCAAGGAATTAAATCGACTAACTCCTGCGTTATTCTTTTTCTCATTTGGAACGTATTTGAAAAATTCATCCTTATAAGATACTAATTTACTCTTTCTTTTACTGAAAGATTTCTTCTTAAAGTATATGAATGCAACCACTATTAGTATGAATAATGCTGCAATCGAGACTGGTATTCCAATGGCCAAGCCTTTCTTGACTGAATTTCCAGATTCATTTGTGCTTACCACACCATCTAGACCTCTAGCTCCTGCGGTACTAACTACTTTGCTCAGTGATGTCTTCGAAGCTGAATGTGTTTTGGTTGATACCGTACTAGTAGATGTAATATACAACGTTGTCTCACTATCTGTAGCATCAGAAAGATCAGAATCTTTTGAATTTGAACTAACTTTTGTCAGTGTTGATGTTTCTTTCGTTGTTAAGCTCTTTCCTGAAGTTGAAGTTGTGATAGTATAAGTAGACGTGATTGTCATTATAGCAGTCATATCGCTATCGGATGTTTCATCTCTTTTTCCTCGTCTCCCACTCATCGCTGTATCAATGAGATCATATTATAGGAATTCTTGCCTTCGTTGACGTGAAGCAACTATTATCAATATATATATATAAGAGATTCTAATTGAGTAGTTTTAGATATGTTTCGATAATAGTTAGTGATATGCGATTTTGCAACTATATTGTTTCAGAATCTGCAGCAATGTTGGAACACTGAAACAAAATCATATAACGATGACTGGCCCAGAAAGAATTGACAGTTAGATATCAATGGCGAAATGCATTAAGATGACATAGAAAAGATGACCTCATGATTTGCAAAGTTTCTGGAAGTTTTGACTTTATTTCTTAAAATAGCGAAAATGTTAAAAAGTGCATCACTTGCGAATATCAATATGAGAGTAATTATTGAAAATATGATGACAGAAAAACTTCTTATAGCACTAATCTTGGTAAATAATACATGTTTCTATTTAAGTGTAATTCATAACTGCTGTAGATTAAAAATTTGGAATCAATTTTGTCTCTTAAACTATGTAAAAGGACTACAGTATCCAAAGAGAAGGTCTAAGTTTAAAATGCCAAACCAGAATGCCATTTGGTAACGAGAGTTTGTATGGTCAAGTAGCACTTAAGGATGAGTATACTGAGGTAATATTGACTCTTCCTCATCATCGACGATCTTATCACAAGTAGTATCCCAAAGAGGATTGAAATACTTATGATACATGGCTATAGCACAACTGCTACCGATTATAGTTCCCAATGTGATGTCCACAAAGTGATGCCTATAATCTTGGACTCTTGATAATGCAATGTAGCTTGCCAATAAAAGAGGTAAAGCACAGAGGCAAGCTTTCAACACAGGTTGCTGCGATTTGAATGCTTTGAATTGACCAAAGAGCCAAAGAGTCAAAAACATAAGCAGACTAAAGCTAATTGAAGCATGTCCCGAAGGCGTCGATCTCATTCCATCTAGTAGGAGGGCTTTCCCCAATGGAGCTGTACATACTGACACGTCCACTAACTGGTCCAAAGGAGAATCGGAACGAGGTCCACATCTAGCCAAGAAATCTGGTCTTGGTCTCCCTATCCAGTTCTTTAGAGCGTCCGTTACAACTCCATCTATTGATAGCGAGAGTAGCAACCCCAATACTGATACTTGAAATAAGCTGACCTGCTTTGTTTGAAAGGCAAAAGATTTGTGTTTATAAGCAATAACTGAAAGAAAACAAGCTATGGGAACGAAGACTGCTATTAGGATACACTTCACCCCTGAAACACGCTCTTGATATGCGAATGGATGAGATATTGTTAAATCATTTAATGAAAACTGTCTATAAAACGGTCCTGCTCGCTCAGCTATTATGAAAAAATATAACAGCAAGACAATTGTTGTACACCAATCAAGTGTGAACCTTCTGAAGCTTGTGCTATTTAGGACCTTGAGCATTAGTGACAAAAACAAAGATGTTGAAACAAAAAAATAGTAAGCTATGTTCAGTGTTTTCTCGATAATCGAGAAAATGCATCAGATTTCTTCAAACCATCGAGGAAGTAAATAGTAGTACAGTTAAAATTAAACGAAATCCTTGCGAATTCATATAAGCAATCATATCATCATTAAGTTTAACAAGAGAGAATTGATTTCTATATAATATTCCCGATTTATCCTTTTTTGCTTGCAATTAAAGACCAAGAATATCGTATGTAACATAAAGTATTTTAAAGAGTGTTAAAACGTTCAAGTAGTCAACGTACTTGATGTAAGGGCGTCGTTTCGATTAAGCAACATTATATGATTTAGTCATTGAAAGGGTTAAAATTAGGTGTTATTTTGTTTGCCTTGAGACAAGGATTGGGGGTCTTCGAAGAGGTTGCCTTGTTGATAGATAATTTAAGATTCTCAACCGCCCTCTCTGGGTTATTGAAGCCATAAAAATTCCCTGTTATTTCTTCTGACACAAACCCCACTAAGTTCAATAAGTTAATCGTATGGAAGTAGTTAGGGGCGGCAGCATTTTCTAATTCGTCGATAGAGAAATTCAAAATTTGATCATTAGAAAGTTCGTATTCCTTCGGGAATGCATTGTCACATTGCATACTTCCAGTATTGAAAGGAATGACACTATAATAAGACTTAGGGTTATCATAGGGTAACACAGCACACAACCAAATTCTAGTTTTGTAAATCTTGAAGAGTTCTTTAATTAAGCCCCTAAAATCGATTCGTTTGAAGTTGGCGAAATAATAGAATATCAACTTTTTAAAATCGGATTGATACTCAACATTGATCAATCTCAAATCATTTTGCAAATTAAGTTCTTTAATTTTATTGAAACAAGTAGTGAATGCCTTTTTCTCTTCTAAAAACTTCCCACTTATTTTTTGAACTTCTTTTGGTGTAGCAAATCTCAACACTTGCTTAGTTGGTAAGGAAATTATAAACTCATTATCTTCGTTTGAGTGGTTATTAACAATCGAAGAAGCATTTAGTTGAGTTGAGTGCGTGCCCGACTTAGTATGATGTTCATCATTAATAGACAAGCTTTTGAGATGCTCTATTTTTTTAAGGAAATTAAACAAGATAGCGAAATTCAAATTCACCAAAGGTTCTAAAATCATCACCAAATCCTTCCCTCTATCTCCATCAACGATGACTAGATCATTTTTCTGTAAAAAAATATTAGAATTATCCGGGTACGATAACGAATCAAGTTTGCCATTTTTATTGACCACCAAACAAAGGATTTTGTGGTTGAACGTCAAATTATTGAGGTTTTTGATGAACTGAACTAACTTCACGATCACCGTATTACTCAATAATGAATTCAACTGATAGATGAATTTGTTCGAAAGTTCAGGATTTTGATAATAATTCATAGTTTTCAAATAAAGTTGTTTCAACTCAGGAGACGCAACAATATATTGATCCTTGAGAATGAGTCCATTTTCTAACTTAATGGCCTGACTGCCAGCTTCAGGGGCCCTAGAGGTAGAATTAGGGGCAGAATTTGATGGCGCTACCGCAGGAGGAGCCATTTGAGCAGGTGCTACAGCACTCCCCGGAACACCAGAGCTCGTAGATGGAGCATGCGGTGTTTTTATATTTCCTTTAGGACCATGAGCAAGCATTTCCGCCATAATTGGTTGCTGAGATTGCGATGGTGGTGGGGACATGTAATCAACCAATTGACTTGGCCTTCTTGCTTGAAAGTCATCGAATCCAGAGTTCAAATTAATATCTGCAAAGCCTTCATTTAAACCTTTCAAACCCAACGGCAGAAATTGTGGATTGTGATTCATACTATTCAAGACTGCCAAAGACGCCAAATTGTTAGGTTGTCCATATATATTCTGGTTAGCAAATCCTGATGACCTTGTGATAGATTCAGCAGCATAACTGGGCCGCCTAGAGGATATGTTGCCAACGCCTCCCTTCAATTCGCTGGGCAAATTGAAGGCGTCCTTTTGAGGCCCGAAATTTGGTGTAAATGGCGAATTATTAGCCATAACGCCATTAGGTCCGCCAAAATTAATATGTCCATCACCCAATGGAGATTCATCGATACCTTCCAACTTCTTTAAAAGCAGTGCATTAAACTCTCTGCTATTGACATCACCCAAGTGACCAAATCCACGAAGGTTGCCATCCGAGCTCTGCTCGTCGTTCTGTGAGCTGTCCTTTAAAAATTCTGGATAATTGAAATTCATCTATAATTCTATCTTTAAAGTTCTATTAGTCTATAATCTAATTGCCAAATAAAAACACCACTGTCCCAAAAAAAAACCTTTTTCTTCTCAAGTCTTCTCTTCAGTTCTACTATTATTGCAATAGTGGCTCCTATCAATAGTATTAGCTCTAATTTTTCTATCTTTTTTTCGACGTTTAAACTTTTGCTTGCGTTGACTTCCTCAACCGTGGATGAAAAAAAAAATATATATATATTAACGCAACTCTTCACCTAAACCAAAAATCCGTCGATTCTAATCGAACTCCAAATACTCTATCTAACTTTGATTGCCTTTTCTAATTGCTACCAATGTACTATGGGCTACTTGTCTGTTTATTCTCTTTTTTTTTCTTTCTCGTTTCAGCAGATTTCTGGTGAGTGTTTTATTATACAGTGCAAGATCATGACTTGAGGGGACACTAATTAGCGACTCCGGGGAAACAGAAAAAAAGAATTAATCCAAGGTTTACGAAGTGCGAGGAGTTAAACAAAGAGTCAGGAGACAATTCCTTTCAGTTCTAAGTTGTTTGAGTTGCTACACTTACCAGGGCCCGAAAACACAGTTGCCACAACGAATCTAACATTGCTGACATCCTGGTACGACGGTTGGACCATGGAGAGACATATTTTTAGACGACATGAGCTCATGCTTAGCCAAGAGGGATGGAATTAATAGTCATTACGAACCCTGGACCTTATAAATCCCCAATTTCCGTTTCTGAACCGGGGAGTCTGCGCTCAAATATCATCTATTGCAGTCTAGTCATACATGCCATGTACCAGGCTGTCCCCACCTCTCGATCTTATTGGATAGGTCAGATTCTCTGATTTGTTCAAAGCGAAATATGATGTAAAAATCTACACAAGGCATTACAAGCTGTTTCGAGTTTTTGCATATTACTATTTTAGAAACTGCAATTTGTGAACACTATATGCAGATATTGATATTGCAAGTTATCGGGTGGCTATCTCTTACAGAACAGAACAAGGCAGGGCAGGACTTGTGGTTCAGCTGAATTCAACAGAACAGTAGTATTCTTAGCTGATGCGCATGTTGAAGCCAGTAGATTATGGTACTCTATGGCAATGAGACTCATTGCAAGAGACGATGATATCGAGAGTTATGACTTAAAGCAAAACATAATGAACCGTAATCAAGACATGTTGTTATCTTTATCGCAAACGATACTCTTTACTAATAAAGATCACCAGTTCTCTGAAATATAGGCCATTTCTGCTTGTTAGAAGCTACAAATCCTGATATTGCATTTTTCATTTATTATTATCTTATTTAACACGAGCCCCCCACCTGTTCACGATGTGCCTCAATCACATCGCCATCTTCTAAATCTAGTTCATCTGGTGTCGAATCAGGGCCAACTCTAGTACCATCGATTAAAAATCTTAACGTATCCATGCTCTTGCCTTGTCTCTTGCAAAAAGCTTCCATCAATCTTCTCATGGGCGTTGATCTTTTGATCTTGAAAAATATCTCAGCTGAACCATCGGATACCTTCAAGTTTATATGAGTGTTATCAGGTTTCTCTTCCTTAGGTTGCTCACTATCAGACATCTTTATGTAATAATATGTTTTTACAATTAACTGTTTGTTTCTAAGTTGCCTTTGTTATTAATCATTATCAAAAGTTTTTATTCCTTTTGTCGTGGCAAAACTACAGATGTCGCAAAAAAATGCGACAAAGAACCAACTTCCTACATTTTAGCTACACGTTTTACATGTAACATGTTATACTCTCTTGCTAGTTATAGAGTAAACGATGTAGAAAAGTTACCGATACAAGTTGTACCTCTGGCTTAATGAATTGAATTCACTTGCATGATTTCAAATTGGTTACTGAAGTGCCGGTTTTGAAAGTTGAGGGTAGAATCAAACTGTTAATGTTTCAATGATGTTTCATCTTGGATAAATATAAAGGAAACCACATCCACTAGAAAAGCAAAGCCGCTTTCGTTCGTCATGGGCAGTGAGGTATCAGGCTACCGTAATGATCAAAAGTTACTATCTCAATGTACCAGAACAGTTATCACAAGTGTATCTTCACAGCTATTCGATAATAATAGTGTTGATAATTGTTAAAATATTTCTTTTCAAAAGAGCAATTCTTGAGAGTTTAAGCGAATTATCAGATCATGCTGAGGACATATGCCAGTCAGCTAATAATTTCTCCAGCTCTCTTAGTGACGCACCAAAGAAGTTGTCTGAATCACTTAATTCAGTGATAGTGAGTCAAATAAACAACTTGGTATTGACGTGGCTGAAAGTTATCATACTCTTAGGAAAAGTTATCAAAAATTTAATCATATTTTATATTGAAATATTCTTGGGTACTATGACGTGCCTAATCACTGCTGCTGTAACAGGTACTGTCAATTTTGCATTGGACAGCTCAGAGAGTGTGGTTAAGACTCTAAATTCCACAATTGTTGGACTCACAGATGACATACAAGATGGCTTGAAAGGTTTGACGTCGATAATCAATAGTTTGATTTCATCTTTCGAGAAAGTCAAAAGCTTTTTTACTGGTAATGCAAATGACTACGATCCTGACAAATATACCTCCAAGGTCAATTTATCTATTACTTCATTGCGGAAACTTTCAATTCCATCATCTGTATTAACAAATATCGAAAATTTTAAAAAGGAAGTACCCAATTTTACGGAGGTTGAAAACGAAGCGAAGGACCTTATCTTTAAACCTTTTGACCTTATAAGTAAAAAGATATCAAGCTCACAAAACTTTAAAAATATTACGACTAGCGAGTTACCAACTTTGAAAAGCTTTGACAGTGTAAACTTTTGCAATGAATCTAAAGAATTAACTGACTTGATTGAACACCTAAGCTCATTAATTTCGAAGGTTGCCACTATAATACTTGTTGTTTTGTGTGTTTTGCTACTACTCGATGTTATTGCTATTGGAGTTTTGGAATTCATAAAGAATCGCAAGTTCTCTAGAATGGCTGAAAGTTTTGAAACCTCTAACAATTTGAGGAATGCATTGGTCAATTCTCGAAAAAGTAACTTTATGTTTCTTTATCGATTGAATAGAATTTTTACCAAAGTTTCAGAGAGTAGGAAAATTAAAATCCTTTGGTTAATAAATTATTGTACAACCTCCTTTGCATTTAATGTTCTTTTAATAAGTTTAGCAGGGTTCTTTGCTGTTGCGTTGCAGTTCATTATCTTGCGGATATTAAAATCACTTAAAATTGATAAATATACTGATATTGTCAATAAAAGTTTGAGCAATGATACCGCTGCTTATGTTAAGAATTTAAACGTTTATTTTGCTGACGAGGAGTCTAAATTGAATAAAGAGCTATTTGGCTATATTAAAGACACTTCATCTTCAATTAATTCAACATTGAATACATTTATGTCGCATTTGAACGAAACTATTACTGTTTTATTTAATTCGACGCCATTTCAGAAACCTATTGAAACTGTAATATACTGCACGATTGGAAGAAAGGTGGCAACAATTGAAAAGGGATTGACTTGGATTAATAATAATGTTCAAATTAATATACCAACTATTTCCAAAGAGCTTCAAAAAGAAATCATAGATTCTCAAAATTTTGCCATCAATCTTAAGTTAGCTGATCTTATAAAACGAAGTTTAAACAAGATCATTAAATTTTATCAGAATGGGCTCTGGATTGAATTGTATATATGCTTTGGATTTTTTGGACTTTGGATCTTACAAGTTATCATAGGTTGTATTATATTATGTATAAAGGAATTTTACAACAAAGACATAGTGATCAGCGAGCCGATGCCACTAACGGAATTCGAAAAACAACAATATGGGTATCCTCTTACCGATCCTATCAATGATATGTCTGAAGCTGGTTCAAGTGTTTATTCACATTTATCAGTGAAAAATTTGTAAGACAGCTAGCTCACTTTTTTGAAGGCTTCTTCCAATAGTATTGTTTGTGTGTTTTTCTGCATGACCTCAATCCTCCATGACCCCTAATACTTTGAACTAATTCGACACGATCTATATCATCATCGTTCTCAGGCATGTAATAATATTCTTCGTCGAGCGGTTTCCCAGCAGCGTCTTTTCCCTCCCTGTAAATAGTTCCAATAGATTTAATATTATGCAAAACAACTCTTATTTGCTCTAACGTCAATTTAGATGTAACTGCACTGATACTATTCAAAAATGAAGCAGGTGTTGATGATAATCTTGAGAATGCTAGATGGTTGATCAAAATATTGTTGATCTCAGAAATATTGGAGATATCAACTATACAAGATTGATTTGGTTTTTGCCTTTTTGGATCTTTGCTTGCATCTACTTTCTTCTTCCTTTTCATGTTCGTCTTGTCATCTAATGGCTTAGGATCCCTAAGGATGGCATTTGAAGTTTCCCGTTCAGTCTTGGATATCTCTTTGTAGTTGCCTTGATCATTAGATGTATCATCTTGGTGAATTTTGAAAGTTTTAGGTGGTCTACTTGGGGTTAAATCATCAGCCATATCTTTAAGCAACTTGACGGGAGCTTTTGGAGTGTCATTGTGAATAACTCTCGTAGGAGTGGCTGTTTCTACTTCCACGACATCATCATCGTAGTCATCCTCCTCTTCTAAGGGATTCAACAAAATTAGTTTACCCCGTATTTCAATAACAACATTATGGAACCTAGGCAATGTAATCGACTCATCTTTGCTTACGCAAAACTCAGTCACTCCAGGAGCCAATTTGATAGTTTTGGAATCGATAGGTTTATGCTCCTTAAGTGGTTTATCACTCTCGTAAATAATATAGTTATTTTTAATACTTGTTGAGTAAATCAAGCATGTCCTAGGAATTTTTATTGCAAAACCGTTAAATCCAATACAGTGAATGATAATTTGCTCTGAACTATAGATGATTGACAAATGCACTCTAGATATGGTTTTATCTTTCTTCGATAGGCAATAATCACAAGACTTAGAGGATCTACCTATCAGAATGCAGCCGTTAGAATCATTGCTTAACGGGATCAGCATAATCTCCTTACGTGGCAACAAAATATCAAAATCTTTATTCTCCTTAGAATTGAAGTTTATCTTCAGGAGAGCCTTGCGACTCTTCTCCAAGGGAGCAGGTGAAGACTCTCTTCCAGTTGTCGACGAAGGATGCGGTGTAGGATAAACAACAACCTTCTCAACTAATTCATGCTTAACATCTCTGTCGAGCAAAGGTGAAGATGGTGGAAAGTTCATTTTGCAGTAATGTTTATCTCACTTAATCCCTATGACTTCAGATGTGCACAGCGTTGATTTATCAACCTCCTGTTTTACCACACTTCGTATCCCAAGCCCTAATGTTAAATTAGACTCTGGTGATTCTTATTCTACGTTTCTTAATTCAAATTATAGAAGTGACATTAACATTATGGCTTACTGCAACGTCTGACCGTCAGTTTGGCGTCTCTGGAAATCAAAACAAAGTGACCGCGTTTTGTACTATGTAAGTCAGCCGCGACAAAAGTATAGATGATCACGTGCTTAAACTTTGTTCAGTTTTTTATTAGGTTACTTGTCAAAGTTTGGTCATGTGAAAAAGAAAAGACTTTGAGAGCCGTCACGCTATCATGTGACATAATTTACTAACACAAAATGGTTTTCCTTTGTCTTCTCTCCTGCTGCTCGATGGAAATTTTTCATTGCCTATATCTCGTTCTGATCAAAGAAAAAAGTACTTACTAGTGGTATCAAGATAAATATAATCAACGATGGGAAGTAAGTAGCTTTTACCGTGATATTTGGATGATATAGGATAATAGATAGAAGCAAATTAATACGAAAACGAACATATGGAGTGTTGAAGAAAAAGAGTAAGACAAATGGATTGAAAAGAATAAATATACCTACAAAAGTTGAAATTCAAATATTAATCAGTGCTAACGTACTTAATATGAGTAGAAAATATGACTATACTTGAAAGAAGTATCGACTGTCTGTTTAGCAACGGATGAGTTTTGCCTGATTTTTTTTCCGTTCAGTGGAGGGGTCTTTACGAAATTGAAAGTTACAAGAAGTTTTGGGCTTAGTTTGAAAATAGCGATCTATTTTTCTATTTGTGGATAGTTCTATGGTTTTAGTTTGACTTTCTGTTCTCCTATGAATTATATGAAAAATATACTAACTCAATATTAGAGGGTACTCCAAGTTTAGGTAAACGTCATAACAAGTCCCACACCTTGTGTAACAGATGTGGTAAGCGTTCATTCCATGTCCAAAAGAAGACATGTGCATCTTGTGGTTATCCAGCAGCTAAGATGAGATCTTACAACTGGGGTCAAAAAGCTAAGAGAAGAAGAACTACCGGTTCCGGAAGAATGCAATACTTGAAGTACGTCAACAGAAGATTCAAGAATGGATTCCAATCTGGTGTCGCTAAACCACAAACCGCTTAAGAAAATAATGTATATTTTCCATATATATAATCTACATTAATATAAAAACTGCTTTTAGCTAACTAACTCCATTTCATCAAAGTTCGTTTCTTCATTCATGTTGAAATACAAATTATCTGCCTCCTCGTGGTTTACAAATTTGTTTAAGATCTCTCTAGATAACTCAATTATATCTGATTCATAAGGGAATTCCAAGCCGTTGGCAAGTTCACCTTCTATATTGGCCAAGCGCTCACAATTAGCGTCGTTACCATACAAGTGACTGAGTGCTCTGGCTCTTTGCTCCACAAATGGGTTATAGAATCCAATAGTTGTATTAATTTTCCTCGCTTCTGCCAATAGTTTGAAAGCCTCCAATGACAATGAGTCAGATCCAAAGGATATCCTCGATAGAACGACAAATATCTCATATATAGTTTCTGGATGAATCAAATTATTTACCGTTTTAACGTTTCTAACTATATGATTCAAAACTCTAATCAATTCAGATATTATTTGTATGCGCAAATGAATATGCTTCGCTCGAGGAGATTTCATGATATTATTCTGTTCAAAGCCAATGGTTCTTATCATTAATTTCATGTACTCCTTGGACTCAAATTGAGTAGTTGACTGCTTCATTATAATGTACGAAGAAAGTAATTGAATCACTTTAATACGAAGATTCAATAAGTGAAATTCATGTTTCGACGTTTCTTCAAAACTAAAACTCTTACTAGACGCTGGCGCAGGCTCGGGTATCAGGATCACTGGTTTATTGAGTAAATTCATATCCCTAGGTATTATGGAGTCAACTTTTGTCAAATCCTTGTTATTCCCAATCATTCTATTTAAACCGTAAAACATAAAATCTTCCCTTATAGGTAAATCAATTAATAAAATCTTTAATAATGAATTGAAAATCGTTTCGTCCTTGATCTGAGCTCCATTGAATGCAAAATTATCTTCAGTGATCGAAAATGTTAGCATTTCAACAATATTAGAAACGAGATTGATTTGAGCAGCATTTCTGAACCTTTCACTGTTCTCTGGTAGACACTTCAAAAGTAATGTAGCTATATCCTCACCCCAGGTCATACCATTAAAAGACGCCAAAGACATTAGCTTCTCAATAATATCCATGCAACTTAACAAAAAAAACTTCTCAAGTACCATAACTTGATTAGGGACGTCATGGTAATATGCGAAATCATCCTGATTCAGATTAGAATCTAGTAAAAAGAGAAATTGACTGGCAAAACTGCTGATTTTAGATAAAAGAAATTCGATTAATGACTTTGTGATGGCGGCTGGTCTAAAGCTAATCGAGAAATAAATCAAAGATGCCAAGAATGGAATGGATAAAACTAATTTTTTCGTGTGAAGAAGTTCAATCAAATCAACAAGGAGGCGACAGAAACTGTCTATTAAAGCATCTAATCTGTGATCCTTCTTCATCATTAAAAAATTCACGATGGCATTAGAGATTGGAGTTTGCTTCATAATTTCAAGATCATGCACCTTGATGTCCTGGTTAACACATATCTTACTTAAATAAGTCAATGTTGATCTCGGGGCGCCAATTATTGTGAAATGCCAGAGCTCATCAACGAATGATGTGGAATCATTAGGTAATTTAACGACCCTCTGTTGCTGATTGTCATTTTGCCCTGCTTGATTCACCTCTCCATCTCTGTTTACGCTTTCAGCCATATTACCTCCATCATCAATCTTCCTTCTCTTTACGGCTGCTCTGAATTTTAGCTCGTTTGTAAGAAACTTCTTTTCGTCTTCAAGAGCTTGCATCGCATGCCTTAGGCCGCCTACTTGTTCCTCCAGATTTCTTGCTAGGCTTCTATTTTCAATCCTCAAGTTCTCAACCTCTTCTTGTTTTTGCTTCTGTAATTGCTCCAATTGTGCTCTGAGTATTGCCACTTCACCATCAGACTTGTAAAGTCTGTTCCTGAGTTCTTTCTCCCCAACTGACACGTCTGTCATCTGTGTCGTTACAACAGTGTTACTCAGCCCCTTACTCAGTCCATTCACTAACCCAAGTAGTAACTCATCATCATCGTCATCGAAATCACAGTCAGAACTCATCTGAAAAGACAGATCGGACCTGAACAGTATCTTTACATATAATTCTGTCACTGTTGCCAGTATTTGATATTTATCTTTCTCGTAAAAACACGAAACCGGGGTATCACCGGTTTAATAACCGGAAGTCATCTCGCTGAAATTTTTTTACAGCTCGATCCTAAATGTTAATGGTGAAGGCATCGACAAGTATTATATAGCTTCGTTGTCGCTTAGAAACTTAATATCATCTCAAATAAGTCAGTCACTATGGCGGAAACAAACAAAAAGGAGGAAGTGAAAAAGAGTGAAGAGACAAGTGCTGTTCCTCCGGCATCATTGGTACCTGTTCAGCCCATAGCTTTGAGTTCCAAGGATAAGTCCACTAAGAGGTTAATAGTAGTTTTATCTCAGGCATGCTTAGAAACCCACAAAATGAATACAGGTGGCCCAGGTGGTGATAAGTATGCGTTGTTAAACTGTGACGATCATCAAGGTCTCTTGAGAAAAATGGGTAGAGATATTGCAGAAGCACGGCCAGATATAACCCATCAATGTCTTTTGACATTGTTAGATTCGCCAATTAATAAAGCAGGAAAATTACAAGTTTACATACAGACGGCAAGGGGTGTTCTTATAGAAGTGAATCCGAGTGTGAGAATTCCAAGGACGTTTAAAAGGTTTTCAGGACTTATGGTTCAGCTTTTGCATAAATTAAGCATTAGGTCAGTAAATTCAGAAGAAAAGTTACTTAAAGTTATTAAAAACCCTATAACAGACCATTTGCCGACGAAATGTAAGAAAATAACTTTATCATTTGATGCTAAGGTACAAAGAGTTCAAGATTATGTTCAAACTTTAGATGACGATGAAAGTATCTGCGTATTTGTGGGTGCAATGGCTCGCGGGAAAGATAATTTTGCCGATGAATTTGTGGATGAGAAGATAGGACTTTCAGAATATCCCTTATCTGCATCTGTAGCATGCTCCAAGTTTTGTCATGGTTGCGAAGATGTCTGGAGTATTTATTAAATACTCAACAAACACCCACCTGTGGGTAGAGCTTTTCATGTGCCTGATGAACATTTAATTATCTTTCTTTCACGGTCAACACACGGGACAAACTTTTAAAGATAAACAAAAAGCTATTGTCGTTGGGGATAAGTAAAGTGACGATAACGATAACCTGAAGTTCACACCTTGAGATTCCCGAATATCTCAAGCGATGAATTTTTTGCAGTTTTCAGAATGAACTTGGTGCTAATGGGATAAACTACAAAGTTTCTAGTATCATCTGATAGAAAGCAAATGAATGAGACAATACAATTTGTGACTTTTGATTCTTAGTTAGAATAGCTTTTTTTTTTCAGCGCAATATTCATATAATTACTTCATTTTAATGCATCGACCTTACATTACCATGGTTCATAGTCAACTTTCAGTAATGTGGATAATTGTATATAATAAAACAGAAAAAAATAATAAGATATATTAATTTACATAGGTAGTCTATATTTTATGACCGGCTATTATTGACCTTCCAATACCCCTTCTTTCCTTAATACTTTTTCGATCTCTTTAAATAATGTGTCAGTAGTTACTTGAGAGCCTCTTACTCTTGCACAAACAATTTCAGACTTCTGATTGAACCCTCTAGAATTAATTTTTATCCTGAACTTACAACTTTTCAAGTTGAACGCATTATGTTTTGATATAGCACCTGTTATGTTGTTACTGAGAGTATCATGCTTCAAATTTTTCAATCCGAAATTTGACCAACTGCTCAACAACGTGTACAAGGCAGTTGACATTTCCTGTCTTGGGAGAATAGTATTGTATCTTTTAATTTCGTCTTGCAAGTTGGTACTGGTATGTGAAGAAGAGAACCATCTAAAGAAAGATCCAGACTTCGACTCCTCATTCGAAGCTGCAGTAATGGAATCGGCAGGCGATGGTAATTGGCCCTGTTTTGAATCAAGTGTTTTCTTGGTACCCCAGGATAATTTTCTGAAAATTGATCTATTTCGTTTTTCATTTTCAACAGGATGGTCTGGTTTATTAGTGGAATCTTTCAATGCTGCCTTTTTACCATCATGTGAGGGTGGCGTTGGTGGAATCGTATCGTGAGACAGATTGGCTAAGGCCAGTGATGGCTTCCGTTGTGCCCTAGTCTTAGGATTTTGTAATTTTTTAGGATCTATAGAATCCGACTTCAAATCAGGAAGTAACATTGATTCCGCACTTGGTAGCATTGGTTTCATACCTCCTTTACTAGATCTGGCTTGCGAAGTTCTAGACGATTTGTTTTCATTTGGCAATTTAATATGGTCAAACAAGTCATCGTCAGGATCAGCTGTACCCTTCTTATCTTTGACATTTGACGATCTTCTTTTCTGATGAACTTCATCATTTTTAGTTACAAAAGTTTCATCATTTTCTTCAGTAGGTAACGAAGGTAATTGAGAAGCCGGCCTCTGACTTTGCCTTTTTCCTTTGGTGAGCATAGATGAGTACTTAGAGTTTCTGTTACTATCATAATAAGAAGTTCTCTTATTTGCTAAATGTTCATCAAAATCCATGATCGAACCTTCATCTAAAGGTTCATCCTCCTCCTCTTGTTCAACAGGGAGCCCTGCCCTGTCCAAACGATCAGCAAAACTTGTTCTCATGGTAGGCATGTTTGCTTTTCCCATAGCACCATCCCCGTAGTAACCACTCTCTCTTTTATCTTTAAGTATTGAGTTCAAATCGCCATATGATTCCTTCGTAGAATACATACTCAAAACAGACAACCTTTTGTTAGAATTAGTAAAGCATCTTGATTTTCTAGTGACATTCGGTATCTTAACATCCCCAATCAAAGTATGTGGTTCATCTCTCAGATCGCCTCTCGTCTCTTGACTCACGATGCGAGAGTTTCTCTTCGCATCTTTCAAGTCTTTAAGATTTAATTTAGAGTTCAATAACCTGGATTTTCTAATCTCGCTCATGTACTCCTCACTTAAATCAGACTTATCAACTTTAGGCGTAGGCAATTCATAATTCTCATGAGTATAAGAGCTGTCTCTGGATATCCTTTCACCGGAATCAGCTAACATTGATTCAACTTTTTTGTGAGATTTTGAATCCTTCAATGCTGCATTTATATCTTCACTGCTCTTGCCCTTATACCCCCTCATTTCTTCGTCTAATGCATCTTTCGCTCTATCTATCTCTTCATTTTCAAAAGCCACCCACAAAGGATCTAATTTTGAGACTGGCCTTCTCGTCAAAATTGGATTCCGTCTTCTTGAAGTTGGTTGAGTAACGGATCTTCTCTTAATATTTTCAACATCTTGAGCAGTTAAAATGTCATTTCTTGCATCAGGCGCTTCCGAAATAGATCTGAGAGCTGAGGCTCTCTTTGGCTGGTCAATTTCTGCCACTTCTATTTCACTCTCGCTATTGTTCGTGCCCGTTTTATCTTCTTTGATTAAAATAGATAATTTTCTAGAGCTCAATAAAGACCTCCTATTCTGCCTTTTCTTCTTCTTCTCTAATTCCTTTCTGGCTCTCACCTCAGCTTCATGCTTTTTTCTTTCAATTTCCATGAGCCTTTCATATTCTTTAGCTTGCTTTTCTTCTTCATCGATCAACATCTCATCTTCTACGTCATACTCCTCCTGATTGAAGATTTTATCACACAACGTTGCAAAGGTTGCAGATGTTCTTCTTGTTTGTTTATCCATATATTCCCAGTCTGATTCACCAGATAACTTTGCGTATGTCGATAATAGCTTCATAGTGATTGAATTCCTCTTCAAGCCAGTTGTCATAGATGCTCTTAAGGACTTTCTCCGTGATAATCTATTCTTAGAGACGCTATTAATGAGCGACGCCCTTTTGGATTTAGGAGGAGAAATCTTTGCAGATGCCATAAGATCTTGAGGAAGTGATTTCAATGCCAAGTTATCTTTCGAAGGTACGGCTGGAGATACAACATCTCCATTCCTTTGAGCTGAGACAATCTCATTATAAATATTCCTAGGCACCGCTTGATCATAGCCGTTCGTCGATATTCTTTTAGCTTTGTGTGGAGACCTCCTTGGAGACTTCCTCGGAGACCTCCTTGGAGACCTTCTAGGAGATTTGGATGGAGAAAAGGAATAATCTCTTGAAGGTGAATTATTAAAACTTGATGCAGCGGACAACCTGCTAGCAGCTGCTCTCGTGCCACCTTTGTATTGAAAGGATGTTCTCCGAGATGCTGATATCTGGCTGATCTTTCTTCTTCTAGGGGTATCTTTATTGCTTGTGGAGCCGCTTCTTGCTATACTTCTTCTGCCATTATTGAAACTCGAAGATCTGCCAGGATTGAGTGGATCGTCATGATTATGACGATACCTCATAAGCAAGGCATAGAAAGTCTTTTCGGGATTGGTTCCATTCTTTAGTAAACAATCAATTATATCCTCTTGTGGACGATCGTGCCATAAAATTGACAAGTTGGACAAAATCTGCTTGTCGATATTTTTCGTTGACCCCAACGATTTAGATGCTGTTTCCGGATGAGGCAATGACTTTATGCTAATTAAATCTTCGCTCGACACCAGATATTTCTTCATAAGAGGATGTTTGATTATCTTTTCGGTAGGGATTCTTTTTAAGGGATCCACTGTCAACATTTTGGAAATCAAATCCTTTGCATCGTAACTTAACTCTTCTGGCATTTCAAAACTTCCTGCCTGTACCTTTAAAAGTAAGTTTCTAATATTTTCATCATCAAACGGAAGTCTTCCTGTAAGAAGAGCGAACAAGATAACACCACAAGACCATACGTCTGATGCAGCACCATGGTATCTTAAACCACTCACGATTTCAGGTGCAGCATAATGCGGTGATCCACAAGACGTCTCAAGTAACTTCCCATGGCTCTCCAAAGCGGCCATACCAAAGTCTGCAAGCTTAACGTTCAAAGACGCGTCCAACAATAAATTTTCTGGCTTCAAGTCCCTATGGCAAATGCCCAAAGCATGGCAGTATGCTGTACCTAGTATAATTTGTCTAAAGTATTTAATTGCCTCGACCTCTTGTAAGGGACCCCTTTCTACCAAGAGGTCAAATAATTCCCCCCCTTCAACATATTCGAGTACTAAATAGAGTGCTTTTGATGTTTCCCAAACATCATATAAACGTAAAACATTCGGGTGTGTCAAGAGTTTCATTATAATTATTTCTCTTTCAATTCCATAGGGCAATCCTGCGTCATCTTTAGACTTCTTGTTTCCTTCCTCCTCGTATTGGAGTTCAGACTTGGATACCACCTTTACTGCAGCCTTTTGTCCATTCGATTCATGCGTTGCTAACAATACTCTACCCGTGGCACCCCTTCCCAAAGTCTTTCCAAGCTTCCATGGCCCTATCTTTTCTGGATGGTTGTTGCCTGCGCCTGACCCTGTCATAAACGATGATGTTATCGATGCCTCCCTTGAATGTGAAGTCATTTTAGTCTTCGATATCTCAAGAACAGTACACTTGCTTATCTACTTATTAGTCTAGATAATACTAACTTCTATCCTTGCTCTCAAGATTATATTCAATTCCTTTTTATGGACATCTAACAAGATTTTCAATTAGTTTTATCATATATACTTATGATACGCTTCTAATTTTTGTCGAAAAGTGCATCATGACGCTTTAGGCAAAAATTGATATACGCGAGAACGCGTTTTGAAGTGCACATTCGACTCCTTTTACCAATTGTTAGCTGAGATGAGTTGAGCACGGGACTCAGGGCGTCAGGAGACGACGAAATGCAACAATCCAGTTATGTACGGGTATGTTCTAAAAACAGGCTTTGACGGCAGACTTTCAATATAATAAAATGAGCAAGGCGCACACGGCGAGGCTCCGGTCAACCATTTCTCCAAAATGGGAGCAAAGACGTATAGACTAGTACATCTTGTGACTTGCAATGAAATGGATATGGAAATATCTTAATACTAGCCTTCTTCAACAGTGTGATCAATATTTTCAAAAGCCGTTATCTGTTTCTTCCCATAAGTGCAGCAGGCTCTGTTCCAGCTACGAATTTTTTTCAACATTTATTTTTATATTTATCTTCATCCTTTACCTTTATTTTTATATTAACATCTAAGACCAGCTTATGTACTCTATCTATTGGAACATTGCTCTTGTTGATGCTTATAATTCTATTCCAGTCAAAAGCTCCAACTGTTCCGAAATTTGATTTTCAACTTTTGCATTTCTTTTTTGGTTATCCTTGTCCTTCTTCAACTCCATTCTTAATGAACTGGCATCCAAGGTTTTCCTATCTTCCTTTCGAAAGGCACCTTTGCCTAAAAGCTGCGTTATCTCATCAAAATCTTGAACTTTTTCATTTATTTTAGCAATTTGAGCTTTTGTAGCCTTTGATTTCGATTTGGTTTTTGACTTTGATGGCTTCTTTATTTGCCCTTTATGCTTGGGTATCTTATTTGATACTTTATTATCTCTGAGCTTCATATTTGGTTAATGATGTTAATTAATACAGTAAAGCATTACAAAAATGAGCTCATCTCTCGAATTAAAAATTCTGCACATATTAAAATTTTATTATTAAATCTACCTTTGACAAAGATTACCATACTAGTGAAGACTATTAGAACGTAAATATAGAAATGGTTTCTACTCACAACCGTGATAAACCATGGGACACGCCAGATATCGACAAATGGGCCTTAGATGAATTCAAACCTGAAAATAATACTTCAGGAATGCCCTTTGCAGAAGAATCCTCATTCATGACATTGTTTCCTAAATATAGAGAACATTACTTACAATCAGTATGGAGTGATGTTACAAGAGCTTTACAAAAGCATTTTATTGACTGTGAATTGGACTTGGTAGAAGGTTCAATGACAGTGAAGACTACTAGAAAAACTTTTGATCCGGCAATGATTCTCAAGGCTAGGGACTTAATAAAATTATTGGCGAGATCGGTACCGTTTCCACAAGCCGTTACGATTCTTAGAGATGACATAGCGTGCGATGTTATCAAGATTGGAAACTCGGTTGCTAATAAGGACAGGTTTGTCAAAAGGAGACAAAGATTGGTGGGACCAAATGGAAATACACTTAAAGCTTTAGAATTATTGACGGGATGTTATATCCTTGTCCAGGGTAATACTGTGAGCTCTATGGGTCCTTTTAAAGGTTTAAAAGAAGTAAGAAGAGTGGTTGAAGATTGCATGAAAAATATACACCCCATTTATTATATCAAGGAATTAATGATAAAGAGGGAGTTGGCAAAGAACCCTGAGCTCAAAAATGAGGATTGGTCGAGATTCTTACCAATGTTCAAGAAAAGAAACGTTGCACGTAAAAAGAAGGCGGCCAATGCTAAAGAGAAGAAGGTTTATACTCCCTTCCCACCTCCTCAAGCTCCAAGAAAAGTCGACTTACAAATTGAAAGTGGTGAATATTTCTTGGGTAAGAGAGAGAAGCAACGCAAAGAGCTTCAGCAGAAGCGTGAGAACCAGGAGGAAGTATCCGAAATTAGAAGACAAGAAAGAGACAGAGCCTTTGAAGCACCATCAGAAGACATACATGAGAATAAGCTATTGGCTATAGATCTGAAAAAGGAGAAAAAGGAGAAAAAGGACAAGAAGGAAAAAAAAGAGAAAAAGGAAAAGAAAGATAAAAGAAAAAAGCATACACTTGATACTGATGATGAGGGTTCTGAAAAGAGGCAAAAGAAAGAATGATTTAGTCGTTTTGGTTACTTATATATATGCACTTCTACGACAATAAGTTTCAACATAATTAATATCTAAAATTGCGTGTCCACGATTTAATAAATGTCAATTTCTCTAGTACTCTTCTTGCCTTTGATTGTAATGTCGGTAATAGTCAAAGACTATGTCTCAGTGAATTTAATTTTGAGTTATATACAGGTATATATTATTATTTACTTTTTGTTTATGTTTCCAGATCCTTTTAGGATCCAATTCTGAAAATTGAGGTCTTCAATCAGGAAAGACTCAAGTTTGAATTTGTTTACGACTGGGTTGTATTCAGATTCAAGGTATTGATCTGCGAACTGAAATGGCAAAACTAGATCAAATTATCGGTTTTGTCAATACGTTGGACTCCAAAGCTAATTCTTTGATGAGCTGTATGGAAGAATCACAGAGACTTATGGATAATATGAACAACCTAAACGAACAGTTTATGGAAGATAGCATACAGTTTGAAGCTATGAGTGAAGTTTTGTTAAGTGGAAATCAATTTTTACGGAAATTTCATAGCTTGAATGAAAGGTCATTTTACCTAGAAGCTACAGTGCATATTACGGATAGAATGACTAATAGCATGTCTCTTGATAATTTACGTAAAGAATACGAATTTGTGAAGAGGAACTATTTGGAAAAGGGATCTGGGATCGTAGGATTGGATGAGGAAGACAGCTCTGATGGTAGTGATAGTGAAATTGAAGATTTTGACTCACACGAATGGTCGACTTCTCCAACACTAGGAAAGAAGGCATCGATTATGAGCTTGAAACTAAAGCCAATTCGCTGCTCCTCGACGAAAGTTTCTAAGAAGAAGTCTAGATACAGACTTTCTACAATATATAGTCTCAATCCTGTTGCAGGCGATGAAGTATTGAGTAATGACTCTATTGAGCACTTTGACCACAATAGGATTGGCAGCTTGATGGATAATCAAGCTGGTTACAACACGACTGACATTACGTCTCCAGATGTATCTTTAAAAGAGGTTTCATCTTCAACTTCATTACCGGAGTTAACTAACAGTTCACCGAAATTCAACAATGCTTCGAGTATAGAGTTTGATTACGCTGACATAGGAAGACAGAACTCAACTATTTATCGAAAAGATATAGATAGAGAATGCATTGATCTTGATGAATCGACATTCTCAGAAACATCTCAAAAATCATCAGAAAAAGAAAATGATGATTTTATCGACTTCGAAAAGTTCTTAAGAAGATCTAGAGTTGACTTGAATAAAGCATTCCCTATCATTCTGCGTTCAAAATCTCATGAGAGTATTTTTGACTATGAGGATGCCGTTAAGGGACCTTTTAAATTTCATAATCCAGTTCAAAGTATGCAATTGCACTCATCGAATATAGCCACTCCTACGGTCGAGCCTATATATTTCAATTATGCGAATAATTCACCTTCTCGTGATTCCTTTGCAGATAATCCAAGAAAGCTTCTCAATGAAGTCATTATGAAAAACCGACAAATAATTTCACACGATTCAAATGTCTCTCCGCTGATAAAAAAAGAAAGGCTGTCCTTTCAACTTTTAGAGCAGAGTCAGGTACCCTCAGGCAGACGACATAGTCTTGATTTGATTAGCCGCTCGTTGACTGACAACTTTAGAAGTTTAATGAACTCGCCTACATGTAAAGCATCTCCCCAAACCCCCGATAAAATTAAACTGCTAAAGAAGCGCTCGAAACATTATCCAATATCTATTCAAACTGACGAGCAATTGAAGAGACTACCCCTTAGGATACATGGAGCTCACTCATATTTAACCATTGGTCCAAATAAAACCAAGATTATTAAGCATGGTCTGTCGTCACTTTTAAGAAAGCCTTTGGCTAGTCAGGTGAAGAAAAGCTCACTACATGAAGCTCTAAGCCAGAGTTTAATTGATTAAAATTACTTATAATACAAAATTTCAGTTATCGAAGCCACTAGTCTCAAAGAGTTTTTTCTTCATTTCTTTAGCAGCATTTAAACTCTTTTCAATCTGCCTCTCTTTTGAGCTTATCAATCTTTTTTTAGCATTACTATTCTTCGATATATAAGTAATAGAAGCTTTAGAGCCAGATGCAACTCTGTACTGTTTTCTAATCGTCACACCAGAAAATTCACCTTTGAAGTTCAGTTCGTTGTTATCATTTGAAGTTCTAAATGACTTGATAATTGATGGTCTCTTAAACATTGGTAGAAGCTCGTCATCATCTGTATCTGGGTCATCTGGTACTCTTTTTCGTTTAGAATTTTCCTCAGAGCTTTTATGAAAACTCAAGTTATTAAATGACTTAGCTTTTAAGCTATTGAGATCCTCGAGATTTTCATCTGAGGAGTCATATCCATGCTGATGCTTTGATAATCTGTGCAAATTTTCGTATCCAAATTCGTCTTCTGGGTTAGACAAAAAGGATAACTTTTTATGAATAAATGATTCTTCGATACGAATGGTCTTTTTAATCGATGTTTCTTTTTCATGCTGCTCATTTTTGCTTTCATGAACGGTATCTGAGTCTTGCATTTTTCTGCTGTCCTCGAACTCACTATCGCCATCTTCGTCAATATTAATAGCCAAAGTGGAATCTTGAATAGATGCAAAAAAAGCTTTCGATTTCTCGTTTTTCGATAAGGACTTCAAATTTTGATTCGCAAGAAGCCTCTCTCGTTGTTCTTTTAGTTTCTGAGCTCTATACTTCATTAATAGCTCATCTTCTTCATCACTTAGTTCTATATCGAACCCATTCCCAGCTACTCGTTTCGCCAATCTATGATTTTTTATGTCATCTAACAATTTTTCAAGCTGCTTTTGATCAGATATTTGATATTGATCCATAAATTTTTTTCTAACCTCTTCGTCATTAAGATCAATATTATAATTGTCGTCGATCATCTTTTCATCGTCAGAATTTGCCTGTTCATCAGAAAAGTCACCGTCAGCTCCTCCTAAGCCTCTCCATTCATCTTCAGATTCTTCGGCCTCTCCTTCAACCATGTTTTTAACTCCTCTCCTTTCAAGCTCTTTCCTCTTTCGACGCTTGCGCAACTCCCTCTTTCTGAGTTTCGCCTCGTACATTTGTATTCTTCTGTTAATCTCCTCTTGGTCTTCTTCCTCTTTTTCTTCATTTTCACTCTTATTTGTTTCAGGTAGAACCGCATTCATTTGTATCAAAGCTTTGCTTCGTTGTACGGTATATGGTGTTACTTCATCAATATCTACTTGAGTTCTCTGGGAGCCATCAACTTGAGTGGATTGAAGGTCAAATTGAGAATCATTTTGGAATGACGGTAAAATCTTAGGGGGCTCATAGACGATTGTCAGATCGTCTTGTGTTTCTTGAGATTCTACAGCTGCTCTAGGATTAAGGTTCTTGAAGAGTTGAGTGTTTTGTGCCTCAAGTTCTAAATCAGAGCCTGCTTCTTTTACAATTTCAGTTGTGACAGGGTCAAGCTGCTTCACTTGACTACCTTGTTCAAATGCTTGGCTCATGGAAGCATTATCTCCAAACATAGACTTGATCTTTTGTGACGAGATTGTAGTTACAATCTCATGGTTTCCAAAACTGTCCACAAATTCTTCATCGTCAGCTCCAAACATATAGCTGTCATCGGAGCGCATCCTCTCATTATTTGAATATGAACTAGGTATAGTGCTCTCGGGTTTTTCTTTCTGTTTTTGCTTCCCTGTAATTTCGCCTCCTTCTCCTTCATCATCAGATAGTACAACCTTCCTATGCCTTCTCTTTTCAAAAATTATATCTCCATCTTCATCATTGTCATCTTCTCTATCATCATCTTCGTCATCTTGACCATTTTCTTCACCTTCATCATCATCAAATTCGAGGTCTGAAGAGGGTACCTCACTCGGTCCCTCAACTTCACTATCAGGAACCTCTTCTTCTGTTGCATTTTCGGCATTTTGTTTCAGAATCGTTTTCGATTTACCTAGTAATGCCAAAGCGGCCCTTTCTCTTAATTTTTCTTTTTTTCTAATGTTTTTCACTCTCTCAAATTCACGTTCCAAAATAGATCCCATTAATCCCTCCTCTTCTTCCATTTCTTCTATCAATTCCTTGTCGGGATTAGTTTGTTTATAGAGTTGTAACTGATTTATGTTTGCCTTTCTTAACTCAGTCAAAAAAGCCTTGTATTCTTTGGGCTTAGAACGAGTATTAAAGAGCAATTTCAAGCTTCTAGTCAAATGGTGCTTAGATTTATCTTCATACTTTTTTTTGGAGAATTTCTGTTTAATTGTTAACTTATCTTCTTTAGATAATTCTGGAATTCGCTGTAACTCGGATTCTTTAACTTCGAATGGCTCATCCTCGCCCGAATCCAAATGAATGTTGTTACTTGGAGAAGAGCCTAGTTTGGCCTTTAAGTTTTGTGCATACGTTTCTATTGGGTTGCTTACTTTTTTAGATTTTTCATATTGCTCAGATGGCGGCTTGTTAATTAAGTCTAAGACATTAATCTCCTCGCTTTCAGATACGTTTGTTTCTAGTAAAGGTGACGTTACTGGACTTGATTTCAAATCGACTTGTGAGCTCTGATCGTCATCAGATTTGTCGAATGCTGAGAGAAGTTTCTCTTTTGAAAATGTTACTTTTCTCTCGTAAGCCGGTTGTATAGTTCTTTCCCTCTTCTTAATACTCAAGAATTGTTCAATCTCCTGTAATTTTTTTGCTGATGTCACATCCTGTTGCTTTGAAGATACAACAGAGTCATTGACCAAGTCATCTTCTTCATCAGTTAACGAAGTCTTCGATATATCGGCTTCTAGCTGATTTTCCTCCTCTAGTCTCTGTTTTCTTTTGGTATCTATTAGCTTTTGAATTTTCTCTTCTCTGGTTAAGCCTGTCTCTTTCTCAGGAAGAGTACTAGAATTGACTTTTTGGGTATCCGCAATATTGTGAGGTTTTCCGATGAGATGATTTCTAGCAATAGACTGAGTATCCAGGAGGTATTTTGATGAAACCTGACTCTCGGGCCCCAAATCAGCATCTTCTAACGATAATTGAGGAAGTACTGTGACAGAATCTCTATTAGTTTCTGGAGGTCTGATCTCCTGTGTCTCCTCCCCATATATTCTCTGTTTGATTCTATCAAGCACATCAAGAGTGCCAAGTCTGCTGACGCGTTCTTCTGCTTCCGCTTTTTCTTCCTCTTCTTCTTCGTCACTATTAGCAGCGTCTATATCATCAACACTAAAGTCCAATCCGAGCACGTTACTGTCATTTTTGAAATGGTCCAATGCTTGATCATCAATATCATCCAATAACTCCATAATATTAGTGACCCGTTAAATGTCGTTGTGGAATATTAAGTCTTTAATTCCACTTACAACAAGTTATCCTGAATGATAATACTTTACAACTGTTATAGAATTGTCTAAGCAATCAATGTGTAAGACCAAAATCGTATTCTGCTGAATACTTCATGGCTCTAATCTATCCTTTCGTATGTGTTTACCAAAGAACGCGAAAGAGAAACACCAAAAGCGCGTTGCAAAAAATTAAGAAGTGTGTATAATCCGATTTAGTTTATACATACTCAATTAAATTCCTTAAGGAACTTGATACTTGTCTATGGGGATCAAGTTATTTACATCCTCTTTGCTTTGCTGTAATTGGGACCTTATTGCCTTAATTCCTTACATTCTTGATTAAGAACTAAAGTAGCCTCTGATGCCCTTGTCGTATCGTATCGTATCGTGTGTTTTGCCATATCTCACATATATCCAACGTGTTTATTTCTCTATCAGGTCGTGCCTCAGGCTACTACAATCGTCGTTCCGGTCGTATATAAAGAAAAAAAAATTTCGCATCCTAGCGTCTACAAAAACTGTGGCTTTTATCATTTTTAAAGCCAGCACATTAATATCATTTCCCAACTCTAGTATTTCTATGAATTCTATGAAAACATTCTCTTTGGTAAACTATGGCTTCTGATTAGCTGCTTTGTATTCTCTTCTAAGAAATTCGAAAAACTTATCCCTGTTCTTTGACGATCAATTGCCTGTATACAACCTCGGTAGTGAAAAAAAATTGTGCGAAGACACCTGGACAATGCTAACACATGATATTTATTAAATAAAATCAGCGAAATTGTATTTCATTTTTACAGCATAACAGCTAAGAAATCAACGGGTAAATTTAGAGAAGTAAAGAATTGCTTCTTAATAGACCTATAAACTTAATAGCCCTTGATAATTAAAAGCTTACTTTCTTCACGGCATAGTAAATTCTTACCAAACAATATAAAATGGGTGAAAAATTTTTATTTACTTCAGAATCTGTCGGTGAAGGTCACCCAGACAAGATCTGTGATCAAGTATCTGATGCTATCTTGGATGCATGTTTGAAAGAAGATCCATTGTCAAAGGTTGCCTGTGAAACAGCTGCTAAAACTGGTATGATTATGGTTTTCGGTGAAATCACTACAAAAGCTAACTTGGATTACCAAAAAATTATCAGAGACACCATCAAGCACATTGGTTACGATGACTCTGAAAAAGGTTTCGATTACAAGACATGTAACGTTTTAGTAGCTATCGAACAGCAGTCTCCTGATATCGCTCAAGGTTTACACTACGAGAAGGCCTTAGAAGAATTAGGTGCTGGTGACCAAGGTATCATGTTTGGCTACGCCACTGATGAAACCGAGGAGTTGTTACCTTTGACCGTTATTTTATCTCACAAGTTGAATGCTGAATTAGCTAATGCAAGAAGAAACGGAACATTGGGCTGGTTAAGACCAGACACTAAAACCCAAGTTACCGTTGAGTACGAGAAGGACGGTGGAGCTGTCAAGCCATTGAGAGTTGACACAGTTGTTATCTCAACTCAACATGCTGACGTGATTTCTACCGAAGACTTGAGAAATGAAATTAAGGAGCACGTTGTTAAAAAGGTTATTCCAGCTCACTTGTTAGATGAAAAGACTGTTTACCACATCCAGCCATCTGGAAAGTTTGTCATTGGTGGTCCTCAAGGTGATGCCGGTTTAACTGGTAGAAAGATCATTGTCGACACTTATGGAGGCTGGGGTGCACACGGAGGTGGTGCTTTCTCTGGTAAAGATTTTTCAAAAGTTGACAGATCTGCTGCTTATGCTGCAAGATGGGTTGCCAAATCTTTAGTCAATGCTGGCTTAGCTAGAAGAGCTTTGGTTCAATTCTCTTACGCTATCGGTGTTGCTGAACCTTTGTCAATCTTTGTGGAGACTTACGGTACTTCTAAATATAACTCTGAGGAATTAGTTGAAATCATCAGAAAGAATTTTGACTTGAGACCTGGTGTTATCGTGAAGGAATTGAATTTAGCAAGACCAATTTATTTCCAGACTGCTTCTTATGGTCATTTCACTAATCAAGAATATCCATGGGAACAGCCAAAGAAATTGAATTTTTAAATGACTAAAGGATTAATGTGATGACTCCATTGTAGATCAATGCTCAACTCATTGATCTTAAAAGAAGAAAAAGATACGAAAAGTAGGAAAAAAAAAAAATTAAATTTATCAGAATATTAAAACATGGTTTTAGTTCCTTTTTTATTCAATTTTATTGTTAATTTTGTTAAATTTTATTGATTGAATTTTAGTAGAGATGATAGAGTTTTATTGCATTAATTAGAGGTCCTCAACGGACATTTAATATTTTTTTTTTTTTAAAAATAAACATTTATTTATTTAGTAAGAAGCGTAGCTTAGATAGGAAGCTTGTTTTCTTCCTCTTTCTTGAGGTATCTACGATATACTAAGCCAGTAATTGATAATCCAATGACCATGCCAAAAGCTATATCAAAATAATGGTGCCTGTAATCTTGCGTCCTGCTCAAGGCAATATAGCTGGCAGTTAGCAAGGGTAAGCAAAGAAAGACTTTTTGATATGTATGGCTTGCATTGTAATTAGTAAATCCCCATAGCGACAAATAGCCCAATCCACTGAATGCAATTGAAGAGTGACCAGATGGAGTGGACTTCATCCCATCAATGAGATACACTTCGCCTAACGGAGCCGTACAGACACTGGAATCAACCAATGAATTAATTGGTGTGTCTGGCGACGGTGCACACCTAGCTATGAAATCTGGTCTTGGGTTACCGATCCAAATCTTCAAAACATCAGTTAACAGCCCCGTAATGGTGAGGGATAGCCATAAGCCCAACAAAGCTCCCTGGCGTTGATGCTTGGGTTCCACATTATAGAATATTATGACCGTAGGTACAATGCAAGCAATTAAGTATAGCACATTATCTGTGACTCTCTCCTGTTCAGCAAATGGATGAGATATGGACAAGTCATTTAAGACAAATAGCCTTTTGAATGGAGATGCTGTCTCACCAAAGAACCAGTAGAAGCAGAAAAGAATACCAACAGTAATCCAATCAGTATCAAATCGGCTTAAACGGTTCCTAGCAATGTAATTCATTGGTAGTGGTGTAAAAGACTCTTCTTATGAAGTGTACTTATCAAATTAATACACACACAGAAAGAAGCTTATCAACACAGCAACTAATAAAATCTGGCCGCCCCAATGATTTGAAGGATTTCTACATGAGCGAATTACAATTATATTATATATTAATTTGTTCACTATGATAATGCAAGTGCTATTTCACTTATTTATTTATTTATTTGCTTCCTTCAAGTCAGAATCATAAGAGTCTTCAACAGTGTATCTGTCCTTACCAACCTTGGTAGTATCAATTTCGTCGTGGTATATTTCACAAATTTCCTCTAAAGTCTTTCTCTTAGTTTCAGGAATCAACAAAGAAAGGAAGATACCAAGCAACATAAATAATGCAAAGATTTCCATAACATGGTTCAACCAACAATTTGGTTCTTCAGCAGAACAGTTATGGTTGATTAAAGTACCAATACATGTTTGAGCAATGATAGCGCCGACTTTACCAGCAGCGGCAGAGATACCATGAGCACTTGATCTATATCTAGTTGGGAAAACTTCACCTGGAACAATAAAAGTGGTGGTGTTTGGACCAAAATTCTGGAAGAATTGTGCCAAAACATACAATGCTAATAATCCGTGGTCGTTAAGTTTATGGTAACCGAAACCAATACCACAGAAGAGGATAGTCAAAATTATGAAACCACCAATTTGAATTGTTTTTCTACCGATAATATCGACAGTTGCGACTGTGAACCAATATCCTGGTAAAGAACCAGCACAAATTAAAATCAAATTACCAGCAGCTTGATTGTAGAGAGAATGGTAAACATTTGTTGATGAAGCGTAACCAATAGTCTTCAAAATAACAGCAGTATTTAAACCCAAACCGTAGAAGGCAACATCCAACATGAACCAACTACCAGCAGTACCAAGTAAAATTTTACCATATTTCCATTGTCCGAAATGTCTCCAGAAATCTTTGAAAGAAGCTTTAGGAGGTGCAATATTCTTGGCTTCGATGTCAATTGCAGCTTCAGCGTCAGCAACCTTTTGAATATCATCATTTTCGTCAATATCTAAAGAGTATCTTGGCGATTCTGCAATGGTCAATCTATAGTATAAAGCAACACAACCAGGAACACAACCAAATCCGATAATGATTCTCCACATTTGGTCACAAGCTTTGATACACAGACCAGTACATTCAGCAGCAGTGTTTGCTACAATCAATTCATCTTTATAACCGGCAACTAATACCATTGCAACGATACCTGCAAACAATTGACCGATACCTTGATTAGAGAAAACAGCACCCATGATGGCACCTCTCCATTTTGTAGTAGAGAACTCAGATGAAATAATAGAAGACAATGGATAATCACCTCCAATACCAATACCCATAACAATTCTCAAGGTAGTCAAGATTGCCACGAAGTTGACAGCTGGGGAATGTCCTAAACAACATTGAAGGATTGTAGCAGAGATCATGATAATCAATTCCAATCCATAAATTTTCTTTCTTCCGAAATGATCAGCCAGAATACCAAAAGAAACTTGTCCAATAACAGTACCAACTGAAGTTGAGACTTTAAGTAAAGTGTTAGTAGATGATGGCATCGTACCTTGCCAGAAAACATAAGACATCATGGTGATACCCAAGTTAATAGCAAAGATATCATAAGAATCAGTCAAGAAACCTACACCGGCAATCAAAATCATCTTGATTTGGGTCCATCCAAATCCAGCATTGTCAATTTCTTCCAAAGCCAATCTTCTTCTTTCCAAGGGGTCCTCTATGTGAGCAAATTGACCAAGATAGTCCTTGAAGGCAGTCTTACCACCATTCTGTTTAACCTCAATAGGGTGTGGATTGTGTTCGTCAATGCTAGTTGACATTATAGCTCTTCTATGTTGATGTTCTGCTACTATGTAAAATCTGTAAATCTATTATCGGATAACTTGTTCTTTTTATAATCTGCTAACTAACTCGTGGGAAAAAAAGAAGCGGCGTGCCACGGGGCCATCGCCGTGAGTATAATTTAGGCACTCGACTTTTAACGGGGTGCCGACTAGCACGCGCATGCATCGCAGATTAAGTGAGCCTAACTACTATCGAAAAAATATCTATTAACTTTCAGCCTGAACTCATCAAACTTCTTTTAAGTTGTCGATAGACTACTACGTCAATCGACATGTGTCAGATCTTACTTTGATGTATTTAGGACCCCTTCTGTAGTAAACTATTTCTTGGTGTCTTCTGACCATTTTTCTTGTCCAAGTCTTTCCATCCCCGTAGCGATGGCCCTTAGCGAGAGCTCGCGGGCGGGATATGGCTTGGCCAAGCCATAGGGTCGTGCGAGGGTCCCACGTGGGTGCAATTTGCAGCTCATTTTGTAACGGAAAATACACGTTTAATCACCACGTGGGATTAATTTAGAGCTTTATTAGGAAACAATGTGCGTGTCTAATTAAAGGCGGACGTTGAAATAATTTTTATTAGATCCATATCTGTTAATGCGTCTTGTTAGCTAATGTACTACTGCCGTCGAACATAGAATTAACATCGTGGTACAGCATAGCAGGATCCGTATCGCTATTCATTAGAAAATACGGGATTGTATGATCAATTTTGACTGGCGATATATGCTCGGTTCTGCATAATGTGCAGAGATCCTCTACAGACGAGAAATTTGGCTAATATCGCGTGCGCATTGTTCTAGCTGTCCCCCCGTTTTAGGTGTCGTTTTACTCGTGTGACCGGACGGTAGGTGCTTAGGATGTTCATTCTAAGTGGGAACAATGCTTCACTATTAACCTTCTTTTGCACTTGTAAATCTATAAGAAATATCTATAGCCATCTATTGTTACGTGATAATTGATCGGCACTCTTAGTCTTCAATTGACTTTATAATAAATCGACTCTTAAGAAGACTATTACTTATTTGCGTTGCAAGTGACTTTCTTATTATCATTTTCTGCATAAATTGCGAAATTGTAGAGTAAAGACGAACTAATTCCTAAAGTATAAGTAAATCTTGTGTCGAAGAAAACCCTCCATAGCTCTAGTGGATATGGGATAATATAGGTGCTATGTGATATAGTTGGATACAGAAACTAAAACTAAGAGAGATCAATAGATGCAAGAATCATTTGAAAGCTTTAGAAGTCGGGAAAAGCTTTGAGTTCTCCAGAATCTTTTTTTTGAACAAAAAACAAGTTAGGTAGAGTAGAAGTCAGACCTTTGATGAAATCTTCTACCATTGATGCTTTTTAGAACTGTAATTATTGTGTAAGTGATATCTTTTTGTTATTTTACGCATACCTTCATTTGAGACCAACAAATTCTGTGTATATCAGACGCGCGAATATACAATACTTTTAACACGGAATCGGCTTTAGATCTGAAAACAATACATCTAACATGCTAAGCTATAGAAAGATAAGAATTGCAGGTCTTTCGGTACTATTTGTTTTAATTGTTCTCATTCTATTTATAACAAACTTACCAGCAGCAGAAGATGCAGAGCCGGACTTATCATTAAAAGCACAAACTTTGTTGACATCTAATAACTTGGTTGATGTCTCTGATGATGGAAAGCTAGATGACGCTATTAATAATGAAATATCAAAATTGAACGATGAAGAGATCCCAAATGCAGAGGTCTTTGATCCTGCAAGAGAATTTAAACAAATCAGGGCATTGTCACCGATGACCATTTTTAGTAAAACTTATTGCCCATACTCCAAGAAAGTAAAAGCTCTTTTCAACGATAACTACCAAATAAACCCTCAACCAGCTATTGTGGAGTTGGATATGCATGAACACAGCAAGGAGTTACAAGACTACTTGGAAGAGGTAACAGGTAGAAAGACCGTACCAAATATTTTGGTAGGGGACTCTCTGGAAAGCAGGGGTGGATGTGATGACATGGTAAGTTTACATGCAGAGGGCCAGTTGATGGCGCTGTTGAACGAGTGGGGTGGAAAACTGCTCGTAGTAAAGAGAACAGAAACACCCTCTAATCTTTAGCCTTATGATTAACAATTACTGGACTCCTACACTATGTAGAATGGTTTTACGTACGGTAATATATATGTATTATTACTATAAAACACAGAAAGATTTTAAGTCAGTTTCCAATATATACTAAATTTCTTAAAATTTAGTGAATTGCTTACTCTTGGAGACCGAAACAGCAACTTTCAATACATTAAATCTAATGGTCTTGGAAATTGGTCTACATTGACCGACAACAACGGTGTCACCTTCTTGGACACGGAAAGCTGGAGAAACATGAGCAGCGAGGTTCTTGTGTCTCTTTTCGTATCTATTGTATTTTGGAACGTAATGCAAGTAGTCTCTTCTGATAATAACAGTTCTGTGCATTTTAGTGGACACAACGGTACCAGTCAAGATCTTACCTCTGATTGAAACGGTACCTGCGAATGGACACTTTTTGTCAATGTAAGTACCTTCGATGGCAGCCTTAGGTGTTTTGAAGCCTAAACCAACATCCTTATACCATCTCTTGGTCTTCTTGTTGGCCCTTGATTTTGGGTTGGTGAAAATGTGTGGTTGCTATAATACAATGTTAGTACAACTATCTTAAAGTACTCTAATGTTAGGGAAAACGAATTTGCAAAGCTGACGAAGAACCTTCCCTCTTTTTTTTTTTTTGGATTCTATCCCACTTCATTCCATCCATCACTTTCAAGGTGAATTATAATACTAAATCATCAGGCAGATTTATTTAGATTATCTCTCAGATCCATGCGATTATTCATAGTTATATCCATTTTTCACTATTCAACTTCAGAGGAAAAGTTCATCAACTGCTATTCAATATTATGTTCTCTTTACATCCAAAGATCCATACATACCTTTTGGAAAGCTCTTTCAGATTGAACAGTTAACTCAGTAGCCATTTTTACCTTTCTGTTACTCTATTGTCTCTTCAAAAAAACTATGATTAAGTACCACTTAGGCTTTGAAAATCTATAACGAGAAAGTGAAAAAAAAATCAGGAAAACACTCACAAAGGTAAAGGACGTGTGCGAACAGCAATGCATTGCACGTGATTATATTGTCGATGATGTAGAAGCCCTATCTTTTTAAAAATTTCGGCTAGCAATACGCAGTATCAATTTTTCAAATCACGAGATAAAAGCACCCTAATGAAATGCAGGAAAATCACATGATATATCTCTTGATCTTTTTCGTGAATAGCACCCTGATCTGTTTGTATACTTCAGATATATACAGTAAATAAACCGGACTACAGATAATTTCAGGATCATAATTTTGTGGGACGATAAAGCCTATTGCTTCTAAAGACTCTTTCAAAGGTGGAAGAAGGAACAGCGCTATTTTTGACCCATTGCATCAATTATAGCATCAAGATTCAATGAGTAATAAGCATGCGAAGTACAACCTTCCTAGGTTCCGAAGAATTTCTTCACATTCAGTGGATATTGATACTACTCGTACGGTCAGTTCTTCATCATCATCAATGATCAGTACTCCAAGCAATCATATTCGAAGATTTAGACAAAATCAAGATCAAATCCAGGGTGCTCAAGGTCAGAACCACATTAGAGTACCGCTGCAAAAACAACAGATTCATAGACAGCAAAGTCAACTGCTGCACTTTCCCGTCCTGGGACAAAATGAACAGCATCAGAGGCACCTTGGTCAGCACAAACCCATAAAAGGTAGCAGTCTAGTCCGAACAAAGCTTCTTAATTTACAGGGAACGAGGAAAAGAATAGTTTCAGATGAGCATCCGAATAGTTCGGTACAAGGATTCATATTGCATAAACCCTTGAATATGAATCTATACGACTACTCTGTCTTTACTCACTACGCCGATGGCACAGACTTACAGCATGGAGATAATCTTCCTCCAGCGGTCAAAGAGGCTCAAATTAGAGCATGGGAGTCTGCCGAGAAGGTCAGCTACAATTTAATATTTGATGAGCTGTCAGACTCTTCGGATGATGAAGAAATAATCGGCGATATTCCGGGATACACAAGAGGCGAAGTCTCAATAATTCTCAAGAAGTTTGGAGAGAAGCAAGTGCTAGATGAAGAGGAAGAAAAGAAGCTACTTTGGGAGTACAGACAGAAACATCAAGCTAATCAGGAGAAAACATTTTCTCAATATCTGTCCTTGGCAGGCAAGAGGAAGATCCAGATATCACAGAAGAAGGACCTACTTCACAGGATTTTTGGATACAGTAACAATATTAATCAAGAATATATGACTAATAATTCTTCTTATTCCACATTGGACAATGTGTCAAGTACCCAAAAGGCATTTCACGAAGACAAGGATGAAATAAACCTGTTATTGGCAGAAGATAAAGCATACAAGCAATCCATACTAGAAGTCAAAAGTAATGTGTTTGACATAAAACTTGATGAGTCGCTGGACGATTTTGATTATGACAAGTTTCAGTCTATTACGACAAACCAGTTGGATAAAATCTATGATGACTTCTTGTGTGGCGAGGAAGCAGACACAAATGTCGATATTCAATCGTTCGCAGTGTCATTTTTAAGAAAAAAAGTTAAAGAAGAAGCCGAAGATTAGTGACTTAGTCAACACTAAATGTCAGATTAGCTTAAATAACTACATTATAATCTTCACTTTTGTAGTTATGTCTAGTTATTGAGATATTCTCTCTCGAGTATTTGTAAGCCGGTCACAGTATTCATACTGTGGTTCGAATACCGAGTGCTGAATAATCGCGATTTCACATCATAATACCGGACTATCGAAAAACTTCGTACATAAAAGCAATCTACATAGATATGTTTAATCACTCTGGAAGAGAAGTGATTAAACAAAGTACTGTACGGTTAACATCAATTAATAGACATTTATCTAGTTCAATGGCTCCAATTAGTTCAAAGTATGATTATTTGGTTATAGGAGGGGGCTCAGGAGGAGTTGCATCTGCTAGAAGAGCTTCAAGTTATGGTGCTAAAGTACTTCTTGTAGAAGCAAATTTCAATAAATTGGGAGGAACATGTGTAAATGTTGGGTGTGTTCCAAAGAAAGTGATGTGGCATGCTGCTGACTTAGCAGATAAAAGACATCACTTGAAGTCGTACGGTTTGTCAGATACCGAAGACAAGGTTAAATTTGGAGACTTTAATTGGAATCTTATTAAACAAAAGAGAGACGCTTATGTTCATAGGTTAAATGGAATCTATGCTAGGAATTTACAGAAAGAGAAAGTTGATTATTTATTTGGTTTTGCCAAGTTCATCAATTCTGATGGGGATGTTGAAGTTACGTTAACCGGTGAACAAGAGATTCCATTCTTAGACAAAGGTAAGACGTATCAAAAAGACGAGAAAGTGGTTTTCTCGGCGGATAAGATCTTGGTTGCCACCGGTGGCTACGCTATTATTCCGCCATCGATCGAAGGAAGTGAATTGGGAATCACTTCTGATGGATTTTTTGACTTAGAGCAGCAGCCTCAGAAAGTAGCAGTGGTAGGAGCTGGTTATATTGGTGTTGAGTTGTCAGGAATGTTCCAAAGCTTTGGGTCAGAGACCAATTTAATTATTAGAGGTGAGACTGTCTTGAGATCTTTCGATGAAGCCATCCAAGATTCTGTCACCAACTACTACTCTGATAAATTAGGAGTGAAGATTCACAAGCTCTCTCAAGTAGAGAAAGTAGAGGGATCAAAAGAAGGAAAAAAGAAAGTACACTTAACAAATGGGGAGGTTCTCGAAGTTGACACGTTGTTGTGGACCATTGGTAGAAAATCGCTACTTGACTTTGGTTTAAAACATGTCGGGCTTGAGCTCAACGAAAAACATCAAATAGTAGTTGATGAATATCAGCAGACCTCAAATCCTAAGATTTTTTCATTGGGTGATGTTGTTGGCAAGGTTGAATTGACTCCAGTTGCAATTGCAGCAGGTCGTAGACTTTCCAATAGACTTTTCTCAGGAAAGAAAGAATTTGCCAATGATAAATTGGACTATAACAACATCCCCTCTGTTATATTCTCACACCCTGAAGCAGGTACAATCGGTTTGACGACTCAGGAAGCTAAAAAGAAGTATGGCGAAGAAAACATCAAAATTTACCAATCAAAATTCAACTCTATGTACTATGCTATGATGGATTCTGATGACTTTAAATCTCCCACATTATACAAGATAATTGTTGCAGGACCGGAGGAGAAAGTTGTTGGGCTTCATATCATCGGTGACTCTAGTGCTGAAATATTGCAAGGATTTGGAGTTGCCATCAAAATGGGTGCTACAAAAAAGGACTTCGATAATTGTGTTGCAATTCATCCTACTTCTGCTGAAGAATTAGTCACAATGACCTGAGTGTATTTATCTTTTAGCTTAGAGATACATATTTAAATAAAATGTTATAATTATATGACCAGTAAAGTGTTCTCTTAATATTTTGTTCTCTTTGGTGGTGGACCCCTTACTGGAGGTTTAGGCTTGTCGCCAGGTTTCATAAAAAACATCGGAGCATTCTTTAAAATATCTGGCACCGTAATAAATCGTATCATAGATCCTCTTACAAATACCTGATTCATATAGGATGTGGCTCCTGTTCTGCCTTTTGTTATCACGACATCATACAAAGACAAGTTCATATTATCTTCGTTCTCAAGCAATTTTCCTCGATAAACATCTCCAGTAGTCAACTCTATGGATATAACATGACCCTGTGCCTCATTTAAGAGCCTAACAGGAATACCGGCCGACATATTCTTCTAATTTATATTTTTCAAGAAAGAGTCGATAATGTTATTAAAAATTCAAGATGAGATATGAGACTCAAAATAGAAAATTAATAAACTTATATAAGATATAAGATACAATACATAATAAAATTAAAGTTAGTAACAAGAGGAAGTCTCTTAAACGAAGAGATATATACATACTATTGCTGGAACAGTTATTATCAGGCTTTGATGTAATATCTCGTAATGGCATCTAAGAGGAAAAGAGTTCCTATATCGTGTCTAAATTGCAAGAAGAGGAAGGTAAAGTGTGATAAACAAAAACCGGCTTGTGGAGGATGTGTTAAAAATGGAGTTCCTAATCTATGTGAGTATATCGAGCCTCAATGGGCTAGCAGTGCACCTCGACCGGCAGTGTGCTCCTTGGATCAGAAAAATTTGGCATTACAACAAGAGAAAGTAGTAATGTCACAGCGTTTAGAGATTGAAGATTTAAAGAGAAAACTTTCTGTGCTCGAACAGCTTAGTGCTAAGCATTCCAATGAGATAACCGTGTTAAAAAAATTGAACGTGAATAGTGAAGATGATAAGGCACTTGAAGTTGATAAAGATTACACTACAAGCTTGCAAGACATAGGAAGCAAAGATATATACACCTGGAGGTGTCTTGTAAAGCTAGACCCACACCTCACTGCATTGTGGTACAAGATAACGAGATTGCAGAAAGCTTATCATCTGTATAAGATGGATTCATTGAGGAAATTACAGAAACGTCGAATCACAGAGATAGACTTCACTTATTCAGTGAATCTGTCTGACGGAGACACCGAAATACCCAATAATATGACCAATAGGAAATTCCAATGTCCTGTCATAGAGTGCAATCTCTTCGAAACCCCCACCCTGCAAGCTCCAAATAAAATTTCGCCCAAAAGTGAAGGTGATCCTAAATTATTATGGGAATCCACTTTAAAATTAGTAAGGGGAAAGGACAAGTTAAATAACGACGAGCTCAGATTTTTGATAGAAGTTTTTTTTGAACACCTGCCAAACAGAAGGTTGCTAAGCCTTTTTAAGGAAAAGATTTTTCGATGTTTAGCAAACCAAAAAGATCGTTTGATTTTGTGTGTAAGTGCCTTAATAGTGGAGGAAACGCTCCAGTATCTACGAACAGTATCTAATGGAGCACCTGGTAAAGAAACATGCTTAAGATTCAAGAATTTGTTTCCATCTGAAGTAGCTCATCTTGGCAGCGACATTAGTTCTCAGAATGACATCTTAGGTCTTGTTCTAGACGTGTTAACAGCATCAGAGGAAAAGAACCTGTCTGTTCTAAAGCTAACATGTCACGTATATCTTATAAAAAGATTCTTTTCAAATCACCGTCTTGACGATAGAATGAGTACAATTATTGAAATGATCATGAAATCGCTTATTCGACAAGATCAGTATTTCGAAATTTGGAAGGACCCACAACAAATTATGTTCAATAAGTATGCATATGGCAATGATGATAAGGAACTTCAATTGCATATGTGTAATTTATGGGGACACATTGTGAAAATTGTTAATGAGATTGGAATAAAATTAGCTCCTTGTGCATACGATGAGGGAAATGTAAGGTTTCGAGAGCTCGATAGAGTAATCAAACACTCAGAATTAGAAGGAAGGCATTTGAAATACTTGGTTAAAGTTCTGTCAAATGACAAAGATTTAGTTGAAATGTTTCATGTACAATTCTTAATTGCCAAGGTTAGACGAACCCTAAAAAAAGGAGTTGGACTCGGTATTTTAGCACAACTGAATCTAGTAAAATTATCCAGTCAATGTGATAACTATTTAACAAATAAGCAGCTCACTACTAGCATGGAATCACATTTAATTCTCGGGTACCTAAAACTTCATATGCAATACATTATTTTATTACAGAAAGAGGATGATGGCGATGCTCGAAGTTTCGTCACATCTGTCATACTAGACTGTTGCAAGTTTTTGGATTCATTTTCGGTATTAGATTCAAATACACAGAACATATCACATATCTGCTATATGTGCGAGGAAATATTAACCAGAGTGATCCAATTTGTTATGGGACTTCTAGCAAGGATTGACGAAAGGGCAGATCTTGTTCGGGTTTGTGAGATGTTACACTTGTACGGTTCTGAAAAATCAAAGGAGGATTCTGTAAAAACATGTATCATAGATAAGGTTCAAAAAGTAATATCCATTTTATCAAGTTGGTGTATCGAAAAGGCTCAAATAGAGAAGTTAACAAAGTTTTGGAATTTTTACTTGACTTTTATTAAGAATTGGAATAAACTTAACTCTATAAATTATGCTAAGATACATGCCAATGTACCAGAATTTAGTACTTCTGAAAAGTGCCCAGTCTCTAAAGGCATCAAATACAATAGCTATGAAAATGTTCCTAGAGGAAATTTACCACAAAGAGTATGCCCTATCTCTCATATTGCGACTCCAATTGACAACTTTGAAACGATGAAAAAAAATACAGGACCTAAGAATAACAAGCGCAAGTGTCCGTTTGACCATGAACCGCGACCAAAAACGCCCATTAACATTCCTGCCCTTGAGAGCAACATGCGGTCTGAGGTTAAAGCTCTACCAATTCCACAGACTATCCAAACACAAAACAAAGCTCCAGATCTTTCCTTGACCTCAACCTTCGATGAGTCTTCTGAATTTGAGATAAATTGGCAGGAATTTGGAGAAATAGACTTTGACCTCCTATTGAATCAAAGCTTGTTTACCGAAGAAGAAATGCCTAGGAATATGTCTCTTGATGGTCTCTTTTCTTAAGACTTAAGATTTCAATTTGGATACCATAAATATTTAACGAAGGGCAATCAAGGGAGTTTGAAGTCACTATATACGAAAATAAAACGATTCAATATAGATATGTAATTGCTTGTAGCTATTTTGTCCTACTTACCTTATGATTCTATCAAAATCCTTTTCTTTTATATTTTTCACGTGAAGGTGAGAAGCATCAAGCCGATTTTCTAGATTTACCTAACATCTTCATGCCGTTAAAGTGAAAGAAGCAGTGAGAGATTCAAATGATTCAGACTCGATTTGCCATACGGCTAGTACTGAAAAGAGACCCGCTGAGATATTTCTCGAATCCCGTTTGCTTATCACAATCACAACGTCTTACTAGGCTCTTTTCTAGCAAAGCTGGACCACCACCTAAGAAATCGAAGTATCGTTTTTTTAAGTTTGGTGTAGCCCTAGGTTTGGCTGGCTCACTATTATACTATACTAATGACACTGCCAGATACAGTGTATTGATGGCTGAAAGAGTGGGTGTGGTAACTATTGCAACTGCGAGATGCTTCAACTTGTATCGCAAGACTTTAAACAAGGATTACTCGAGCGCAGAGGAAAGGTCAAGGGCACTTTCGAAAACACACAAACGGGCTGCTGAGATAACGTTAAAAGCTCTTGAAACTAACGGTGGGATATATATAAAGCTAGGCCAACATATTACTGCTCTAACATATTTATTACCTCGCGAGTGGACCGAGACTATGATTCCGTTACAAGATCAATGTCCAAGGTCTTCTATGGAGGAGATCGAGGAATTATTCATCACAGATATGGGGGCTACAATAGATGAAATATTTAGTGACTTTGATCCTGAACCCGTGGGAGTGGCTTCGTTAGCCCAGGTGCATGTTGCAAAATTGAAGGACACTGGAGAAAAAGTAGCGGTGAAAGTCCAACACCCTTCATTAGCGCAATTTGTTCCTTTGGATGTTTATCTCACTAGCAAAGTCTTCCAATTAATGTACAAATTTTTCCCTGAATACCCCTTAACATGGCTAGGTGAAGAAATGGAGAGTTCTATATTCGTGGAATTAAATTTCGTAAACGAAGCAAGAAATGCACAGCATACTTCTGAATACTTCAAAGATTTAAAGAATTTGACAGCATTACGTATACCTGAGGTGAAATTTGCCAAAAAGAGAATTTTGGTTATGGAGTATCTATCTGGAGCTAGATTGGATGATTTGAAATACATGAAAGAACATAAGATAAACACTGCAGAGGTTTCATCATGCCTTGCACATATATTTGACATTATGATTTTTGTTCCTGGAGTCGGATTACATTGTGATCCTCACGGAGGGAACTTGGCTATAAGACCGTCAAATGGCAATGAGAAACATAACTTTGAAATCATCTTATATGATCATGGTCTTTATCGAAATATTCCCATAGATATGAAGAGAAGTTACTCACATTTTTGGTTATCTATATTAGACAATAATGTCCCTAAGATGAAGGAATATGCTGAAAAATTCGCTGGTGTCAAAGGAGATCAAAAATTCAAGATTTTTGCTTGTGCGATCACAGGAAGAGACACGGACAATACCTTAAACTATGATATATCCTCAACTAGATCTTCAACAGAGATTGTGAACATGCAGAAACAATTACAGTCAGACGGCAAGGTGCTAGAAGATTTAATGTATATTTTAAGTTCGATGCCCAGAATCGTACTTTTAATATTGAAAACGAATGACCTCACAAGAAGCTTGGATGAGAACTTGGATAACCCGCTTGGTCCAGAACGATCCTTCTTAATATTGGCAAATTACTGCGCAAAAGCTGTGTATGACGAGCATAAAGAAACGATATCAAAAGAATGCTCAAAATATTCGATCATATGGGCATATAAATGTATCAAGAATTGGTTGAGTTATGAAAAAAGGATAAGCTCTCTATATATCTATGATTGGGTCATGATTTTCAAGAACTTTAAACATAGAATGTTCGAGTAATCAGTGTCTTATAAAGTACGTAATAGCACATAGATGACCAAAAAATATATAATACTATCGTGAATTCGTAGAGTTAAATGAAATGATGTGACTGTATGAAACTTGAAGCTACTTTGCTTCTTTTTGTATTTTTTCTAGTAAATTATTGATTCTTGGCCCCATAAGTGGTTGTCCTCTTCGAGTTTTTTGGGTCAAGTAGTCTCTTTTCAGCTGGCGGTCATCCTCCTTCTTTGCGGCTTCATTTCTTTTCTCTTTTATGGCATTCAATTTAGCGGTTCTATCTTTCTTCTTTCTTTCCTTTACTAACTGTGCTCTATCTGCAAAAGTCATTTTCTGTTTTGGAGCAATTGGATTTCTCTTATAAATCTCCTTCGGCCTGATTTCATTATGTAGTCTGCTATCTTGATCTTCTATGACATCTTTAGCACTGTTTTCATCATTCTCGCTAACAGAATTAGAATTAACGTTATTTATCTCACCCTCTTTTTCAAGTAGCTTAAAATAGTTCTTTCTTAATCTAGCTCTATGTGTCAATGACCTTTTTATCTCCCTTGCTTTCGACTCTTTACGATCACTATATGGATTTTTCAAATGCCTATAGCCTGGCTTTACCATTGTAGCTGTAGTTGAATCTTTCTTCTAATGGTGCCATGCCTAGTCCAGTAATATATAAAAAAGTGATGAGCATCTCTCACAAAGTTTGCTTACGTAACAAGCACATCAATATCTACCATTGATCTTTCTTACACAAGGCACTTCCAAGGACGTAGAACATATTGACAGACCAGCATGACAGGCTAGCACAACAGACCACTGGATTTCTCCTTATTATTGTGGCAAGTTTGCTCGTTTTGGTCAAAAATGCTTACGTATTTATGCCTTCCGAAAAGAACCAAATTTTAACAGTTCCTCTTCAGCTATGTGTACTTATTCCTCCCAAAAGATATCCTATAACGAAGCAAACAAACAAGGCATATAGACAATGAAGAAAAAAATCTATCTTAGGCCTCAATTCTACTACTTTTTCTCGTTATGAAATTTCCTCTTTGATATTCGATATGCTATTGAAGGAATTGTTCAACCAGCGAATCTTAGAATCTACTTTATCTCTTCACTCGTCTCCTATGAGTCCACGTACTTTGGAGGATAGTTCTGAAAGCATCGTAGGCCAAAGAAAATAGAGTATGGAAGTAGAGTATGGAAGTAATAACAAATTCCCAAATAATGGGAAAGAAAGAAATCAAGTATTACACCTATTCTTTTATGATTCCAGAATTGCAGTGAGAATATCATGCTCTATGAAATACATTACTACTCTTCTATCGAAGGATATTTCGCAAAATGTCACTATTCAAGACTGACTAAATACCTCTCTTTTGACTTAAGCTATATTCGCATTATTTTCAAATATTCATCCATAATCATATTTTTTATTAAGGACATCAGTTTTTGGTATTTGGAAGATAGCTATGTCTGACGAGAACAAAAGTGGGAGTCAGAGCTATGTTCCAGTACCTCAGGTAGCACTTCATGGAACTAATACCCACCCAGATACTGAACTTTATCCTCTGGATGAAGAGTTTGAACTTCAAACAGTCGACTCACTTGATTTCGAAAATCAAAGCATACAAGATAATGAAGTTAATGCAGAGGGCCAGTCAGGTATGAAAGGGGCATTTATGAATATGGCAAATTCAATTCTCGGAGCTGGAATAATAGGACAACCTTTTGCATTTAAGAATTGTGGATTGGTAGGTGGCCTCGTTGTTATGGTGTTTTTGACATTTCTCGTGGACTGGACACTAAGATTGATAGTGATAAATGCTCAGTTGGCGAAGACAAAATCATATCAGGATACTGTTGGCAAGTGTTATGGCCAGACAGGAAGATACATTCTTTTATTATCCATTAGCTTATTTGCAGTTGGTGGTTGCATGGCATTCTCAGTCATTATTGGAGACACAATTCCTCATGTCTTGAAGGCATTTATTCCAGATTCAATAACGAACGATGACTCTCCTGTGGGATGGATATTCAAAAGAAATACTATAATTATTCTCTCTATAACATGCATATCGTATCCACTATCATTAAACAGGGATATCTCGAAATTAGAGAAGGCTTCGGGATTTGCTTTGATTGGAATGGTTACGATAGTAATAATTACTGCGGTAAGGGGTCCATTTGCGGGCAATGATTTAAAGAAGAAATTGACCAAGCTAGAATGGACTGTGAATTATAATATCTTTCAAGGTATTTCGGTGATTTCTTTTGCTCTAGTTTGCCATCATAATACAATTTTCATTTATAATTCTTTAAGAAATGCTACAGTGAAGAAATTTTCTAAAATTACACATATCGCTTGTGGAATATCTATGGTCTGTTGTACTTTTATGGCTGTAAATGGACTAATAAACTTTGGTGATAATACTAAAGGAAATTTATTAAATAATTTCAGAAGTACAGATAACTGGATCAATGTTGCAAGGTTTTGCTTCGGTCTAAACATGCTCACCACATTTCCTTTGGAGCTCATTGTCGCGAGGGATGTATTAAAGGATTTGGTCCTTGCTTGGAACGGCGAAGCGGGTGAACATGGGAGTACTGCTCACCTTCAATTAAGTCCGAAACAACATTTTGCGATAACGACCGTATTAGTTTTCTCATCGATGTCTGTTGCTTTGTTAACGTGCAATTTGGGCGTTATTCTAGAGCTAATTGGTGCAACTTCTGCTTCTATCATGTCTTACATATTTCCGCCTTTATGTTATTTGAAGTTATCATGGGATTCTTTCAATTTCAAGAACGAAAGCGACACGGACAAGAGAAAGTTCATCTTTTGGAAGATATTGCCCAGTGTTGGGTGCATCACTTTTGGATTTTCCGTTATGATAATAAGTTCTTATATGAGTATCAAGACGAGCATCAATAATAAGGATGCAAGCCATTGCGTTGGGGATTAAACATTAATACTAAATAGACTTAACAAATTAGCATCACCGTCAATTGTCATCTTCGTCATCGCTTATGACTATCTTCTTTCTACTTGTAAGTTGCGATTTGTGCTTTTTGGGCTGATGTTCGAGGATCTCGTCTTCGTTATCAGTATCGTCCGTTACCAGCCTGGCTCTCTTGTCTAGTAATACTTGTGTTTCTTCATTCTGTCTAAAAGAGCTGAAACTTGTATCCGTATTAGTTGTGTTTTCATCACTTAATGCTGGTTCGACCAGGCCTATACTTTCATCATTACTGGGCACATTGGAAGACTTTGAATGAATGTCATTTAAATCAAGAAGCGGCATAGAAATGCTATTCGGGGTGACATCTTCGATCTGACTCCACGCTTTCTTGAACTCCGCAAGCAGCCTTGAATCGACAATTCCTCCAGAATTTTTCAACAATGTACGTAACCTTTCTTCTCTCTCGTAAAATACTCTCCCCTTTTCATCATCACTTTCATCATCCGAATCGTGAACAAATTTTGCTGATCTGACGATATCCACTTTCTCATTTCGTAAGTGTGAAGAGGTGCGCCTGTCTTCATGTTCACCATTCACTTTACCATCATATACTTTACTTGTTCTTTTTTCATTCTTTTTTGGTTTTGATTTAATTCTTGCCAACCCACGAGGATAACTGTTAGATTTATTCAATATTTCTTCCAATTCATCGAGTTTGTCAAGCTCATGAAAATTTCTTCTACTCCCAGTTATATTCTCCGAAGTTTCGAAAGCAATACTTTCGTCAGCATCGTCGTTTCCTCCTTCTAAATAATCTACGTCATCGTAATCACCGTAACCGTAAGTCTCTTTCGCCCTCAAAAAGAAGGCTGGATCCCTGGAGTCCTCGAAATTAACTGGTTGTTCTTCTTTCCATTTTTTGATTAGTTCTATGACCTCAGCTAAATCATTAGGGGCGACTGATGCTGGTAATTCACATAATTCTTCCATTATGTATGGCAAATCAAAGCCCATAATTTTCAAAAGTAATCTTATATATGGGTTATTAATCAAGAGTCTATTGAATTGGGGAGTTGGAGATAATTTGGTTATTAGATCTTCGTCCAGTATCTTTTCTTCCAAAATGCGTTTCAGATCATTAAGTAACCAAGCTATGAAAAGATCTTTTTCTTGTTGAAAAAGAACGCTAACTAATATTTTAATCTTTTCTTCCTTATTAAAATCTCTGATGAACTCTAATTCTTTTGCCAACTTGGGTTTATTATTTTTTGATGAGACATCAGGCCTGATATATAAGTCACCAGAAGCCAAATATGTATTAAGTTCCAAATCTTCAAACCTCAGAAATAAGACTTCAATAGGGATAGGGAATCTGTCAAATGCTACTTTAAACTTCTTCATAAAATAATGTGTGAATTCCTCAACATGGCCCCTTATGTGAGACTCTCTAGGCAAATGAGTTCTCAACTTGTATAAAATGTGCATGAAATCAATACGGTATAATGCAGTGTGGTCTCGTTTAGATACAAATAAGCGATGAAAATAAGTCATGCACTTCTTAATTTCTTCATGTGTTAAATCCTCAAAACGAGATAGATATTCAATATAAGTTGAAACAGTTCCGTTTCGAAAAAAACCAGCTTCAGTCGCTTCAAAATCTAACCTTCTTTCTCGAGTAACTTCTTTTGCTCGTTCATTTGTGAGCTCTTCGTCTGATTCTTCAATTACATCTCTCATAGAATCTTCAGTATGCTTGTCTAAGCCGCTCCTCAGTCTCTTATTAGCCTTTGACTTTCTTCTTTTGGATTGAATATAGAGCTTCACATCTTCACTTGCAAAACTCTCAAAAGACTTTAGGATGATGTGCACAACAGATATGGACACTCTCAAATATTCGGGAGAATGCTTGGATGCTGTTTGAGGAATTTTCGTGAGAATACTTAGGAAATCACTAAATGAGAATAATTTTCTAATAATACCCTCTGCCATTTCTCTATCAGTTTCTTCTTGGTCGTCATCTAGGTCTAGCCCGTTACTGTTGTTTGATCTTTTCGTAAATAGAGAATAGGAGATCATCAACATTTCATAAAAACATATCATAGCAACATGGAGAGAGCTCCAACGTCTCAAGCTAAATGATTCTCTAAAATAAGATATAATCAAAATAAAATTAACCTCACTCAATGCTGCGCCTACTGATCCATAGTCTAAAGTGTCATCATCCTCAGATAACCCAGACAGGTTCAAAATACCCTTGTTGAACAATACGATCCTTTCTCTCTTATAGCTGAAAAACCAAGCAACAGTAAGAAAAAAAGTTGCCTTCTCGTATTCATCAATGTAGTTAAAATCTGTAGAACCAGAAAGCAACCAGCTAAGATTCTCAATTAAATTATTGAAGCACCCCGTAACTAAAAATTGTTCAATGAATTCCTTCAAAATTAAAACTGATTTGTCATTAAGAAATTCTTGTCTATGTGAAACAAACTCATCAGAGTCATACTTAAATTGTGATCTAACATTCCACTTTTTACTTTTGTCTAATTTTTCTAGCGACGAGTTTAACCCAACTAGAGCTTCTTGACCAGATATTACATAGGATGTATCATTTCCTTGAATTGAGAGTAAAGAGCCAAATCTGCCATGCCTTGTTGAAATGTGTTGGGTCTGTACTTTTTTTCTTGTAGCTTCCTGATTGAGCAATTCTTTAAGCTGAAGACCAGAGGACGTATTCAGAGACTGAATTTCAGGCAAAGCCTTGCCTCGTTTAACTTGTTGAGGGGCCTTTTTTCTCATTGGCATCAATACATGCTCAGGTTTTATTCCTTTTAAAATTAGGTATACACATTCGAGACAAGCCTGACTAAATGCTTCTTTGTCGAAGTCTTTACCAACAGTCCCAGAAAGTGTCAAAAGAAAGGTCAACACTTTGTTTTTTTGGAATGCAGATAATACAGAATTCATGCTTATGTCGTCATACGTGATATTGGAAGGCAAATTATCGACAGGTATGATACCTTTTCTTGCTTTTGTAGAGATTGAGGATTCTGCTGGCTCAATGTATAAAATGTTCCTTATTAAGAATAGTACTAATCTTATAATCGCATTATCTCTTGGTTCTCTATCAATTCTATCTTTAGCAATGGTTGGTAAGACCAACCTTATAACAGCTTCCAAAGTTTGTCCGTTACAGTATTCTAAGATGTGTTTCTTATATATTATTTGGGTTTTTTTAGTAGAAGCAAAGCTCAATTTCTGTGCCTCTGACAGGTCCTTACTGATTTCAATGGGCCAAGTCAACAAAACTAAAAGCTCTAAACACGAAAGCATTATACGTTCCATGCTTCTGGCATTTTTGGTCGGTTTTTTAAGACTTTGTTGTCTATTCCATTGGCACAATATAACCGTCAAATCATTTACCACAAGACCTGAGTCAGCACAAGCCAAAGCAACATCAAAACTATTATTCTTTTCATCAACAGACCTAATCCACCTCTTTAGATCCTTGAGACAAGCATGGGCATCATGCCCCAACTTGTACGGTGGAGGCTGAACAGAAGACGTGTGATCTGGCCCCCCCAATGCTGAAACTAAAACTGCGATATGCGCCTTCAATAACTTCTGAGCATGCATTTCATTAGGCTTTAACTCACTATTGAGTTTGAGGATTCTATCCAGGGGCAATTCATCCTTTTCGTTGTTATCTAAATCACGATGAACAGTTTCTTTCACGTCGCGTTGTTGTTCATTTCCTTGATGGAGCTCCAGCTCATCTACTATAAAATCTTCTAGATCCCTTGAGTCACCATCATCAAGCAGAACTTCTGAGTCTGATTCTATCCTGCTCATGCTATTGAAACTTTGATCTCTTACTCTCAAGCGATAGCTTTAAAACACTTCTTGAAAAAGACGCGTTAATCAATACATGTCGCAAAAAGTCAAATATGTCACAAGATGACATAATCAATAAGTCATTATTTGAACTGTTGGAGGACAAGCGCGGGCTGTGAATAAGGGTGGGGAAGATAGTTAGATCAGATTAGCAAACTTGGCAATCCCTAATACCTTGAACTAAAAGCATTAATTACTAATTAACACCAGCTATCTAAGTTAATACATCTCTTTAATTACTCTTGCGGGTTCTCATTAAGTCTGTCTTGCGCAGTTGTTCATTAGTGGCTTCCAAATGTCAAAACACAGAAATGGTGACTTGAGTTACATCTAAACATGGAATATGGAATGACTCAACCGAACAGTTGCAAGACATTGATATCTGACAAGAAAAAAAGGACAAAATGTAGCTAGAAGTAGAAGGGTTCACGCTGAATCCTGAGAAGTCTTTCCATTTCTGCTACTTTTCATTCTACCGTTCCTTTCCCTAGTAACGCCTATATATTTCGTCTTATGCGGAGTGATAGCAGAATAAGATTTTCAACGTCGTGATTACATAAGCACGTCAAAAATCATTCACACAGATAGCATCCATAAAATTTCACATGTTACTAATTAATGAAACGTGATGGCCATCAACAGCAGTTACGATATCCCGTCGATTTGATCAATTTGTTTATTAAATGGTAGGAGCTTAACTCATAAACGACAGATACAGATACAGAGCAGAAATGAAGCCACCTCATAAGAAACGACATAGGGTTCCAGCTTCGTGTTCTGTTTGTCGAAGGAGAAAATCTAAGTGTGATAGAGCAAAGCCAATATGTGGATCTTGCAAGCAAAAGTCTATCTCCCATTTATGCTTTTATGAGTCAGACTATCGTGATTCCAACGATGAACCTCGGAGTGACGATGTTCAGTACAGGAGTGGTGAGCGTCCCCTTCAGACAGCTGGCGAGCCCATGGCCACAATTCAAGTCATACCAAGCCCACTAGCAGGTGGATCATTTGCCAATGGCGCTATTCCCCCAGCAACTGGAGGATCCCATTTTGTTGATTATGCCGAGCAATCTCCTTTAGCATTCTCCTTTCAGCCAACAAATTCTCCGATCCATAACAATGTATACTCTAACGAGCCTAGCGTTGGATATATTCCCCAGTCTTACGATGGGACGAATTCTAATGGAAATACGCTTCAACACTCGGCAACCTCGGTCAATAAAGCCTTTAATCAACCGCCATTGCCCCATAACATCAACCTCCCTCCTTTGAATGATAATATATCAGTAAACACAAATGCTCCTCAGCCCAAACCAAAGGACCAAAATTTAATTGCTGTTTCCATAGGGCCACATTCCACCTTGCAGATTAACTCCTCTGACACTATCGATATCTTAAACAGCGCTAGCTACTCTTATGATGTGGATGGAAGACTTTGGCAACATCAAGGTCCTCTTTCTTATATTGGAGTTATCAAAAGCGACCCCTTTATCAAAATTCTTAGGCATTATGCTTTGAAATTGTTTCAGTCTGGCGATATCGCGCAGTATATTCTCGCAGAGACATCCAAGCGAAGAGATCTTGCACTATCTTCTCCTAGGGAAATAAACGTAACTGGTGAAACAAACTCAGTAATCTCAACTTCAGAGCAAGACAATTTAATGAATAGTATAGAAAACGAAACACATGACATAAAGCACGACAATAACGAAAACGATAATGAGAAGATTCTAGACTTGCAGAAGAGTAGAAGACAAAGCACGTCACAGTGGTCACCTTCGTCTCAAAAAGAACCCGGTAGCAATAACGATAAAGTCAGTAGAAATATTAAAAAAGAAAGTGCCTCTCTTGATGAAGATAATATGAAGTTTTTCCCGAGACTTAAATCCCTTGTACTTAAAGCGAAGGATAAGACTGAGTTATTTTCCATCGCTGAAAGCATGATTTTAAAGTTCTTGCCTTCTAAAAAGAACACATTTATTATATTTTACAAATTTTTCAAATATGTGTATCCCTTTGTGCCAATAATTGATGAAAACTCATTTATAATGGATTTAAATGAAGTTTTTCCCGAAAAGTTTCCTTTTTTTGAAAATGATTACTATAGTGAAATTAGGGTGACAGATGACGAGGACTTGACTCTACTTGGAATCTTGATGCTAGTAATGCGGCTAGGATACATGAGCCTTATCAATCATGAAGTATCAAATAATGAGTATAACGAAGATGAGATCAGCATAATCCTCGAAATGAAAAAAATATCTACAGATACATTCAACAGTATATTGAATATTTGCATTCCAGATTGTTTAACCTCTAGATCATCTTTTAGGACAGTCCAATGCTTGTTTCTTTTACATTTCTATAAAAGAGTTGCTCCTAATGATAGTCACGGTTTAGGAGGAGTTGATGCTGATATATTATTTGGTGCAATTGTGAAGCATGCGCTATCTATTGGGCTCAATAGGGATCCAACATTTTATTCGCGACATGATTCAATTTTGAAAAAACCAGCTTTGGTCAAGACTTGGAGATTGTTATGGCAATTGATAGTAATAACTGATGCAGAATCTGCAATTCAAAGTGGAACTAATTTAAACATAAGAACTTTAGAATTCGTTGATGTTAAGAATCCGGAAATTGATAACCTTTCTGGAGAAGTGGAAGACACATTCAGTTATATCAAGCAAATTTGTGATTCATATAGGCGTATTGTCAATATGATAAGTGATATTCAAAATAAACCTAAAGTTCTCGATATATTGATTGAAACTAAAAACTTGGAGCAGATTTTCTTCAAGTTTTTTGGTAAAGATTATTTTAAGGATCACATTTGTAAACCAGCTCCCACGGTAGATAACCATGCAAGTCATATTCATGTCAAAAGCGAACAGCACGGACAAAGCTATTTAAAAGTCATAAAGTATCTAACATTTATTACACTTAGAACAAATCTATCGTGCTTATACTACAAAATTGCAGCACATTACGAAGATGAGCACACCAAATCGAATACTGTTTCAATGAATGCCGGAATTGAATTGTTCAAGATACATATCAAAAGTGTGGTTCAACTCGTTTATATCATCTCACACGTGCTTGATCATTCAGATGAACTATTTGGTAGCAATTACGATTATATATTGACTGCTGTGAATGAAAGGTGTATGATCAGAACCCATAGTTTTTTGACTTCATTATTTGCTAGGTTGTTACACTATAAGCAAACGTTAAATGAAGCAAAAACTAAGGATACCAATTTCAATGAAAGGTCTAGAGCAGTAGACGAGCTCTTTAATAGAATAATCATTGAATCTGAAATCTTTGTCGGTAATTTCAGAAAGCTTAGCCGAACATATATCAATTCGTATAAACTATATGTGATGACTTATTTTGTTTTAAGGCAGTCCATGGATAATGTGGATGTATTCTTCTCGGAGCTGAAGATCTCACATACTGGTACTAACATGCTTGAATTTTTTACAATAAGCGAGCTTGAGTACTTATGTAAACTCTGTGAAGAGGTAAGGTCTGCAAAAGAAGAGAGAGACAAGCTATCAAAGAAGAGACGCGGCCTGGGTGGCACTACTACGCACTCAGCAATAAGCTTGCCATTGAGTGTTGATCTGACAGACTCCTCAAGGGTCTCCTTAGATGGCAGCTCAATGGAAATTGGTGATTTTAATCTCAATAGTGTATTTGGGACTCCATTTTTGACAAATGAAGAGCTCTTGAGACTTTTTGAGATATATGCAGACCTTGATGTAGATACATAAGCTAATATTAGAATTACGTAATAAATGTGCGCAATGTTTGAAAATGAATCACGTGCTCAATATAAGAGCCTAAATGTGCCATCGTTTATTATCCTACTTAAGTAACTGAGCATTAAATTTACAATTTGAAGCTATAAATTAAAGCTATAACAGTTACATGATACCCGGTATAGTACACCAACTAAATCGTGCTTCACTTTTCTAATGTATGGCTCTAAAAAGAGAAATAGGTTATCATTAAGTTGTAATTATTGCAAGAAACGAAAGGTTAAGTGCGACAGAGGACGTCCATGTTCTTCATGTGTTAGGTATAATGTACCAGATCGTTGTAAATATGATGAGGGCTACATGAGAAATGAAGATGGCTCGAATACTTCCACATTTTATGTCAGAACTGTATCAAATGAAGAAGCTAGTGGATTTTATGACTATAGCGTTAACAAAACTATTCAAAGAGACAGCGATTTGAGAAATTACGAAAATACCACGAAGCCTAGCCTAATTCAGGCCAGTTTGAAACCCCATACCAATGCAGAGCTAGCAGCAGAACTCGAAAACTTGAAACAAAAATACAAGGAGATGGAAGGTATGATTGTGGGCAATAATGACCATCAGATTCAAAATAGATTTCAAGTAAACTCGAGTTCACCAAGGGTTCCAAATAATGACTACAACCTGGGAGAATACCACAATTTTGATATCTCCGAATCAAGACCAATTCAATTACCGCCATTAAACTGGATCCCACTTCCTACTAACCCTGATACACATGAAAAAGGGGAGGATTATATGGATCCGTCAATTTTAAAGAAGAATCCTCAGTTTATTGGCATCAACCCGTATTCTTCACCCGACGATATTATAAATTTTTACGAAGGATACTCCCCAGTTCATGTACGTGGTCCAAGAAAAATGAATCATGGACCCTTTTCTTGGTTCTCTTTAGTCAAAAAAGATCCCTGCTTAAGCAAGTTGTGGGACTTTTTAGTCCATAATAAAGTAAACTTTAATGGTCAACCCTCTGCATCTGTCGAAAAGCTATTTGATAGAGTTGATGGAACTTTAAGCCAGGGCAAGAAAACTATAGAAAGGCCAGCAGAAAACTTGGAAGTGCAGTTTCAAGTTAAGGCAATGGATAGGGAAGGATACAATGATGTTTTACTGTACAATGAGTTTCGCACAGCTATTGAAAACTCAAAAGAGAACAATAAGCTTACAGTACTAAATAAAAACGCAATTTCATTAGGACTAACATTTTTTGAAGGTAAGATTGACCAAGAGTTGAAATTAATTGAAAAGATTGAAGTCGTTTTACCAGAGCAGAAAGTTATTTGGACACTTATAAACAAGTTCTTCAAGAATGTGTATGCTTTTATACCTTTCATTGACGAAAAATCATTCAAGTCAGAAATGAGTAGAATAATAGGGCCCGAGGGCTACAATCAGGTTAAAATATCACCTTTGAAGATTGAAAAGAGATTAGATTTTGCTTACGTTGGAATTTTATTATTAATGTTAAGGCTATCATATTTATCACTTTTTTCGAACAGGAAGAAGGTGAACGAGCAAAACCTTTCAACGTCAGATCCATCGCTCTTTGCACAAGAAAAAAAATATTTGCTATCGCATCCGATTAGCATTGATATTGTAGAAATGGCTGACTTATGTTTAAAACAGTTTAATTTGTGTGAGAAATCTAACTTGATAATTTTTCAGTTTGCTTTCATGACCCGTCTTTATCGTGTTTTTTCTCCTGAAGATGGCGATGGAAGTGATGGTAGTGACTCACAGGTGTCAACGGGCATGTTAGTCCATATGGCCTATTCAATTGGGCTTAACAGAGATCCTGATAATTTTCCTGAGCAAACATTTGATAAGAAGACGAACAATTTAGGGCGAAAACTCTGGTTTTTCTTGGTTATTGTGGATTTACTTCAGTCTTACTTTTACGGGAATCCTTCAACTATTGATGCGAAGTATTTCGATACAAAGCTACCTTACTATGTTGCAGGCAATGAAAATGTAAACGATGTGGAAATTGAAAAAAACGTGATAAGTACATTTAGGTATTTCGAAGCATATTATAAACACTTGAAAAGAATATTGGATTTAACTTTGGCAATCAATAGTAAAACTAGAGTCCAAGAGTTATGTTCTGATTTGAGCCTGTTCGAGATATTCTTGAATAATACATATGGATCGTTGAAAAACTTCATGATGCCGTTTGACGAAGATAACTATCCTTTCCCATTTGTGAAAACTATGAAATGTAAAAATAGCTTGAATATGAAACATTTTATGCTTTCTATCTACTATTTCATATTTTTATTTTATGAAGCGAGACATGACGTTGAAATGTCTTACTTTTACTTGAGAAAAATGGTTGCAATAATATGCATAGATTTAGTGCCTTGTTTTCATCATCTTGTCAGTGATAATCATTTATATTTTGGTGATTCTGCAGATCTCATCTTGAACCCAGTCACGCAATCAATTTGTCATCGAGTTTTATCTTTGTTCTTTGGCTTCTTAGCAAGAATTAATTTGCTTGTTTATACCTACAAGAGAGATAAATTACATTCAATGAAACTACAATCAGATTCAGAATATAACTTGAAATTTTCAAGGTTATGTCATTTATCTAAGTCGTTGGAGAAAATATGTTGGTTTACAATAACAGTGTTGTCAAGGCTCAGTGAGAGGTATTATTTCGCTTGGAGAATCACAAAAGCTAATAACTTCTGTCTCAAGGCCATTTGTGGGGAACTCATATATAAATCATTAGAATTTGAAAGCATTTTTTCATACTTAGATGCAGATAAATTAGGAGAGCTTGTTTCTTTTACGCTGAGCTGTGAGAACAATCTCAAGAAGTTCCAAAACCAATACCCACAGGAGGATGATAAACGCCAAGAGTTCAACCGAAGCGGGCAATCTAAAGCTAAAGATTTATCCCCCGAGAAAGGTACGGAAAGTGATAAGTTCCATTTAGCTACAGCTCCTTCGACTTATGATGGTTCTGGATTGCCCTCATTGGGTGAAGATAGCTTTAATGCTGATGAATTTCATATTCTTGAGAATCCAGAAATCGACCAATTGTGGTTCCAAATGGCATCCTTGAAAAATGAAAAAACAGTTACGACTAAGCAAGACCCAGCCATGAATGGAACAGGCAATCCACTTCAAGGCGCTAACTACTCGCATAATAACTCTACCGGTTTCAACTCTGCTAAGAGTACTTCAATGCCGCCCACAGGCGATACTGGTGATACCTTACCTTCATTAGACTTTCCAATAAGCCCCGCTAGCTGGGAGATGGGAATGGACATCACGCCCACGGATAATGTCTTTGACATATTCAGCAGTCTTCCCATTAACATGCTCTTTGGGCTAGATGCAAAGCAAGTTACTGATCCTGCTTCATAAAAGTCGATCGATCTGGCCTTGGTCATATTGAATTTGTACATTATATAATCTAATCGGATATATCACGTGATTTTTCTTAGGTCGTTAAAGCTCAAACCCGAACTTTTTTTTTTTCATCTACGATAGAATTTTTCAGTAACTCTTTTGTCCTCCATCTTATTTTCTATTTATTCTTTTTGTTGCCAATATGTCATCAGTATTCTAATACTTTGAAAGAGTGTTGTCTCTAGATGATTGTGTGACTACAAAATTATAGGAAACAACAGAAGGTAAGTACAGGATGTGATATCTACTTTAAATAAAATTGGAGACTATAAGATTCGAATGATGACAATGATCGCTGTGCACCAGTCTGATGTACTCAAAATTTCATGACAGATAGCGTATACCCATATTCCTGACATTTTCTTAGTCTCCATTAATTTAACTACTTTCGCCAGAGCACAATACTAACATTGTCAGTTTTAATTTTGCCTAATTACTGGAAAATATATTTTCGTTGACAATATCGTTGACAATGTAGCCTTAATATGTATGTATTACGTTTGTATACTGTTTATTGTCTCTCTATTTTTGTTTTCTCATTTTAATTACTCCTAATTTGGAATACAATTGGAATGGATACGTATAGTCGTCGTCTGGTCTTCGCATCAGTTTAGGAAATATTCTGGTCTGGGTAGTTCTTCGGCTAATCGAAGGCTCGTCACTAGGTGCCTGGCGTCTTGAGTGTCAAGCATTCAGAATTTTAACGGCCAAGCGTAATCCCACATTAAGGACTTCTTGCTATGCGTGACTTTTCTTTGTTTCATCACAGTTTGAGACTGTGTCATTGCGCCCTCTCCCCCCCGTCAAGGCCAACGTGAATTATGATACGCGAGAGGCCTCAATGGTTATTACGCACCAGTTACTGGACTAAAGAAGGCTGCTTAACGCTCAACTATGCCCTATTGTACTCCTTCCACACGATTAATAGTTGGTCGAGCCCATATACTCCTTTACACGGTCGCGATCGCGCTCGTCACAATAGAATTACACAAGCAGATTCTGAAACAACACGTCAAACGCGGTCTTATTTCTCCCATATTTATTCTCGTTTGGGTATAACAAGGGGCAAATGTTAGAAATATGCTACACTGCCTTAAGAGGGTTCATCGTGTTTTTGAAATAATAAGCAAATTCAGAACAGACGGGTATGATGTATATATATTTGGGGATCTTGCAGTCCATTTGAAGTACTAACAAGTTGGTACCAAACTGTTGCTGCTACGGTTAATAATAATAAAAGAACTTAACAAAGATGACTTCCTCAATTGACATGAAGGCTTTGACCATATTTATTCAATCGCCAGTATCGCTGGAAATGATCCACAAGTTAGTGGTAGCTACTTTACAAGTTTTACCGTGTCAGGAATCTAAGGGCTATAATGAAGTGGGCGGTAAACCATTGCCCTCTTTGATGACTTTCATCACTAAGCTTGTGAGATACACCAATGTCTACACTGGCACTTTGATGGCTTGTTTAGTGTACTTGAATAGATTGAAAGAGAAGTTACCAAAAAATGCTCAAGGTATCCCATGCACAAGGCACAGGATTTTGTTGTCCTGCCTTATCTTGGCAGCAAAGTATCATAATGACTCGTCGCCAAAGAACGTTCATTGGGCTAAGTACACTGATGGCTTATTCAATTTGAAGGATATCAATTTGATGGAGCGTCAATTGATGTACTTATTAAACTGGGATTTGAGAGTAAGTAATGAAGAAATGATAGAGCACTTAGATCTGTTCTTAACTCCAATCAAGCTGGACTTGATAAACTCGAACAAGGTCAGAAAGCATTTGCAAAGACAGAAATACCAAAGAGAATTACAGAAGCACCAAAGACAACAGGCAAACAAACTTCAAGTTCCCGCCCACAACAACTATCTGTCATCTACTGTTTCATCTGCATCTTCATCTCTGGCATCTCCTATTTCCAGGTCACCAAGCTCTGTGGTGTCGCGGTCTTCCTCCAACTCTTCTCTCAGCTTGAGACACTATAGACAAGACTCGTCGTCATCATTATCTTCCGTTTCATCACCTGAAATGATACAAACGAGTCTGAAAGTCCTGTTACCTGAAAGAATAGATCCTATCATAGAGCTTACAGCTAGAAATGAAGAAGTTGAATTAAATAGAATGCTCAGACTGTTACAGCCAAGGGCAACCACTTAAGGAGACATTTCTCAGGAGAGATGTCAAAAAAGTGTACATACATTACGGATTTTCTGTTTATATATGGTTCATTATATGATCAATATTGGGTGGTAATTTCATGTGTAGCCCTGTCCCTCTCTTATGTTTGACTTCATTTCTTTGTCATCTAATCTTAAGTGTCCTCGCGTTTCGGTTTTTGTGTAGGAAGGGATACCGGGACATTTATCAATTCGTAATAGAAATATATTGTACGGTCTTCTCAGTACATACTGATAATAAGCTTAGCTGAAAATGAGAGCTCTATTTCAACTTAGGGTCCCACTTGAGAAAAGATTCTTTTCATCTGGATTTGTTTTGGGGAAAGATGAGAAGTCAAAGCAACTCTTGGAGAAATTAGGTATGTCGCTACAAAAAGGCAACATTAAGTCGAAGGATTCCGACGAACAAGAAGAAACGCATTCACATCTAGCAGCGAAAGCTGATGTAGATGAAAAGAATGAGATCACTAATACTAAAAAACCTGAGAGTTTTGATGAAAGAAAGGAAATGCTTAATCAAGTTAAGGATTGTTTCAATAGCATTTCACATATGACCGTTAACGATATTATGATACAGAAAAACCTAGATGAAGGCATGCAGTTTTCTTTCCCTTCAGAACACTATTTAGATAGAAAAAAGCTTATCGACAGTTTACCGGATGAGATAGACATATTTAATACACCGTTGAGCGTGATTGAACGAACTTACAACGACTTGGCGAAATTAGATAACGATAAGTCCGTGCATCTCAAGTACTACAAAAGATATCTTCAAAATTATAATGATCCTATAAACAACTTAATTCAAGAGTTCAATGGGATATCTGAGAAGTTTATGTTGTTGAGAAGGAGAGAAATTGATAGCTTGTCTCTAGCCACTGGTGCTTATTTATACAAAGAAAATATGTTTGGGAATCCATACAATGTAATTGGTTTTGATAGAAGTATAAGTGGCTTGCCGTTACGAACAGGTAAACACAAGCTTACAGACAAATGCTATCCTCAGGAGTTCATCGAAGATTTGCAGATGTTCCGAACTAAAATCCCTGTCCACAAGAGAGACTTAGATTTCATTGAATACGAAGAAAACTCAGTCAATATTGACCCGTCGAGAATTGAGAATAGTAAAGAGAAACCGAGAGACTTTCAGTCAACATTAAATTCCATATATCAAGAACTAGAAGTGCCAAAGAATTCGATTTTAGTTGATTCTTTGGCTGACTACAAAATGTTGACATTCAAAAGCGACATAGTAATACGCATCGAGAACGAAATTCTATTTATGAAAAGGTCTTTGCAGCAGGAGATTGAATTATTCATGAAATCTAATGGAAATAGATTACTATTATTTAACCATCAAGATTTAAAACACAGCCAGTTCAGATTGTGTGAAACGAAGCATCCCGAAAATGTCAATTCTTCATTAATTATAGTGAATTACAATCTCAAGCCTTTCAATATAATCCCCAATTATAGTATCTTATTGACTTCAAGGTCTCAAAGAAAGAAACTAGAGAACCATTTGTTCAAGATCTTTTTGATAAATATGGAGGATCAAATAGATACTCTTTTTCGGATCAAGTACTACGATGAAAAAGATATGAAGAAGTTCATGAAATCAGTTTCGAGAAATATAAGGAGAACGATTTCTTTTAAATTGCTCAAGTTTTTCACTCCATTCAAAGATGAAGAGTATCGCAATTACGATGCATTTATTTACAAGCCTCAGCTAGGGCTTGCATTTAAGAGACTCTACAGGTTGAGAAGCTGGAAAATTTCAACTCAATCAGAGAGACGTAAACCTTTGAACATGAATTTAGGAAACTTTGAAGACATTAGTGAACGATAGCTAATTATGAGTGTACCTGTTTCCTCAATTATCCTTCATAGATCATCTGAATATTTTTTGAGCACGTGATTTTTTCTTCGACAGTGAGTCTCAGTTTATAGTCTTCTCGTTCTTTAGATATGATAGTCTTAGTAGAGAATAGGAAAAGCTTTTGCATTAATAAAGGTTGAAGTAAATAGTTCGTCATGGCGTACAAGAAAGTTGCTACTAGTAAGAGCTTGCCTCCATTACCCCGTTTGAAAATCAGAAAACCAACTATTACTAAAAGCACCAATGAATGCATGGTGTTAATGTCTTCATTGTTAAACTGCTGGGCAGCAAATGGTGAAGGATCATCGCAGTGCACCAGTTTTGAACATGATTTGAAAAACTGTATGGAAGTTTATAAACCAAAGAAAGAGAACTTAAGTTCAATAAATTACCATGCTTCCAGGTTGTATCCAAAATTGAGAGGGAAAGTCAATGATTAAAAAATTAACTACGATAAACTTAGTGGGTACTGTCTAGTTTTTATAGATCAGGATTCATAGTTTGGATATTGTACTTACATTGGACGTACGATATACGCTGTACATAGTCATCAATATATTTTAATACGAGAAACAATAATTTCAAAAATGGAGATAAATTTCTATTAATGAGACCGGTAAAGCACTTTATTCTTTGCTATCAGTGGAATAGAAAGAGTAGAGTCTTTAAGTTGCTCTTTTACAATACAAAATGATTTTCGCAGATATTCATAGTCCGAACATTAACTCCACATAGTAAGATTTAAAGTATATTAGAATTTATATTACATTGAGAAGCTAGGGCTTCGGTATACACTCAGTGGGGAGGAGTTCTCGTAGATAGACTTTACTGGGTGTTTTCACTTTTGATATGCCCCCCAACGTCTTGGAATTTTTGAAATCATCATCGCTGGTAGCTACCGCTATTAGTCGATTGTCGTAGCTAAGTGACAATTTCACTATACTCTCCACTTCATTGGTATTGCCATCAACGAATGTGGGATAAATTTTCATTCTTTTTCTGCGATCATAATCCCATAGGCATAAGTTCCCATCGGAGCCACCCGTGAACAACGTCTTTGACACTTTATTGAATTGTATCGCATTCACAGGATAAACCAAATCTGTATCAGTGATCTTGTCATGCGACCTATGGCATTTGAACGTGAATCTTTTGGAATACTGGACCTCTGGTGAAGGATCAAAGTATTCCATCGAAACCCTACCGTCAATAGTTGATACTCCAAAGCCGTCTCCCAGAGGAAGACACCTAAGGTCATTTATTTGATACGAGAGCCCAGTATCCCTTACTTCAAGAGGTTTCTCCATATCCCTGGCGTCATAGATTTCAATCCTATTCGACTTTAACGTCATTACGACTAGGTTCTTGGTAGTATCCATTTGAAACACCTTGGAGTCCATTTTTCTTTTGAAAACACTTCTTATCTGTCTAGTATCAACCATTTGAACGCTACCATTAAAATTACTTGCAATTAGCACATTTGGCATTGCTGGAAGGGGACATAGATTGTTTATTCCATTATCTATTCCTTCATCTGTGCTATTCAAATTCTCTGAGTCGAGAGTTAAATTCTCATAATCAATCTGTCTTATACTACCATCAAGACTCCCACCGTAAGCTGTATTCTTTCCTTCAGGATATGCGAGTCGAAGAACAGGACAGTCGGAATTAATTTGCGTGAACGCTCTTGTTTGATTGACATCGGAACAATCATAGAGTAAGACCCGGTTGTCCCATGATGATAACAAAAAATGATTCTGAAAGGGTGAAAACTTCAAATCAGATACTATATCCAAGTCATGTGGCGCTGATAGACTTATGAACTTTGACTGAGTCGTCATTACTTCGAATTACCTCATATACATTTGAGATGCAACTTTATATTAAAGAATACCGTAATGGAATTATACACGACGATCAAATTATAAATGATATAAAATAAAAAGTAAATTATTGCCCTATTTTGAGTTTTACTATTTCAGCAGGGTCTTGATCTGGCTCAACCCATTCAAATTTATCGCTTTTATCCAACCAATACTCAAGAATAATCTTTTCTTCCGGTAGTTCGTTAAGTACAATCTGTCGTTTCGATAGTTGTCGCCTGAAATATCTTTGTAGACTGAGAGTCTCCGGATCTTGGGAAGCCATAGAAATGGAGGTGAGATTTTTCTGAGGAAGTTCTATGATATAGTCATTCAGTCTAAACGAAAGTAGGCTCGCAACATCCCTTACTTCACTATGATGAAAATTTTTAATATTAACTTCACTATGTTCTTCAAAATAAGTGATGATTATATTTATTAAGCTTAGTTCGTCAAAGTGAGTAACTTTGTGTACTAAAGACTTATATGGTCTCCAACTAAGTCGTCCAAGCTCCCTAGGATACTTCACCTGGCTAAGACCCCAGAAAACAAATGCCGTAGATATACTATTGACCACAATCCATAAAGCAGACTGTAGGAAGATCGCTTCTAAGATCAGTAGGAACATCACTGCAACTCCCTGACCAAGTAGGTCTCTTACGAAACGATGCTTCTGATAGCTTATATACCTTTCTGAGTTACATGTCTTTTCAAGTAGCTTAAAACAATTGTGGTAATCCCTTTGAGAAAGCAAACAGCTTAAACCCACCCTTACAACTGTCATATCCACCTCATCCTTAGAGAGTTTATGATTCAAGTTTTCTGTAATCAAATCATGAATGCGAGATACCTCAATGGGAATAGGTGTTGTTGTTAAGTATGCTTTTAGAATTGCATCTTTAGATATAACTAGATATTTATGCTTATTCAAAACTCCCCATATTTTCCTCTCGATATCTTTATTGGAGCCAAATTTTAGTTTCAAAAAGTTTCTTTTCTGACTTATTATACTACCCATTTGCAACCTTCTCCCTGCACGAATGCAATCTATAAGGTCAGCTTCATTAGGTTCTCGCTTTAACTTATTAAAGTCATGTATTCTCTTGCTAAAAGTTTCGTAATTCAACGGCTTTCTCGTATAAAAGTCGCTAAAGTATCTTTTGAAGTTTACTACTTGACATTTGAGCATTAACTTTAGAAAATTTAACTACTGCACCATCTGGCATACAACTAAAGACAGACTAATTTTAGTATAACCTTCTAGAGTCTTTGGGATTCATTCCAAAATACCGGCATATAGATACATCATTAATCTGATTACCCGATTAGGCATTAATCAAAATAGCACATACTGTCTCAAAGCTACGCTATTAAAGAATATATTTTAGCTATTGAGTATTATTTAATGAATTGATTGATATACGCTATGGATTCGAATGACCCTCAAACCATAGGAGAAGACGAGAGCTCGGAATTCTCCTATGTTAAATCAGAAATATTGAACAGGAAACCGAGTAAAATGCTCCAAGAACAAGACTACGAAGAGAATAAGAAAGATGACAAAAGCATTGATTTAGGAACTCCAGAGGTTGAACAAGAGAATGACTATGAAAATGAGGCAGAGATATCTGACTTGAAAGACTCCCTGGTTGTTTCTGTGGAGAGGCACAGGTTACTGCACAAGGATTCGGCATCTTTTCTTTCTCATTCAGAGGGAGAGGATGACATTGCAGAACCTGTTTCTATTCAGCTTGTGAGAAGAGGAACTCTTAGAAGTGTGAAAGATCAAACAGATCACCAACAAGACACCGCCTCTGAGGACACCTCTGTGTCGTCAATTGGAAAACTCAACACCGAACGTTCATCTAGCACAAGCAAGTTGAAGCCATTATTTAGCTTCAAAACAAAAATCGATGAATCTATTCCACCAAGGTCACCTCGAAGGCCGAATTCTGACATTTTGTACTCCCAAATTTTGTCTGATCAATCAAGAAATGTAAATACATTTAGCGAAATTATAGCGGGCCACAGAAAGCACGTTTCCTTGAGTATAAACGATGATTTGGATAGGCTTATGGAAAGCGCACAGAGCTTGAGGCAAAATGATATAAGGAGTTCCGGTAGCGATATTGCTAATGCCTCCAGTATATCTGAAATACCTGACACGAATAAGGTGGAAGAAAAAGAGACAAAGAAAGAGGAAGTGATAAAGAAAGAGGAAGAGATCGAGGAAGAGGAAGATATAAAGAAAGAGGAATCACAAATTAAGACAGATCTCGGTAGCCACCAAAATGCTGATAATTCTAGTTGTGAGACAGGCTCATATTATTCAAATGATTCTAGAAAGACATCGAGCGTATCCAAGGAAACTTTTCAAACAGCAGATTTTTCCAAACCATATTTGAAACAGCGTTCACAGTCGAGTCATAACTTGCCACCGCGTCCATCCCCTGACAATATGCAAAGAGCTAGAGAAGTCTCAAATCAATTGAGTAAAAACATTAATGAACAATTAGATACCTCATCAGACAGAGATCAGCCTTCAGATAGTGCTTCAAACAAATTTCCCGAGCTACAGTCTCCCAAATCAGTAGTTGAACCGGCACTACCAGAGCCAGCATCACCCAATTCCCAAGACATCATTCATGAAAGAGAACATAAAGATGTGAATCCTGTTATTGGGGATGAAGAATATTATGACATTGGCGAGCCCGTTTTAGTCCATCGTCCTTCACAAGCCAAATCAGTCAAAGATGCTACAAAACAACCAAAAACAAAGTCAAAAAAGACACGAGCCAAGAGACCAAAGTCACATAATTCGAACCACTCTCTCAAGCCCTTTTCATATTCAACCTTAATCAGCCTACTTGAAAGTACAAATGGAACCATTATTGGAGAGGAATTTAACCAGTTGAATTTACCAATCAAAGAGAAACAATTAATCGAGAAAATTGTCGATTCTTTATCTCGTTTGACTCTGGATATGGTAATAGATCAATCGAGGTATGATATTGGCATCAAGAGACTCGAATTAGCACTTCGTGCCCTAGAAGGCTTTATATAACCCTTATCAGTAGGCAAACATACTCATGTTTACGTATGTAGAGTTTGATTATTAAAGATTATTTTAATGCACATAACTATTCATTTTTTCCCTCCTTCAGCTTCAATACAGCAACTTCAGCCTCTAGTCGTCTTCTTTTTCAGATATCTTATCTTCTAACACGTTGCGGATAATTTGCAATCGTATTTTGCTTTGTGATACAATTTTGACGGGTACTGGCTGAGACACTCAATTTGGGGTATGAAGGGTACTTTACACAACAAAGAACCAGTTCCAACACCAAAGAAACTTCAAGAGGTAGCACCTCGATCCTTAAAGATTTCCACTTAAAGTAACCTTGTATCAACATTGATATCTTCAAGTGGGGAAGACCTTAATAAGAAATGTGGGAAAACTTTGCAAGTGTTGTTGATAATAAAATGAAGGTACCGCCCACGGAAGATAATACAGGGAGTTGTGACTCAAGAAAAAATCTTCGAATAGTAGTGAATGACTACGAGGAAGAGGAAAGAAATCAGCTTAAATCTCTTGGTGAGCCGATTTCGCTAAGTTCTCCAAGTGCTTTGTCGCCTGTTGACTTTGATAAAATTACTCAGTTACCCACTCCAATTTTGAATAACAGTAGCTCCGGGACGTTTTCCAATTTCCCGCTGCTGCTGAATAACTTGATTGACGTCAATAAAAATCGAGGTAGAAACAATGACAACAGAGTCATCTCAGAATATCGACCCATATCTAGTGTTGGAAGAAAAAACTCTCTTCTGGACAATGCTTCGAGCCCAAGTAAGAGGTTTGTATCTAATCCGATAGACCAGGATCTCTTGGTTTCAGCTTCTACGCAAGCGATTCCAAGCCCGCCTATTGAGAAAGAGTTATCGTCAAAATATTATAATCGCATTTTTGAATCAAAGAGAAACGGTAAATGTTATAAATTTGTTTGCCAAATTGGCTCTGGAAACTTCAGTACTGTTGTTTTAGCAAATAACGTATCAGATGAGCATGATAGAATCGCAATTAAAATCATTTCTGTTCCATTAGAAAGTTCGACTGAAATGTTCAACTTTAAATCATTCATTAAAAGGGAATTGAATATCTTATACAACCTTAGTCATCCATGTATAATCCATCTTGTCGATTACGATATTAACTTTGCAATTAATCAATCACAGATTGAAAATGTACAATACTTTGAAAGTGAGCCTGATAGTGAAGATGATAACAGAATCTTTGCTGAAAATTCCGAAAACTCAAATTCAAATAATGAGCAATTATTGTTCTTTAATTATTGCTCGGGTGGTAACTTGTTTCAGTTTCTGTTCGATCTATTCAAATTAAATTGTAAAAAAAATGTTTATTGGAAAATTATAGAAAGAGTTGTAATTGAGCTCTTAGTTGCTATTGGGTATTTGCATTCGAATAGCATAGTTCACCGAGATATTAAATTAGAGAATGTGTTGCTCAATTATTCTTTTGATGAGCTATGCCAAATAATGAGTCACAATGATGACATTGGCGAACCGTTTCGCAAACCACTTAGTAACTTATCAGATTTTGGTCTTTCGAAGCGTTTGAAGGCCCCGGATGAGCTATTGAGAACTAGGTGTGGATCCAAGGATTATATTTCGCCCGAAATTTTGATGGGCCTTCAATATAACGGTAAATTGACTGATTCATGGTCATTTGGTGTTTTAATTTATGCACTTTTAGAGAATCGGCTACCTTTTGATCCTCTCCCACTAAATGAAATTGCGGTCACGAACGGGATATCTCCGTCAGCGATCAAAAGGAGAAGAGCCAAAAACAGTGTAGCTCATCGCATCGCAATGATTGATTGGGACTGGTTCACCGCAAATGAATTGCTTAATGATGAGTCGGTTGATCAATCTAGTAAAATCATTATCACCAGGTTGAAAGACGTTGCCGAAGTTCTTCTTGTTAGAAAAGACAAACGTAAAACGGTATCAGAGATTCTTTATGACGACATAGAATTTCCTTGGATCAAATCTATATTGCCTAGTGAAATATCTTACCTACGCTTCTCTTCTAATGAGAAATGAAGTAAATATTTAGGAGCCTTGAACTAATATTTAATATTTAGGGTGTAAAACTAATTTAATCTAATCTAACGGGACTATATGAAAGTGTCGTAAGCTTTATGTCGCACATTTCTATTGAAACGCAGCAATGTCGCGAAAAGTGTCTTAGAAATATAGAGAAAAAAGACGAGTGTAAAGCCTTAACCTAAAAAACAGTTAACAGAAGTGTCACCAATAACTTACTTTTCGAGACAATCATTGTTTTATTGATGGTAAGCTATGAGTACTCCGAAGAATGCTCTGAAGGAAGATGCGAGCACTAACGCGATGGATGGCATTCATGAGCATGGAGGTATAGTAAATAATGGTCGTAATGGCGATACTAAGAAAGTACCCGAATTAACTCACATTACAAATAATATCATTCCCTTGTCCCTGGTGTTAAAATTCTATACTCAGGAAGCCTATAAACAACTTTTGACTATGATTGAATCTTTGGCTAATGAAAGTGAAACAGAGCCCGATGTCAAGAGAAAAAAGAAGTTCTTGCAGTTGATCATCTCCTTGAGACAGGATTTTGTCAAGCTCTATACTTTGGTTAAGTGGGCTAGTAAGTCTAAGGATGTTTCCAAGTTGATTGATATTTTAAACTGGCTCAGGACACAAGAATTCTACTTCGATAATTTAGGACTCGGCTTGAATGAATTGAATAGGTTCTCTGGAGCGAAGCTACCAAATGCCGACATTGTGACTAGCTTGGAAGTATTTCTCAAAGGTCGGCCTCAATTGCCATCTTACAACCTCATTGAAACTCCTAAAATCTCATCCGAAAAAATTTTAGAGGTATTACGAGACCTTAACTTGGTCCTTCAAACAAGAATGGCGTTGATAGAAAATATCCCCAAAAGGCTTCTTCAAAACTATACAATTAAAGATGGAAGAATATACTTTACCATTCCTGATGAGTTTCAAGTATCTGTTACCATAGCCAATGACCTAATTGTAGAATCTGATGATGATTATAATAAATCTCCCTTTTTTTTCATTGATTTTAAATTTTTGTTTGGGATTAATCCTGACAACTTCTTGATTACTTATAGGAACAACAAGGTAATAACGGAACTACCTTCCTCGTCTCATCAGCACTTGGAAAAAGTCATTAATAATACGCTTCTTCATGAAGGACTTCGTGGCTTATATGATGTTTGCCATAAATATTGCATATCTTTCAAGTTGTATCTAATTACTAGGCAATTAAGAGACTTGTCTCTAAATACCAAGTGGAGAAATAACATCCAATTTAAGTATCAAAATGCGAAATCCTTGATCATTATAAACTATTGGTCGTCCCATTATCTATCAAGAAATTGGAAATCATTTATAGAAATAGGAATTGACAAAACCTACAACTTGAATTTCAGATGGTTTAAAAATGGTCGCTATGTTTTAGACCATGGGATTTCAGGCATTTTTGATAAAGGATCTTCCCATTTCGAGAATAATAACGATGAGCAAAATGATGAGTTGCAAGATCTCAGCATCGATTTACTTATTAGCATTATCGCTAATAAGCATGCAGAATCATTAATTTCTCAAATTCATAGTGCTTTTAACAAAGCGTTGTCTTCTGATAACGAACATGCTTCCCACATTGGTCCACATCAGTTGCAGTTAAAGCTCGCACCCAACAAATCTGCTATATTTGCGATCAACCCGTTGACGGGCTTTTTCTATTTCACTGAGCCAAATGCTGCTCAAAATCAACTTTGTAAAAAGAATAACAATCCACCTCATAATGTTAGTTCTTCCTCGTTCTATAAAGAAGAAGATATGATTAAAAGTATCGTCAATAACCTAGTTTCTTTAAGATTAGACACTGTTAACAAAATTATAAACTATCGGTTGATCACCACGGGTTGGATTGCCAATGATGTCATTAAGATTCTAGAACATGATGCGTCCCAAATATTGGGCAATAACGAATCTCCGCAGGATTTTGGTAAAGTACAATTTTATAGGAGGAAGAATTGGCCGTCGAGTTGGTTTTTAATATATGTGATCAATGGAAAAACCTCTGCTGCCTGCTGGTGGGTTGCTAGGATTAGATCGATTAAAGCTGAGTGGAAGCTTCAATGGACATCTAAGTTATCAGATCAAGAATCAGAATTGGGCTATGTATTTTTCCACAAGTTATCAGATTTATGTTCTAGCAAGATAATAGATCACATGTTATTAGAAGAACTCGAGACAAAACACATTAAGTTTCTTATTAAGGATCACGCTCCAGATTTTATGAGAAAATATAATATCGAACCTTCAAATGAAGATGAGAAATCGATGATTTACGATTCAATGATTGTACTATTTAATGATGGAAACTTGCTACCCATCTACAACTCGTCTACAAGTTTGTTTCTAAAAATTGTAGTATTAAGGTCAAATAATTCAACTTTGATGAACTTGAAGTTAATGGGAACTTTGAGAAATTTACCTATCAAAACATTCCAAAAATGCTTTATTAAATTAGGTTTAACTATAGGCGATGATCAAAGTTCCTTTAATATCAATGATCTGATTGATTTGACTGATACTATTAATGAAAATTCTTCAGGTGTTATGTTATTAGATTCCATATTTAGCAGCTTGACTAGACTAAAGGAACTTATAAGAATTGTGGATCAACTCTATAAGAATGACATCAAAATTGTTGAAAATACGATGGACTCAATTGTTTTACAAATAGATGACGAAATGCCCAATTTAGAGATCAAGCTACCTGAAGATAGTAATGAATCTATTAGATTACTGAAAAATGTGAAATCTGATGGTCTGCAATACGAAATATCTTTACTTTTGGAATTTTTGAACTTATATCTCAATGAAAAGATAACAGATTACTCAATCATAGGAATCATAAAATATTTAAAAGAAGTTGTTCCAGTCATCAAAGCTATAAAATCTACGAAGCAAGCGATTTCCAAAAATTCGGCAAGGTTGAGCAACGGGCTCCCAAAACTTATCTTCGAAATGAAGATAACTAACTTGAATTTGATTCAAGTCATATACTATCTTAATTACACAAACGCTAATGCTCCGAAGAAGATGACTAAAAGCAAAATAGTCGTTAGCTTATCATTTAGGCTCAACAAATTCAGTGTGAAAAAACAAAGTCTTTTAAAACTATCTTTGAAGGACAATTTGAATTCAAAGAACCTTAAACACAAACAGCTCTTTGAGCAAATATTTAAGGCAATAAATGAATATGAACAATCCACTAAAAATTCACTGCTTGTTAAAGTAATGAGACTTAATTATGACTTTTTAGTGGATTTTCGAAGTGTTAAAGTCTTAATGCTGAGAATAACTGATTGCTGTATACTCTATTCTCAGGGGCTTTAAAGTAGCATCTCAAATGCATTCTTAATGAGTAAGAAAGGGAAATACAAGTCTATAGAAATTTTCCTTCTAAAAATTTTTATTTAATGCAAATTTCTTATCCAATATACGGTACACCGTGTTGCTATTAACATATTATACATTCATTACACATTCCTAAGCCGCATCATACTCTCACTCTCCATGATCATACTCGCAGTCATAATTTTTTTTGTAACATCCTTCGCACTTATTCAATAACTTGTTGAACGAACATCTCACCTTTCTTCTTCTACATGCAACACAAGAACTCTTCCTGGAATTTGAACCTGTCGTCCCAGTATGCTTCTTCTTTGACACTTTGTTTTGTTTTAAATCCGGAGCTACAACTTTAGCAACCGGGGCACATATTTTTTTGTGACCCATCATGTCTTCCTTGGTATAACCTTTAGAAAAATGACACTCCAAACCTTTTGCACGGCATGACTTGCATCCCTTGAATTTGATTATCTTGTCATTCGCTATCACCAACTGGGCACCATCGTCCAATTCCACAGTCTCTTTATTCCAAACTAACCTTTTGAGATGATCATCTGTGATACCCTCAATGGTTTGCTGTTCAAGCTGTAAAGAACGAGCTACTACAGTGACTTCTGCAGTGCATTTAACTTTTCTCGAACGACATGCATCGCAGGATGGTCCAAGACGCTGCCTTCTCTTGGATTGTACGTGCTTATGATTCTCATGCTGCTCAAAGTCTAAGTCACTTTCAGGAGGAGAACTCGTCCCTATAACCAGCAGAGGGGAACTTATTGGCAGTTCTTCTCCCGATGTTTCAGAGCTTGATGAACAGGCCGAAGCCAATGAGCCCCACAGAGTCAGTGCTGCCAGAGCTGACAGGAGAGCATTCTTCCACTGGCTATTGTCATCGTTATTGACTCCAAGATTCTTTAAATTATGTTCAGTCAAGCATAGATTGCTTAATGGAGGAAGTGTTACCGGTATATTTGACCCAGTGTGTCGTTTTGCAATCGACGGTGTTCCGTTTATTCCCATAAGGGGAGGTAACATCACCCTCCTAGGATTATACATTATTGAATAGCTTAGTAAATCTGACATAGTCTGTCACTTCTCATCAAATATTGTATTAAAAGAGAGAGAGAGAAACTTTTAGTACCGGACAAACGTACCTGTGTGCTCCGTCATTATATATATATTTATTTTTCTGGGGTAATCTCTAGTCCGGCTGCGGAGGCACACCGAACTACCGGTAATGTGGTTCTGGGCGAGAGGAACAATTTGTAACCAGAATCTCCACCTGACCTCGGGCAACATAACAAACGGCTGTGGTAATTGAGAGGCGATAGTTACGATAGGCAATGGAGAACTCAAAGGGACAGGTCAATAGAAACATCTCCACTTCTCGTTCCCTTCGACCCATGTGTTTGTTCAGTGATATCATTTCATTGTTGACCTCCTTAGAGTCTACCACTTGTGAGTTTACCGGTTACTTTGGTAATCAAAGTTTGCCCTCAGCCTGTCAGCGTTTTTCCGTACTCAGCACGGACTTTCATGCACCGCTCGAGCAGTTAAGTGTCCGATCAGTCGGAATATAGGACCATTGGCAGCACGATAGTTGCGAGGCGGCAGACAAAATCCTTCAGACGCGGGGCCGGAGTTTTTTCTGCAGCTAATATCCCCTCGCCTGTTCCATATGCCCGAGATGTCGAGGGGCGTTGGAGGAGAGTGAGGAGCATTCCGATATAACCCGTAGGATAAACTTAAAGTCAGATGACTCAAAGTTAGTAGGCAAATAGGAACTCAAGCAGCTCGGACATAACATCATCCGAGGGAATGCTAGAAAGACGTTTCCCGGGCTGTTGGATTAGATGGCCTGAGAATTGTCGTATGATGCGATACCCAAGCTTGTTTACTAATTCTAGCAAAGCTTTTACATGGAGACAAGACAGCTCGGAAAAGTGGAAAACTTAATGTCGCGCGCGTGTTACATTAGAAGTGGAGACTATTCTTTGCAACCGTTCTGAATGTTTGTCTATCTTTTGAAATAGTCCTTAAGGAGAATATTCGAAAGAAGTGCTCGTATTCAATCCCTCATCTCCACAGAATGTGTTGATCCGTGGGTCCAAGGCGCGTAATATATTAACCCACATACTCAAATTTATCTAAAGTTCGTCTTGGATTTGAAGAGCTCTCGCGGATGCGATGATGATTTGGGATCCTTAAGAGCAATCATATGAGATCTAGGATATCTTCCCTTCTCATATTAGTAATCTCCACATCGAAGAAATACTTTACGGTATTGGAACATTTATCTAAGGGATCATATATAGCAGATCACACGTTTTCGTCAGCGTATCTGTCTGATATGTAGGAATCTGGGTAGATCGAATGATAACCAAAAAAACAAATGGTGCCAATACGCACGTGACTAGAAGCGTGATACCATCAAGCTAAAGGTGAAATTTGTTTCTTGACTTATGGCTCTCAAATATTGATTATCCTCATATTCTCCAGGTCAGGCTCTTCAAAAACTATGTGATCCAATGGCATTCACCTGTATCTGTTTGTATTCCGCTGCGCACTTTACATTATTCAATCCATATAGGCATCGTCTCTTTCATTTTTGTGTCTGTATTTATCAATTTGCCTAATTGGGAATGCAACAAACATTAGCTGTGAAAAAAAGTCGGACCAGGTATCAAACTATTCTTGACAAAAGACTTCTATCCTTAGTTTAATATTGGATCTTCTTCATTTGAAAGACTAAAGTTCGTCAACTTCCATACGCTTGGGAAAATGGATGATCCTATACCAGGCTCGTTTGATACGAGCAGTAATTTGGGTACTCCAATTAAGAAAATAAAAGGTTTAAATTTGAATTCATCTTCGCCCCTTAACTCATCTCCCTTATACCCAAATCTCGATGAAATAGAGCCACGAATAGAGCCACACATGAAACTGAAAGGATATTCTCAAAGACTTACTAATAACGTATTGAGAGAACTCAATGTGAGAGCAAATGAGATTTCACAGCTGTTAAAGACATCTCCGAAGGCACAAATACATAATGAAAGCAAGAGGAAATTCAACGGAATTCATAGATCTAGGTTCAATAAAATGGACAGCATTTCTTCACATTATTCTATTCATAGAAGGCCGAAAGAAATTAGTCCCACGAGGGTGGTGGCAATAACAGAAAATGAAACGCCATCTACTTCAAATGATTCGGGAAAGAGAAACCCCTCCATCAACTTAAGTTCTGCATCAAAAAGAAGAAGGACTTTAAATGGACCAGAGGAAGTATTGAATAATTCTTCGCCATTAAAACATACTGGATATCCTTTAAAGTCGAGCCCATTGAAAGTTAATTCTTTGAAAATAAGTCCTTCAAAAGCATCCGTCAACCTTCATGCAACAATTTCGTCAGCATCTAATCTCAACAATAGGCCACAAGAAACATTTAATTATGTTAAGCAGAAAACTGAGATGAATCCTCCACAGCTTCATGGCTTAAATGGTTCTAAAATGAATCCATCTAAGAAGAGTCCCTCGAAGATTAGTCCGTCCAAACGGTCAATGAATTTACATGAAATATTACAAGGAAATGTCCAAGAAAAACCAAAGGCGTCAACTAAATCTCTCAGTAAGAGAGCATCTTCTTTGGAACTAGCTGGTGTGAAGCAACCAGTAGTGCGCAAACATGTACCAACTGATACAAGCGAAAAAGGCTCCCGTTTAAACTCGAATTCGTCTTTACGTTCAATTCCAAATCTACAAGCCTCTTCATTTAAATGTCATGATTCAAATTTGAAGAAGTCTCAGAGTAATATCGACAAGTTACACAATCTACGGACAAAGGCTCCTTCTACTCTCCAACTACCAAAATCGACAAGCTCTAATTCATGGAAATTACCTGAAATGGGACACAACGCCAAACCTTCACTAACGGCAAAAAATTACACAATTCCGCAAGCACCCTCATTTTATGCAAAGCCAACTATCTCCTCGTCCCAAAAATCATTAAACAGGTTTCATAAATTCAAAGACCGATTCCAATAATTTTAAATTTATAAATATTTCAATCGTTTATTTTAATAAATGTTACTTTGTACTTTGATTTCACCACCTACAGAAATATTTTGAGATGCACTCCACTTTTTACCCGCAGCAAGTTTTACAAAATCTGATACATGTCCTGGTTCAATACATAACATTTGTAGGTAGCCATCTTTAGGAAGAAAATCAGCCATCCCTTCAGATTTCTCAATCCAGGGATTCCAAACAACTGTATCTGGCAAATTAAATCTCTCAATATTTGTTAAAACTTTACCGAATTCAATGATTTGAAAGATTTTTGAGGTATCAACTTTTTTATAAATCCTGTCAAATTCTTCTGTGAAACCAACAATTGGTGATTTCTCGACATAACTCTCAGCAAGTAATTGATCGTAGCATTGCTGATCTACTAGGTTATTAACAAGAGTATCTGTGACATCAGGGACTTTATAATATGTATGGAATAGCCAATTAAATTCGAACGCTTCTATTCCAGTGTTTTCTACTTCAATACCAGTTTTGAGCTTTCCCTCTTCTAACTGAATCGTCAAGATTAACGTAAAATCATAGCTGCCTCCGTTCCAGCACTTCAACAACTCTGGATCCACATTTTCTGGTCCCAAACCGAATTGCACAGTCGGCGGATTTTCTGAAGTCTGACCCAAAAAATCCCAAGTTGAATTTCTCGCAAACCCATGCTGTGGAAGATTTGCAGTAGGATGACGTGTATCCTTTTGTTTCCCAAAGATAGGGAAAACCAACGGTATACCACCTCTCACAGCTCTAGACCCGTCGAGCTTAGCACCCTCACTCAACCAAAGCTTTTCATTTCCTTCCACCTTCCATGATATGACGGTTGCCCCAAATTTCAAAATAGTCACAGAGTTACCTGTATTTCCTACTGTCAAAACGACTTTGTCATCTAAATCTTCGACAACCATTGTAAACGTTTAACCCTCTTGCTTGATCGTTACTATTACGTTAGGCTATGGAAATATCTATCCTTGTCCACAGGACTTCCTATAGACGATACTGCATATAGACGAATATTATGCTAAATATATTATAGGGAATAAGCGGACTGCCAACAGCTAGTGCAAGCTCATTTGAACTTTGACGAAATGAACTTCTATTAAGTCTTTGGGCCTAACATGTAACGTTCTACTGTAGTTGCATGAAGCCTTACAAGTTCCCCTATATTTTCAAGAAACCTCCGGAGCAAACAACCGCTCGGGACGGAATTGCACAAAATGAAGGGTAATATGACACAAAAAAGCGCGGACTAAACATAATTTCTTCCATTATTTGTTGTAAAAAGAAATAATAGGAGGAAGTGAGTGAGCATCTACTAGGAAGTAGAAGAAACTGCTCTTTAATATAGATAACAACTTTCGTCGAGAGAGGAAAAGGTCAGAATCTGTAGAAGATATGATGGCTTCAAATCTCTTAGTCAGATCTCGGATAGTGCAGAAGCCTTACCAGCTCTTTCATTATTACTTTTTGCTGGAAAAGGAACCAGGAAATGAATTAGGGACCTTAGAATTTGACACTAATATAAACAGGACATTAAAGAAACTACAGAACTACAAGTGGAACGTGAAAGATATCGCACACTATGGCTTTTTAAGCTCAGTTATTGGCTTTGTCTTTCTCATCTTTCCTGTGACGTTTTTGATCAAGATACCAATATTATTGATCTTTTTGAGTTGTCTTCTTATTCCACTAACATCGCAATTTTTTGTTCCAGCATTGCCAGTGTTTACTTGGTTGGCATTCTACTTTAGTTGTGGAAAAATTCCCACAACTTGGCGACCCGTAATTTCTGTCAAGGTGTTGCCGGCTATTGAAACAATTTTTTATGGAGACAATTTATCAGCAGTATTAGCTACTACTTATACTTCGTTTTTGGATATTTTAGCATGGATTCCTTATGGTTTAGTTCATTTTTCATCACCTATTATCCTTGCATTCTTCATCTTCATTTTTGCTCCCCCAACATCACTTAGGTCATTTGGATTTGCTTTTGGCTATATGAATTTAGTTGGAGTTATGGTTCAAATTTTATTCCCAGCTGCTCCTCCCTGGTACAAAATAATTCATGGCTTGGAACCAGCTGATTATTCTATGATGGGGTCACCTGGTGGATTAGGTAGAATTGACGCTCTCTTGGGCGTTGATATGTACACTTCAGCATTTTCTAATTCACCCGTTGTTTTTGGTGCTTTCCCATCCTTGCATTCAGGTTGTGCGGTTATGGATGTCTTGTTTCTTTGCTGGCTATTCCCAAAGTATAAAGTTGTTTGGTGGGCATATTGCTCTTGGCTCTGGTGGAGCACAATGTATTTAACTCATCATTATTTTGTTGATTTAATCGGAGGTGCTGTATTGTCATATGCTGTTTTCAACTACACTAAGTACAAACATTTACCTGTGATCATTCCATCTAATTTTTGTCGTTGGTCATACTCTGAGATCAAGAGAATTAACATCAGTGAACACGATCCATTATCTGTTAATTTTATGTCAGAGGAAGATATCGAAAATAGAAATCTGATCCCAATGAGTAATTATCCTTATTTCTTTTCTCAGCATGCACCAACACCAAACAATAATGACATTCAAACCGGTACATCTGCGCGGCCGAGACAAGCTTCAAGATCTTTCGTTGGAACTCCAAGTGCAGGTAACTCATTAGATCCAAATATGCAAGCGGTAGCCAAGTCTTCCTCTTCAATCAATTTACTGTTTAATGAAGAGCCCACCATTTTGGAGACGGAGACTTCGTCATTGGAAAATAATAGTAATGTGCCTTCAGTCTTTGATGAAGAGCATAATAGCTCAGCTGCATCTACTACCTCATTGGATGAACTAGAATCCAACTACAGTACAAAGCCAAGCAACTTCCAAGGGGACGGAAGTAGTAATCTGAGGTATAATAAGAATAGATAGACGGGATATGAAATAGAGATTAAATGATCCCTAAACATGGATTTCAAATTAAATTGGGAGCGGCAAAAGGGCAACGCTTGAATATAATCTTTAAAATATGAGAGAATTTAAAGTGAAAAAAAAATAGAGTCACTTTTACTTTTAACTTGATGACTTGCAACTGTTAAATTAGGCTCAAAAGTCTTAATACGTCGTGACTTTTTGTAGACTACATTTTCATTTAATACGTAATAATTTAATTAATATTTTTTACTTAATGATCAATTTAATGCAATTCGACCTTAGGTTTAACGATCGAATATTTCTATGTACAAAGTTGACTAATTTTTAGTTGTAGCATAAACAGCTTTCTCAAATGAAGTCCCTGGATTCAATGACTTTTTAAGATCATGTTTCACCACATTACATCTTAAAATTCTTGGATCTCTTCTCAATGTTCTTAACAATTCCTGTTGAACGTTTCCTGAGACGTCAAAATTCATCATAAAATGGTAACCTTGAAAATGCCTTTCTTGATCTTTTGATATTACCTTCGGTAACGTTCTAGCTCCCATTCCAGTTATGTCTCTTATTATTCCTCTATTGTTCAAGATTAACTTTCCTATGGTTGACACAATCTTAATAGCCTCCCTATTAGTTTTCAAAGGATCCGAAATCCTCGAAATGGCAAATAACTCATAAAGCATTCTCGATCAGCAGCCCCAAACCTAATATTAGAGTACTTCCTTTGCTTTGGCTCTGTAATATTCAAGAGTAGTTTGAGATTCGATTGATATTCTTTTCTTGCTCGACCTTAAGGAACGATATTGAAATTTTTCAGGTTAAAAATTAGCGACATTTTAGTTTAGCCTTATTCATAAGCGACATTATTCTAGCTCGAGGTCACGAGATATGTTGAAACTCTTCAAATTTTCAGCTACCTTGAATCAAGATAAACTAATACCTGTTCAAGAAATATAGAAACTATTGCAAAAATGGCCACAAACATCGTTTGGCATGAAAACTTAACTCATGAAGAGCGTTCTGCTTTAAGGAAACAAAAAGGTGTCACTGTTTGGCTAACAGGTTTATCTGCAAGTGGTAAATCAACTATTGCTTGTGCTTTAGAACAGTCGATACTTACAAGAGGGCTCAATGCTTATAGATTGGATGGTGATAATGTAAGATTTGGATTGAATAAGGACTTAGGTTTTAGTGAAGCTGATAGAAATGAAAATATCCGCAGAATCTCAGAGGTTGCTAAATTGTTCAGCGATTCATGCTGTGTGACTTTGACTAGTTTCATAAGCCCATATAAACAAGATAGACAGTTGGCTAGGGAATTACATGAAGCTGATAACCTACCATTTGTCGAGGTTTATGTTGATGTCCCGATAGATGTGGCTGAAGAGAGAGATCCAAAAGGTTTGTATAAGAAAGCTAGAGAGGGTATTATCAAGGAGTTCACTGGTGTAAGTGCACCCTATGAAGCACCAGAGAATCCTGAGATTCACTTGAAAAACTATGAAGGTGTTTCGATTGAAGAATCTGCGGAAAGAATAATCGATTATTTAATTGAAAAAAAATACATAAAATAGATAGAATAAAAGTCACCTATTGAAACTACTTATTTTTTTAAACTATCGAGTCTAGCCTGCAAGTCATCCTCATCATTTGTAGGAGCACCGCCTATAGGTTGAGCCACCCGGTTACTATTTGATACCGGCTCAGCAGAATGGATAGCGTTCGGCGTATCCTTAAGCGTAGTATTCAAATCAACTCCAATTTCATCTAAAACTTTTCCTAGTATTTCATCTACTTGCTCATCTTCGCCTAATTCATCATCCTCCATCGCATCATCCACAGCATCCTCCATGAATTCTTGTTTTTGATCCATAAGGTCATTCTCCTTCGCAAACTCTTGAGCAATTCTCGATAATTGAGGAAGATTCATTGAGCGATTCATTCCATTTAAAACCCTTGTAGCATCTCTCATAGATGTAGCCATCTGTTGGTTTGATCTTACTGATTGGATCCTTAATGATATGGCTTGAAGTTGTGCCTTCATAGAATTAAACTTATTGATGTAACTCTTCGTTCTGACTAGATCTTTCGCCTGAATCTTGGCGCTAGAGATTTGACCCTGCTTCGCTGAAGCTTTAATATCTCCTATGAGTTTTTTTTCTTGTTTCTGTAGTTTAACAGTCTCTCTACTCAACTCTCTTTGAGTACGCTCAAGCGCTCTCTGATTTTTTCTTAATCTTTCTTGAGGAGTTAATCTCTTTCCAAATGCCCATTCTAATATTTGAGACATATTCGACAGCTGTTTACGTCACCTAAGCAGCCGTATCCAAATTCGCCTCTAATCTTTCAGGCTGAACTACAAGTTGTACTCACCTCACCCGTTATCGTTGATATTTCTATTGACTATCTAAAAATGTGACACAAACTGTATATAGTTGGGCAAGAACATCAAAGCTTCGGTGATGCTTCAAGTACCAAATTGACAGCTTCTTCGGCCATTCCCAATCCAGATTGAAACCCATATCCACTAGCTCCATAGTTATGTACCAAGAACTTCTTGTCGTCAACTTTTACCTTTTGAATTCTAACATTTCCATGGCGGCTCGGTCTCAATCCAGCTACAGATCTAACAATTTCTAAATCTTCTAGATTATTACCACGAGGATTTGAAGTTAGAATTTCGGGAAAAATTTTAGTTGTTCTAGCCAAGATGTCATCATTCTCAGACTTGAACGTATCAGCCGTCCAATTATTCTTTTGCATAAAACCTCCCAAGACTAATTGATCATTCGAGAATGGTCTTTTGATTGCATATGTTGCATAATCCGACCCCCAAAAAAGAACGTTTTCATTTATGTATGGAGCTTTGATGACTAAAACTTGTCCCCTTAATGGATATACTGAGGGGTCTTCAACGCCCCCAAGTGACCTTGCTCCAAGTCCAGTACAGTTGAAAGCTATCCTAGTATCTGGAAAGAAAGCCTCGGAAATGTTCAGAAGCTTGTGCTGTTTAACGGTCACTCCTTTCTCTCTTAAATAGTTAAATAAACTTGATAAGAACTTCGGTGAATTGAAATTCCAAGTTTTGAAGTGAATTCCAAATACAGCACCTTGTGGTAAAGCTGCCTCATTGATCTCACGATATTCCTTAAGGTAAGATCTTAAAGACCGAAGCTTCTGCTCTGAGGGTCTCTTCTCGAAATACTCAGTCGAATAACAGTTGTCCAACCCACATTGTGGGCCACCTAATTTCTCTTGAATTTTGTGCAAGTTAAGATAAGAAAACTTGTCAAACTTGAGAGTTTGGATATCATCTCCCGTAATACAAGAAAAATTTCCCCCTGCAAATGGTGACGTATAGTCGATTGACTCGTCGCCGGGAAAATGCTGAGCAATTATAGTGACATCACGGGCAGGGACGTTTTTATCAAGTAAGCTATACGTGGTGTATAAACCAACTATACCTGATCTTATGAGAAGTTAGCAAGCTCTGTTTGATGATCGTAATCTAATCAACTTACCCAACAACGACGAATTTAGTCATTAGATTAAGGTCCAAATTATACGTTTTACAGATTAATATTTATTCATCCTAGAAATTTTTCCAAGTGCGCACTTTAACATAGATTACAACATATAAAACAGATCTACTTACGCAACTTTACCATGAGTTATTCGTTACGACTAGATCCTACCAAAGGCAGCTCGCTGGCATTCTCAGGGGGCAGATATCTATCAATAATGTCATAGACCTTATGTACAATTTTATTCGTATCCTCAGTTGCAAAATCTTGCATCCCGTAGTCATAAATTGAAAAAACCCCATATATAGCAAAAAGAGCACAAACGACCACCGCAATGTATCCTTTCGGAGTAAATCCATCAGGTAAAGGTGCTACTTGAACATTTTCGCCACTAAGATCTAACCATTCAGATTCAGAATGTCCAGAACGTCCTGCAGCATTACCAATTGAAGACATATTTCCAGCTTCGCAGATGTCTAAATGATTTTGAGGGAGTTTCTGGTTCTGTATTTCAGTAGGCGCCTCAATCAACACAATCGCAAGTCCTTGTTCTAAATGCCAGTCAACATGACAATGGAAAAACCAAACACCTGGGTTATTTGCCTTAAACCTTAAAACAATAAATCCATTAGGATTGACCATTACCGTGTCCCTTATCATGGGAAATTCTGGAAATTTGTTATGATCTGGATTATTAGGATCATACACGATAGGATCATTATCATCAGTTCCTTCTTGGGATCTCGAAATTACCTGAAAATTATGACCATGCAAATGAAAAGGGTGTTTCCCGGGGTCTTTATTGTTCAAAACAATTTCCACTATCTCATCACTTTGTAAAATAAAAGAATTTGTGTTGCTACCATAAATGTGTTGATCATTAGCATAATTTTTACTAGACTGGACGGTCATTAAAGTTGGTACTCTAGGGGGGACATAAGTCTTACCATTAAAAAGCGCATATTGAACTCCATTGCCCAAATTTTCCATGGAAAAGTTAAGTTCAATTTTGTAATCAGCATCTCCAAAGAGAGGGTGTTCTTGCAAGGGCGTAAGATCGAAGTCATCAGCTGGATTTAAAGACTTTAAAACCTCCTCATATGTTGAGTCTAAACGCGCTGGTAAAATGTTTGATTCATCGTAAACAAACCAGTTTGTCGAGACGGTTTCAAGGTCATCTGGCAAGAAATCTAACATCTCTTGGTCCAATACATTCACAAACCTAAAGTTTCGACTTACGTCATCGCGAGTATGTACGAGAACTGAATAACGTTGTGCAACGGCGAGGTACAAAGAGTCCACGACTTTTGGCTTTACTACAACTCCGTCTATCTCAACAATAGTAAATTTGTGGTCTTCAATAAACAAATATTGGGAAACAAATAAACCAACGTTCGCAATTCGTAAAAGGTAGGTAGTATTCGGTTTGACAGCCCACTTCACGTCTCTTGTGTCATTAAATAATGAGCTTTGAGGAATAGGCTCAGTGCCTGTTGGATTATAGCGACTCAAGAAACCTTTTGTTATTTCTGCCGTTTCTTTGTGATACCAATCACTAATACTTAAAGTTACCTCTTCATCAAATTTCACATCGTCATCCTCAATAATGAATAATCCTCTTAAGCCATCTCCATACTGCGATCCAGAATGTGAATGATACCAGTAGGTTCCGGCTTGGTCTTCAACTGTGAAATTGTATAAGAAAGTTTGATTTGGTGGAATAGGACACTGAGTAACCATTTCTGGACCATCCATGGCGTTTGATCCTTTTTGGAATAACCCATGAAAGTGTAATGATGTTCTAACATCCAATCTGTTAGCAAGGTGTATTACTACCCTATCGTTAGTCTTTACTCTTATTGTTGGTAGTGGCCATTGATCGTTTATTCCAATAACTCTCCTTTCATACAAGCCATCAGGGTTAGCCGTCACATATGACACATTAAAGTGAAATACATGAGTTTTTGCTGATACTCCAATAGCAAGGATCAAACCTTGAATCAAAGTCAACCAATACATTTTAGTGCTGGCTTGAAAGTTAATACAGAGATTCAAAGAAAATGTTTAGTAGATCTCGAAATATTTTTAATCCCGAATATTTTGGCAGCAAAACTCACAACCACAAAAGAAGACTTTAAGAGCAGCATTCAGTAAAATAACAAGAACAACCTTGGAACTATTCAGCTTGACATACAATGAGGCTTAACCACCAGCACTTAGAGTATAGAAGAACTTCAGCATGAATATTTATTCTACAGCTTTGATCAGACAAGTAGAGAAAAATTAACGAACAAGCTTTATACATTGCTTCACTAAATATATGAAAAAAATTCGATTTTGTAAAGTAATAGAAAAAGCTTAAAGAATAACTAATTATTTCGAAAAGTGTATAAGAGTCACGTCTTATAAAATTTTCTGAATGAATATCAAATGTGGTTCAGTTGACCTTACCTCTCATTTTTTTCCAATTATCTGTTCTGTTCTCATATCTATTTCCTCAAGAAAGCGAAAATACCCTAGGAGCTTCACCCTCAGGACCTATGTATTTTGGATCTCTCCAAGGGCCATAATCATTCAAATACAACTCTTGATCAGTAACATTTGATTTGCCTCCATATTTTTTAGGTAAATTTTCCGCTGGAATCTGTTTTAACAAATCCTTTTGATAAGATGACCCCAAGATATGAATTTTTGATACAGTTACAGGGTCGAGGAACGGTTTAAATAACTTGAAAACGGTAGAAAAACCAAATGGTGCATTGATACAGTAAAATTTACCCATTCTCTCCGGATAATAATCCTGTCCAATACGGGAAGCTTCTCTCACATATGTTGTAACTTGATAAGCGGATGATAAAGAAATTCCTTTTAAGTCCATGATAGTACAAGATGTTTCAACCAAATATCCTATTTTTCGGGAGCATGCAGGTAACCTATTTCTAGTGAAGGCTTCGTATTCCCAAACAAGATTTTTCAACATTCTTTCTTGGGTGGTGATCTTCAACATCTGGGACAAGTTCACGGCACCCAATTCTTCGTAATAGACAGGTCTCCCGTCGTTATCTGTCTCGTGATAATACTGAGGATACAATTTGGCAACAAGGGGCTTTTCGTCATAGTGGAAGTCTTGTAGAATATTGTTAGTTCCAAAGTCCTCCCTCCATTTCTCACAATTGGTAAACATTACCTTGGCCTTCTCTAAGTCAAATCTTCTTGCTCTCAAAAACCTCAACAACGATGCATCATCAAGTCTATCTTTGTAGCCATCGGCTTCTAATTGCTCGCGAAATTGCTTTAATATCGACTTTTGTTCGTCAGTCAAGTTTGAAGTATAGCCAGTTAACTCCGTAGGAGCTGAAATCTGAGGGTATGAGTCTAAAAGTTCCTTTTCTGTAACCATTCTGGGTCCTGTTCTCTCTATATGTTGATGTCACCTAAATAGAACTTCTATCTAAATACTAAGTGTTTCTGATAATAATCCCAAGATATATCCTAATATAGATACTATTACAGTAAAATCAGTGCTATTTCTATAATAACTCCAGTCTAAGAGACGTTTAATTGTCGCCTTATAAGCTCGATTAACTAAAATATGGTTGGTTTAACCCTTTGTATGAAAGCAATAAAGATGTTTCTGGCGGCGGCATTTTTTGCTGTTTGGATTTATTCCGATCTTCGTTGAGTACCAAATTTTCTATACACGTGAATAGACCATAGGCCACTAACTATACAAATACAAAAATTAACTTTTTCTCATCCATTTTCTAAATGGATTCTTAGAGGAACCTTTAAGGACACTCCCCAAAGCATTTGAGCTCATTGATCTTGAGATCAATCCGCTTGATATAACCACTTGATTACTATCAATGTCATTGGACAAATGATTTTCTGCTGAATTCATAGAAAACTTAAGCTTCAAGTATGCAAAGACGCTGTCGCCAACAACTTTGTAGAAGCTAGGTACCGCCATGTCCCTTTCAAGATATACCAAGTTGTTTCTCGACAAGTCAATGTAGCACCGAGACAAAACATCACTTACAAAAGCATTCCAAATATCAGGATCATCGTAATTAGACGGAACCTCCGGATTATCTAGGAAATCTTCAAGGTTTTTAATTTTATTAGTCAAGGTTGTACTAACTTTTTGGATATCCTTCAACGTGACGTTAGAGTCTATAAAGGAGAATATATTTTCGTCATTTCCACATAATGATTTAATGAAGCCTTCCGTTTCGTTATCGCCTGCTAGATCCAAAAACTCTGACTTTTCGAACTCTAGAGATCCAATTTGATATACGCTTTTTTCTTGGTCTATTTTAAATTCCTCAGTGCCAAATTTGGATATGTCATTAGTCATACTAATGCCATTATTTAAAGAGTTTATCGTCGATGTTGATGATTGAGACGTGATTGTAGCAATTTGTTGTAGGCTCAGTTGCTTCGAAATGGAACTTAGATCTAATAGATGGATCAATTCAGTTAGCCTCAAGTATTTATCAATAAGATACGGTGTGGTTGGCAACTCGCTGGATGTAGAGTCATTGCTTATTCCTAAATCAAATCTCTTTACTTCATGACTCAAGTCAAGTATTTTCTCATTGAAATCATTTTTTCTACCAGTGATTTTATCAAAATAATCCAAGAGCTCCTGTTGATGTGCTTCTAAGAACGAATTCATTTTAAGAAGATGTGGTTCCTTATGAGCAGAAAATTCTTGCCGATTCGCTAGGTTCAAAAGGATCTTTGCAATTAAAGTTAAAGTTCTTTGAGATGTTCCTGTCTGGTGGTTCCTTGTTAAATAAAAAAGCTTAGGATTCAAAATAGCTGGACAAAAGAATCTTAAAAAAATGAAGGCACTAAGGCAGTTTAACGCAGTTACTCTATCATCTGGGTCACACGCCAACTCAACTTTAGTCCTAAAATTTTTTAATTGAGTTTTAATCTGCTGAGGTAAATCATTAGACGTGATATAAATTTTATTCCAAATTTCTTCCGCATAACCATACAAATTTTCAAAATTTTGTTCCGTCATTTCTTTGACTTTTGCTTCTCTCTCGAGGTCTTCATCAGAGCTATATTCTTCATCACTATCAAGGTCGGAATCTTCAAGAGACTTTCCTAATCGTGACGCGCTTTCTTGAAGTTTGACATATCGAGGATCAACCTCGCAATTCTTTTTCTCTTGTTCAATTTTTGTAAAAAAATCGCCGAACACTTTCTCCAAATATTCTTGACCAATTCGAAGGTTATATCTTTCTAGTGACTTCGAAAAAATAGATGATCCTCTGAATAACGTATTGAAAACATTATTACTAGAGGAAGATTTTGCCTGAGATTTATCATTCCTTTTACCTGATATATAGTTTTTTCTGGTCATTTTATCGACATTCACCAATTCCATTTCCATTAAAGACTTGAACCATTCCGATTCAACACTTAAGCTTTGGAATATATCTAACAATATTAAACTGATATTTTCAAACTCAGACGATGGCACATTATCATTACAAAATTTAATCAATTCTTTCATTGGGGCATTTTTCAACATCCTTTCCAAGGGCTTAAAATTATTAGGAGCCAACACATGGTATTCTTTTAAGCTGACGTTCAACATAAGATTCCCAATTCTAATATTAGATGAATCATAAATCGATAATCTCACAATATCATTGTTAATTGACCCGCTCAAAGTATTGCATGAGGAGGAGTGGGCTAAAGACATGGAACTACCAAACCCAGCTTCTGTCATTATAGTGGAATTCTTGCCTAACTGCTTAGATAATACGTCCGGTGTAACATATACAGTACCAACCACCTTATCAGCAGACAGATATACCTTGGCATTTGAAGCCTGTTTAATGATGATATGTATCATTTGCGTCAGGATTGGCAAATCTGTTGCAAATTGTTCTTTCCAAAAAGGATTTGAATTCCAGTTCACCATGGCGGTTCTCGACCAACTCAATCCCCACATAAATACTTCTGCATAGACTTTGCCTTTTGAATGCTCGGGTAGCATATCATCAAACCTGGCTTCAATTATATCAATTACGATCTTTTTACTTACTCTTAAAGACTCTTTACTATAATCACTTAATGATGGAGTGGCCACCAGTTTATCCTTCATTGCTTTCAGTTTCCGTCCGAATTCTCCAATATATTCCTTTTTAGCAAAATAATTCAAACCTACGAACCAATCTTCCAAATCGATATGCAATGGAAACTCGATGAATATTCTTTGACTATTAGCAATAGGTTTAGCATCCTTTACTAAAAAGGAAGGATAATTTTGATCTTTATAAAGTGGACCTACAGATTTGATAACCGAATTAGATCTCAACTCCTTGATTTTTCCCACGAATAAAACGTTGGAACTATCAAAAAGTGAATGGTGTACTTCTCTAATCTCTGAAGTCATTATAGTCTTAATATCTATGGAGTATATCAAGGTACCATCCAACTCTGAAATAAAATTCAATACCCCATTAGATTTCAAAACACCCATCGTGTAAAACCAACCTTCATTGATTTCATTATTTGACTGTGCATTCGCTGAGCCAGTAGCGGAAATGTCCAACTGCGTATCCACACTCGGCTGATATGTCGGTGCCCTTGGACCCTGTACCACTTTTAAATTTTTCAATTTAGGAATAGGTCCATATATTTTAAATCTGCAAACTAAGAGCTCGTGAGGATTTTCTGTTACTTTTGATCTATCCACTTTATTCTCACAGTACCATTTTTTTACTAAACCCAGGGGCTTCAATGATTGCCAAACTATTAAGCAGCTTATCAATTTAATAAAATCAGGCCGTCTTGAAACCCTGACATACAATTTTTCATTATCATAGGTCTTGATAAATATCACAGGAGGTTCATCGAACGCATTGGTGCCATTGGCACCAGTGCCATTTTCCAAAGTATTGGAGCTAGTTTTTTTATTGAGACGTCGTTTTGCTGGTTGTTTCAGTTGCTTATGCAGTGATGACATGTTAGGGAAAACTTGTACGAAGCATGATTGAAGAGATCTCAACATCAAATAGCGCTCGTTTTCAGCTGTGATAGAGTATAGCTCCCCATTTTCAGTTATCTGTATAGATTGAGGAAGAATCCATGTCACCGCGTCAGAGGATAACGTGTATTCGCTGCCATGTAGTGTTCCCATGTCATCTAGCATGATTTTCTGTATTGATTTTTGCTGCTTCATCGCGTCCTGGTGTTATTCACGTATCTTGGGAGGATCCTTAAGCTCTTTCTACTTTTTATATCTGGGCGTTTTATTTTGACTCTCTCTGTATTTAAGAAGGTTCAACTTACGGTCCTTTACTCTCCGTACACGTTAGTCCGTTGATCTATTATTATCTCCAAGTTTATTATGGAATCACCGTTCCGTTCTCCTATACCTCTAAATTGATTTTCCTAAGCCCTTAATGTGTCAATTATTTTGCTTCTTTTCCGATCTAATCTGCCTGTTCCTGAACAATTTTTTCTTTTCGTCTACTTGATTCCTGGCTATGATTTTACTTCTTGTGTCTAAATCTTCTCGTAATATACCCGCCGCGCACTTTCCTTAATAGTCGAATACTGCTCGTCTAACGTTCACACGATTTTCCGCAAATTGTATTATGTGGTAGTTCAAGGGTCTATTGTTGAGACACTCCACGATTGGATTCGATGTGGGCCCCATCGTGAAAAACTCCGTAAAAGATTGTTAGTAAAAATAGCTTCATTTAGACTTCGATCTCTGGTCATTGGTCTCCTTCAAATGCGCTTATTAGATGAAATTGAGAACGAAACTACAGTTGCATTGCCTATTAGTAGTTTGGTCTAACCGAGAACTTTTTTGACATTTGCAGGTTTCAGAGCCAAGCTCATATTAATATAGAGGTCTACAAATTTGGTCATAGTACTATTCCCCTGATGATAGGGTTAGGTCCAAAGGTAATAATATAGCACAAGGCATTATAATCAGCGGCATTTGAAGCATCTCGTACATCGATGTCGCAGGTACAGTATAGTGATGCTCGACTCATATGTCGTCAAAAATTCACCTTTAAGTAGAACATTATGTTGCCATAGACGTAAAGGATATACTCAATTGACTTTATCAATCAAACTTTAGTGCCAAATGGAGCAAATAATGACAAACTTATAGTGACTTTCGTCAGCTCTCAACTGTATTGAAAGCAGACTTTTTTCAGGGCTCTTTTTCAAATAATACTATCAAGTATAATTTTGTGTAACAATATTTGAAAATTTCTAGAGATTTGTCGCCAGAGATTAGCTCATTGAGGTCTGATGCGTATATTTATTTTTCATATTGCATAATTACTTGTAATTCTGAAGTTTGTTAAAAGCTGATTTAATGTGCTGAGAGTTCTAATTAACGGTTAATGACAGCAGAGTATGAGCGGTCTTGTGTTTCAAAATTTCGATGAACGATCAGAGAGTGACGGCGAGAAGTGGATAGAAGGCGCCATGGGTGCCCAATTGTTGCGTGATATTATCGATGGCGACGATGATGAGGATTTTTATGAGGATTTCAACAAGGAATCTCCAGACGTTATAAAAAGAAGCCTTCCAGAACATGCTTGTGTATATTGTGGAATTCATACGCCTAACTGTGTTGTCAAGTGCGTTACTTGTGACAAGTGGTTTTGTAACGCTAAATCTGGATTAAATACATCACATATAGTGACGCACATGATTATGTCGAAGCACAATGTTGTTGCGCTTCATGAAGAGTCCGACTTGGGGGACACAACCTTAGAGTGTTACAACTGTGGCAATAAAAATGTTTTTATTCTTGGGTTTGTAAGCGCAAAGCTGGAGTCTGTAGTGGTAATTTTATGCAGAATCCCTTGCGCTCAGTCTAAAGATGTAAACTGGGACACATCGCAATGGCAATCATTAATTGAAAATAGACAGCTATTGCTGTGGGTTGCCTCTGAACCTTCTGAAGAGGATATCGAAAACTCAAAAATTGTTTCTCATTCTCAAATCACTAAATTAGAAACTCAGTGGAAGCTTCACAGAGACGCAACTATTGACGAAATTGAAACCAACGATGACGGGGATGAGGAAGTGCTACCAATTTTATTAAGATATGATGATGCTTTTCAGTATCAGCGTTCGTTCGCGCCTCTAGTCAAGCTTGAGGCTGATGCAAACAAAGCTTTGAAAGAGTCTCAAGCTTTAGAGCATATTCAGGTAAAATGGGCTTTGGGTTTGAATAATAGACATTTAGCATCGTTTATTTTTTCCACCTTTGAAAGTAACGATTTAAGAGTTGCCGTTGGTGATGAAATGATTTTGAGGTATAGTGGATCCGATTACGAACCATGGGAAGGAAGAGGCTTTATTGTTAGGGTCCCGAATGCTTATTATGAATATTTCACGTTAGAGTTGACTCCATCAAAAAGTCCACCACCGGTAGATCAGACTCGAAATTTCACAGCAGAGTTTGTATGGAAGGGAACTTCGTACGATAGAATGCAACAGGCTTTAAGAAAATTTGCTTTAAATAAAGAGTCTGTATCAAGTTATGTTTATCATAAATTGTTGGGACACGAGGTTGAACCCGTAGAATTTGACATCAAAATACCCCGGAACATTTCATTAAGTAAATTAGCAACATTAAATGAGTCTCAGGTTAATGCGGTAAAATCTTCTTTAGTGGGACCATTTACCTTGATCCAGGGCCCACCCGGAACAGGAAAAACAGTTACATCGGCTACAATCGTTTATCATTTGTCAAGTAAAGGTAAAATTTTGGTCACTGCACCCTCTAATGTTGCAGTTGATCATTTAGCTGCAAAATTGGATGTTCTTGGCTTGAAAGTAGTAAGGTTAACGGCGAAATCGAGAGAGGATGTCGATAGCTCCGTGAGCCACCTTGCTTTGCATAATTTGGTCAATAAAGCGGCCAAGGGCGAACTTAAAAAACTAATAGCTTTAAGAAATCAAGTTGGTGAATTATCTGATGCGGATGCAAAAGCTTTGATCAGGAAGGTAAGGAAGATGGAAGAAAAAATTTTGAACAAGTGTAATGTAGTTTGTTGTACTTGTGTCGGGGCTGCTGATAAAAGATTGTCGAAATTGACGTTTAGATCTGTATTGATTGACGAAAGTACTCATGCCTCTGAACCTGAGGTTTTAATCCCGATTGTCAAGGGAGCCAAGCAGGTCATTTTAGTTGGTGACCATCAGCAAATGGGGCCTGTTATTTTCGACAAAAAAGCTGGTGATGCGGGTTTGAGACAGTCTTTGTTTGAAAGATTGGTATTGCTCGGAAATATTCCAAATAGATTGGATGTTCAATATAGGATGCATCCTTGTTTGTCTGAGTATCCCTCCAATGTATTCTATGAAGGTACTTTACAAAATGGAGTTACTAGTGAAAGTAGGTTGCTCAAGCATTCTAAATTTCCATGGCCAGTGGAAAACACGCCCATGATGTTTTGGGCTAATTATGGTAAAGAAGAATTTTCAGGAAATGGCAGCTCGCTTTTAAATAGAGTCGAAGCGATGAATGTGGAAAAAATCATCACCAAATTGTTTGAAGACGGAGTCAATCCTGAACAGATCGGTGTTATTACACCATACGAGGGCCAAAGAGCCTATATTGTGCAGTATATGTCAATGAACAGCACTTTGACTAGCAAAAGAGAACAGTATTTGGAAATTGAAGTGACATCTGTAGATGCCTTCCAGGGAAGAGAAAAGGATTTTATCATCTTGAGTTGCGTTAGGGGTAACGATCAGCAGAACATTGGATTCTTAAGCGATCCTAGAAGGCTCAACGTTGCTTTAACGAGAGCTAAGTTCGGTCTAGTGATATTGGGTAATCCAAGGGCATTGTGCCGTAATAGTCTATGGAACCATTTACTTGTGCACTTTAGAGAGATGGGTAGCTTAGTTGATGGTCCACTTGACAATTTGCAATTATCAATGGTGCAGCTAAATTCTACTTCCAAATCGGTTGGTTTACAAAGAAAATCATTTCCTGGATCAAAATTTTCAGCTGACAAACGAGACTTTGATACCGAAAGTATAGTCTCGTTTGCTCCTGAGGGTTCTGGGCATCATTTGAAGCAATCACAGTGGCCAGCTTTCAGCAGGTCCTCGCAAAATAATAGCCATGCAAATTCACGTTCGTTAACATCAAATTTTGCAAATAAGCTTAATAAGTTGAACGATGATTTCGATGGAAGATATATTGATAATGATATCGAAGATGATATAAGAAGTATTTCGGCAAATTTCACTGCCGGATTGAATTTCAATTAAAGTGCTTTCTTTATAATTTTTGTGATAAATATGTAGACTCTATGATGTCTTCTTCATGTCGTATACAGTACATATAACTGCTCCATACATTTTTAGATTTAATACTGTTAGAGGTAGTGATGAGTGCAAATACATCATTGTAACTAGTGCAAAGACAAGAGATGCCTGAATCAAACCATGAGAGATCGCAGCAATATCCTGAAACCTTAAAAACACAGTTCTCTACTTCACTCTTAAATCCAAATCAGCAAATTGATTCAGTTGAAAAAAAAGATAATGAAGACTTAAGATTAAGACCAGAGAAAACCAAGTTCAGCCAAAACATGTCGACTGCCAATACGAGTGAAGGGCAATCCTGCGAGACGTCTGATGATAGTTTGGGATCTTCTGTTGATTTTAGGGGCGGCCAGAGAATAAAACTAACGAGCCACGAGGTGAAATTAATTTTATACCTTATTGTTGAAGTAAAGCCATTCAAATATATTGGTAAAAGGTCAGTGAGCCAGTCAAAGAAATGGGAGCTAATACAAAAAGAATTCTCAGACACATTCAAGGAAAAATCTAATGAGAGAAATGTTGTTCCTACTGTGAGGACATTACAAAGGCAGTTAGCGAACGCAATTAAAAATGCTAAAAAAAAGAGAGAAAATCGGGTTAATAAATCGGAAAAAAGCCATGAAGAAGACTTGGGAATAATTTTGAATAGCTTAACGAGGGAAAGCTCGAAAAGTGACTTGGAGAATGCGATTCTTATGCTTAATGAATTGAGTGAAAATATCAAGACCGGTAAAGGGGTCAGTCTTATCTCTTCTGATTCGCATGACAAGAACAACTCTACCTTAGCGAGTCCGAAGAATTATGTTGTGCATAATATGAGAGACCACACTACGAATAGCCCTGTGGACTTAGTTTTTCGAAAGGTTGAAGAAACTAGAACCCAAATCAATAGCCTTATGAGTCAACTTGCGTCTGAAGGAACAAAGACTGGGGATCATAGAAAACCTCAATTGATCGAACTACTTGATACTTTACTTCAAGACAATATCAAGTTCCAACAAACTAATGAAACAGAAAATAAACGACTTATTCAGAGTACACAGGATATTATACGACACCAATTGAATGAATGCTGCAATATTCTTGAGGCAAACAATAGATTTCAGGCTGAACAGCATGAACAGAACAATCAACTCTTAAGAGAATTGCTTAGTAGGATAAAAGATATAGATGGTAATAAAACTTTAAGAGATGATACCATCCCAGGCAATACATTAAATTCAATCTTGCTGTCGCTGGTCACTGATAAATAGCACGCACGTCTACTACTAATTCACTTGAGAGAAAACGGCTAAGCGACAGCTCTGATAACTTCGAGATAGTTTGATGCTGAAGACTGACAATAACATTTCCTGATAATTACGTCTCAAAAATTTTGGACTAAGTATCTAAACTCTATAGAAAGTAGCCAAAGTTCAAATAATTCACGTAATCGTATTTCATTTCCAAACAAGATAATATTTGAACCAGGATCCTGGTTCTTCATTAATAAGTCATTTTATCATATTATTTTACGAATTGTTCCAATATGAAGTTTTGTGCAAAAAAAAATCAACGAAAGGTGGTGAATTTCTTTTTTCTTTACTTAGATCTTTGCTACGCGATACTCTCGTTTAGAATAATGCAAAGTGGGGGATTGTCACTTTTTTTCTTTTCTCTACTCTATTTTTTTTTTTTTGTGTTTTTTTGCAATTATCATAATAATTTATTAAAATTCGATATTCTGTAAGCTTGAGAAAAATATGTATAAAAAATGTATTTAAAAAGATTAAAGATGTTAAGAGTACAATGGACCCTTAAGGACAACTTAACTGTAGTTACCAAATTAGGAATCCCTAAGCTCTCAAAGCTGATTTCCAATCTGGGGAATGAGTATATGTCAGGAGAAATATTCATGCATTTTATGAATAGCCTATTCAGGAAAGTCAGAATAAACTCAAATTACCAATTTAGTCCGTGAAGAACATTTCACAATAAATAGAGAACTCTGAAACCGTAAAAAGGGTCGTTTCTTGTTTTAGATAAGCGAATTGTGGGGTTGTTACTTCTTTCCAGATCAAGACATCATTGATATTTACTACGTCATTTCAAAAATTCAAAAGGGTCTTTGAAAGTTCCTTTTTATTTTAAGTTATCTAACATAAGCAAGACAAAAACTACATCTGAAAGTTTACCTAAGCAAATGTCTATTGAGATCCAGTAAAGGGTCTCGAGAAAACGGATATAATAATAATTCGAAAAATAGAATTCTTGTAGTAACGTGAAGAAGATAAAACGTCTTCGGAGATAATTTAAATGCAATTCCTGAATTGTATTTCAAAAACAGAAAATTGTTCCTCTTTAAATAGACCCGATTGATGAAATGTGAATCAGAAAACGAAATTGAGAACCAGTAAAATCAAGCGCCAATAAATAAAACCTTTCAAGAAGGCAACGAAAACAACTGTAGCCCAGAATATGCATAAGAAACAAACAGTAACCGAAATTCAAATTAAGACCTCACATGGGTACAATAATGTTTATTTCTCGGTTGTACGAAACGTAATAAAGCCATGAAATTGGCGTGAAACATAAAAGGAAGCCATGATATAGGCACGAAACATAATGAAAGCCATGATATAGGCACGAAACATAATGAAAGCCATGAAATAGGCACGAAACATAATAGGAAGCCATGAAACTGGCACGAAGCATAATGAAAGCCATGAATTTGGCACGAATATTGGTAAAGGATGAGCTCCAGGATTGCAAACAATGCCTTGAAGCTGAAAAGTGATTTCGATTTGTAAAGATCGAAATAAAAAACCACGAGTGGTACTCAACCGAAATTAAAGGGGTATCATGATAATAGGTAGAAAAAGTAATAAGTTAGTCGTTAAAACACAAGGAATTTAAAATGCGACGAACGCATCCAAATCAAATTCCGGAATTTGGGTCATAAAATAATCAGATGAATTGCAGTTAAATAAGGAATTGTCCAAATTCATTGGTCCATTTAACAGTTTATCATCTGAATGAGATGGTTCGGAGATTGGCGAATACATGAAAGAAGCCTGCTCTCTTCCATTTAATTTTTCGTTTCTCAAGTTAATTTGTAACTGATCATTCAATAACATAAAGTCCTCCAAGCAAAAATTGTTCTTGGAAGTCTCAAAACGAGATTTGGCTTTATATGACGCTTTGCCCTTATAGGGTTCAGAAATTGTATGCCTGTGTTTCAATTGAGGCTTACTTCTCTTGGGTGCATTCGGACCGTTATATTGTTTAAATTGAAATGTATTTCCTGATTTTTTCTTTTGACGAACATCACTAGTAGATTTCGATCTTATGTGAATAGGCGAAAACTTAGACTCTGATTCGGCTGGAGATGGGAGGCCAGAAGCAGAAACAGTCAGTTGATTGAACTGTTGTTGCAATTCCTGAAATTGTATTGCCTGATTGTAGTCAAGTTGTGAGCATTCTGTATTAGAATGGGAATGAGATTGTTGATGACACTGTTGAGCATTATGTGGCTGTAATACATTTGCGTTCCAATCGATGCCTGTAATTCCCAAGCCCATTGGATCGTCAAGCATGGTAACGTGAGAAGGATGCGCCTGCATATAAGCATCAAGAGCATCCATACTCTGGAAATGCGAAGGTTCTGAAATTGACGTCGTTGAGGCAGCAGAGAACATAGAGTCATCATCTGAGCTTATCGAACTAAGGCTGTCGTTCAAATGCTGATTATCAAAAGTCGATCTCTCAACCGCGCTTTCTGGAGATGAAAATTGAGATTCTGCAACAGAATCTTCATCTGACATCTCGCTCTCTGTCTTGATTGGCGATAAGTCGACAAAGACAAAATCTTTTGGCATACCTGGCTTATTCTTAGGCCTTCTCAAAGGAGACCTCTTTAAAGAATACTGATTTCCAGCTGCGGAAATCTTAAGGGAATTCTGTAAACATTCATTAGAACTGTTAGTTTGATCTGGGTTCGATACTTTTCCACTGCCGGTAGATCTCTTGACTCTCCATAATTTTTTGCCATTGGCAGGAGGTAACACCTCAGTTGATCTTAAGAAGTTAGTCATCTGTATTTTTGAAATAGGGATACAGTTGGTGATTCAGCAACATGTCAAACTTACCTTTTAACTTCCATTGGGTATCTGGGTATAAAATGAAAGCAAAATGATCACAGAGTAGAGAAAAAGAGAATAAAGTGTAATAGTCCGAAGCAGGGATATCGAAGGGTATTTATCTTAATCGTAAGGGAACAAAAGAACCCCCCAATAGCTAATTGTCCTGTGTTGCGTTTGCTCATGGGTAATACTGACCTTCGAGGAGACCTTTGTTAGTACAATCAGTCTTCCCAACTAGGCACTCTGCATCTGCAAGTGATTATAAATTTACTTGTCTCTTAATTGGTTACATAGACCTTGCATATTGGGGCAGACTTAGAAATAAACGATACATACTCTATGTGGCTGTTGCCATTCCATGTTTCTCAAAAAAATAAAACCTTAATCATATGAATTTTTTTTCTGTATGATCTCGCTTTTACACTAGTCGAACCGATTTTTCGCGGGGGATCAGCATGTTCACAAGTTAAACTGTAAACCACCTCTTTTCCTAAAACTCATCTATCTGAGCACTCCAATTGACCTTGAAGAAGGCAAATAACTAATGATTCTTCTATGGCTCTCATATGATCATGGGGGTAACCTTTTATTGTGATCTTGAAATCATGATGTAAAAAGTGATTAAGTTCTTTGTTTTTCCCTTTGTGTTTAGTTGAATGCATGAATGTTCCTCCTCAGGAAAATTGACTGCATGATATGGACTAATTAGGCCAAACTGCAAACCTCCTCTTTTGCCTGATCAGGGAAGGTTATGATGTTTGTTTCATGACAAATAAACCTTTTCTGGAAAGTGGAGAGTATGCAAGCAGCAAAGGAACCAACGTTCTTACAGATGAGGAAACCTATATACCGCCCCTTTACCTATAGTTAAGTCTGACATCCTTACTATGTTGACACATGCAATTTTTCCAGTCGTAAACTATGCGGGTTTGTGCGTGCAAACTGTAAGAATGCGCAAAAGGCACTCGAGGCACCCAGAGAGCCGAATGGACGCACAATCAGGTTAGCAATAAACCTAAAGGAGTACAGATATGTGCAAAGATACACATCTCCCCACATTATTAATGAATCAGATACTATGTAGATGAGATTGAGACGAGGGGAGAAGATGAGGATGCCGAAATAAAGCAGAAGAAGAAGAAGAGCTGCATGGCTCAATGGATTTGTGCTAGGCATGAGATATTTGAGCTAGAACCACTATAGCGTTCTCGATCGTGGTCTATAGATAATATCCCTTCAGCGTATATTACACTTAATCATTTTCCACGTTCGAACAAATATCAGAATCCAAATTGGTGGCACCACCGCTGGCATCTGGTTAACACGGAGATGATTCTTAGCAATCATGTGCGTTAAAAAATTATCAAAGATGGGAGTCTGCTAAAGGAGTTGTACTAAATTTTACTCAAGCAAAATAAAGACGAGCTAGGAAATGTGACGCTAGAAAACCTTATTCAAAAATTATTTTCAAATATGCTTACGATTTTAAAATAGATAGTTTAAGTGCTAGATCAGATGTGTATGAATCAATCAGAAATGGTAAGTGATTAAGGTTTCTTTGTTGTCGAAAATATTCTAACCCCTCAAGGCTTCGCTTATTTTGAATATTCTCCAAACGGCTATCGAGCCGCATCTCTTCTCCTCCTAGGATTTGTGCAGGACGGAAAACTTGATCTGTATCAAACGTATTGACGAGTATCAAAGAGAGAGAGCATGTACAAGCAAAACTAACGAGTTAAAGTATAACAACAACACGCTGCAATGCAAATTTATGAAAAAAAATTACGAACGGATAGCGATGAATTAATGCTTCCAGAGCCTCTTACCTAGTGTCTTGATGCATTGAAATAAAGCCGTGTTAGGCATTTAAAAGGTGTTACTCCGGTATATAAAGAATTTACGCGAGAATTTCATTTCACCTATGTATGAGAAGTATGACAATTGATATACGTAAGACATTCAAAAACTTGGTTGACAATGATGTGCTCTATCAGCGAATATCTTCTAAATAGTTATAATCACAATATCATCAGATCAAATCTATTTGCATAGCCATCTATATCCCGGATATCGAAATAAACGTCGCATAAAGTTAGAAAGTCATGATAATATCCAATCAACTTGAATATCGAAACTATATCGAGGTAAGAAGGTGCATCTTGAGTTAAGGTGTTTCTCAGCTAATAGGTAATTGTGATATATCATTTCTGACTTGAAGAAAACTCGGAGTGGAGGAAATTAAACAAACTCTCTTGGGATAGTATCTTTCCAAACTTTTCTATATATTTCTTTGTCAAACTCATAAGCCTCTAGCTCATTCACTAGAAAGAAACTATTCTTATCCGAACTCAATGACGAGCGTGTAACTATCTTGATATTCCAATCATGACCCCTTTCGTAAGTCAAAGTATAATCGCTCTGTGTAAATGCTGATAATGGGTCATAAGGTTTTATTTTCCAGGTATTTGTATTTAGGCTGCTGAAAGTAATACCACTAGCATTGCCAACTGAAGGCAAGTTGATGGACCCAGAGTCAAGGGTATCGGTAAGTTCCCAAGTATCATTGAAGAAATCATAATTCAGTTGCTTTCTTCTTTCAAAATTTTTCAACATATTAATCTCACAGCTCTTGACTATTGATGGTCCCTCAAAATGAGGCGCGTCTGTGATACTCTCCTCGTTTAGAACAGGTAATTCCAACTCTCCTGAAAATAAAGTTAAAGTTGGGGTTTCTGGTGTTGGCCACAGCAGTGGCCAATCTGTGGGAGACAATGCCACTCGGATTTTATGCCCCTTTTTAATCTCAACACCTAATACGTCTAGCTTGATTGCTATATCGTAAATTTTGAATAACTCTAGCTTCTTCGGAAATTCATGAGACTCTCTATGACTAAGATTAAGCATACCCCATGAAATTAATACCGACTCTCCTGAAGGATAAATATCATTCAATCTTACAGAAATATTTGCTAATGGCTTGTCGGATGAAATCTGAAGCTTAAGATAGGGCTCGCCTACCAAGTTTAGTGAGTCTTCCAAGACGTCAGAGTCAAATGTCAAACACTTTGCGTCCTCTATACGCTGATCTGTAGGAAAATCTCCTTTGAACCCAAATGGACAAAATACACCTCTAAACATCCCATGATCTAAAGAGCCGGTAAAATCTATGTTAAGCTTGGGCAAAGTATCACTGCTAATTAGTTTTCGGTCATCATTCAATTTAAGCGAAATGGATTTTTTCTGTAAATTTTTTAAGGAAATCCATTTCCCGGGTCTATACAGATAAGAATCATTGATTTCACAAGGTTCTTGAACATAAACAGTCATTTTAGGGATTTTAAAATCGCTGTGCACATCAGGCTCGAGATATTTACGAAACCAATTTACTGAAAGCTGTTGAAATCCTATCTTTGGAGAAGGTTCGGCTACTTCTGGATATTCATGAACCCATGGCCCGACTACTCCTACGGAATCTTTATTGGGCAAGTTCTCACACATGCGGAAAACAGCACTGGTGTAGCCGTCTCGCCACCCACCTACAGCTAAAACAGGAATAGTGACCTTACTGTAGTCTTCACAAATGGACCCATGCTTCCAATAAGAATCTCTCCTCTGATGTGAGAGCCATTTGGTAACAAACGGTGGTACTTTTAAACGCTCCAACCAATCTTGTTTCCACGATGGCCCCACTATCTTAGGATCCTGGGGCCTAGCGTTGAACGCCAACATCGTTGATCCCCACCATAGCATGTCGGAAGCCAAAACACACCCACCTCTATAATGCACATCATCCGAATATCTGTCATCTGTTGACATTAATGTAATTATGGTTCGAAGTCCTGGATGCTGCCTTGCCGCAACCTGCAATGAATTAAATCCTCCCCAAGACTTTCCAAACATACCTATTGCTCCATTTGACCATTTCTGAGATACAATCCAGTCGAAACATTCTAAACAATCGTCTTGTTCTTGCTTTAAATACTCATCAAGTAATAGCCCATCTGAACTCCCAGAACCTCTCATATCTATCCTTATGGATGCGAATCCATTACCTGCATAAAATGGATGTCGGATGCTATCTCGCATCGCTGTATTATCATCTTTTCTGTAGGGTATATACTCCACAAGTGTACCAACTTTCTTTTCTCCTCTTTCGGCTTCTAATGGTAACCAAATATGCGCATAGAGCTTACAACCATCCAGCATTGTAATCACCACATCTTCAAGTTTGGTTTGTTTGACAGGCAATTCGTCTATGTCGAATTCCCTTGTCTTTTCAGTTCCTCTAATATTGAATGCCATTACTTTTCCGCGAGCTTCCTCGAATATTTGGCTCTATAAGAATTCAAAAGAGCGCTTTTACTTAATATAGTTTGCTGAGAAGTCTTACTGAGGTCTTTTTAGATAATCGGTTATTACTAGATCGGTTCTCAACAATAGAGACTATTCTAAGCGCGCTATCAAATTATTGAACGGCGGGAATGATAATCAAACGTCGCGGTCACCAAATCAAGGAAAAATATCCCGAACGTATATCCAGATAAAGAATAATAAGACTTATCTGCAGTTGCCGCAGATATACGTAGAATATGGTATATCGTAAACATCCTAGAAAGTAACCCTCGGCGACCCAGAGGTCTCAGATTTCATTTGCAGCCACGTAGGCAGGCTTTCTCCGAAGATACGACCATATCAAGCAAAAAAGATTATAACAAGCGATAATCGTATCAAGTTTTTTTAATCAAAGGATAAGGCAACTTCATGTAAGCGAGGAAATCTATAAGAAGTCGTCATCATATTCTGTTGAATCAAAAGAATAAATTGTCAAAAAAACCAAGAACTGAATTACTCAAGATATCATAAAATACTTCATTCGAAATATGGGTAGCATAGACCTAAAAATAAAAGGTGATGCAGTAGACACCAATGTCGAGAGAATATTCAACGACAATATATTGGATAGTTATGATGAAGAAGAAGAATTAAGTATTCGTAACTTGAAGCGTCACGATCTAACTCAAGTGGAAGGCGATGATCCTATTTTGGCTAGGAAAATGTTTTTAATTAATGAAGCTATAGATGAAATAGGCTTCACTTGGTACCACTTGAAACTTTTCTGTATTGCTGGATTTGGATACTCAGCAGATTCACAATTGGAAATGATTCAGAGTTCTGTCAAAACATATGTTGATTTTCAATTTGGAAGATCATATCCTGTTGCTACAGAAATATTTTACGTTGGTTTGATTTGTGGTTCTGTCTTTTGGGGTTTTGGAGGAGACTTGATTGGTAGGAAGTGGGCTTTTAATCTCTCTTTATTTTTTGCTGCATTGTTTGGGTTCATTACTGGAGGAATGAGTTCGTATGCAACTTATTGTATTTTTCTATTTTTGAACTCTTTTTCGGCTGGAGGTAATATTGCTATGGACGTGACTGTTTTCTTAGAATATTTGCCTTTCAAATACCAATGGTTGACAACATTCCTTGCTGCTTGGTGGGGCGTGGGTCAAACAATTGCAGTACTAGTAGCTTGGGCTTTCATACCTAAGTATAGCTGCGATGTTTCATCTGGAAGTTGTCCTTCACATTTAAACAAAGGTTGGAGGTATTGTTGGTATGTTAACTCAGGAATAGTTATGGCAGGAGCCCTCTTGAGGTTATTTGCTTTCAAACTAGATGAAACACCGAAATTCTTGGTATCTAATGGACGAGATGAAGAGGCCGTTGAATCATTAAGAAGAGTAGCTGAAAAGTATAAGAGACCCTTTAATTTAACTGTTGAGCAGTTGAAAGATTGTGGAGATATTATATCCCATCATCAAGCGGATAAAAGTAAGTTGAAAAATTCAATTGCTCAAATTAAAGCACATGTCAAGATTTTATTTTCAACACGTTTGGTAGCGTGGTCAAGTTTCTTAGTTCTCTTTTCATGGTTTTTAATTGGCATATCTTATTCGACATTCTATAACTTCTTATACATATATATTGGACTCCATGGTGGAAATACTGGTTCTTCAACTTATATTGTTTATCGAAATTCTGCAATAAGCAACTTTGTTGGGATATTTGGTCCCATGGTTGGAGGTTTGATGATTTTAATTCCAAAGGTAGGGCGTAGAGGTACCATGGCCATTGGTGCTATTTGCGCAATGGCCATACTTTTTGCCTACACAACTGTCAGGACTCAAAAAGGGGATGCTGGATTTGCTTCAGCTACGTATTTTTTTGTCAATATTTACTATGGCTGCTTATATGCTTATACTCCAGAGATTTTCCCAGCACAAGCGAGAGGTACTGGCACATCACTAGCACTAGTATCATGCAGAATTTCAGGATCATTGGCTCCTGTAGTCTATTATTACGGTCAACAATCTGGGTCGTCGATCCCAATTTGGGTCTGTGGGGCATGTATCGGGTTTCTTGCTTTCCTTGCTTTACTTATGCCGTTTGAACCTACAAAGAGTCGCTCTGTTTAATCTACGATAGCTTTTTTCTTACTTTTGAATCTTGAACTTTATTAATTTTATATATGATTTCATTTTGAAAACACGAAAAAAATCCAAATAAAAAACGTTACCGCACTCTGTGATCCACATATCAACTCTCAACCAAAGCACCATATGGAACGACCTTAACGATAACAGATTGTAATGGCCTGGCTCAGGACTTCATACAGTTAGAGGAGATGTTAAATGCAAGTTCAATAGCGTATACATTTATGATGTATTTCTCAATAAAAAATATGAAGATCGATAAGATAAAGTGGATGGAGGAAGACCAGATCAGGCTCGCGCGCAAATTCTTGCCCTATAATAAGAGTGCATATTGAATCTCAACGTATTACCACCTCTACTTGCCCCAAACGAAATCTTTAGTTTCTCAAGTCAGACTTTATCACATAAAAGTAAATGGTGGTTTAGTAGAACAAGATACCGAAAAAGCTAGCCCCTATATATGCCTGATTTTTAAATGTAAACCAAATTTGAATTATTGAATTAAATCTAAAGTGTAGAAAAGCTTCCCATTACAAAAAGAACTTGACTCCTTACATAACTGAGATTGCTTATCTTTATCAAATGCCATGTGTAATATATGCTAATTTGTCCGAATCAAAAGTTCGAAAAATTTCAATTCAGGGTCATGTAGTCAGCAATCAGATTACCAAATAGTTTAGCACTTGCCTCAGATGCTTTTGCTTCAAACTAGCCATAGATGGCACCAAGTTGAAGTGAAATAAAGATTAAATATCGCATATGATTACGTATCCAGCTTCATCAAATTTACAGGGAGATGTCTGTCAGCTTAAAAGTTGGCTTTGCACTCTTTAAGATAGTGGCTAAAGCTTCATTTTAATTCAAATATGTACAAAAACGTTACGCCAGACTACCTTCTGTTTCTATATCATAAGCATTTATAATAGAGACAGCTCGCTAAATTTCATGAATGAACAGTTTGAATTCAACTACCTGCATAATTCGAGTCTTGACAAGCTTTATATACTGATACTAACATTATTTGTCACTGTCATCGGATTCTCGACTCTTAGCCTCAATCATTTTTTCTAGACGTTGCTTGGCTTCAGGTGTATATTCTAGCGTCCGGGTATCAAGGTACTTTATGCTTAATCCTTCATGCTCTCTTTTTCTGCGTTCAACTTCCTCTGGTGTATGAGGCTCAAATTTGATATATTGGAAATCCTTACCCACCCTCAGCAAAAACCAGATACCAGCACCCACAGCCAATGTACTAGCAATGACTCTTTGTAGAAGAGATGGAGTGTGATTCAACTTTTGGGGCATAGTAAATGTTAATAAATATGAAAAGAAAAAAACAACTATTCCTGATTAATATGAATACCGGAAATCACACGACTTTTATAAAGTCAGGTGGACTCTAATTAACTTAATATCAGGGAGAAATTGACTGATTATCTATTATTATATTAAGATATTTGTTCCAAATGGCTGCTTTACCCAAGAGAATAATAAAAGAAACAGAAAGGCTCACATTGGATCCAGTTCCTGGAATCACTGCTATACCGTCTGAAGAAAATCTCAGATACTTTGAAGTTACTATAGAGGGTCCTTCGTCGTCACCATACGCAGATGGAAATTTCAAGCTAGAATTATATTTACCAGATGATTATCCCATGTGTGCTCCAAAAGTGAGATTCTTGACAAAAATTTACCATCCAAACATTGATAGATTAGGTAGGATTTGTTTGGACGTTCTAAAGGACAACTGGAGCCCCGCATTGCAAATAAGGACCATATTGTTATCAATCCAAGCGCTATTGGGAGCGCCAAATCCGGATGATCCTTTGGCAAATGATGTTGCTGAAGATTGGAAGAAAGACGAGAAGAAAGCGGTAGAGGTGGCGAAGGAGTGGACAAGAAAGTATGCCATGCCAGCTGAATAAATTATATAAAGCTGTTTCAACCTGTCATTCCTTTCTGTATTTTAAAATTAACTGATTTAGTATGAATAACAGCGAAATACTATCGGTTTTAATTGTGTAGGTTCAAATAAGCACGGTTTATGAGGTACTTTGAGCAGAAGTAAAGTTAGCTATTATGATCACGATGGGAAAGCAGAGAGCACAATTTTTCATAAACTGAAGGATATGAAACAACTCTGAGGACAAAAGAAAGTTCGCTTTAGCTATATAATATAAATTCCGCTTTATTAAATGACTAGTAAGCTACTATTCACCTCTGCGTTCCTTAATCATTGTAAAAAATACTTAGAACTTGCTTCCTCTAAAGATTATCAATAGAATCATTTGCAAGTTACAGAATAATAGAGTTAAAAAGTAAGGACTGCGGGTTCGAATAAGCATTTAAATAAGCCATGTTTAAAAAATTACACCTCTTTTTGTTTTATGTTTCAGTATGAGCGAAATATATATCGGCTCGGAGATTCACATCCAGAGCTTCCGGCTGCTCTGGAAAAGGTCACTTGAATAGAGCACCTTTTACTAAAATATATATCTAAACTGACTCGCAAATCAGTAGATTCATTTCATTGTGAAAGTATAGTTCTGTTTGATTAGTGACTTTCGATTTATATTTAGCTCAAAACGCGTTAAACAACCACCCCCTTCCGGTCTAAATTTTTTTTTTTTTTGTCTAAAGTTAGATCGCCTCACGATACATCACTTCCATTTCTGTTTGAACGGAATTTAGTTTTCTTTCTATTAAGTAAACTTTTAAACATTAGAGACTACTTTTACATCTGAACGCTTGACAAGTATACCAATAAATCACTGGATATCGTATTAGACGGAGCTACATCTATTTAATTGCGTTCATATTTCGGTATACTCCTGCGATTGTCTGTCAAGTAAAATTGATTCTGGTGATTATTATAGATCCATAAAGCTGATTAATAAAGAAAATATCATAAGTACCCAATGTCGGGGGAAGAGGATAGGAGCTATAACTTTTCCAATAATAGCTATGTCTCGGATACCTCAGCAATTAGTTTGAGCAGCGAGATCAAGGGACAGAGAAAGGCTAGTGATCAAACTCACCGAAGTTCAGTTCATAGAAATCAAAGTGATGCTAGTGGTGACTCTTTCTTTTCTACTAGACTGCCGCATATATTGGATCATGACACTGATGGGGGATTTAGTGGCCAACCTACTCCGGATTTAAATATTGAAAGTAGAAGCTCCGCCAGTCCTAAACCGAGCAGGAAAACGTCATTAAGGTTCAGATTGCCTGATTCCCTGTCGGCATCTACACCGCCAACTACGAGCTCCTCAGCCGCATCTTCGAAGCTCCATCATCATAATAAATTTGGTTCCCCTTTCATGGATGAAAATGTTATCATGGAAAATGAGATTTATGATGGAAGTAGACCTCAATCGCCCCACTTTCCTGATGACATCATATATACAACTGACCTTGAACCTCATTCTTCTTCTTCAAAGGATTCCGATATAGGTTCCTCCGCTCTAGAAAGGAAAGAATCAACAATGAAAAGACATAGGTGGGGTACTACTAGAAATAAAAAGGGAAGACCCATGAAGGAGAAAGTTAACAGGTCTAAGACTTTAAAAAAGATTTTACGTCACCCAAGCCATTCACATCGTTCGACTGACCGAAATAATTCTGTTATCAGAAAGCCAAGTAGCGCAGAATCTATAATTGATGACTATGACACCGATAGAGACGAAGACGACAACGATGAGGAAGAAGGTGACCCTGCCGATCGCAAATCTGAAAAACGAACAGTTGTTTTTAATAGAGTGTTAAAGAACGAATTGCTAGACCCCGAAACTGGAAAGCCACTTACCAACTATCCACGAAATAAAATCAGAACAACCAAGTACACTCCTCTTAGTTTTCTCCCTAAGAACATTACGAATCAATTTCTTCACAATGTTGCCAATATTTATTTCCTTGCTGTTATTATATTGGGTGCCTTTGGAATTTTTGGCGTGCCTAGTCCTGTGTTATCGGCCGTACCATTAATATGTATTGTTATTATCACAGCTATAAAAGATGCAATCGAAGATTCAAGACGTACGGTTTCAGACTTGGAAGTAAATAATCAAATCACACATATATTAACTCAGGTGTCGGACTCCGACACAGGCTATGTCTATGAGAATGCCAATATTAATGATGAAAAAATCTCATTATGGAGGCAATTTAAGAAAGCCAATTCAAGACTCTTATTCAAAACGATCGACAAAATTAACACAAATTTCACGAAACAAGGAAGAGCCCGCAAAGAGAGGGAGAGATTTAATGAGGAAAATAACAACCCTGAGCATAATAACAAAAAATCTTTTGATTCAGATTTAAACGATTATAGAAATAGCTTGGAAGACCCATTTAGAGATAGAGTTAGGAAATCATTTCAACTGCATCGTGGGTCAAAACAATTTGACCGTCATAGAACCATGAAATTTGCTAAGAAGTACTGGAAAGATGTTAAAGTGGGAGATGTGCTTAGAATTTACAACAACGACGAGATACCTGCTGATGTGGCCATATTATCCACAAGTGACGAAGATGGCTGCTGCTATGTTGAAACGAAAAATCTAGATGGTGAAACAAACTTGAAAGTTAGGCAGGCTCTAAAATATGGTTCTGTTGAACATGAGATAAAAAAGGCAGATGACTTGATGGCTCGAAGTTTTGAGATCGAAAGTGAGGGTCCTCATCCAAACTTATATTCGTATGAAGGTAATTTAAGATACGGCGACGATGGCGAACAACAGGAAGCGATTACAATAAATAACTTGCTTCTCAGAGGCTGCTCTTTGAGGAATACTAAGTGGGTAATTGGGGTGGTTGTATTTACTGGATCGGATACTAAAATTATGATAAATGCAGGTGTAACTCCAACAAAACAGTCTCGAATTTCTCGTGAATTAAATTACTATGTGTACTTAAACTTCATCCTTTTATTTCTATTGTGTTTCGTATCAGGTCTTGTTAATGGTATCTATTATCGATCAAACCATGTCTCTCGAGATTTTTATGAATTCGGCACAATTGCAGGTACCCCCGCCTTAAATGGTTTGGTAAGTTTTTTCGTGGCTGTTATCCTATATCAATCTTTGGTTCCGATTTCCTTGTATATCACGATCGAAATTATTAAAACGGCACAAGCATTTTTTATTTATTCAGATATAAGGATGTACTATGAACCGTTAGATTACCCCTGCACACCGAAATCTTGGAATATATCTGATGACTTAGGGCAAATTGAGTACGTGTTTAGTGATAAGACAGGTACACTAACACAGAATATAATGGAATTTAAGAAATGTACAATTAATGGAGTTAGCTATGGCAGGGCTTATACCGAAGCCTTAGCAGGATTGAGGAAGAGACAAGGTGTTGATGTGGATACTGAAGCTGCCACGGAGAAGGAGTTGATTGGCAAAGACAAAGAAGAAATGATGAGTATTTTAGATGATATCTCGCAATCAACAAAAAGTTATCACGATGAGTTGACTTTTGTTTCTTCGGAGTTTGCAAAAGCGCTCAAGGGATCACAAGGTGAAGAGCAGAAACATGCGAATGAACATTTTATGCTGGTGCTAGCCCTTTGCCATTCCGTCTTAACAGAAGCAGATCCTAAAAATGACGATAAGATGCTTTTAAAAGCACAGTCGCCAGATGAAGCTGCATTGGTAGGCACAGCAAGGGCTGTTGGTTTTGCTTTCACTGGAAACACAAAGAAAGGCGTGCTGGTCGATTTTCAAGGTGAAAGTAAAAACTACCAAGTTCTCAACACGTTAGAGTTCAACTCAACAAGAAAGAGAATGAGCGCTATTATCAAGGTCCCACCTGAGAACCCTGGAGGAGAACCGAAAGCAATTCTCATGTGCAAGGGTGCAGATTCAGTAATATATAATCGTTTATCAAAGTCAAATGATAGGACGCTCTTAAATCAAACTGCGAAACACTTGGAGGAATTCGCAACTGAAGGTTTAAGAACATTATGTATTGCCCAGAGGGAGCTAACATGGACCCAATATACCGAGTGGAATAAGAGGCACCAGGCAGCAGCATCTTCTTTGGACAATAGAGAGGAAAAAATGGAGGAGGTCGCAGATTCCGTAGAAAGAGAGTTGATATTGCTTGGTGGAACGGCTATTGAGGATAGACTTCAAGATGGCGTCCCTGACTCGATATCCATTTTGGGTCAAGCTGGTATTAAGTTATGGGTTTTGACTGGTGATAAAGTTGAAACTGCCATCAATATAGGATTTTCCTGTAACCTACTTGCTAATGAAATGGAATTATTAATATTAAAGTGCCACTTGTCGAAAGAAGAATCGATGAAGGTTGAAATAATGGAAGAATTACTGGAGAGCGAGTTAGTTAACAGACTTGTCACTTATTATTTATCCAAACACTTCGGCAATAACGGAACAGTTGAAGAGTTGGATGAGGCTATGGATGACCATACTCCACCAAGCGATGGATACGGTGTCGTGATTGATGGTGATGCTCTAAAAATTGTATTATCAGATCCTGATACCAGGAGAAAATTTCTCCTTTTATGTAAACATTGCAAAGCAGTTCTTTGCTGCCGAGTATCTCCTGCCCAAAAGGCCGCAGTTGTTAAACTAGTCAAGGATTCTTTGGATGTCATGACATTAGCGATAGGTGATGGCTCAAATGACGTCGCAATGATTCAGGCTGCTGACGTGGGCGTTGGTATTGCTGGTGAAGAAGGAAGGCAAGCTGCAATGTCGTCAGATTATGCGGTTGGTCAGTTCCGTTACTTAGTAAGACTATTACTAGTTCATGGAAGATGGTCTTATAAGAGATTTAGTGAAATGATTCCAAGTTTCTTCTATAAGAACGTTATTTTTTCATTAGCTTTATTTTGGTATGGAATTTATAATGATTTTGATGGTTCATATCTTTTCGAGTACACTTACTTGATGTTTTATAATTTGGCATTCACATCATTGCCCATTATCTTTTTGGCAGTCTTTGATCAGGATACTAGTGCAAAAGTCTCATTATTGGTTCCTCAGCTTTACCGAACAGGTATCACGAGGAGCGAGTGGACTCAAACTAAGTTTTGGTGGTATACGATCGATGCAACTTATCAATCAGTTATTTCTTTTTTCTTTCCCTATTTGATGTATTACAAATCGTTTCAAGGGATGAATGGATTACCAATTGATCACAGGTTTTGGATAGGAATTGTTGTTACATGTATCTCTTGTATTGCTTGCAATCTTTATATATTGTTGCATCAGTATAGATGGGATTGGCTATCATCTTTGATCGTCGCATTGTCAATCTTGATCATATATACATGGACGGGTTTGTGGACCACCTCAACATATTCTCAAGAATTCTACAAAGCGGCGCCACAAATGTTTGGAAGTACTGGCTTTTGGGCTTGCTCGTTTATCGGAGTGATTGTGTGTTTACTTCCTCGAGTTACATACGACTTTCTTCAAAAAGTAATCTTTCCAAAGGATATCGACCTTATTAGAGAATGTGTAAATCGTGGGGACTTTGATGCCTACCCTGAAAACTATGATCCAACGGATCCTAATAGACCCAAGATTAGTGAATACAGTAATGAAGTCGTCAAGAGAATTAGCATGAATCAAAATAGGTCGGAGTCAACAGTCTTTTCTAAAGATATAGCGTCCAATAATAAAGCGGACCCCGAGAATCTCAAGTCTCCAGCAAAGACTTATCAGCGATATGTACCGCCGAGCTCTCCTAGTATTTCTTCACCTAGGTCGACTTCATTCACCGGCACACAAAAATCTCCTCAAAGAAATTCAATCATCAATATTTTCAAAAGAAAACATAAGGTTCCAAGTACCTACTACGATAATAATCATGACTTTATAGATGCTTATAACTTGTCCAATGATACTATGGATGATCTTAACGGAACGTTACACACGGAGGAAATTGCAATGGAGGATTTCGCAGCCAACTATGAGCGCGCATCCCGAATCTCGGATGAAAATCATCGACGTCTTTCTGGCAACATTACACCAACCCAGTTGAGCCCTACTCACCGCAAGTAGTCCTCTTAATGTCAAGTGATATATGGCTTATCTCTTGCACATTAAGAATTTCTGTACAACTCATTATACATATATATGTATTTAAATCACTTTAGACATTATAAACAGTTGATTTTCCTGCCTAGTGTATTTGACGCGCAAAAGTAATTTTCTAGCCACAAACGTCGGTTACATCGCCGGTGACCTCGTACGAAAAAAGAAAAAGAAAAAGAAAAACAGACAAAAGAAATCCACCGGTTATGAACGGGATGTCGGCTTTTATGCCGGCTTCTAAACCGTTAGATCGAGCATTCTACAAAGGTGCGATCCAAAGGACCCCATTTGAAAGCGATTTTACGGAGTTAACACAGAGAAGTGTTAGCATTAGCAAGTGTTCCCACTAAAGCCAAACTCCGCTAACTTACCCTACTCACCCCGCAGGTTATATGGGTTAATCAATTATATATCCAGTTTCACCACTTGATATCTAGGTTGGCTTCTAGGAGGCTCTTAATACCTCGATCAACTCGCGATTCAGTATTTGTGTAACAAAGTAATTTTTTTTTTCGCTATTCCATTTGTTCATAGCCGTGTTCCGGGGACTTGTTGATAATATAGAGATTTCCATGCCCTTTATAAAGCTCCATAGTGTACATCTCTGATGACTGCATTACTGCATTTCCTTCTTACAATTCCGATTCATCATATATTGTTTATAGATTTTTCTGGCACCTGAAAGAGGTATTTAAAGAAAATCAGGCCCATCGCAAAAAATCGTTACCCGGGTTATGCATTGCCATTCAACAAATCAAAATGCGCGTTTTAGCGCCCAGCCCGAAATAGCCCGCTCATAAGTTCCTATATTAAACCCCCTTTCGTCGACGAACGGATCCGATATTTAAGGCAGAAGAAATCCTTTAAAGAATTTTTATATAATTTCTTAACTGTTCATAGTTCGCAACTTAGCTTGTAACTAACATATATTCATAGTAGTAGAGACTTCTGGTAATTAAAATGGACGGATTCTTAGTTGACTTTTTAATGGGTGGTGTTTCCGCCGCTGTCTCCAAGACTGCAGCAGCCCCAATTGAAAGAGTCAAATTATTGATTCAAAATCAAGAAGAAATGATCAAACAAGGTCGTTTAGCAAGACCATATGATGGTATTACTGAATGTTTCAAGAGAACTGCTGCTGAAGAAGGTATCTCTTCTTTCTGGAGAGGTAACACTGCTAATGTTATCAGATACTTCCCAACCCAAGCTTTGAACTTTGCTTTCAAGGATAAGTTCAAGGCCATGTTCGGTTTCAAAAAGGACGAGGGTTACTGGAAATGGTTAGCTGGTAACTTGGCTTCAGGTGGTTTGGCTGGTGCCACTTCCTTGGCTTTCGTTTACTCTTTGGATTATGCCAGAACCAGATTGGCTAATGATGCCAAGTCTTCGAAGGGTAATGGTGAGAGACAATTCAAGGGTTTATTGGATGTTTACAAGCAGACTTTAGCTTCTGACGGTATTGCTGGTTTGTACAGAGGTTTCGGTCCATCTGTTGCAGGTATCATTGTCTACAGAGGTTTATACTTCGGTTTGTACGATTCCTTAAAGCCTGTTGTCTTAATTGGTCCATTAGAGGGTTCTTTCCTTGCTTCTTTCTTGTTAGGTTGGACTGTTACCACTGGTGCTTCTACCGCTTCTTACCCATTAGATACTGTTAGAAGAAGAATGATGATGACTTCTGGTACTGCTGTTAAATACAAGGGTGCTTTAGACTGTTTCCAAAAAGTTGTCGCTGCTGAAGGTGTTGGTGCTTTGTTCAAAGGTTGTGGTGCTAACATTTTGAGAGGTGTCGCTGGTGCAGGTGTTATTTCCATGTACGATCAATTGCAACTTATCATGTTCGGTAAAAAATTCAAGTGAACTAATTAAACAATGATTATGTATTAATCTTATTGTTGTATATACTTTGTTTAATATTTAATTAGTTTTTTTGTTTTATTTATTTTGAAATGAATTAACCATCTATTTCTCTGCCTCGTAAATGCATGTAACTTGAGCGTTAAGGTGTGTAATTTGATGAGGTGTTAGATTGGGATCAATGTATATTACGCGAAAGAAGTAAGATAAAAGAATCAATATGAAAAAGTAAACCTTGAGAAACTAAATTTTCGAAAGAAAGACGTACTGACGTTTGTAATGAACATATTGAAGTTAGATTTCGATTACGTCTCCCTAAGCCAGTGAAGGAAAGAAGAGTACGAAAAAACCATTGTCAAGGAATCATTGAACTATCAGTATCCCCCTAAGTTTGCGACTGCAGCAGAAACTTATCATCTTCTTTTATGAAAATTTAAGTATAGTAGTTTATTATCATTCATCAAGTCATACAAAATCTTCTCTTGCTTAATGTAACCAAGCTTTTTCAAAACAATATCACAATTTTGCAAACTATCAAAACCTTCATCCAGTGCGTCCAATTGTGCGCTGAATAAAGTTAGAGAAAATCTGCCTGGCTTGAAAGTAGCTAATATTTTCAATAGTAAATCGACTGGATTTTGACAATAGCTAGCATCCGAGAATGGAAAATTAGTCTCGAAAGAGGCGTAAGACCATCCTGCTTCCGGTGTCACATGTAGCGTATAATAAAAACCATCTGAGCTAATTGAGTTCGATGAAAACCCGCAAGGAGTAAAAGAAAAAGAATCATGCTGAAAACTAACTTTTCCCAGACGTGCATCTTCTTCTAATTCCATAGAATCGGACAAAGATGGAGAAGGTAAATGTGTAGAGCTTTGTTCCGATCCAAACAACATATTCAATTCGGTATCTATCATCATCTTTTTACCAATATCGTGACCCAAGTCATGTAAAGCATTAGAGTCTGACAGAGAAGCAAGCTCTCCAGGAGTTCTCGAGGTACAGAATTGTGCCGCCTTCTCCTGGTTTAACTCAGTCATCAAAACCTCAAAAGTCTGGTCTTTACTTGCACTAACAGAATCACAGCCACCAGTATAAAGATACCAATGATCATCACTTGCACAATTTCCCACCACGTATGACTTACCGTTCGCAAAATAGTCATTTAACTTAGACACCTCGAATTTCCAGTCCTTGTGAACGTCCTCTTGCTTATCAGGAAACATGAACGACCTTCTAGAATAGAAAACCCTGAAAGTGTCAAAACTTTTAAATATAACCTTGTTTTTGAAGTAGGATTCCGTCACAATATCGAAGAGCCTTTTGAGACATCCCAAAGTTGTAGTAGTACCGCAAGTCTTTAAAATAAGTTTGTGTGGAAATACAAATAGAGAGCTTTCGCTCAACAAATAAGCATCAACAGAAGATGATGATTTCCTCGACAATATCTTACAATTTACAAGGTCAAGCATCTCAGTCCACTGACAAACAGGAATTGATCTTAATCCCTTTTTTGGATAGTTTAACGGGATATGATCTTCCGATTTCCAAAACCAAATTTCTAAAAGTTTTTCAGGACCCTCGAACGCAAATGTCGAGTCCAACACCGTAGAGAGTTCGTGATCAACGAAACTACCATTTGAACATGAAGGAGCAACCATTCTCAGTGTTTATACACTTATACTATTTGTACCTTTTCTCGATTAATATGGTATGAAGTTCGAGATAAAAAAGAACCTTTACTTTTAATTTGGAACTTACTCTTGTAGTTTAGTTTGAGGTTTTTCGTCTCTTATGAAGCTAATTAAATCTGCTGAAACGAAGAGAGAAGTAGCAAGAAACGTTTCACCAAAATTTAATTAGATTTTGTTTTTGATATTTTAAATGTAAATTCTTTTTGTTTCACTCGGTGGAAGGGGGAGGGTCAACAACCAAGTGAACTGATAATGTATGTCAACAAAATATAAGCGAGGAAATTTTGGAAACTTTTAGTTAGCAATTGAATAAATTTGAATTTGATATTAGTTTTTATAACTCTCTATCAATGTTATCCAGGTTCAAGTAATTTATTATGGAAAGTATGTCGTGATTCTTTCTTGGGCATATAACTTTTCAAAAAAAGAGTGAAAGGTTATGCAATTGTAATGTTTAAGGATTAATCTCTCAAATCCTCACTCAATTATTCTCTCACCAGATAATTCTTAAGTACTTTAGAATTAAGGGATGGAAAGGTTCAGCGAAATTATTTGATCAATTAGTTTTCAAGAAACTGAAATCGTTATGACTTCTTCTCTGTAATTCAAGTTAGTTTCAAGACACTATAACAATGTTATCTATCTTTTCTAAACGTTTGAAGAGAAATGAATCGAATATACGTTTGCGAAAGAAAAATGACTGAAAAAAAAAAGACAAAATTGCTGATCAGATTCCGACCTGAATTCCGAGCATGAATTCGAAGAATTTAAGAAGAGCAGAGAGGCACTGATTTACAAGATCTAATTGATTCGATGAAAGAAGTTATTACTTTTATAGGGATCAAATCTAGTATTAAACCAAGGCAGAATATACTTAAATAACTTAAATTATCGACACAGTTCCTCTAAACACTGGAAACTATATCGCTAGCATTCTTCAAGACTTCAACCATCTTGACGCACTCTTTTCTCTTTTGAACTGTAAGTTCGTTTTCTTTGACAAGATCACCTAATTCAGGCGAATTGTAAAGCTTTTCCAATAGCTCTTTTTGGATATCATCCTTAGATCTCACAATCAATTTTAACATGATTGCCTTTGGAATGAAGTCTGCAACAGTTCTCTTAACAATATTATAATACGATGAAATCAACAACTTTATAACTTCTGTCTCCATGGACTCTCTTTCGCTCATAGTTCCAGTTGCCCTCAACACCGGGGGAGGAGCCTCCATAGATTGTAATCTCTTTTTGTTTTTCGATGAGAAAAATCCCCCAAAAAATCCATTAGAACCATCGTCTTTTTGAGACTGTGGACTTTGTTGCTGGGCTGGTTGCTGTGCCAAAGGTTTTCCTGACTTTGGATCAACCGCGACTTGAGGTTTCGGGTGGAATTTCTCCTCAACGATAGCCATAGCCTGCGAACCTTTCAATAAGTCAGGATGAGCGGTATTGACATATGTCTCCTCTGATTTTATCACATCAATCACAAACGTATTAGTCGGAATTAACGCATCTCTCAAAAATTGAATAAAGTGTTGAGAAAGTTGCTCCTTCAATGCCGGATATCTGGAATACTGAGTTTGGGAAAGTATCTGCGACAAAATTCTTACCAATTCATCAAAAATTAAATTGATGCAACGTATAGAAGGCTCTTCCATTCTACGAATTTGCTGCTTCACTAAGACCTCAAAAGCTTCAGTTCCAACAAAAAGAGAAGGCGCTGATCCAGAAGTGTTATGCATAATAGTCCTGATATCAGCGTCTTTGATTTGGTCGAAAGGATCCAAGGAATTGATACCGTTTTTAAATATTTCATGGAAAACAAACGAGATACGGGCACCTCCACTTAGTTCTTGAGAGCTTAATTCTTTTGATTCACCATCTAGAATTCCATTGTAATCTTTAGTAAAATTCGTGATCATGCTTAAAGCAATGGAAGTGGGTGACTCTGACATTTCTGGTCCCAATAAGCTTAATTCATTTTGGTACTTCTTCAAAGAGTGCTCGATCCTCATCTTGATGTCTGGTAAAGTACCTTTAATATGATGCAACAAAATACCATTCAACTTCTTGGCTAAGTACGGGGTTCCACAATAATGTGCCTTAGCTTTGTAAGAAGGATGATTCTCGAAATATCTTCTTTCATCCTCTAATGCCTCTCTTATGGTCTTCTTCGCCTCAATATCTTTCTGACCCCTATTTATTACAGGTACATAACCAAAACGCAAGGGAATGACCCTTCCAGCCAATATATCAATAACATCGGTACCATGATCCATTAAATCTACCTTAGTCAAAACACCTATAGTCCTAGAACCCTCTGGGTCCACTTCCCTAGCTAATTTCAACCCGTCTGAGTTGGCCAAATCTGTGTTAGCGGCATTGACGGATAATATGATAGCATTTGGCTTTCCAATAAACTTCATAACCATATCCCTAATCTGTCTTTCGATATCTTTGGGCTGGTCACCAACAGGAACTTTAGTTAATCCCGGTAAATCAACCAAAGTCAATGTTAAAACATGAGGAGAGTATATCCTTAAATTAATTGGAACCGGCGATATACCCAAATTTTTACCTGTCTTAGCATCTGTTTCTCTGACAATCTCACTTCTAATATCCTCAAAATTGAAAAATTTCTTACCGGGCAAATGTAAGAACTCACCCCATTCATCAGCGTTATTCTCCGACGCCTCACCCTTGTCATTAGTAGTATTAATATCAAGTAATTCGTTAGAGGGTCTTGGCGTTGCTCTTCTATTGATTAATTGCAATACAAGTGGTCTCCTTGTAACTATTCCTGCTCCTCTAGGTAAGAAATCTCTACCGACTATATTCTCTAAAACTGATGATTTACCAGAGGATTGAGAACCCACTACAGTTATTTGAGGCAAATCAACTGGTGACGATGAACCTCCTCCCAAAGGAGCTAATGCATCTTGTAACTTGTTAATAGTCGCAATTAATGTTTCATCCATCTTAGATTACTTTAGATTACTTCCCAAATTGAACTTTTGCCTTCAAAGTGGCTTGTTTTTAAGGACACTGATAATATAAACGGTGTTCAAAAGAGCATTTTTACGTTTTCACACGAACATTTATATACAGGGCATTATGAGCTACTTGTGAATTATCATGTTGCAAGTCGCAGTTCACACGATACTACTATTACGTACGCGAGTATTCGAAATATTACAAAGCTAGTTGAATCTCTCTATGAAACTGTTGCTTGCAGTATAGCTGAATCCCTTGAAAAGGCTACCACTAGGATGAGACATCGGTATATTGTAAGTTTCGTCAAAGTTCAAGTCACTTACTGGTAAGCTAGTGAACTGAGTATCAAAATTTTCAGCCAAACTAGGATCAGTGATAACGGGTTCAATTGGAGGTTTAGCTTTTAGATCCTGCTTCTCTAGGCTTATCCAATTTATCTTTCGGAAAAACCTATGGTTAGAAAATTGGTCCCATTTTTCATCGACCGAAAACCTTTTATTTGGGTTCTTATTCAAAAGCTTATGAAGCATATCCTTTGCATCCAACGAGAAATAAAATGGAATATTCAACTTCTCTTTTACTATTTTATTCTGAATTGCTTTGTGTGAATTTCCAGTAAATGGGGGTTTTCCCAGCATCATGTCATAAATCACACATCCCAAAGACCACCAATCAACCGCAAAACCATATGACTCGCCTTTTAATATCTCTGGCGCCATGTATTCAGGTGTTCCGATAATTGATGTACATCTATTGTTCTTGTCGTCAGTAATAGTCTTTGATAACCCGAAGTCTGTTAATACCAAATGTCCTGAACTGTTCAATAAGCAGTTTTCTGGTTTCAAATCTCGATAAACGATTCCTAGTCTATGCAAATGCCTTAAACCTAATGCCATCTCTGCTGCATAGAAAGCAACATCGCTCTCTTTAAATGCATTGCCTAGTTGGTTTTCTGGGGATGCTAAATGATGGAAAAGTTCACCACCGGGGATGTATTCTAGTAATAGATAAAACTTGTCTCTATCCTGTAGAGCATAGAATAACTTAACAATATTGGGATGGTGAGTTATATTGGTTAATATTTGTCTCTCTGAAATCGTTCGTTTTATATGATGTTCGTTTTCGTCCGTTGTCTTCAAAATGTTAATCGTCGGTTTCCTCACCTGTTTCTGAGCAAACAACCTGTTGGAGCTCTTATCTCGTACTAAGTGAACACGCCCATATGCACCCTGGCCCAAGACTTTTAATGGTTCGAAGTCGCTTAATGTCTTTTTCGAAAAATTAATATGATCAACTGTCACCCCAGAATCTCTTTGGCAATCTTCAGGATTACTTTCATAGTTCGCAGGAATAGTTAGCTCCTGATTAAAAGAAGAAATTGAAGACGACAAGTTTACCGATAGGCGGCTATATACAGAAGACCGCCGCCTCTGGTGCGACATCAACGTAGCAATCTCATCTCTGTTAAACGAATGCGCATTAAGTGGAGTAATCTCATAAGGATCTAGAATCCGCTCCTGCTCCTCGACTCCCTCGAAATGAAGAGGATTATCTTCAAGCTTTAGTCTGCCCAAGTCGTCAGATAAAACCTCCTCATCGAAATTGAACACATTCATGGTCCTGTTGAGAGGAGTGCTTGTATTGTTTTTCAAATTTTTGCAATTTCAAAGAGCAAAAATTTCCTGTGTATGCTAGACAATCGGACTACATGTAACACTTCAATGTCTCACGTCGTGTTTATTAATTTTGAAAAGAAACTTGAAAACCACAAAAAAAGTAAGGATCCCAATAGAATAATATAGCTAATCGATGACGTATATATTTATTTGCAATGTGTCGTACTTTAATAGTACCTTTTCGGATTCTGACCAGGGCACAGCAAATAAGCCAGCATTAATTTTTGGCATGTTAACAATAATTTGCCCAGCGTCATTACGCTCAAATTCCACATTGTTAGCTTCAAATGCAGATATTTGGTGAATTAAATCTCTCATAGCTGCATCTGTGTGTCTCACTATATCCTGAGGCCCGAGTTTCTTTGCTCCAGCAAAATCACTTGTAAAAAGACAAGCGACGTAGACATTATTTTCCCCATTTTTGTTACCTGCATCACTAGGACTGGAGGGAATTAACTGGGTCGTCCCTAACAATCCCGCAGGGTTTGATGAATGTTCCTTGCAGTACTTGTAATGCTTCTCATATGTGGAAGGGAACTTACGCTGAAAAATTGCTGCTACTCCGGCACCCCAGGAGCCACGGCAATTACAAGCATGAGCTAGAATTGAGACTATTCCTGCCTTCAGGACTCTGTGAGAGAATAAATCTCCTTTGATATAGTTTATCATATTTGAAGATTTGACTATTTCATAGTCAGGATCAATTGCTAAAATTGTTGTATTTGCCACGCCAAATTGACGTCTACTCATATATACACGTCCATGCAGAACTACAATAAAACAATTAATCTCTCACCGGAGGAGACATACATTATATTGTTGTATTTGAAGCCTGCCTCACATCCGCAACCAAAGACATTTTCTAAAACCTCCTCTACTCCGCAATCCTCGGAGTTGTACGAAAACTCTTCATAGGTGCGCTCAAAAATGATTACCTCCAGTGACTGCGGAAGCTTTGACATGGGGTTATTGTTGTGTTTCTTATCTTCTGGAGTAAGCATGTAAAATTCAATCTTGTCGCCTTTGTGAATATTTGCATTTGGAGAGAGTACAAGGATATTGGCCTTGGAACCCCAGCCGCCACCCCCTGCTATCACTTTGTACCGTAAGATGTGATTATTACTTCTTGGAAATATCTTGACATAAACTTCAGTATCCTTTGAAGAAATATTTGAAAGCATCTCATTTGACTCAAGGTATCCAGCGGCAGATTTCTTATTAATGGCTTTCACTAAATTTCCGACACAGTCTGTGATCTTCAAGGTTTCATCAGACTGTGAATGCAATGGAGTCCATTTGTCATATATTTCTGTAGGTGGACTTTCTGGAATTATGCCAGAGGAAAGGTCAATCGTAAGATTATTTAAAATTTGCCCTGATGCTTGATCTTTTAAATGTCTGGGCTGGAGATAGAACATCGTAACCAAATTTCCTGTAGAGAAAAGTGTGTTACTGGGCTGTAGTTCAACTCTAGAATGCTCTGAGAAATTAATTTTTAAACATTTATCAATTTGCTTCCAATTTTTTCTTGATTTGACTGACTTAGGATCTTCATGCTCTTCTGGAGCACTGTCAAAATCGTCCCTTTCGCTTAAGAGATTTGCATCATGTAATTTCACGTACTGATCGAGCCACATCTCTGAAACACCGTTTCTTTGTGAATTTGGAGTAACTGAGTCAATGCCCGCTACTACAATTTGTAGGTCAGTCTTTTCATGATGTTTCAATGATTCTTTGATAACATCATGTAATACATTCTGAGTGGCTAACACCAAAACACATTTAGACGAGATATTCTTTGGCTCTCTTAGAGTGAAGTTTGTCGGGTTGAGTGTTGTTCGTGTATAGATTTGCCTCAAAATCGAGCAATGCAGGGAAAAGACCCTGATCGACTGTCTTTGAAGGCACCCATAAATTGACATGTTGGCAAATCTCTTTACGAAGTATCTCATCGATGTCTTTTCTTAACATGCATCAATATACAGGTTTCATCTATAAAAGTCTACATAATCCAGACCAAGCGATTGATTCACCCCATCAAGTCATAAACGTATTTTCTTTGTTTTTGGTTCTTCGCTCTCATTAGCATCCCTTTGCAGATCCTCGCTAACTTCTACCTCTACCTTCTGCTCCTCGATAATCTCTTTTTCATTGGATGACAGTGAAAGCTTGCCTGTCAACAATTTGAATTCTAAATCAACGTTAACATCAGAACCATTATCTAAAACCTTCTTCAACACTGGTCCCCACACCTTTTCATTCCGATCTTTAAAGTCCAGAATTTTGAAAACGTTCTTACCTAATTCCCAATCCGACTGTTTTACTCTAATCAACTCAACCATGTATGCAGAAGAACCCAATCCTCTTCCTATATCACTTACCAAACTTCTAATATAAGTGCCCGATGAAACATCAGTGGTAAAATGAATTAAAGGAAGCTTTTCAGGTAAAAGTTCCCCTTCTTCAAGAAGAAAAGGATCTACAGGTTCCTTGGGAAGCCCTTCCACTTCCGCTCTCTCCAAGTATTGATCAGAAAAAAATAACGATGAATCATTTAACGTGGGGTTTCGAGCAAGCTGATGCTCTTTTGGTACTCCATTTTCATCTAACTGACTTTCTAAAGACGCAAACTGATGCAGTCTGCTTAAAGTATCTTCCTCGTGAACTTTAATATCGTGGATTTTAACCTTTCTCAGCTTTATTGGCTTAGGAAGAGGGATTCCCTCCCTAGCGTAATCGTATAATGCCTTTCCGTTCATCTTCAATGCTGAAAAAATCGGCGGTGTTTGTTGTAAATCACCAACAAACCTATAAGCTATGGACTCGATTAAATCCCTCGTGATATGATCTGTTTTGTTCTTGGTAATTATTTCACCCTCTGAATCACCTGTAGTAGTTGAAATGCCTAAAAGAGCCTTTGTTTCGTATGTCTTATTACATTCCCCAAGATAATATTGCAATTTCTTGGTACCATTACCAATACCGACTACTAAAACTCCACTTGCTAGTGGATCAAGGGTCCCTCCATGACCAATTTTGACTTTAAGATTCTTTACTTTCTTATCTATTTTTTGCTTCAGCCATTTTTTATCTGTGCTCAATGCTTTGATCGTTTTATTTCTTGCGTCAATCAAGTCTTGATGAAAAACAGATGATTTTGTGAAAATGGCTTGTAATTCCCCCAAAAAATTCGACGAAGATATGCCCGATGGCTTTTCAATTGCAAATATTCCATTCATACCTCTTAGCAGAAGACGGAACATGCATTAACAGCAAAATAGATCGATAATTCAAGTATTACAAGTCTTACATCTCATTGTAATTTTATTTGAGTATAAATAATATACAGGCACAGACACTCTGTTTTTCATAATATTTAGAGTCACGGTGAAGACCTCTTCACCGAAGTGATATCCTCACTCAAAAGGCTGAATTCATGTCCAGGTCTCGGTTGGGGGATTTGAATATCAAGCTATAATGTTTAATATTAGTAATGCGTTACTTCTCTTAGATTTCGAAATACTTCAAATTTTTTTAAAATATACTTACTGATAAAAACCCACTTCTTTTGGGTGAAATTACTCTTAAGTCTTTCTGAGCTCTTTTAAAGCCTTCGTTTACTTTGTCAATATATTCTTCTAATTCCCGTAGCATCCTCCTCCTGTAACCTTCGAAAATATACTTGTTAACAATCATGGAGAATAAATTAGCTGTGAACAAATTGAGTATATTTTCGATTAAATTGTGAATATTGTGGGGATCAGAAGCAACAAACAAGAAAGAATTGACTTCTCGGACAATTTTAACGAAGTCTTCTTGCGATAATAGATCCGGTACCAATGCTGTTTGAGAAGTGTAACCAAACACATTACCATCGAAGGACCCCTTTGGATCAAATGAATCTGTTCCATCATTCAATGCCGCAGGTTCATGACCTGGGATGAATTCAGAAAATTGGGGGATTAAGTCTGAATGTTTGACTTTATCATATACTCTTGGCACTCGTATTATTCTGGTTTGTTTAAACTTTGCTGAACCTTGATGGACATAAACATTAGGAAAATGATTGATTAGAAGAGGCTTTTTCTCAATATTACTCGAGTAGAGTGGCTTATAGTTATTAATCAAGAATTCTTGATAATTGAAAAAAAGCAATCCATCATGTTGAGTGTTGGTTTCATGTTCCTCAGTATTATGCTTCTGAAAGGAATACTTATAATTAGGATCATTCATAAAGTAAGGGGCTCAAGCAAGCCACACGTTGCATAAGCACCTTGTGATTTGCAGTATATGCGATTTTAATCGAATCGAAATGTTATAAGATGTTTTAAGAACTGTAACGAGATAACAGACTCTAAAGTACAAAAAGAAAATGCGCAAACCCGGAATCGAACCGGGGGCCCAACGATGGCAACGTTGGATTTTACCACTAAACCATTTGCGCATTAAATTGATTTTGCCCAGGATCGAACTGGGGACGTTCTGCGTGTTAAGCAGATGCCATAACCAACTAGACCACAAAACCAACTATAATTTTTTTTTAAGCATTAGTATTATAAGCATCATTACATTAAGGTTTAAAGAACATTATTTTTTTATGGGCCGAGATTCAATCTTGCAAGGTACAAGGTACTTTACCAGAGAATTTGATTACTATTAAGCAATACATAAGCTTAATGTAAATTTAATATGGAAAAAAATTCACCTTACAGTAGCATGGTGACGTACTGCCATTAGTCTTAATTTAAATTAATTTGAATGCTACATGAGCTGATTTGTTCAAGATTAGAAGAAAACCCTTCTCTTTTGCAGCACCCTAGTAGCCTGGCCATCTCAGTTCTAAACTCAAGAAATTCGGTTGTTTCAGTATTTTGAGGTCTTGTGTGTTAGAAATTTCAAAGAAAAGGTAATTGGAGATAAAAGAAACATCAAATAAAAAAAAAAAATGGTTAAAATGTGTTAACATAATCTGAACTGATGGAAAACACCTGAAGTTGGTTATAATTATTAACGCTTAAGACACAACTTGGACTTCTGTATCACCATCCTCATTTTCTAGAGATAACATTCCACGAATAGCCTAGCTGGCCGCTACGAAGTGGTGATACTCACTTCTTCTTTTTCATTGTGTTATACTTTGCTGATAAGGGAACCTAGATTCTTTTATACGAGCCATGGCTAAATCTTATTATTATACAAATAAAATATAGCTCAGTATTCTTGAACAAATTTTTAGCGGTCAAATGCAATCACTTAGGAATCACTGGAATATAAACTTATGCAGTATCTTAGTCTTAATGTCAAAGCTGTTAACGTATTTAGCAAAACAAGATAGCTTCTCTTTCCTCTAAGTATGAAGAAGGATCTATTAGCTTTTATATCAATATTTGATCAGTGAACATCCTTTTTTTCGGTAAAAGCTGCAAAAGAAAATTCGATTTTGAGTGGTGTACGTAATTGTAAGAGAATGACTTACTCAAAATGAGTGACTACGTGGTAATCATATACAGAATACTAAATAGTCGTAGTTTGAACTCAAGCAGAGCTCACTTTTAGGAGAGGAACTTGTTTCTTTTGTCCGAAGGTTTCTATACCGTGGAAGGTTGAGCACATGATACCTGATTTATAGCTTTCTATAATGGCTCCGGGTTTATAACAGTAAAGTTTCTTGACGATATATAAGTCTGCAGTCTATTTTACCATGTCATTCTTGGCTCAAATAGTTTTTATTTATCTGGAATAGAACCGCAAGACCAAGCTCAGCATCACATCCAAATTCTTTTCTTTCCTCAGTGAAAAGCACTAATCATTTTCTTTTCCCAATGACTTTACATGCTGTGTTCATCTTAAAGAATCTAACATGCAACACCGAGCTCCATTTGTGAATGTGAACTAAAAAATACTATACTACAACAGTCATTTATTCAAAACTTTCAAAACAAGGAAAATAAAAAAATGATCCATCGATAAGTCACTTCTTCGAAGCCATTGAGCAAAAAAAATGATCATAGAGGTTTCGGATATTGGTAATCTAACCTACATCTTGTATTATATAACGATTTTTACCTGATCTGATAGGAAACTCAGACTAACTGCGTGCGGGAAGCTTGCAAATACGACCGAATACCTAAAAAATAAGAGACAAAAGAGGTAAGTTTTGCCGAAAAGTGGAATCGGTGAGAAGCTAAAGTAACTTTCTTGATCCTTGTTCTCAAAAACACATTTTAAGGAGTATAAGCTATCTATAAAATGTCAATTACAGTATTAGTAACTGGAGCTACCGGCTTTATAGCTCAACACATAGTTGTTGAATTATTGAAAAATGGATATTTCGTAATTGGTACTGTACGGTCTAAAGAAAAAGGCGAAAGATTGCAGTCTCTATTAGATTCGGAATCTTTTCAATATGAAGTAGTCACAGATATTCAGAAAGAGGATGCTCTTGATGAGGTCATTAACAAACATCCCCAAATATCAATTGCACTTCACACTGCTTCACCTTTTCATTTCAAGTCGAATGACCCCGAGAAAGATCTCCTCTTACCGGCTGTTAATGGTACAAAAAATGCTTTAAAGCTGTTTAAAAAGTCGATTAATATTACAAGAGTTGTTGTTACGTCCTCATATGCGGCTATAGCACCAGCAAAGAAGGAGATTGACCATTCATTTACAATTTCGGAACTGACTTGGAACGACGTTACTTGGGAAGAAGCTTTGACGAATCCGATTTCAGGATATAGGGGGTCAAAGACATTTGCAGAACGAGCTGCATGGGACTTCACTGCTGAAGAAAAACCTGATTTTGTTCTTACGACGGTCAACCCAGGATTTGTATTTGGACCCCAAGCTTTTGATAGTGATGTTAGAGAGACTTTGAATACATCATCAGAAGTCATCAATTCCGTAATTAAACTCAAAGAAGGCGATGATATCCCAGCTTTCAAAGGGTGCTTTGTTGATGTTCGGGATGTCGCACAGGCCCATTTGGTTGCCTTTGAAAAGGAAAGTACTAAAAACAAGAGGTTGTTGATGTCTGCCGGAAGATTTTGTACTCAAGACATATTGGATATTCTCAGAAGTAATTTTCCATCATTAAAGGCTAAACTTCCAGCAGGTGAGGTTGGAAGTGGCCCCTCTGTTACGGCCACTTTAGCAAAAATTGACAATTCTAAAACCAAGGAACTCTTGGGTTTCAATCTAATTCTGTTGGAAAAATCCGTCATCGATTCACTGAGTCAAATTCTTGAAGCCAAAAAGTAGAGTATATGAAGTTGACTCTAGTAATTTGTTATGTCTAATTTGTCTCCATATCTATCATATCGATATTATTTCTGTTGAAATCTTGCCACTTATGTTCTTCTGACAGTTTTTGTAGGTATCTAGTATATCATTGTATCAACCTGTAAGACGAATATGCTCTCATCAAATATGATATTGCAAGCCCATAAGAGCTGTCCCTTTTGCTAGTCCTATTTTTGAACGGCGCGGCGCTAGGAAGCACGATATTAACAGGGACATTACGTTTTCTTAGAATAGTATAAGTCAATTCGAATAGAAGTAATAGGATAAAATTACCTTATTGTAGTCCTTGATCTTTGAATTGGTATATTAAATCTTGATAAGTTTGAAGTGCAATTTGCGATCACCCCTAGTATGGTTTGGTATCATGGCAGAGTTGGTAGACCTAAAATTAACATCTATAAATCTGAAATCAATGCTTATAAGCAAGCAAACTGTGACAAGGGACAAACAGTATATACTAGTGCCGCTTGAAGGAATGCCATCCTTCACGACTCACAATAAGATATACATTTAGCTGAGACTGTAGAACTATCTTTAGTTGTTTATCTTTAAGTTTTCTACTCTTTAAGTTATTTTCTAAATATGAGTTTTGATCTCAGTAAACATAATTACAATTATTTTGAAAGTGGTACTCGATGAAGTGTAGCTATCATATCTTTTACTTACAACATAATAGTGACAAAAATTTTTTATTTTTACTTACTTTAATTTTTGCCAACTATCGCGAACGTTTTCAATGAACATAAAAATATCCACAAGCGATGAAGTAAGAAAAGAAAATTTTTCTTTTTCCTAACGACTTGAGAGTTCTCAAACTGTTACTTAAAATACAATTAAGTAAGTATCCATTCAAAGATGTTGATGGCTTTCTGCAGCTGTTTAGGCTTCTTCTATGTACTTATCCTACAGTAATATTTTGAGACGCATATAATGATGATAATGAGTCACAAAGACTCTACTGTTAAACCCAGCTCAGTTGATTAATCTGTTCATGATAAGATGTATTTAGATATCTGATTATCGTGTCATCCACTGATATGGATAAGTACTTTCAATGTCTACAAAGTTCATAATACTAACAGACTGACTTTTTGTTAGACATTATAAATATCGCTATATAGTAATTAATACAAATTCACACACAAAAACTGTCATTTCCATTAAATGTACGTACTTTTTTCTATGATGATCTCATGACAACGTATCTATCTCTATAGTCCAAAGCTGTCTATTTTTTAGTTCCGCGTACAAAAATTTTTCACGTTCCACAAAGAGTTCAAAGGCATTTTTCTAAGTCTTGAACAACGGCTATAAAGTAAGAGCGCAAGATATGGTGTTGCTGAGACGGAATCTTTATAATGGTACCTTAAGACCTATATTATCAAAACTTCGCCCTGGCCTTATTATCAATTCACGGTATCAATCTACTGTAAAATCTTTCTTGTCTTCTCAAGAAGATAAAGTAGAATCGGAAGAACTGACTGTAAATGAAAAGAATCGTCCTAATTTACAGAAGCAAAATAAAAGTGGTAAAAAGTATAAACCATTGAACCGGAAACTAAAGGATATCACGGAACAGATACGCTCTTCTGTAAGGACGTCGACTAATGACTTAAACGAAGCTATCGATATTCTTGAAGAAGGCTTGAGCTACTTGAGAGAAGTTCAGATCCCTGAGCTGATTCCCGAAGACTCTCTTTATTCGATTTTCCAACCAATTTTGTTAGATATCATGGGAAGGGCCAAAGATGATACTGTTTCTATGAATAAATCGTTGGAAGATTTGTTGGATCTTTTCACTACATACTCAGTTGCTCATCAGTACCATTTCACAGCAGTTGCTGCACACGAGCTTTCAAATGGGGATGATAATCGAACTGGTTATGAAAATGTCTTGAAGACCTGGCTCAAATTTTTGGAGTATTCGAAATCTACCGATAATCCATTAATTTCTAAATATTATGGATTTATGAGACAAGAAAAAATCATATTCAACAAGAGCGATCTTAGAAATTTAGCCTATTATGCCTATGTTCAATCCTGTTTAATTCAGAACGTTGAATATAACCTCAACGATGCTTTGAAGATTTTGCAGACGGACCAGGTGCCTGAGATATTTCAAATAAGAAGAACTATAGCATCTTTAAATCTCACCACATCTCTCAGAGCAGATTTTGAAATTTTTTCCAAAAAGTTGGATAAAATTACTTTGGACCAGCTTGATCCTAATGGGTCCATAGTTGTCAGGAAAATTAATCGTGCTATTACCTCAAATGATGTTAATGCATTAAATCGTACGTACGAGCAAATTCAAAATTCGGCCCTTAATAGCAAAACACCAATTACTGAGAACACATTGGTGAGATTGATGAATGGGTATTATGAGTGTAAACTGTTCAAGAATGTATTTCGACTTTTCCAGGACTTGATCAAGAATGGTATTGAGAAGCCAAGTAGTGCATCCTGGGATTATCTTCTAAGAGCGATGGGTCACCCAAGCTTTCTTGCGGGAATGTCACCAGAAGAAGTAGAGTCCAATGTTTCCGTAATCGAACGAACAATTGACACAATCATTTCTAATGGAATTGATATCACACCGAAAACTCTTTCGATTATTATAGCAGCCTTTTCTAACCTGAATCGATTTGATAAAGTCGATGAATATTTACAAAAGTATAGCAATTCAGGTGATGGAAGTTTGCCCATTATTTATGCTACAAAGAACAATATCTTGGTAGGCTTAATTTTGAATCAAAAAATCGCCGAGTCCGAATCAAAGTTGAAAGAATATATGCAAGATGGATCGGGCTACATTCCTTCTACAACAACAATGAATACGTTTTTGAATTACTATGCAAAAGTCAAAAATTATAAGGCTGTTGATGGTATTGTCCAGTTCATGAAGAGGAATAATATTCCAGAAGAAATTGGAACTTACACAATAATTATGGACCTATTCTTCAAAATGCATCGTGAGAAAGGGTTATCGCCCAATATTGGAGAGTTACTAACTGAGTTTAGTACACAAGGTAGTGTTCCATTTAATGATTATGCTTACAGTACAATGATAGATGGTTTAGTTAAGGATGGTAGTAATTTAGAAGCAGCAAGAACATTATATACATATGCATCTAAAAAATACAGAAGTTCTGCTCAACTAGTCACTTCAATGCTTCAGGGAGAACTCGACTTTGGTTCCGTGGAAAGGGCGGAAGTTTTGTTTGCATACTATATCAAAAATATCAGAAATGATACCAGAGTATGGAACATGATGATTAAATCTCTTTTACCTAAGCACGAGGAGCTAGCAGTTCAGTATTTCTATAATTTTCAAAAACAAAGTGATGGCAGCTTGGAACCTAATTTTTATACCTATTATTTCTTGATAACTCATTTCATGAAACGTGGAAACTCTAAACAAATCCAGGCTATTCTCGATGAACTTTCCAGAAAACCTTTAAGGGAAATGGGCTTTGAATTACCTAGAATATTGAAGTCTTTAAGCAAGAAGCACCAGGTCGACGAGAACACATTAAGAAAAATTACAGAAACTCTTTAAAACACTTGTAAATAGAAAATACACGACATAATCTATTATAATTTAGAATCAAAAACATTTATGTAGGGCAATTAATAGAAAAGCATGCAAATGAATAAAATCAGATCCCGGGGGAGGTTGAATTGTCAGGGGTGATCCTTTGATATCATATCTTATCAAACTCTCCCATCGCTCTTTTCCATAATGGGTGAGACCAATGATGAAACCTGTCATAAGCATTTTCAATCGAGTCTAATGCTGGCCTAGTATCAAGCATGAAAGCCGGCATTCCCGTATCCTCATCATCGGGGGCACTATAATAATCAATTACGTATCTTACTTGTTTCCATCCTTTGTTTCTACCTAATGATCTCAATACAGTCCAATCATGTCTATCAAAAGGTGGTTGAGTATTAAATGTCTCAGGAAATAGATTGCCTAACCATAAATACATCTGTGCTCTAGGTGACAAATCATGAGGACGCCCAGTGAATCTTAAAAGCCTTGGCTCAACTTTTGACTCTCTCGTATAGTTATTCTCCCACTCCAAGATTTGTAACCATGCTCCTTCATTCAAGAAGTTATGTACATCAACCATCGACTCCACAGCATCCTCAGGCACTCCTTCGCCTTTACCTTTTCTTATCATCGCATTATACATTTGTTGTGGCGATGGGTATTCCCACAACCCTTGATCTTCCAGTTCCCCACGAGGAATAGATGATATTGTTCTCTCAGTCGAAAGAACTACTCTCTGACCAGGTGCTTTTTCTGATGAAATAGCCATAGGCATGTTATTCAAAGGATTTAACACCTCATCTCCTTTCACAGGACATTTGCTACCCAGTAAATCATTCCCTAATAATGGCTTTGAGTAACCCACAGGGCACTCAGCGGGTACTTCAGCACTAGAGTGGACGATAGGACACCTTGAAGCACCTTGAAAATCTTTCTCAGCCCAAAACCAACCCATAATTATTTCTTTAATAATGTATGTCTTATATTTTCAGTTAAATTGTAGTCATCAGTGATATTCGCAAACACAAGTCACGTTACAGATTTTCCTCAAACCACGAACAAGCAATTTGCAATCATAGTTTACAGTTTCTTAGCTTGAAGAACTCGAAGACCTAGAACCTTAGCATCTAAATATAGCTAATGATACAGTATTAAATCCATTTGACGATACTTTTCAAGATCGCCAAATACAACAAGTGCCGAATTGTCATTCAATGACGGAGAGAATGTTGAAATACTCTGGAAGCCGTATATACAGTACGAAACATAAAACATTCCTTATAAGAGACATTGCACTCAAGGTTACTATACCATCGTAGGTGGTGAAAATCTTCGACGATCTAGTTTTGAATGCACGCATTTATGTGAGGCTGCGAAACTAGAAAAGCCTTCTTTGTCGAGCTACGAGGGGTAGACTGGTTTCGTATTTGATTATTTGGTTGTTTCAATGCCGTTTCAGCTCGGGCTCTACAGTTAACGGCACCAGCTTACGAGTAATGCCAGGCTGTTATCTCAGCTTAGCTAGACGGGAAATGTGGATCTCCAACATCATCACGTGAAAATAATTGCATCGCTTGTAAGAAGGTGGCTGGAAACAAAAAAGCATCCTTGCATATCTCGTTTCCAACACTAATGCTGGAGATCCTTTCGGAAGAGCTACAACGACTGCGAGCATTAGCCGTGGATCGTGTATGATTTGCAGCCACGCCTAAGATTGGTTGGTCTAAAAGCAAGCCCGATTTGAGGCTCAAAAAGAGTGCCCAGAAAGCTGTCTTTTTCTTGCAGTGTGTCGTAGGTGAGAAATTTTTTCGCACGACGATTACGTAGATGTCTCTTCAAACAAAAATAATAAAGCATTCATGCACGTTAATCTCTTTTACCCGAAAAGTGTAAAACTCATCCAACAAGGGCACAATTGCTTGAAATGGTAAACGTTCGCCAGTGAAAAGAAATTGTTGCAACTTAAATTGCCGGCTAACAATCTCAATGTTCATAGTTTGTCACCATTTTTACTTGTTCATTCAATCGTGTTAGTAGACTACTTTGAGCACAAAAATGCATCTATGTCACCCATTGGTAAACTCCAATATGTACGTCGCATTTCGTACGCTTAGGAGGTCCCATGAAAATAGGTGCAACCCAGAAAGGACGAAGATAGATACGTAAGGCATGCAAGCCTTCCTATCCGAACAACGACATTGCGAGCATAAAATGACATGTCGATTTTTCAGGAGGAGTGCGACATTTACGTGGTTAAAAAGTGGAACTGGCCAAAGCTCAAAAGTCGAAACAGCCGCCAACTGTGTGTTAGACTTTCAGGACTGTGTTCCGTATCATTTAGATACCTCTGTTAATAATCCCAAGATTTAGTTAATGAGGTCATCAGGTAGTGTTTATGTGCTAGTATTGCAGAATACTTAAAGGATAGAATTCTTGTAAACAAGTATCATAAATTTTTACACTCAATCGCACACCGAGATATTCAATTTGATCGGTTAGGGTTAAAAGATGGATTCTTTAACGTCGAAACGTCTTGAATGGCATGCTCGCTTCGTAATGCCATATAAATTTAGACTTATGAAGTGGAGTTAACTTTTTTGTGGAGACATTATGAGCCAGCCATCGTAAAAATGAAGAGTGGGTCGGACAAATAAAATGTCGCTCAGAGAATTAACGTATGTCGGGCGCAAAGCCTTATCGACATGAAAGCGATTTATACGTTTCGACCAAAAAAAAAGAAAAAGGAGTCCTCCGAATCGCGGTCCAAATAAATTGTGCATTATTGTCTGAATCCACTCGTGTCCTTATGAGTAGCTCTTCATTGCGTAATGTTATGAGCTGAGCCAATTAGAACCATAGATTCCACTTTCTCGCTCAAGCATATGTCTCGTTCATTCTTTTGCTATACTTTCTAGTAGAAATATCTCCGATATTCGTTGACACTATCTGCCCCACAAGTAAAATTTTATTTTTCTTAGGTCTCCCTTTTCGCAATTCCTTAATTAATCCTTCTGCAGGAAATATGAAGGACAACCTTGCCGGTATCTACATGGCTACCTTGAGACGTGCCTATTAGTGCTTACGTAATAAATAGCGTAATAAAGCAAGTTGATTAGTATCCAATGTCTAAAAATGAAAAAAATACGAGCAATCGAACGCATTGGACATTTAATAATTTCCATATGCTACGACATTATTGAATCAAAATTTCATGTATTTCTATTTGCATAATGCATTACTGTATTATAAGTTAATTGATGATAAGGAAAGCTAGCTCAAATCACGAAGAGAATTGTAGTGTTCACCTAGACCATAAGAGTGTTTATAATATGCTAGTTTCAATTCGGGATTCGTTGCCTGTTCGTTAATCTTGATCATAGATGACCCAGCAACAAATACTGTCACTGGACAATCGTACTCCCTAGCTAGTGCTAATATTTCCATATCTGAGCCCCACATTGCCGTGCTTTTGAGTTCTTCGATGTAATCTGCCAATTGACGCATTGTATCAGTTTCTTCGTCAATCATGAAGGGGATAAAATCTTCTTCATGTTCGAAAATATGACTTGCAGCCTTATTCCGCAATTCTTGAACACTTGTGGTCAAATCGAGTCTCGTCAGTAGTTGATCTACGATCGAGGCGAAGAGACAATGCCCATCTGGATTTATTTCGTGCATCTGAAGGCCATTACGCAGAAGAAGCTCTTTCATTGATTCCTCTTCTATTTTCCTGTAATCGATAGTGTTTTCAGCTTCGCGAGAAGCTTCTTCTTTCATCTTTGCGATTTCTGCTTGTCTTTTAGCTATGCGTTCTTTCTGCCTATTTCTTTTTGGTTTAGTTAATGCTACGTGAATAGATTTGTCTTCTGTATTTTTATGGTCGTCATAATTATTTATTTCCAACTGCTCTAACAACTTTTCAGGAGTTACCTCATCTTCTTTATGATCTTCAAATTGACGAAGCTCGTCTTTTTGTTTCAAATTTAGAGTCTCTTGCAATTCATTACACTTGGATATCACATTTTTTCTAGATTTTTTTGTGGACTGCTTCTTTAAACCAGTAATAGTTGCAACTAAATCCTTTTGTTCCTTCTTGTGTCTCTGCAAGACTTCCTCTTTGGTAGACATGGTTACGGATTTTCTTTTTGCGCTCGCCTTGACCTTGCTATTCAATCTCAAATTCGAACTAGTTGGATGCAAATGCCACTTATGACTTAAACGGACTAGACAAGGCAAAATAAAGGTGTCGTTTTCAGAGATCGCAGTAGGTATCCCCTTGTGATTGGTGCTAGGCAATTCTTTTCTCTCGTCGTTCCAGAGATGAGGTTCTCTCCTGTCCCCTTGCCTCCTGTATCGCACTAATAGCACTGCTCAATATTCCGACAGAAAGGCGTGAAATATTTAAAATATAGTTCCGAGAATTATTGCTACAAAAAAATTTGCTCTTCTGAACCTTACATGCAAGCACGCAATGCAATATTAATGTCGTAGAATATTAAAATCTTATTTTAAAGCGGTTTAGGATCAGATATCCCTTCGCATGCAAACTTCCAATATAGATGATAAAAAGGGGTCCTATACGTTCGCCGATTGCTAGTTCTTTCAATCATGATAGATAAAGTGCTCACAACTGTTAAGTATACGTTAAATTTGCAATAGTTATTTCTTTAGATGTGATCTCCGTTGTGACGTCCCTATGCTCATCTACCCTATCTCATGTGTACAGCGCTAATTTTCCTCCAAGTGTTCTCCTGTTATCGCTGCACCCCTATCGACATCCCTCTTAACCTCTTCAACTAACGCAGACCCGTAGGCTTTTGTCATTTCAGCGCAGTCCGTCAAGCAGACGCGTGTACTGCAACCAGAAGTCGGGCATCTAAGGCTATGTAGTGTCACGACATTCCTTTTTCTTTAATTGAGGTTGAATTGCGCAAGAGTAGTATATCCGCTGAATAATTTCAGTCGTGGCCCTGTGTCGAGCCCTATTCCCCTCGTAGCAAAAAGCGTACCGCATATTTTCTAAGCATTGACGACAATTCGGAGCGACACTACTGCGTTAGACTCCCTGACATTTGAATGTTGCCCCCTCTCCCTTGTAGTATTTTGTCGTTATTAGTGAGATGAAATTGCGAAGCTTTCTGAGTAGTGTAGTCCCGCATAGCGTCCACACAATGTCGACATAGTTTCCGCATAGTAGCTGCATAACATCCGTTTAGTAGAGGTAGAACGATCTCTGATAATATGATTCTGATTTGGGTTAAATTGGCTACGGACCATTCATCTGACTACAATTTCTTTTAACTTCAGCCATTATATAACCATTGAAAGTCTCAGTCTTACTTCGAGCAAAAAGTAAAAGCCATCCACTCAGCGTCGAAAGATCCCAGTAGAGAGCTTAGTACCGAGCTAGCTAGAGTAGGATCCATTGATTGACGCCGGCAGTACAGTGAAATAACAGTACCAAGCATATAGTGTGAATTACAAAACCTTTCGCTTGAGTCAAAAAAACTGTCCAGGTAACTTTAGAAAGTTGAGCTCATTTAAACTTTCTCTAAGGCTTCCACATAGACAGAAAGTTATCCTTTGATAGGATTTCTAACTATAGCATACACTGTACTTACCGAAGTCGAACAGTTCGGGGACCAGATCGGGAAAGGTTACTGCAAATAGACGGTGACACATCACACGCTGATACATAAGATTTGAAGTCGATTATCACTTAGTCGCTTCTCTTTTTGCGGCAGCACTCGTTCGTATCCATTGGTTTTACATTCATTCGTTACACCTCCAAAGCATTATAGCATAAATATTGTCGCTACATATGACTAGTCCAGATCTATTCCACCATGTTAGAGTGAACAACTCGACCATGAAAGCCTCACATGTCAACATTCAGACCATGGAATATAAATCTCACCGTAAATGCGTTGATGAATATGAACATGAGATCTTGGATCATTTATTGAGTTTTGAGCAAAAAACTTTACCTAGCTTGCAGTTAATTCAACAACAACCGGAAATTAATCTTAAAATGAGACCATTACTTTTAGATTTTTTGATGGATGTCATCAATAAGTTGAATTTGTCTAAATCTACTTTTCCGTTAACTGTCAATTTGATCGACCGATATTGTTCGACCAGAATTGTGAAGAAGCAACATTATCAATTGTTGGGATTAACCAGTCTTTGGGTCAGTTGTAAAAACTTGGATTCAAAGTTCAAAATTCCCTCTTTATATGATCTATGCAAAATGTGTTGCAATTGTTACGATAGAAGGTTGTTTTTAGAAATGGAAAATCATTTACTAAAGTCCCTTAATTGGCTAATTCATGTTCCCACATTTGATTCCTTTGTCGACTTATTTTTAAACTTGCTTCTAAATAGTGACTTAGCTGGATCTAACAGCATTAAAAAGCATGTGAACGACATAAAGGTTTTATCAATTTATATTTGTGAATTAATCCAGTTCTATCCTAACATTTACTTCAACTATAATTCTTCCCAGATATCTCTCGGTGTTGTCATAATCAGCTTGCATATTTTGGATATTCCTGTTAACTTACATAAGTACTTGGATTTCTTCAACGCTACAACCATGAAAGAAGTATTATCTGTTCAATCATTTAATACCTTGTTCCATAACTTATTGAAAATATTGAAGTGTCCTCCACCATCTTTGAAATTGAAATATTTCAATGATAAAAAGAATCCGCTTCATTTGATGAAATTATTGATTAATTTCACAAATAGTAACATTGAGCCTATGACTCCCAAAGTAAGCACAATTCATTTACCCCCAACTCCAGTGAGTAATAACATAAGTCCTAGAGATGATTGTCAGGTAAATCTGTTCGTTCCCAACATGAGCTCATCTCCATTTGCAGTGTCTAACATTCATTCTCCTCCAATTGATACAGATATGCAGACAACTGTTCCAAGAAAAAGGTCAGTAGAGAACATGGAAGATAGAGGACCTGCGAGTTCTCATTTGAAAAGATCGAAGTCTATCACACCCATGTTTTTCATATCATGATCAAATTGCAGCAGTCTTGTTTACGTTTTGAAAATAGAATACAAAGTAGCATTCACAGTAATCAAATAATTAATTGATGAAGTATAATTTTACTCATTCTTCTGGTTTGCAATCTACTCCATTGTGAGTACATCGAAGTCCTGTTGTTTTTCTTGTTTTCTCTCTTGCAAACAGTCATGTTTCAATTAGAGTGGAACGAAATTCGACGTTTGACAACTTGCTATGTCATTTTACGTGAACAATTATTTTCATTGCATCAATACACACAGCTATTCATTAACTCGTAGTGAAGAAGAGAAGGCGTCTAAATGACTATAGACTAATTTCTTTCTTTTTTCGAAAAAGAGTAATAGTAATTATACTCGTCATTCAAAAAGCGTCATTCAAAAAAATGACAAGAAATGACTTCCATTGAATTATGTAGGTTTCTAGTCCTTTTGGCTCATCGCTATCAAGAAGTGACCTAGTTTATCAATTTTTGAAGTTATTGTAAAATATATCGCGAAATATTAACTTTTCTCTATTATTTATATTTTACAAATTTCTTTTCAAAGTTAAGTTTAATATAGTATTAACAACCATGAAATAAGAAAATGGGAGATCAAACAGATAAAAGAAATAAAAGACAGAAAACGTCTTCGTACAGTGGCTATCGTGTTGGAGAAAGTGATGAAGTTGAGGAGGTGAATTCGAGTATTAAATCCAAGAAATTTTTCGAAAGCTTTGTATTGCGAAGAAAGCCAGTTAAGATTAAGCCAGATGGGTCTGGCTTTATTGACCTTAAAAATCTTAGCATTGATAACATTGAAAAGTATTTGGACTATCAATATTATCTTCAAGTTGAAAAAAAATTCGAACACGGATTTGGATCGGGCTTATCAAGAGAAAAAATGACATTAAAAAATCTAATGGAAAGGCTCCGCCAAGGTGATGACAGCTTTTACTTGACTACACAATACAATGAAAACGAAAATGAAGAAATATCTGATGATGAAAACGACAATGAAAATGGTGCGTATGGGGATAAAGCTGTCGAGGGAGTCAATAAAAACAATTTTGAAAATTTTAGTGACACTTCATCTATGGGCTCAATTGATTTCGATGATTTGCGAGACGACTATGAAGATGAGGAGGAGGATGGGAATGAAGATATTGTGGATCCTATTCTTAGCAAAGAATGCGACCTAACTGAGTTCGAAGCAAAGAATCGTATAAGAGAGCTTTTGCAGCCTCCATTGACAAATGCATTCAACAAAGTAACCGTTAAACCGCCATTATTAAAGAATCTCGTGCCACAGCAAATCAACTTGTGGATGGGGTATTCTAAGAAAGGCTCTACTCCACAATTAAATAGCTCGGATATCGATTTATGTAGGATGGTACCAGGTGATGGAACTTCATCAGGATTACATCATGATCATGCAGACAATCTTTATATTCTTGTGTCTGGTGTGAAAAGATTCACTTTATATTCGCCCTCAGATGCAGAGAAGCTCTTCACTGTTGGAAACATCTCGAAGGTATTTTCTAATGGGACAATAGACTATGAAGATGACAACCTGTCAGGTTGGAGGCATATACGTGAAGATGGCGCTATATTATCCGAAGTTGCTAAGTGGAAACTCAAGAATGACAACCTGTTATCTAATGACACAAGAAAAGCTTTGCAAGAGGTTATTTCTGACGAAGAAGATCTTAAGCATGGTGATAATAGAGAACCCCCAAGCTTCTCTAAAATTCCACCTGCCTTACTTCATATCGAGGATTTTGAAGATGCAGCCTTAAGAGACAAGCTTACGAAATTTTCGATGAAGAATTTCCCTGGTCTTTTAGAACTAAACAAGCTCACAGTATGGTTACACCCAGGAGATATGCTTTATTTGCCTGCTGGTTGGTTTCACGAAGTCTCAAGCTACGGCTCCCATATAGATGACCTGTCCATCCACGTGGCTCTAAATTACTGGTTTTCACCCCCAGACTCGGATTCATATGAAGCACCTTATAGAGATTCTTATTGGAACGAAGATTGGAAGAAGACTGAAGAAAGTGTCAGGCTCGCTCGCGAAGGAATTATAGATGCGGACTAATTAAATCGTAGAACTGATGTCACTTGAGTGTTTTAGGATAAGTAAATACAGCGAGAAAAACAATTAAAGAGCTTTATCTTTAGGAAGATGGCATCTCTGTCAATTCTCTCAAAATGCCTGTACGTAAAGGGTTGCAACCCTTTCATCGCGTTATTTGACATTGTACACTCCACTTCATAAAATTCATTTTATGTCGTAAAAATGTCTCGCTGGATCGCGCAACATGCAACAGAACCTGCATTATATCGTCATTTCCTAGGAGGCAATGTAGTTAATTCAATACTGAAGTTATCATTTATTGTGTGGGAGTTATTTTATGGTTTTCAATAAAATCAGGTTTATAGAAACTGAAATATCGATCAAACAAAGAACTTAGAGTATTATTGCCAAGAATTGATTCAAGGAGGTATCATTGACGTATGTGCAGTGCACACGGTCAAACTATGTGCATATCGATACTATCCCTCATGACTTGATGTTACTGTCTGCCACTTAAGGAGCTAGAAGAGAAGTAGCAGCTGTCTTCCATCAACATATCACTTCAGGAGCCACTCTGTAGCTCAGAGCTTTCTTGTAGTCGAAATATCTTCTCTAGCAAGGAGATGGATTACATAAGCTTTCGGAAAAGATAAACAAATTTAACAAAATTTGTGTCACATTTACCTTGGCCACGACTTCCTTCCTGATTCAGTTTTGTGCTTCGGCAGCAGCATTCTTGATAAGTACCCCTTTACATATAGGTAAAAATTTTCAAATTTGTCCCTTTCCTTTCTCTAGATATCTAAGAGAATCGTTTGACGAAGATAGAAATTAGATCACATATTATATCGAAAGAAGAAGATTGTAAGATTTGTTTTTGAATATGTTTAAGCTGAGGACAGGAGAGAAGTGGCAGCAGAAAGTTTAATTGCTAAAGTGAAAAATTTGGGAAGAGCATTGTTACGATCCATAAATCGTACAAATGAATTTGTCATTTCACTTGTGAGATCAATGCTGAACTTCTGTTAGAAGTTTTGAGTACCCTTACAGCATTGTATTTTCTTGCTAGCTTTTTTCTTAGTCTGTATCTTGAACTTTGTTTACATATGAGATCCGGATATTAATAATTATAGAAACCTTCATTTTTTTTTTAAATTCTTTCGTTATTGATACTATATCTAATATTCTAAGTTTTTTTTTGTTAGTTTTTATTTTTTTTTGTTTCCAGGTTCATTGGATTGTTGATTATTGTTTTCGTTAACAATAATTTTTCATATTAGTGCAAAGAGGATCAAGTTCAAGCCGTGTCAAAACAAGGATCGGACTAATTAAAGGACTTAAAAGCACAAAATAGCAGTCAATCAACGAATCGATCGGTTTCAAGAATTTCCCAATTGAAAAGAAATTTTCCTTGTTGATTCACTTATTATATGAAATATTTTGTATAATCAATTTGTTCAATATAACTGAATCTTAAGTGCAAGACAAGCATAGTTAAAGGAACAAAATTTAAGAATATGGCATTGGCTGATAGAAGACCTTTCGGAATTCCTGTTTCATCTACTCCCGCGTCGCCTGCTTACAATCCAAGATCTTTGAGCATCTCTGGTTCAGGTTCTGGTAGCTCATCTAGGGACTCAAATGATTTCGGCTCGAATGCCGATGGGAAAGCATTGAACGGAGAATATGCCGAGAGTGATGTCAAGCCATTTACTCCTGAGAAAAGTACTAGTCCATCTGAAACCTCGTCTTCGAGGAGTATTTCGCCTGATTCTTTGATGAGTTCCGAAAACTCTAAGAAGCTTAACCATACCAGTTCAAGCAGCTCAAGAGGATCAACTCCACCATCATTGTCTGCTGCTAACATTAAAAAGCCAAAAACTTCAGCCAGAGTCCCTATTGCAACTGGAATTTCGACAACAATTCCTGTCACGGGCGAGAAACCGAAGCCTGATCAGAAAAATGATCCATCATTGGAAGATGATGTTTTGTTTGCAATATTCCTTATCTTGTATGAAAAGGATCCAGAGGGCAATGGTATGACGGTCAAGCAAATTTGTGATATTTTGGTGGAGAGACATCCTGAAATGGCTAACTTGTCTACGAAAACTTCCAACTTGGTTAGTGCTAAGTTGAATGCGTATGTGAAAAGAGTTGAGAAGGGCGATTCGAATTTGAAGTATGCTTTATCTAGAGACTGGGCTGATGCTTCCCCTAAGAGAATGGTGTATGTATATCGTGGATTATTGGCTGAAGACTTCCATGTGCATGTCAAAAATGTAATGGAAGTTCAAAAGCAACTGAAAACTCATAGTTTAGAAGAATCCACGGAGCCTACTAAGCTGATTGAGAGCGTCAAATCTAATGATCAAGCGTTTGATTATGGAATTCCCAAAAACAGTTTTATGAATACCCTGGTGGATAAATCGAACTTGTTTGTTCCTTACTCGACAGCTCCTGTTACTGCATCGCTAACAGAGTCAATCAACGACTCAAATGTAATTGATAAAAGCAATAATTCTGGAAATCAGGATTCTGATTTGGATTTTCAAGATTTTGAAGCATTCAACGAGGATGACGAGGATACAGCAGATTTCCGAGTTGAATCTTGGATGAGAAATGGTAAACGCTCGAAATCAATGTCTTATTTGTCCTCTAAGAAAGCAAAGATTTTAACTGCAGCCGCAGCAGCTCCAAGGGCACCAAGAACACCTTGTGCTCACAGCCCTAATGCAGCGGCGGCGGCGGCAGCTTTGCACGCAGCAGCTTTAAAAGCTATTTCGAATCCATCTCAATCCATCAAGCCTAACAATGAAAACGCAAGCTCTGAACGGTTTGAGAATAAAAAGTGGCTCAGCGTTGTTAGATCTGGATTTTTGACTCAAGAAATTGGCACACCTGAAGATATTAGCTTATCTGACTTAGACAAGTTTTTTGCTTGAGTTGCTAGTTTCATTAATGATTGAGTTAGAGTTACTTGAGTGTTTATAATTTTGTTGGTTTTTGAACTATTTTTGTTATCATTATTACTAAGAGTTGAAGGAAACGACTCTGAAATTATTCATTTTCATTCCCTGCCCACATAATGAAGTGATGGGCGATGCCGTTTATTTCTCTCGATTATTAAGAAATTTTGGAGTTCAGCGCAAAAGTCTATATGTAAGATGAGAGTAGCCATTTGAGGCACGTTTAAAATGAGAATCACTACCTGAACTAGTGAATTAAGTATAATTATTTGTTGTGAGTGTTGGGAGAGTTGTGCAGACTACTCTGTCGGATAGTATCTTGTATAATATAAATTCACATAACGGCTTGATGAGTACTGTTCGTTTTAAAAGCGAATGAAGATTGTATTTTGTTTCTTAAGATCATTACTTTTCTCTAATTCCTAAGAAATTTCTAAAATTACACCTCTAAGTCCAATGTTCTAAGGAAGAGTTTTTCATGTCATATAATACTTGGGGCCATCACCACCTTCTGGTACTTCCCAATTTATATCCTGGGAGGGGACTTTAATATCACAAGTTTTACAATGAATGCAATTTTGACTATTTATTTGAAACCTGACCCCCAACTCTTCGTTTTCGTCTTGAACATACTCGTAGACACCCGCGGGGCAAAACCTCTGTTCAATACCTTTGTACTTGGGATAAGAAATTTCAGCATGTTTTTCGTTGTCTTGATTAGGGATTCGTAAGTGACATTGTTCGTCTTCATCATGGTAAGTACCTGTTCTAGATACAGAGGTTAATAAGTCGAAAGTTATCTTGCCATCGGGTTTTGGATAATCTATGGGTGAGTATTTGTCTGCAAGTTCAGTGGCAGCAGCATCCGTCTCTCGATAATTCAAAGTCCATGGTTCACTTCCTTTTGTTATCATTGTCGTAATTCCGGAATGAATTAACCCCCCAGCGAGGCCAAGCGGACTATTGAAAGAAGGTCTAACATTTCGAACTTCATATAACTCTTTATAAACCCAGGAATCTTCGATGGCATCCTTATACGATCTTAATTCTAGAGGGCTCTCAACTATTAAATTATCCTCATCAACTGGTTCCATGTCTTTTATTTGTTTGAATATACATTCTGCGGCAAGCATTCCTGATTTCACTGCTGTATGAGTACCCTTTATTTTTGGAACATTAAGAAATCCCGCTGCGCAGCCTACTAATATTCCTCCGGGGAAATAGAGCTTCGGAATAGACTGGAATCCGCCTTCATTTAAAGCTCTAGCGGCATAACTGATACATTTACCTCCTTCTAAGACGTTCGAATAAAAAGGATGCAATTTCATTTTTTGAAACTCTTGGTACGGGGAAATATATGGATTTGCATAATCCAAGCCTATGACAAGCCCAACAGCAACTAGCCCATCACTGAAGTGATACATAAATCCTCCACCATATTCAGCACTTAGCGGATATCCTAACGTGTGTCCGACGAAACCTTTATTGAATTTCTCTGGCGCTACTTCCCAAACTTCTTTGATTCCCAAACCATAAGTTTGCGGGTCCAGTTCGTCTCTCAAGTTGAATTGAGATATCATCTTCTTTGATAATGAGCCATGACAACCTTCAGCAAGGACAGTTATTCTTGCATGGAACTCCATGCCCCTTTCGAATGAGGGCTTTGGTTTACCAGATTTTGAAATACCCATATCTTTCGTTATGACTCCCCTTATAGCTTTTCCTGATTTATCGTAGACGACGTCACTTACTGATATACCTGGATACAATTCGACACCTAGCTCTTCAGCTTGCTCAGCTAAATACTTGACAACGTTATTCAAAGAAACGATATAATTTTTTCCTTCATTTTTCATTTGAGGAGGTTCCGGCAACGAGAAAGAAGACTCTTTAGTCAAAAATTTCATTGAATCTTCTTTAACAAGAGTAACAAGATCAGGAGGTAACGCGATCCCGGTACCATCTTCATTCAAGAATTCACTGTCAGGAAACAACTCTCTAAAGGGCCCTGGTTCTATAACCGCACCACTAACTATATGGGAGCCAAAGTCTCCAGCCTTCTCTAAAACTACAACTCTCATCTCGCCAGAGCCCGACTCATTGTCTAAAGTTTTTAACTTTATCGCGGTTGCCAATCCAGCAGGACCTCCACCAACAATGCAAACGTCAACGAAATCTGAAGCTCTCTCCTGATTTAAGATCTCTTTATCATCTTCAGATAATGCGCTTTCTGTGCTTTTCCTAGCCCTCAGAAAGGAAGAAAACGAGCGAGCAGACCACGGCGATGCTCTATGTATTGATCGGGCAGCATTTCCGGAGGTTCGAGCTACCAGGAACCAAGAACGTGAGTTAGCGAGGCTGATGATCTGCCTTATGTTTCTGCTGGGTTTGATCATATCATTCAGCAAGAAAGACACTGCCTTATTAAAGTTCAAAGCTATTGCAAAATAAGATATCTTGACCTAAATTTTAAAGCAGATTTTTCATTATAATGCGAGCGACGAATCAAAATCATCACAATGGCAAGTTTTATGGAGAAGGTAAACTACATGAAAAGTGAACACTTTAGACGTTACTCTTTAATAGAGATCGACATTTAACTATCTACAATATTGTATAAATCATGCCTTCATTACAACTGAATTTTCTAATAATTAAGATACCCATATTGTTAAGGATCTGCGGTTTGCTCGAGTATCCTTCACATACTCCTCAAGCATGTCAATGGCTAAAATCCAGTCGTCATGAGAATCCATAACAACGAAATCGCCGTCCTCATCTTTATACTTCAACTTGTTCACCATTATGTCATCATTCACTCGATTACTTGCTGCAATTTTTGATGAAATCTTCAGGTGTAAATCTGTAAAGTGTATGGCAGATGGAACCACTAGAACATCAGGGATTTCTAGTCTATTGTATAAAAGCTTTATTTCAACATTTGTTTGAAATGAGGAATCACTGCTACTACTTATAACATTCAATCCCGTAGAAGACATTCTAGATGGTTCCGTACTAGATTTGGACTTAGAATTCCTCATCATACTAAAAGTCGAGGATGATGAATGATGTCGATGGTAAGACGATCCATTTGACGATCTGATCGAGTTGTTGTCAATTATGCCTGCTCCATTTGTAGTAGACACTGGAGAAGGGTTAGCATATGCAGCAGCCATATCATAAATTCCCGAATCATTTGTTAATTGGGAGCCTTGCGAGTCTCTCACTTTTTTATTAATTTGACTGCTCATTTCAGATGATTTCTGCTGTCTTAAGCTATTTTCCCACTGATTTCTAGTCTCTTCTGTTCTGTACCTTAGAGTAAATGAGCCACTTTCCTTCTTCCCCGACCATGATATTATGAGCATATATCCATTTTGATTTGAGGAACTCACGTTGTAAATTTCCAGAATATACACCCTGCCCTTTAACTCTAATTGTGATTTATCTTTCGCCTTACCTAATGATTCTAGTAAATTTGCAGTAGATGCAGATGCGACAGAAGATGACTTCTTTCTAGAGGATAATATCTCTCTTTTCTTCTTTTCCTTCTCTTTACCTGTATCTTTGTTAGCTTCAATGAAAAAGAAAATAATTCTCTCGAAAAGATACGCAACATAATCCTTTTCGCTATCTACGTCCCGAACACCAACAACACCATGATGAAGTAATTCGCCTTGATCTTTTAGGTTAAATCCTCGCCAATTACTAACGCGTTCCAGTAAACTTTGGGCATATCCGAGATTTTCGGCCCTTCTTTGTGCCTCATTAACTTGGTTGGCAACTTCCTTCATGGCTGTTTCAGCCAATAATAGTTCATTTTGAGAAAGAGTGGGTGTAAACGATTCATCATTGAACTCTGGCGAAGCCTTGATCAACTCTTTGAGTAATAAAGGATATTTGCATAATCTTTGTATAGGTTTAATGATATATGACTGCAACTCAAAGCCGGGATCCAAAAGGTTCGAAGACTTTCTCAAATTGTTAGCTTCTTTATTAATAAGATCTATCGCTCCTAACTGACCCACAGTCCAAGGCTCATAAGCTTTAAACGGGCCACTTGACGCATGTAAAAATGTTGAACCAATTCTTTGGTACTTCGTAGGAATGTTAATATTAGACTCTAGACCATTCAAGAATCTCCTTTGAAAATCAACTATCTCGTTTAAATTAGGAAACAATATATGGACTTGTTCATTCGAAATAAGTTCAGCATTTTGTAACTCTGATTTATATTTCAACATTAACTCCAAATCTTGCACATATTTTCTTTCAGTAGTGATGATTTCATTGAAGACCTTTGATCTATCATCAGATATGGATAAATCGGCCATGTTTAGTTTTTCAACTTCAGTCGCAGACAGGACCAGAGAGGGCTTTAAATCTATAATTTTCTTAATAACTGCAATAACCTTTATAAGATCGTGAGTGCTTTCCAGAAACACATTGGAAATAGTGATCATTGATTCATCGTCGAATTCTAGATGGGTCTTCACGGCAATTAAAAAATCATAAACTGATTTTTTACAAACTCTCATATCGTCACTCCCTATTATAGGAATCTGATGTCCAGAAACGACTGAATTGAAAACCAAACACAAAGGAGCTCCTTGTTGAAATAACTTCCAAAGAAGAGTCACTGGATCCACGCTAATATTAGCAGGCAAAACTCCTGCAGTAAACGTAAATATACTGTTATTAGATGGTCTCGTAACAGACGAATTTAATGACGATGAGTCAGAATGTATAGAAAAGCCCGTAGAGCCCACTGATGCCCTGAAATCTGAAATACCCTTATCTTGTTGTAACTGTTGGGACAACACCAACGCCTGCTGTTCAGCACACTGTTCAGCGGCAACATAAGCCAGTCGCATAAAAGGAGCCATTCCCTCTATACTTGATAATCTCTGTTTCAACTCTAGGCACTGAAAATGCAAATGATCTTTAGCCGATGACTGCTTGTTCAAATTCAACATTTGTATTGGTCCCAGTGCAACTCTCGTAATGCTTGTTGTTGACGAGTTCAATGATAAATTTGAAGTAGTCGATACGGTTCTATATCCGCCATTAGGCATCTGCTGATTTGAATGCATCATAAGCTATATGGATACCCAAATTTTCAAAATATCAACCTCCTTATTACGTTATTTTTAGTTCAGTATTTAATGATTTAATATATAAGCTACTGAGGCTTAAGCGACTCTACTTTTTTTTTTTTCTTTTTTCGAGTACTACTCCTTTTATTTGTTATACACGTAAAATTAGATTAAAAATGAATAATTAATAGAAATCTATGATACATGTCAGTAGACTGTATTAGATATTAATATAAAAATGCCTATTAAGGTTATATACTATACAATTAGGAATCGTGATCATGATTTATCAAGTTTTTTCATTAGAGTCATAGTTCTTCCATAATCACTTGAGTATATAAATGCAGTCTTATTAGGAAACCACGTAATAAAGCTTAAAACAGAATTTCCACTAAGACTGTTTGGGACTTCAAAAACTTGGTCTGCCGTCGTAACATCATATATCCTTGCATTGGAATGCGAGTCATAGGAGACAGCAATATATGCGCCATCTCTTGAAATATCGACGTGAGATATAGCGGCATCTACATCTGAAAGTACCTTAGAGTTTAGCATGGTCGCAGTATTCCAAATAGATACCACGCCTTCGTTGGAGCCTATAGCAAAATACTTTCCCCGAGGATCAATTGCTAGACACGTTGCAGACGATCTGTGACCAGTAAATGTTTTCTTCAATTGGTAGCGCATTTTCTCATCTGCCTTATAAAGAGGAACACTTCCATCATGTAAAGCAAACATGAGAAAATCATGATCCTTGTTAAACCATAAAGCATCATATATATGCTCTTTGATTTTTGTTTCTTGAACTTTTGCGTAGTCATTGAGGACGGAAAACATGCTCACAGTAGAATCTCTATCCACCACACACAATATCTCTCCATCAATGGAGAATTTGACTATCTGACATACTGCTGGGGTATTTGACTCTTTAGATACTTTTATCTCTTTTTCCATGGTGCCATTTATTCCCTTCCATATTCGTACGTATTCATCTCTACCAACTGATGCGAATGTATATTCAGTTCTTGGATGCCAGGATATACTCTCAACAGATTTTATATGCGCATTCTCTATGATAATTGGCTCAGTTAACCTGTCTGGTGTACATTTCCAAATCCTTATTGATTTGTCTGTTCTCGAATTGACTAGTCTTGTCCCAGTATTGTTTATTGAAATGAAAATTATTTCAGAGTTACCGCTTCCTGGAAGCGATTGGTCTTTAACAACCAGTGACGTGAAGTTCTTGAAGAATAACTTGCTCCCCGAAGAATGTTCACTACTCATTATTAATCCTTAAATTTATAAAGGACTGCTTATCGGTTTTGCTTGTATTTACTGAAATTGAAAAATGTGAGAAATTGAAAATTCTTTCCACGTCGGTAGAAATATAACTTCTTGGAATCATAGCAGAAGTGAGTAATTATGTCGTCAAGACCTAGATTGATTTCACTAGATGCATTCTCTAAGACGGTAGAGGATGTTAAAATTAAAACTGCATCAGGTGGCATAATCACTTTAATGTGTATCCTTATTGTTTTCATATTGATACGTAACGAATACAAGGATTATACTCTGACAGTGATCAGGCCCGAATTGGTTGTTGATAGGGATATTAACAAGAAGCTTGATATAAATTTGGATATCACATTTCCTAATTTACCGTGTGATGTTATGACGTTAGATATTCTTGATAACACTGGAGAATTGAAATTGGATATCGTAAAATCGGGGTTTCAAAAGTTGAGAATAGTTGATGGTAACGAGATTTTAGACGATCAGTCCATCTTGAGCAATGATATATCTTTGGATGAAAAAGCAAAGGGGTTGAAAGAAGGAGAGGAAGGAAAATGTGGTCCTTGTTACGGGGCATTGCCTCAAGACAAAAAGCAACATTGTTGCAACGACTGTGAAACTGTGAAGCTTGCATATGCAAGCATTAACTGGGGGTTCTTTGATGGTGAAAATATTGAGCAGTGTGAGAAGGAAGGCTATGTTAGTCGTTTGCGTGATAGAATTAATAATAAAGAAGGATGCAGAGTTAAAGGTACTACACAAATAAACAGAATTGCTGGTAATTTACATTTTGCTCCCGGTGCATCCTCTACTATCCCAGGAAGACATGTTCATGATACTTCGTTGTATGACAAATATGCAGACAAGTTTGATTTCGACCATACCATAAACCATCTATCTTTCGGAGCAAATCCTGAGGGTGTAAATCTAGTTCACGACTCGAGCCATCCTTTAGATGGATATGTTGCCGAGAAACATAGCAAATACCATGTATTCTCTTACTATTTGAAAGTGGTGGCGACCAGATTTGAATATATGAAAGCGAGACCGCTAGAGACAAACCAGTTCTCTGCTGTAAAACATGATCGCCCTCTAGTAGGGGGTAAGGATGAGGACCACCAGCACACAATACACGCAAGAGGCGGACTTCCTGGTGTATTTTTTCATTTTGAGATATCGCCATTAAAGATCATTAATAAGGAACAATATTTTAAAACTTGGTCTGGATTTGTCTTAGGTGTTGTGAGTTCTGTTGCTGGGGTATTGATGGTAGGTGCTGTCTTAGATAGGTCCGTATGGGCCGCAGAAAAAGCCATTAGAAGCAAAAAAGACATATAAATGTACTGTAAAAGTACAATGGCTTTGATAGAAACCGAATTCAATTTTTTATAATGATTATATTCAACTACTTGATTAGATTTACATTCTATGTACATGCATTTATTTCTTCTAGATTGATTAAACATCACTTAAAAGATGCTTAATATCATTATAATAATCCTTCTCAAGGTTTTTGGCCATTTCTTCTTTTGTCAACCACATATACTTTAATGCTGAATTTGATGGACTAAATCTACCAGATAGTATATGTGATTTTATGAAATATTCCCTTTTACCATCATTTCCTTTGTATAAATGACATGGAGTATTGGAAACATTGAAATAGTTGATGTTTTCCCCCCCAATTTTATATAAGCCTTCTTCTGCCAATTTATGTAACGGCTTAAGATCATTCGCGGTCTCCTCTTTGAAGTTAGGAAGAGTCCAACGTTTGCTATCGCCAACCACCAAATATAATGTTCTAGTCAACTTCCTTTCTAAACTGGTAAGGTCTTTATTTTCATCAGCTTTAGTTAACCTTGAATTAGGTACAATTTTACGAGATAAACTGTCATTTACCTTAAATTCATCAGTTTCTTCCTCCTTAGCTTCAGAATACGTCTTTGGAAGATTAATCTCTTGTTTAAATCGTCTATCTCTTTGATGTCTAATCTCAGGCCTTCCTTTTGGAAACTCCACATTAGGGTTGTTAAATACGGGATTCTTATTTAGCTCCCTATATCTCTGCTCAGACAAAGTTCCTTCTCTATAGTAAAACCACTTTGGAAATGTCCACATTAATCTTTTCCACAACTCATTCTGGTACTTGTAATACTGGTTTTCAAACTCAGGTAAATCCGCAGTTACGATAGGATTCCTAGAGAGCAATAATGTCGACGAAATTAGCGGATTCACTGACTGAGAAGAATATTTCCTAACTGCTGACCGAAAGAGCATTTTGGTGCAATATAGAGCAGATTATCTGTGCTACAATCTAACAACTATCTGAAGTTAAGGTTGGAAATTTTCACTTCCGCGTAAAGTGCAGTACAGTTTGAAAAACAAGGACTGCTCAAAAAAAAGTGGAATCCGGGTAGTGAATTTATAACCCTCGAACTATAAATTGGAGCCCCTCGCCACTTTGTAATTAAAACTTTTAAGTAAAAAAGAATTCGTAATTTCTTTCAGCATTATCATCATAATTACTTGGAAATAGGTAATAACCTATTAGAGATCCGAATAAAGGTTAGATTAAGAGAATAATTCTATAAAACGAAATTCAAGCTATCGAAAAAAGTAAAATCATCGTATTCCAACATTCTTATAGTACTTTTTTGTATATTCTTTATTGCTAAGAAGTAGTTGAATTGATCTTGACGATCTAGTTGTAATATTTTTAAATTGTTTGATTTCATCTTCAGACACTTTTGCTTGAAAGAAAGATAAATTGTGCACATACTTCCAGAGTTGATATTTTTAGTCCTGAACTCGTAAAAAGTAACAAAAGTCATTTGAATAATGTCAGTGGTAGGAGAATTTGAAAATACTTTAAGGGAAATACCTACTTTAAAGGCACCGGGTATATCTGGTTCGCGTATTAAAAAGTTGACTGATATAGCAGTCAAAAATGTTCATGTAAGTATTATCGGCTAAATGCCAAAATGCATTTTGAAGAAATAACGTCTATCCAGTATATAGTATGGATTACTAACCACAAAATTTAGGATGAGTCTAAATTGATTACAACTTTATACTCAAATTGTAAAGCGGTGCCATCGGCATATAAGCTCAGTACATTATATGTTGTCGACTCGATTGTAAGAGTATATGTCGACGAAGCTAGAAAGAATAATCAAGAGATTAACGCCTCTGCTCCAGAAGGAACTTATGCCGCTGGAGTCTTTAGAATTAGTGAATTAATTGAGTCTTTGGTAGATGACACATTAGACTTAATGATTAGTAACTCTCAAAGAGTAAAAGTTGGTAAATTAGTAGATATCTGGGAGAGAGCGGAAACTTTCAAACCTGAAATTATTCAAAGAATTAGAACAAAGCATTTTGCATCCACTACACCACCTGGTTCGCCTCCCAGAATTAGTGTCGAGCCGGTTAAGCCAACAAACGCATCTAATCAATCTGATTCTACTAGTATTTTACTGGCGCTAGCATCCTTAGCGAAGTCTAATTCGAATAGTAATACCCCTAATCCGGCTCCCGCAGTTACTGCAGAACCACCTTCAAATGCTAATAATATTTTGTCACAGTTGTCAGCACTTGCAGGTGGTAATCATAACGGCAATGCCAACAATAGTAACACTATGAACAACTCTAAACCGGCTCCACCAGCTGCTGCCGGGCTTCCACCGGTGCCTCAAGTTCGTCCTCAAGCTGGCCCCCCCAACGGACAGAACGAGCAATATATCTTCAAAATGCTTCAGCAGATGCAAGGAAATGGTGCAAGCTTACCCCAGATTCCACATCAAAATATGCATGATAGTAGAAGGGGAAGAGATGATAATGCATCTGGTTATTCAAGAAGAAATAGATCGAGATCTCCGAATAGATTTGGTCAAGGTGGAAGAAGAGAGAGGTCACCTCCAAGACAACAAGGAATGAATAATTTTTCACCAAATCAAATGCAAAACCAAATGCAAAACCAACCGCAAATACCAACTTCAGAAATGAATATGCCTGGAACACCACATTATCGCCCTCGTAACGTTGGTTTCGACCAAAGCTTACCACAGGGATCATTCAAGGTTTTGTCAAGAACATTGTTTATTGGAGGAGTTCCACGGTCAATGGATGAAGCTGAATTGGCATCGGTTTTGAGGCCATATGCTGAAGTTCAATCAGTAATATTAAACAGCGAGAGAAAGCATGCATTTGTGAAAGTGTATTCAAGAAGAGAAGCTGAACAAGTGATAACTTCATTTAACAAGGATAACTCGCTACCATTGAGAACTCGTTGGGGTGTTGGTTTTGGTCCAAGAGATTGTTGTAACTATCAGCATGGCATCTCGATCATCCCCATTCAAAGATTAACTGATGCAGATAAGTCCTGGGTAGTTCAAGCCCAATGGGGTGGTACAGGTGGTCAACCATTACTGAGTGGTATGGTCATTGATGAACCTGATATTGAAATTGGCGCTGGTATTTCATCTAAGGCAATGTCTAAGAAGATGCCTACTAATTCTGCTAGAAATGGCCCGAAGTCTAACAAGCCAGGGGAGCCTGATGAAGACTATGTCAAGACTACGTTAATACCTCAACAGGCAGGACCGATGTCTCATGGAAGTCAACCAGATTTCACTACAATGACGCAATCATCTGCTAATCCCCTTTTTGGTTTGTTCAACAATAACAACGGTAATATGCCAAGTCAACCTCCTCAAGGTATGCCCAACGGGATTGACTACTCGCAAGTCGCAAACTACATGAATGGTATGCAAGGAAATGTGCCCCAGGCAAATGGCCTTTCCAACCCCAATTTAGGAGCACAATTGACCAACTTTTTCCAAAGTGGCGGTATGGGTCAACAATAAAAATATGCTCAAACTTTATAGTTTTAAATAGTATAATTGTAATATATTCTTTTGAATAGTTGATAAGATAAAATTTAGTCTCTCGTTTTGATTTAGCCGCACCAATAAAAAAAACTTCGAAAGTATAATTTTAGTACCCTTTAATGGATCATTAAAGATAAAGTAGCTCATTTTGCTTTTAAAATAAAATCTCAATCAAGCTAGCTTTATTTCCATAGTGCTGTTTTCATACAAAATTGGGTCAGGCTCCTCTCGAGCTGTAAAACGATTTTTTCACACGTCAAATACCATGCTAAGAGATACAGTCTTTGTTAAAGATTTAACTGCGACAGCAATTATTGGAAAGGACGCTTGGAGCAGGCCACTGCCCCAGCCTATAACGATTTCTGTTTCGTTGGATACAGATTTCCATGAAGCATCATTGACAGATAACTTGAAGTTCTCTCTTAATTATGCGGTCATATCTAGAAATATTATGGAGTACTTGAGAGCTAATGAACATAAGAATTTCCAGTCACTTGGGAATGTTGGAGAATGTATCAGTGAAATAGTGTTGGATCAGAAGCATGGCGGCGGTCAGATTGCTGAAGTGACTGTAAAGAGTACCAAATCAGAAATCAGAGCTGAAAGTGTTGAATACAAGATGATGCGATCAATTTTGGGAGACTGTCAACGAGCCGATGAAATTAAAGTCCGTAATTTGAAGTTATTGACTATAATTGGGGTTTTCACCTTTGAAAGAGCTAAGCGTCAAATTGTTGATATTGACTTGGAGATGAAATTACCAAAAAACTCGAATATATTAGTCCATAAAGTTGTCGAAGATGTCTCTATGTATGTTGAATCTTCAAATTTCAAGACCGTGGAGGCTTTAGTGATGTCAATTGGTCAAAGGATTTTTCAAGATCATGATAGAGATGTAGATTCAGTCACTGTCAGAGTGACGAAGCCTAATGCAATTAGCTATACCGATGGTGTGGGTGTGACATCAGAGATGACGAAGGATCTTTTCATAGATGCACAACCGCTTCAAAAAGGTGAAAAATCTAATGATCTGTTCAATTTACCGACCACTGATGAAGATAGCAACTTCTCAGACGTGTCAGATCATACAGCATTTATAGCTTTTGGCTCAAATCATGGGGACCAACTTCAGACTATCAATAAAGCAATAGACTTACTTTCAAATTACAAGATCAACGTTGTGGCGACTTCCTCATTGTACATATCCAAACCAATGTACTACAAGGATCAGTCTGATTTTTTCAACGGAGTCATTAAAGTTTCTTTTAGTAATAAAACCCCTCAAGAATTGTTGGCTGTATTGAAAGAAATTGAATACAAACATTGTGGAAGACAAAAGGATTTTGATAATGGACCTAGATCAATTGATTTAGATATTCTATTGTACGACAATGTTTCTATGAATACACCTGAATTGAAAATCCCTCATATCGCAATGTTAGAGAGAACATTTGTGTTACAGCCGCTATGTGAATTGCTACCCCCAGAATTTATACATCCTGTAAGTGCGGAGCCAATTCATAATCATTTAAAGCAACTTTTGGAAGTTTTGCCCGATGAACTGCTTCAAGAATCACTGCATTTGAAGGAGTATATCCCAATTCCTAGACTTGGTGTGCAAAATAACCCACTAGTTCTCGATCAGCTTCATGGAAAACATGCTACTTTGATAATGGGTATAATGAATATCACTCCAGATTCTTTTAGCGATGGCGGAAAGCTTTATGATTATGACGAAGATTCACTCAGTAAAAGTGCTTTAAAATTAATTGATCAAGGTGCTAATATCCTAGATATAGGAGGCGTTTCAACAAGGCCAGGAAGTAAAGAGCCCGAAGAAGAAGAAGAACTCAGGAGAGTTGTCAGGGCTGTCAGGGCTCTTCGGCAATCTAAAATACCAAGTGTTGCGAATGCTCTAATCTCTGTAGACACTTATAGAGCTAATGTGGCTGAGAAATGTTTACAGGAGGGAGCAGACATCATTAATGATATTTCGATGGGTCTATATGATGATCAAATGTTCAAAGTTATTGCAAAATATGGTTGCCCGTACATTATGAATCACACGAGAGGCACTCCGAAGACAATGTCAAAAATGACTTCTTATCCTTCGAATACAAATGACGATATCATTGAACTCATAGTTGATCCCTTGCAAGGTCATATTGAAAACAAACTTCCTCCTGACGTTGGAAATCTTATCAATGGGATATCTCGAGAGGTGGCTTTGCAGATATTTAAAGCATTCGATGCGGGAATAAGGAAATGGCAAATAATATTAGACCCTGGTATAGGTTTTGCAAAGGATATCCAGCAAAACCTTTTGATCCTTCAAAATGCATCCCTATTTAAAAAATATTCAATGTCGATCAGAGAAAGAGACTCTATATCCTATATTAGTTTCAATGGCCTTCCCCTCCTAATTGGTACTTCAAGAAAGAAATTTTTGGGCACAATTTGCAATGAACCAATTCCAGAGAAACGCGTAGTGAGTACCATAGCGACTCTCATAGCATGTGTTCAACAAAATGTTGATATCGTAAGGGTTCATGATGTTAAAGATGCAAAAATAGCTTTGTTAACAGGTGATGCAATTTATAGACACATATATTAAAGTAGTGCATGTACCGATATACTATTGGGGAGAAAAATTTTTCGATTACAGTAAAAGAAAATTGATGTAAAGATCTAAAAGAGTAGCACATTTAGGTGGTGGTATTTGAGTTGAGATATAAGTAGTGAAGGTATGGCGGCTGTATTTCCTAGGACGTGCTATAAGTGTGGTGAAGTTGGACATTTGGCCGATGATTGCCAGCAAGAGGAAAGATTGTGTTACAACTGTCGTAAACCCGGCCATGAAAGTACCGAGTGCCCAGATCCAAGACAGGCTACTCAGAAGCAATGTTACTCATGTGGTGATTTAGGACATGTGCAGTCAGACTGCCCAACCCAGTCCCAAGGATCCAAGTGTTATAACTGTGGTCAGTTTGGACACATTTCTAAGAATTGCAACCTCAGCGGATCCGCCAAAAAGCCAGTAGGTAAATTCAACGGCGGCAGCAGCAGTGCAAGTGGTAAAGGTGCCACAACTTGTTACAAATGTGGAGGACCAAATCATTTCGCTAGGGACTGTCAAGCAGGTGTTGTTAAGTGTTATGCTTGTGGTAAGACTGGTCACATTTCGAAAGAATGTCATTCAGTAGCTGGTGGGGAAAATGTTGGAGCTTCCAAGACTTGTTATAACTGTGGTAAGACTGGACACATCTCGAAAGAATGTGACAGCACGGATTAAATATTAATATCACAGTTTTTCTAAGATAATAGCTAGAATTAGCTTTTGAAGACCATCAGCCGTCTAAAGTGTTAGGGGCATTATTTCTTCCCCATAAAATAAAAAAAAGTTCTAAGGCTCTTTATTGTCATGATCAATGAATTTCGAAATGTTCTTTGTCCGATTATATATCATTGGTTAGGGTGATCTTTCTATAAATCAATTTATCTTGTAAGGTGTTCTCGTAAAATGTTTGCTATGCTTAACGGATTGTGAAAAGTCTACATAGACATCATGTCCATCGATTATGCATCCATCATGTAGCTTAGCATACGCTTTTTCAGCTTCTTCTTTCGTCTTGAATTTTACAAACCCATAGTTTGTGGTTTTCTTGTCACCTCTGACCTTCTTCACTATATTGCAATCTAGGACTTCTCCGAACTTGCTGAAAAAGACGGACAAGGAATCTTCAGATGTTATAGGATTCAAGCGCGCGAAGAACAAAGTCGAAGGTGATGGTTTCATTTTATAGTAGGGAAGATCTCCTATAAGCTCGAGTGTCAAAGCTTGATACGTTTCTTCGTCTTCTCCATCATTTTTAATCAACTGAGGCAATCTCAAACTCTTCAATTGCAATTCAGTTGGAAGTCCTGTAGGGTTCAAATTCGTATACGTGACTTTATCAAATGGATCATGAAGTATATGGGCATGTTTTATCCGGATGTCTTTCAAAAATCTGGATTCATCATCTACTGATGAGATATTTATTTGTTCCAAAACAGTGAAACCTTCCACTACCTTACCAAAAGGAATTCGAGACCCAACTACCTTAGGAGCGTCGGCCAAGTTAATTGTAAATTGAGATCCTACTTCGAATTCATCACTAGCAGTCTTTTTGGCTAAGAATGAGACAATGCCAATAAAATCATCATATGTTTCTCTAGTTTTTATCGTCAAATATTTCCCACGTTCAATGCTGGGGTAATACGATTTAACGTCAACAAAATTATTTATAGCAGCTCCACCAGCACCATATGGATAATCTGAGTCTCCACAAGTTATCGTTAGATTCTTTATTAATTCATAGAATGGGCAAAAGTTATAGTAATTAATTTGGCATAGCTTTAAAAAATTAAAGCTCAATAAAGGTTGAGACTGATGGAATAAGTCTATGACTATGTTGCCTTCGCTTGTCTCGAGCAAAACGCTCATTTATTATTGGCAATTTATTAGAGCAGGTATCACTGCCTTTATTGTATTGAGATAACCATTAAGGTAAATATCGATGCGAGAAAGCACCTTTACACCCATATATAATAGAAAAATATAACGATTAATTTGACTAAGTAAGTAAATAAAAGAGTGCCCAACTAGTTAGAAGCAAACCTAATGTTGTTAGTCTTCCAGTAGGAGTTGTTGAAAACCATAAGGCATTTGCAATGATGGAGTCACTTAGAGGACGAATAATTGATTGAATGAGCCTATCAAGATTTGTTATTTTCATGTAAACGTCAGTGGGACCTCCAAAGGGCTCCGAAATTTCAATTAACTGCTCTGTAAGGTCCTCTTGATCACTGTCACCAGTTATTATCTTCTGTTTCGGAGTGACTTGTAAGAAACCGCTGGGTGAAATGATAGACCTTGGAGGGTCAAATGGAACTGTAATAGAGAGAAATACAGGTTGATGATCTGACAAGAGCAAGGTCTTGATGCTATCATACCGGTGTATTAAAGGGGTCTTTAAATCGGCGTTGTTTTTCTTCTTTTTTAATAATGTGACATCATCTGATCCATAAGTAGATTGAAAAAGAATTCGGTCGCACCAAGATGGAGACCTTTTTGAATTATAAATGGCAGTGTTAACATGATATTTATAGGTAGGCTGAAAGTTTATGGGAGCTTCTTCAAATTCATTTAGTAAGTCCATATTTTTCTTTCCAATGTTCAATTCATCATATTCATTCACCAAGCCTCGAATCAAGCTTGCCGAGCTCTGAGATGGATCTTGTAGTGAAAGTAAACGTCTGGATTCCTCAGAAGAGTGTCTATACTTCTCAGCTGTGCGATAGTTCAAGTCACCCATTATAAAAGTATGAGAATTAGGTTTCAACAAGCTGTAGCCATCACCAAAGTCCAAGGACCTAGCTAAGTCAGTAAGAGACTGTATCCTACTTTTGTAGTAATATTCGCCTTCCCCAGCAGGCAAATGGACGTTAACAAATGAAAGATCTACCTTCTTTCCCATTCTGTTGTCCTTGCCATTTAAGTGATAAGTGAGCCTTAAACCAACACCACCTTTCAAAGATGAGTAGAAATACCCACAGCTACAGCTGGCAGTCCTAATCTTGTCAAATTTCAGTGGGTAAGGGGTAATCGCAATCATGCCGATTGCACCTAAATGACATACAGATAAGGTTTGGAATTTGACATCTTTTAATCCATACTTCTTGTACAAAGCCTCGATTAATAATGATGTTAATGCAAGTAAGTAATTATTAACTTTTTCTTCAAAGCTAGCCTCTAAGACTGAACAGAGCTCTTCAACACCAAAGATATACAACAATGCTAATTCATCCGGAAGTGATTCAGCAATTTTTGGAATTAATAGATCCCCATTAAGCCTTTGTCTATTAAGATTGTAGCTTAGTAAGTATAAAGGAAGCGACTCCAGAGAGGACATATTAATTTGTGTCACCCTGCAATATACGATCCTTTATATTCACCAGACAGCTGGATATAAATTTAAAGATCACCAACTTAAAGAGTGCGAGCACTCAAAACCATCAAATGCTCATCTCAAGTAAATATTAAGTCATAAAGAACAATCTCTATGCTGTATTTTGTGGAATCTCAAAGGCTACTATTGGAAGAAATAGATACTATAGAGGCAGCAATAGCTCAAAGAATCAGAAGAAATGTGGATATAGTACCAGAAACTGAGTTACTTCCAAACGACATATTATCGGGCTCTAGTAAGAAAAGGCCATATAAAGAAACTTTATTGCAGGCTCATGAAGTTAAGTATCTTATTGATGAGTTTAAAAATAAGTGTCAGAGCATAAAAGAGTCAAAAAAGACGAAGCAAGGCGTTTTCATGGACGAATTATCTATCCTTAAAGATCCTATGAATAACTTTACGACTTTTGACTTAAAGTTAAGTGAGATTAAGGCACGATATGATGAAAATGAGCAAATTCTTTATGAGGGATTGGAAAATGCATATGCGATGTATTCTAGTGCCCCGAAGTATGATGAAAGGGAGACAAGAAAGAAAAAGACCGTGAAAAGAAAGCATATCTTGAGTGAAGCAGCAGCCCATATAAACTTGGACAGAATATTTACAAATGAAGAATTTTATGGGAAGTACTTGGACTTAAATGAGTTCTATGGAATCTTTAAAAATATTTTCAAACAGGACATGACATACGTTGAATACTTGTCGACCTATGATAAAGTTCCTTATACATATACCGAAATGAATACTAAAAGTTACGTCGACTATTTAAGAAAGCTAGCAGAATATTTGGAGTCATTCATAAGAAGAGCTCAACCATTGTTCAATATCTCAAAATTACTAGAGGATATTGGCAAGGACCAACCCACAACCACTGTCAAGTTCCCTGAAGATGGTGAAGCCAATGTACATCAACACTATTGTAATGCCTGTCAAAAAAACTTTACGAACGAGAGTGTTTATAAGAGCCATTTGAATGGCAAAAAACATAAAAAAAACGAAATAAATGCAAAGCTACGTTCGGAAGTTGGTGGTGAATATAAAAAAAGCAAAGCAGACGAACTAAAGTTACTTGAATCTAAGATAAGAAAGCTTGGGGAGTTTCTTGATCCAGTCAGGAGTTCCACAATTTCGAACGCAGAGAGAAAATACGCTTTGACGGAAAGAGAGCGTTTACAAGAGATATTTTCGCTAGCTGGAGAGGAATCGGAATACACTACCGCATCTGATTCATCAAAAGCTCTGGACGATGATAATACTTCAAGTGACGATGAAGAGAACTCAAAAAATTTGCCTATAGGAGTTGATGGGAGACCAATTCCTTTCTGGTTATACAAACTTCAAGGATTGCATCAGACATATACATGTGAGATATGTGGGGACATTTCCTATAAAGGACGATCACTTTTCTCTAAGCATTTTGGTGGTGTTAAGCACCACCATGGTCTTAAATGTTTAGGAATACCTGACGACTACATGCCACTCTTCAAGGGAGTCGTGAAAATTAATGAAGCGACAGATCTTTGGCGTCGTCTAAAAAAAGAGAAGAGAATCAAAGAAGGTGATAAGGAAAATGCAGTTGAATTCGAAGACGAAGAAGGTAATGTAATGTCTGAAAAGGACTATATTGACTTAAAAAAACAAGGTCTTCTTTGATTCTTGGAGAAGATTTAGATTATATATATGGCTCAGTAATTTTTTTTTTTTTTTTTTTTTTTGAGGATTCTACATATTTATATATAGCGTCAAAGCCGTTGACAGTTAATGAATAAAGCCAAAAACAGGACTTATGACCAACTTTCTTCTATAAGATTCTTAATGAAGCAAAGCAGAATGGCCGAAAGGGATCTTAAGGGTACTAAGAGAGCATCTTCGCCAGTGGAAAATGTATCTGGTGACTTGAAGCTAAGAGACGAAAACGGGTTTAGGATGAAAAGACAAGTAGTCGATAAAGCAAAATTGAAGGCATTTGAACAGCTTGGAGGTGAAATGGCAACAGATAAAGATTTACCGAGGCATAAGACAATACAAGAAGAAGAAAGCGAAGGTGCTAGTTATACTATTGATGGGGCGTTGCGAAGGGTAAATCCATACTATTTCACCTATTTGACTTATTGTAAGATGAGATGGAGAGATAGAAAATTACTTGATATTTTTGTCGATGAATTTAGAGATCGTGACGCCAAATTCTATAAAGAGGCAATGTCATCAGGGAAAGTTACTATAAACAAGAAACCCGCAGGGACAGATACAATAGTAAAGAATGGTGATTTAATCAGTCACCGATGCCATAGACATGAGCCAGCTGTAAGCTCTAGGGATATTAAAATTGTATTTGAAGATGAGAACTTGCTTGTTATTGATAAACCATCAGGTATACCAGTGCATCCAACAGGAAGATATCGTTATAATACAATCACTAAAATCTTGCAGCATGAGATGGGAATTACAGTTCATCCGTGTAACCGTCTAGATAGATTGACGAGCGGTCTCATGTTTTTAGGGAAAAACTCCAAGGGAGCAGATTCTTTTGTCCAACAAATCAAGGATGGAACAGTTAGGAAGCTGTACGTTGCTCGGGTAGTGGGCAAATTTCCTTCGGACTCTGAAGTTATTGTTGATAAACCAGTAGTGACTATATCACCAAAGCTTGGCCTTAATCGAGTAGACATGGCGAATGGCAAGAATGCAGTAACTATCTTCAAAAGAATTACTTACGATTTGAAGACAAACACATCGATTGTAAAATGTTTTCCTAAGACTGGAAGAACTCACCAGATAAGAGTTCACTTACAACACTTGGGCTATCCTATCGCTAACGATCCTATTTACTCCAATGCTTTTGTATGGGGAAAAGATCTAGGGAAGGACTATGAAGGAGATTATACAGATATTATGGAACGATTGGACAGAATCGGTAAGGATAAGGCGTCTAGTACATGGTTTCATCCTCAAGAAGATGGGGAAATTCTATCAGGTAAAACTTGTGAACAATGTGATGTGGATTTATATACGGACCCAACTCCAAATGACTTGGATCTTTGGTTGCATGCTTTGAAATATGAAGCTGCTGATAAAAGCTGGTCCTATCAAACACAGTATCCAGATTGGGCCTTAGAAGTAATGAAACCAAGGATGGAATTGGCTATCAAAGAAGCCAGAAAGTGCGGTGAGACTCAAACTCAATTTAACGTTGGCGCGGTTTTGGTATATGATGGTGTCACTTTAGAAACTGGCCATTCTAGAGAGTTGCCTGGCAACACGCACGCAGAGCAGTGTGCATTGGAGAAGTACTACAAGAAAACCAATTCAGATGTGCCAATGGGTTGTGAAATATATACAACTATGGAACCTTGTACCTTACGGTTAAGTGGCAATCTTCCTTGTACCGATAGGATTCTTAAAACAGATATAACGACCTGTTTTGTTGGCGTCTTAGAACCAGACGTGTTCGTGAAAAATAACTCCAGTCTCAAGAAATTGACTGATAATGGAGTAGAATATATCCATATCCCAGGTTATGAAAATGAATGTTTAGAGATAGCAGAAAAGGGTCATGAAAAAAGATAAAAATAATTAAAATACCTTATGGAAATAAATAACTAGTCATTAGTATCATCATCATCAGAAAAGTTAAGTGTAACTTGTTTTGTTGAATAAACAAACACATCTCTTCGAGGACGACTTCCAGAAGTAATTGGCGATCTTATGTCTTCTTGATCATCTTGAACAGGTTGATTGGAGGATATTGCATTGATATCTTCATTCCGTATTCGGGATTCGACCTGCACATTATCGAGCTCTATTTGCTCATGATACTTCCTGAACGGAATTGGACTAGTGCTGCTGACAGATCGTGGTATTGCAAAACCGATTGAAATTATTCTGTCAGTGAATTGTAGAAACATCTTTCTGGCATTCAGCAAGATTGAATCTGGCTTCAATTGCAGTACAGCCCCTGAATATGGCTGAGCTAAACTCGAGCGACAATCATGTTCTAAGTCTACTCGGTGGACCCTTCCTTCGTTATTAGAACTATTGTCCAGTTCTTCTACAAAAAGCTCATAGCGATCAAGTTCGTATAATTCGTCTTCATAGAATCGTCTTCCCAAGACACCTTCTTTTTCTTTTGCTCTCATTATCAAGTTAAATTTGTTATACCATTCCCATGGAATCACAACACAAATCACATAGTTGACCACAGAGAAAAATTCGGATAACTCATAAACCCAAGCATTGGCGATATCTGCAATAAAAAATGCCACTGGGCTATAAACTAAGATGCAAGTCAATAATGATAAAAGCCAAATTCTTCGATTAGCCATGATGTGATGGATTTTTGTGACTAAATGGAATGATATTAAAGCAGCGTAGCAAATACCCATTGCAATTCTCACCAAGTAAATAAACGCAGGAAGGATAGCGTCTGCTTCATTATTAACAGAAAAGTCATTAAATTTAGTGACTGCCCATATGGCCTGAGATGTAACTGAAGCAAACACGCCAACGTAAAGCGTTAATCTTTTATCAGCCTGCCTCAGGAAAACTCTCATTATTACTTGGACCTGACTTATTTGAAGAAATATGATCGAAATGAATTCAAAAATTTTTAGTAACGTGGAGTTATTAATGTCTTCTAACAACTCTGCCCCGTTTAAGTATCCGTTACCATTTTGATTATGCAAAATAACTCCCGACTTCACAACAGTCAAAAGTAAAAAAACGGATGCGAATATAGTAGAACACCTTAGCAATAATGATGCCTTAATTGTATAGTTTGTTAGTACAAATATTGTGAAGAACCAGCTGATGATTGCCAGTACTGAGATCGAGTAGATGATAGGCGTAACACTATAGGCGAACCTTCCTCTCTCGCTATGAGTATATTTTATCCACGACTCTTCAATTATCGGGAGTGGTCGCAGGAAGCGATAGAAAGTGGAACTTAGTTTAGAGCTAAGCATAGGTATTGCATTTTTGTAGCATTTCTGTTGAAAGACAGCTTTCCCTACCAAATCAGCCTTATTGGTTAGCACATCTGTGACAATTAAGCCACGAGAGAGATCTATGGGATCACAAGAAGCGTAAGATCCAAATATCCATCTCGAAACTCTCCAATACATGGGACCAAAGAATCCAAGTTAATACTTGAAAAGCATAGAGTGATAAGGTGGTTGCGTTTCGAAGTGCAAATTTCTTGGGACCAAAGATATCAATCAATGCGACATTCATTGCATGGACGACATTTGTTCCTGATGTTAGCTGAAACACCATTATTTGCAAAACAGATAATGATCCACTCAAGCATAACTTCCTGATTACATTAAATCATTCGTCACTCGAAGAGGATCTGGTAATTTTTGTCATGGAAGAATCCTCAAAGGGATCACCAGAAAGTGTCAACTCACAACCTCAAACATCTTCGAATCAAATTGACTTAGACCGTTTGGCGCCAGCGACTCATGGCAGGTCAGATTCCACCTATTCACGTAACTATTCATTATTACGTATCTATGAAAACGATTGCACTTCAGATAATGGTGAGTTAGAAGGAACTACTGAAGAACAACCGTTGAGTAATGATCTTAATAACACAATCGAGTCGAGTCAGTCTTATATCGAGCCTATCTGCTCTGGTTCTATCAACTCTTTATTGTCTTCAGACTTTGACCGATATGGCTTTAAAAAGGCTTCGACTTATCATAAAACGACAGTTGACCAATACAATAACTGGTTTGGCGAATATTCTCAATACTGTCTTCGCAGGAAAAGAAAGTGGAATTTATTGATGAAAAACAATGGTCTACAACTAAGCTCAGAAGCAGATATTCCTACTAGGTTTCCTCCAAGGTCAGATAAAGTGAAAAAGATGATAAGAAGAGGCATACCGGCGGAATGGAGAGGAAATGCGTGGTTCTTTTATGCTGGCGGCTACGAAAAGCTCAGTAAAAATACAGGCGTATATGCACAAGTCGTTCATAATACACAAGGGATCAAAAACAAAGACACAGAGGTCATCGAAAGAGATTTAAAGAGAACATTCCCTGATAATATTTACTTTAATGACACACTTAAGTTCGAGGTCGTAAATGACAAAGGCGATGACCCGAACTTAGAAACACCACCTTCCACTGAGTCCAAGATGATTCAATCATTAAGGAGAGTTCTTGTAGCATTTGCTCATCACCAACCTCAAATAGGATACTGTCAATCGTTGAACTTTTTAGCAGGGCTTTTACTATTATTTATGAATGAAGAACGAGCTTTTTGGCTATTAGTTATAATGACTGAAAGGATTATCCCAAAAGTTCATTCCGCTGACTTAGAGGGTGTCCATACTGACCAGGGTGTACTAATGTTATGTGTGAAGGAATATATTCCTCAATTATGGGCAATCTTAGGTAAAAACTTTGATGGTGAGGTACTTACGGAAGATCGAATTCTCACAAGGCTTCCACCAGTAACGCTTGTGACATCATCATGGTTCATGTCTGTGTTTGTTGGAGTCTTGCCCGTGGAATCTACCTTGAGAATATGGGATATTTTATGGTATGAAGGATCAAAGACCATCTTCAGAGTTTCTCTTACTATCTGTAGGATGTGCTTTGATAGTCCGGAATTTCAAAAAGCTAGAACTACTTGTGGTGGAACGGAAATGGAGCAAATTGAGCTCTTCCAGTTGATGCAAAACTTTCCAAAGAGTATTCTTGATCCAAACATTCTAGTAGATAATTGTTTTAAAAAAATCGGAGGGTATGGATATGGTTCATTATCGCAAGAGGAAATTAATAAATGTAGAATATTTGTTTCCAAACAAAGAGCAAAACTAAAGTCTAAAAAAAACTCTGGGATAGCTGCAGAGATGACGGACGAAGAAAGAAAGGCTCTAATGTCCGGTTCTTTAGGTCCTGACAGCTTTGATGATGTGCATGATATATATGGTTTCCACAGATCTATCATGAGTGGCATCACTTGGAACAAACACATCAGCAACAGGATGAAAAAAAGGTTTAGTAGAAAGAAATAGCAATTGATATATAGACCATCTTCTCCCAAAATTTGCATTTTAATAGAGTGATCAAATTCGCACGATAAAATTAATTAAAACATTTTTAAATTAAGTGGTATATGCTGACTTACAAAAATGCAATATCCATATCTTATTTCCAGGGTGGCAGACCCAATATTTGCCATAAGTATCGGTATAGCATCTTATTACTCTCATGAACAAAGAGTTCAACGCCCCGAGGGGCATTCATTAAGTGATTTAATAATTAGAAAGTACAGAAGAGTCTTTCCAGCGGACAACAAAGCATGAAAGTTTGAGAGTATTTACTATGAGAGATCCGATTGCTCATCGAATTTTATTTACAGCAGCAATCAGTAGACTCACTACTTTTTGAATACTTCGCTTAGTTCAATAGGCAATTATATATGGTCGAATGAGTTTATATTAGGTTTATTTACTTTGCCCAATTAGCTTTTAATTTACTTAAGGCATCAGATGCTTTCAGGTCACTACCTAAATCTGATTTCAAGATTTCATATATTTTGTTCCATGTAATATCCAGAATTGTAATGGGCTCACTAACATCAGGATCTTCACTCTCTGGTGTTGTACTTTTTGGCGTACTTGCTGATGGAACCGGAGCACTTATCATTACTTTAAATGCCATCTCATCATCCGTTACAGGAAGCGATGAAAGTAATGATGTATCTTGAATAACTTTGCCTTTGAGCAATAACTTTATGTTAGACGGTGTTATTTCTTCATTTTTGAGTTGATCAGCTATCAAACTCTTTTTCACGGAATAGACAGTGCTTGACAACGGGACTTCAGTCAATTGTGATATGAATTTATATGGAGGCTTTATTGAAACGAACTTTAATGTAATCATAGACTTCGTATCGATCAGCTGCTTTGCTTTTGGCAAGTTAACATTCATCTGAGGTAATGTTGGACCCAAAGAATCTATTTTATAGTAGTCTGCACTTGAATAGAATTTACTTGGATCAACCTCTTGTGATAAGTTTATTAACTCTAAGTAGGTGGAGACAAATTGCCTCTCATTACTTGTTACAACTGACATATTCGTTTGCCCACTGGGATTTTAATCGTATTTTATGATAGTCGTAAAATTAATTTATGAGTTATTGATGTCGTGTACAGATTAATACCATGATTAATAGTATTTATCTATTAGAATACACAATTAACTATAGATTCTCAAGAACGGTGGTTAATGAGCTTCTTCAAATCTTTTAAAAAATCAAGCTATACACCAATACCACAGGAAGGTGATGGTGCGCCTTTGCCGCCTCCAGCTACCAATCCATCAAATCCAAACTCAATAAAAACGAAATTGCAGAAGTTGAATCCTTTTAGAAATAATTCGGTATTCCTTGAAGATGACGATAATTATGTAACATCAGAATCGGGATATTTTGAACTTTCTAGATGGGATAGAATGCTTATATTTAGTCTCACATTTGCTGGTTCAGTGTCCTGTTATCTTATTTGCCTATTTTTGTTCCCCATTTTATCATTAAAACCCAGAAAGTTTGCATTATTGTGGTCTTTAGGATCAATATTCTTTTTGGTAAGCTTTGGTGTATTACAAGGGTTTTGGCCATACATGCAACATTTATTTCTGTCTACACGAATAATATTCACTGTTGTTTTCGGAACGTCTATAATTTTAACGTTGATAAGTGCGTTATCTTTAAGAAGTACAATTCTTTCGATCATCTTTGCAGTAATACAATTACTAAGTGCCTTATGGTATACTGTGAGCTATTTTCCAATGGGAAAGCAAACTATAAATCTTGCAGGTTCAGTTGCGAGAAGTCAGGTTGATAGTTGGATCAACTCATGATAGTACAAAGTTTCCTTTTTTTTTGCACAAATCTCAAATTGTCAGTGGGTATTGAATGTGTTCAATGGAACGATTGATGTACTGAAAAGTATAAATTTAAGGTTTATTTAAATGAAAATATTTAACTTAAAATGCACATTTCTTTTAGTTAGTATTTAATACATTCAAGTGTGACTATAGACTTTCATAAATTCTTCTCTTGAAAGATCACCAAACTCTGGAAAAGCCGCTTGCAAGCCTTTGTCAACTACTTTTAAAATCGCAGCATTTGCATCCGAGTCTTTTTTGGCTGAATCAGATAACACATATATCATCGAGCCAATCACTTTAGGCTTCTTTTGATTAAAAGGATCTAATATTTTGTTCAAGTTTCTAATTGCCTGTAATGCCAAAACATACTTTCTCTTTATAAGATATATTTTAAAAAGGGCACTCCATGTTAATATTAAGTCCTTTCCCTCGCCAGCCAACGGCTTAAACAACTCAAATAAAGTATCAATAGATTCCTCAGGAGAATTATTAATTTCAGACAATAATGCTGCTCCTAATGGATCAGCATCATTTTTCTCAGATTCTACTTTACTAATTAAATCTGCACGTTTCTTTAAGGATTGGGCCTTACCTTTTTTATTTTTTTTATTGCTCTTTTTCGCTTTTGTTTCATTTCCCACAAGTAACTGTGAGTTAACCTCATGATTTTCATATGTTTCAATATAAATAGAAAACAAATCCCTCAACGCCCTTGTGTATATAGGAGTCGTACGAATTGCATCTTCCCATTTCAAAGCCGCAATATAATGCCTTGGTGTTCCTCTTCTCACGCTATAGCTATGAAAATCAAATTGATCATTATAGAAGGTATCAAAAATTTTAACGATAGCGTATAGTCTTTTTAAGGCTAAGCCCTTATACAACTCTATTTCACCCATCAATTCGGCTTCCTTAAGTTCTTCCTCCTCTTCTGTAGAAGATTTAAGAAGCTCGGATAATTGAGCTTCGTACTTTTTATATTCCCTTGTATACGCTTCTGCAGATTCAACCAAAAACCATGTTACTTGCATTAAATGCAAGTCTTTACAGCCATTAACTGAATCTTCGTCCAACTTTGTAAACAATGATATTATATCAACAGCCTCATTCACTTTATTTGCTCTTAGCAAATACTTCGTGGACTTTGAGTTTATAAATCTATCTTGTAAATCTAAAGTCCTGCCCTCTTCCATGACATTGGAAGCTTCTAGCACATTCCCTTGATGCTTAAGAATCCTTGCTTTGGTGATATACAATTCTACTAATGTAGGAGAATGCTTCAAAGCAGCTTCTATATAATCAACGGCCACTTCGTAGTTCTTAAGAAATAAGTAATGTTGAGCCAAAAAGTACTTGGTCCAAACTTCTACTGTTGGAATTAGCTTAGGAACATCATTTTTTAAAAATTCAGTAACAACCTTTTCTATCACCTGAACCTTTTTCTTATTTTTATAAAGAGGCTTAACATTAATAAAAGCAGAAGGAATACCTTTTTTAAGCTGCCCCAACGTGTACTCTTTAACTTTTTGTTCGAAGTGAGGGCTTTCAGCCGCCAAAAAAGTCAACGGTAAAAATTGCGGTGGGTCTGATTTAGGATAAAACTTAGCCAACTTCTCATATAACCTGACTCTCAAATCTTCTGAACCGTTTGTAGTGCCCAACGTCTTTTCCAATAAATAGTAGTAATCAACGATATCAGGATTCCTTTTCAAAAGCTCTCGGTAAATCAAAGACGCTTGCTTGTTGTCACCCAAAAGAGTTAAATATTTTGCACGTAACTCTAAAACAGCAAGCTTATCCTTTATTTCATCCTCATCTTTGTTTAATGTTTCAAGAGCCTTTGCTATATCCCCCGATTCAGCAATGATATCATTTTTAAAAAGAACGCATTCACTCTGCTCATACCTATCCGCATCAGTTAAATGGTCCTTTATAATTTCTTCAATCTTAGTTAAAGTTGACTCAGCAGCTCTGTAATCTTTGTTAAGATAATGGGCAACAGCTACCGCCGTCCAATTTGCCCTGTATCCCGGTTGATATTCAAGATACATTTGTCTGGAGTCGACCAAATTCTTGTAATCCCTAACCTGGGTTTGCAAAACTGCAGAATCTCTTAAAATCTGTTTATTTGGAGACCCATTATCGGAAGCAGCCTTCATCCATTTAGCAGACTCTGGATAATTTTCTACCGCTCTGTAGTATATACCTGCCAAATGATCTACCAAGTAATTATTCGGCTCTTTTCTCAAAGCACGTAAAATAAATGATTCAGCATCAGACTTATGACCTAAGTGATAGTTTATGCAACCTTTTAGAGCTGATGATTCGGAATGACTGGAATTCTTCTTTAAGTTCGATTCAACCAATCTCAAAGCCTTTTTGTATTGCTTTTGGTCATACAACTTTAATGCTTCACGAAAGTTTTCATCTTCCTTTGAAGCAAACAACGGCGTGCTTCGGGCAACCATTTTGTATTCTTCAATGGTATTTTCAATCCAACCTCGTATTACTGTACCCACCTTCAAAATTGAAGACATCAATGAAATTAAAAAGTTACTCGACGGACCCTTAGCTTTTGTGACATTTTTTAATTCGACATGTAGAAAAGGATAAGGCTTGGAACGCAGATTATACTATAACAATTGGTCAAATGAGGTTTATTACGTACTAGAATCTAAATTTGATAATATAACTGAGATACTTGGATCATTCACTATTAATATCAATAGACAAAGATACGAAGGATTCTGAAGTAGGTAGCGAAGAATGAGACCAGCTTGTCGAGATTGCAGGAGACGGAAGATTAACTGTGATCGCAAGAAACCATGTCAGTCTTGCGAGTCTTCAAGGCTACTGTGCATATATGATTTAAATGTTGGAAGTGATCTGGCGAGATGTAGAAAACGTGCAAGTAATATGATTCTAGCCATGCAAGATAGAGTTTCATCGTTAGAGAAATGTATTACAAATCTTATTCAAAAGACTAATGCAAAATCGCCGAGTATTCACTTGCAAAATGAGCTGATGCCCAGCGATGTCACTGAATCTGCCTCTCCCATTGTTCAATTCATAAGTAAAGGAAATGTTCTTTCCAGCAACCATTTTGGTCTCGTATCTAATGTAGAAGGGTCAAAGAAGTGTGCAGGGTCACAAGCATTGATGTGCCTATTCTCATCAAAGAGCATTAGTTGGTTGAAGAATAGGTGTCGGTTCTCGAAATATCTTTGTGCGTCTATAGAAGCTCTTCCAAGCATAGTGAATACAGTTTTGAACAATTCTATGACATTGTGGACAAGTTTGAAAAGGCAAAAACCATTTGAAATAATTGAATCTAACATACCTGAAAACTTCAAGTTTGTTTTTGAAGTACTCGAGTGCCTGTACGAGTCTTCAAGCATCTTAAGCTTTCTATGCCCTCGATCGGTAGTCTGGGAGTTATTTCAGAAGTATTTTTTTGGAGGTACGTATTTGCATGATGGTGACATATCAAGTAGTGATCTTTTGATTATGCACATGGCTCTTAGCTTGTGTCTATCAAGTATTAATAGCCACAATAAAAACAAAGTGGGAGATTTCGAAGTATTGAAGGGCAAAACATCCTCAGATCTCATGAATTTAGAACTACGTTGTTTCAAGTCATCATTGTTTTATTTTGAAAAGGTTTCACTTTTATGTGAAGGTCTTTCCACCATTCAAGGTGTTGCGATGTTGCAGATGTATGTTGATATCCGATTCGTTGAGAGAATTGGGCGATCCGTTGTAACAGCATTCGTATCACTTTGTCAGCAATTAGATTTACATAGGTGGGAATCTTTCCAGGGGACTTCTGAAGAGGAGAAACAAATAAGAAGAAACTTGTGGCTATATTGTCAATTTTGTGATATTGACCGATGCTACAAAATCGGAACAAATCCTTCTATAAATCCTCAATTATGTACCACTTTATCGGAAAGTGATCAATGTTTTTCATCTGTGGCTATAAACCCTTTGAAGAGAGAAAAATCATTAATCAAGCAACAATCTCAATTGATTGAGAACTGCGTTATTCGTGGGTTTCAATATTACTATTTTTTTTTCATTCTCATTCATATCAGAATAAAGTACAAATCCTTCGAAAAGCTATTCAGCTTTGGAGCTAATCAAAATTCGCAGGACGAAACGATTCAAATTTTAGACGACTTAAACAAGGAGATGGTTCAATTAAGAAATTTAATGGAACCTGAAGTGAAACCAAGATTTTATTTTGAAAGGCAGCATCATAGATCCCAATCTTATCAATTTCGGTCGTTTTACGATGATAATGAAAAATCCTTAAGCGAGAATAATATCATTTTGCATATGATGCATTTTACACATTTAATGATAATAAATAGGGTTCCATTCGTTAACGGGAGTTTTAAAACGAATACCCGTGCTCACGAATTTGGTATAGTTGCCTTGGAGAGTGCGAGAACTATCCTTCATATGCTTTTGGATATGAAATTTGATGAACTTTCATTTTTTGTCTTAAACTTTTTAGTAATGGATCAGTGTATGGCTTATCTAACTTTATTGGCACACCAGCTATCATTTCCTAATGATGAGAAATTAGGCTCAGATATTAAGCTTTTATTCGCGGCTTCGAAACGCTTCACTGAGCTTAAAATTCATGCATCGCAACCTCTAGATTCACCGGCGACATCTAAGTTCTATGCAGTTGACTTAGTTGCCAGGCTATTATTGCAATGCTTGGTATGTTTTGTGGAGGAGCATTCGGGGTACGACTACAGGAAGCATCTAGAAGGATTGGATAACTTTCTATCACAATCCAATAATGATATTAACGAACTAATTGAAAAAGAGGAGAGGTCCAAATATTTGAAAGAGTCTGATGAAGGATTTCATGGAAAATTGAAGTTGTCGCAAGATAAAATAGGTGCTACGACAGAGATATGCGATATTTTCAAATCTATATCTCAATCAGATTCAACTGACTTCGTAAAGTTTCAAGCTCATGATTTACCGTGCTTCTTCTATGAAGATAAGCGAACTGGTATATATTGATCTTTGCTGATATCTTTGTAACATATATTTAGTACTCACTAAAATACACCTCCGAACATTGTCTACACCTAACTCATCATGGGATTTGATCTGAACGTTAATATGCCTCTACCTTTATCTAGCACGTGACTGCAATATAAAATTGATTTTTTATTCCTTTATTATCATCACTTACTTCATGCGTTCTAATGAGTATGGATCACGATCAAAGCCAGAATCATAATAAAAAACGAATAAGAGTTGCTTGTGATAGCTGTCGTAAAAAGAAGACTAAATGTGATGGTAGACTTCCTTGCACTAGTTGCGTCACTTCGAAGAACCCAAATTGTCACTATAAAGAGAAGCCAGAAAAGAGGAGACATGCAAACGCTGAGCAGACTCCAAAAAGGATTTCTAATAGAAGGACAATAGAAATATTAGACTCCAGGCTTTCACGGTTAGAGAATGTTATCATAAAATTGTCGGATAAACTTTCGGACTCAAGAGAAATGAATATGTATCCCGAGGATAAATCATTTACTGTTGGAAACAGTCCACCCAGCAGTAATAGCTATAATGCGGATAACTTTACGTCTGATAGCACTGATCTGGAAGATGTAGCGGAACCTAGAAAGCATTCTTCAAAGGCGAACAATGCTAATAGTATTGAAGTGTACTTTGGAAGTCATTCTGTGTTGACCATATTTTCTGAGAAATCACTTCTCTGGATGCAGAATATATTGGGACCTGAGCTTTCACATCTAATAAACCCTGTTAGGAACTTGCCCGTAGTCCTTCAATCGAATATGAAACCGTTTGTCCTTAAATGGGTAGATCCGCCGGTAATTAATGAGATTCAAAAGAAGAAGTTACTAGAGAAACCATTCCCGCTTAATTATCAACTTGTTTTCGATTTGTTGAGTAACTATTTTGATACGATTTTAGTAACTCGTGTTGCTGTTGATAAAAATATTGTGATCCAAATGTTTAAGGACTATTATGGGCCTTCTAATAGAAAGTTCAAAATATCAGAACTTCTGATAATGTCCACCGCTATAGCATTATCGATTGTATTTTACAACGAGAAACTGGGAGTTGCAAAATGCGCAGGAGAATCTGCCGATATGGATATTCCGGACACTCTCAAAGAAGCATCTAGTGATTTTCTAATAAGCTTAGAAAATGAGATGCTAGCGAACTCGATATATTATTACCATAGGATCTGTGTCTTAAGAGATGGTATCGAAACGATTCAGGCAATAATTTTATTGATTATATTGATCGACTCGTCTTCTTTATCAAGCCATATGAATTTCATGTTGTCGACAGTTGCAATTAGGTTTGCTCAAGAAATGGGGCTACATAGGGGGGAAACTTATGATGGCCTAGATGTATTAGAAATACACCGAAGAAAAAAAGTATGGGCTTTCTGTCTATATTTAGATATGGAAATTTGTTTCAGAGGAGGAAAACCTCCTTTGATTAATACATCTGACATATCCTTTAATTTTGGTTCTCGAACTTCGCCCCTTTCAAATGATCCTACTCTTGGAAAGTATCAGGATATTTTATTGCTGTATGATGAGATGATGGAGCAGAGTGAAGAACATTATAGGACAGCTATACAGTATTCGCATTATTTACTTATTCTTACGAAGATCCGTGCTAAATCTTACCGAAGTTTATTTGCAGCTTCTGCTGAGATGGAATCATTCGAAACTTTGAGCCAGACGCTACTGGACTTGAATGGTGAAATGTTCAAAATATCAGACTTGTTCAATAATAATGCTTGTCCCAAATTTTGTGATGATGCAGATTTTATAGGTTTGCCTGATAATTATGATTCCGAAGAACAAGAAGCCATTTTATCTGTCCAGTTGACGTTTTTTCTTCACCTCATGGTTATTAATAGAATTCCATTTATTGTTGGATCCCAATTGGAGCAGAAGGACAACGAGCAAACGTCGGAATTCAGGAGTTTGTCATTAAAATCGGCACGGACAATTCTCAAAATTGCGGAGCAAGCTAGTAATAAAAGGCTACTGTCGATATATAACTGGAACATTTTTTATCCTATGGCTGCATTTTTAAACATCACAGCCGTTTGTCTCAATAGGCCAGAATTACCTGAGACATTTAATGATATTAAATTACTCATTCACTTCTCTAAAAGTTTTTCTGGTGATGCATTATTCTTGAATAAAGTTCCCAAAGGAGTAGCCGAGAGTCTTAAAAAAGTGAGTTTTGTTTCTATGGCCATGAGAATATTACTTAGAACTGTTGTGCAATATTTTGAACTAAAAACTCATATATCTCTTCTCCTAGATGATCCTGAACTCGAAGGACATTTAAATGCACCAAAACTTATCTATCCAGAAATATTCAACAACCCTGCCGTTTTCATGAAACAATTTGCAGCGAAATCCGAGTATAGTACTAAGGACCCCATTTTTCGTATCAGGTCTACAGTTTCTCCGTTCGATGAAAAAAACTCACCAAAAAATGCTGTCAATTTCTCATACTCAAGCTCAAATAGTGGGGTACCAAACGTTCAAGAAGCCGAAGTGCATTCCTCATTCATACCAAACTCAACCTTGTGTTCCTTCTCTCCAAGTTTTAATCCTTCTTTATCGAATATTGTGCATCCTACCGATTCTACAGATGCGACGTATCACCAGGCAAGCCAAAATTCACAAAATAATCCTTTAGATGACCTTACAGATGCACCCTTGACTGATGAACTATCTGCAATGATATTTTCACAAATTAGCGACTTACCAAACGTATTTTTCGATAATAATCTAGGAATTTAATTAGAAATTTAGATGAAAAATTGGATAGATAACTATTCTCTAGTATAGATAAAATCGTCTAGTTCTCTGTGATATGATCATGTGACTAGGTTTTTCTATATCAGCGCCACCAATTTGTATACGCATAATACTCATTTAATGGTTACAAAAAGTATGGAGGTAGGGGTAAAGAAAAGAGAGAGGGTGCCTAAGGCATGTAATTTCTGCCGAAGGCGAAAGATTAAGTGTGATGGTAAGTCGCCATGTCTGCATTGCGCGACCTCGAACTCTAATGAATGCATTTATTCTTCAAATAGCGATAGGAAGAATAAACCGAGTAAATCGCCTACCGAAAGAAGAAATGGTAGTTCATCTTCAGTGGATTATTTGGAGTCCAAAGTGGAGAAGTTGGAGAAATTAATTTTGAATTTGGCCAATCGTATAGATAGTCCCAATTCTAATAATCAAATCGATAGCGTAAGTACTAATTCTCCTGACTCAGTACATGGTTCTAGTGAATCTTTATTGGGTGGTACTTCGAAAGAAAATGACCAGAAAGTACCTTCAACTCAAATCTTTGAGCAGTATTTTGGAACTCAAACAACATTTCATATCTTCTCGAACAAAAGCATAGCATGGATTAAAAATAAATTAGGACCTGAAAAAGAGGACCTATGTATTCCCATAGGTAATATGCCAGCTGTATTCCAAAATCTTTTTAACTCGGTTCTGGATTTATTTGTGGATCCAAAAGTTGAACTTGAAGAAAAAAGCTCTCTTCTATCTGGTTCGTTTCCTATTACCAAAGAATTGGTGTTTGAGCTATTGGATGTTTTTGACAAGATATATTTGGCCGGCTTCTTGTGTGAAGCGAGCTCCATTAAAGCGTTATTCGACATATATTATGAAGATCGAAAACATTTTGGGTCGAGACACAGGCGACTCAAATCCAGTGAGTTGCTAATTATGAATATATCTCTAGCTCTTGCTCTATCTTCTGCACTTGAGAGTGACCGAAAGCATAATTCTTCCTTACTTCATCGCTTACCGATTTTTAGTTCACTATCTAGTGATGAATTATTAGGTTTGCAAACGAAGTTTTTCCGTAACTCTGTTTTCTACTACCACAGAGTAAGTACTGTCAGCGATGGCATATTGTCAATTCAGGCAATTTTATTATTGGCATTTTATTTGGAAATGAATTGGTTACATACAAGCGTTAATTATATATTGACTTCAGTTGCGATTCGGTTTGCGCAAGAAATTGGTTTGCATCGTTATGAGTCTTTAACTGATCTCCCGGAAGCAGAAATTGTTCTCAGAAGAAAGACCTGGCTTTTTTGCCAACTTTTCGATACAGAAAACTGCTATCGTGGAGGCAAGCCACCAATTATCAATTATTCCGATGTGTCTACATTGACCAGTAAAGACGATTCACATTTCACCAATCTCCAGGAAATGTCATTCAACATTCAGATTGACGCATCTTGTGACGACGATCTTAATTTAGTATTGGCTTTGAATAAAATTAGAGCTAAGTCTTACTGTGATCTTTTTAGTGCTTCAGTGAATCATGAAACTTTTTCAAGTATTTCCAAAACAATAAGATCTCTAAATCAAGAGATGTTCTTGTTTGTGGAAAAGTTTGACGATAGTTGTCGCCCTCGTTTCTATAATGACAAATTTTTTGAGTCTAAAACCCTAGGTTTGTTTCGAGACGGACCATACGGCAGGAAAGCTGAGCTAGCGTTGACAATCCAACTTTCTTTTTTTATACATTTGATGACAATTAATGGGCTTCCATTTCAAGTTCAGTTCCCAGATCATGATGAAAATTGTATTGAAAGTATTGTTTTTAGAAACTTAAAGCTAGACAGCGCAAGAACCGTATTGCGTATTGTCAAAGGATTAGAAGTTTCGAAGATTCGATCAGATTGTCTCGAATGGAACAAGTTCTATCCATATTCTGCATTCTTGATACTATTAGGAAATTGTCTTAATAGGCCAAACTCACCAGACATTGAAGCTGATTTTAGATTGTTGAGTGATGTATCTATGAACTTCTTTGTAAGTTCCCAGATTCCTCCAATGGACTCATCATTAAATCATTCTCAGACCCACTCAACGGCCTTACTTAAAAATTCCCTTAGCATAAATAATCAAAAAAAATTATTATCCCATGTTGTTTTACGAACTATGTTGAATATATTGTTTGTCGTCTTAGAGCGCGAAACGCATCATAATTTTCTTTCGGACATTAAAGGTTTAAAAGAACACTTGAATGAATCCAAGAAGCACTTCCCTGAATTGTTTGTCGAAAGACCACTGTATGCCCTCCCCAAGCATATCTTAAAATTTAGTGAAGCAAATAGTGGAAGTTCTCGCAAGGTAAGCACGGATTTAGGAATATCCGATGGAATATTCAATCGTCAAGTTAATACACCTCTTAGCTACGGTATGGGATCTGATGAAGAACTTTCTTCAATCAACCCGAGCCGCTCTCGAAGTTTCACATCCTTTCCAACTTCTGATAATGGACTACCAAGAGTTAGCTCACTCGATGAGATGAATGACGATACAATCAATAACATGTTCTATTCACAGATTTACAATCTACCAAATTTTTTCTTCGACAATAACATGGGTACTTAGGACTTTATATGTATAATAGTGATAGATTATATACTGGGCGGGCAATATTTGAATCGCATTTTCATTATCTAGTACGAATTACACCCGCAGCTATTAACATATTAATCTTCTTGCCTACCTCGGGGTTTCTCATGTGCTCTTGTAAAGCAGCTGGATTATCTCTAGCTTGGCTTAATATTCCCTGCATTACAGGATCTTGTAGAATCTTGACAACTTCTGGGTCTCTAGAAACCCGCTCCATGGTTTGTTCCGGTGTTTCACCTTCAATGGCTTGAAAACGTTGAGACATAGCTCTGTTATATAACAGATCAATCTCAGAAGTGTTCTTTCCTTCACCAACAGACATATCTTTCTCACGGGCCTCGCTCAAAGTTTCCATTACTTGAGAGTATTCCTTCATCGCCAATTGAGCGTTCGCCTTCCTGATATAAGCACGAATAAATGAGGGGTCTTTTTCGATTGCCTTGTTACAGTCTTGAACAGCATCTGGGAATGACATCAACTTTGCCAAAGCTGCTGCTCTATTGGAGTATCCTCTTGCATCATCAGGAGATCTCTTTATCATCTCAGTATATGCCTGGACAGCACCCGGCCAATCTCCCTTATTGAAAAAGTCTTTTCCTTCTAACCTAGCTTTTTCTGCTTTTTCTGGATCGACATAATTCAATGCTTCCTGTTTCTTAATTTCCTTTTGAGTTGCCCTCAATTTATTCAAGACTTCTGGAGTTCTATGCTCTGTAAGAGATTTGTCAAAATATTTAGCAGCGTTATGTAAATCATTCTTCTTTAGGTAAGCATTTCCAACTCTTGCGAAAGATTTTGAAACAATCTTATAATCAGCCCTCATTTCTCTTCCTGCTTCAATTGCATCTTCACAGGTCTTTATAGCCGTATCATAATCGCCTTTCTCAAATTCCGCCGCAGCACGGTTGTTCAAGTAAGTTATATCTTTCTTTAGATTCCAAGCTTCATCATACTTCTGAATAGCTTCGTCAAACTTTCTTTGTTTGTATAAAGCATTACCTTCAGCCTTTGCGGCCTCAGCTGCCACAGCAGACTCGTCTTTCGATTCAGCATCTTCCATTTCAACATCCTTTTGCTCTTCAGCCTTATTCTTAGGTTCCGAAGCTGATTCTTTCGATTTCAGTGATGAAGCTTCCTTTTCAGACGGAGCCTTTTCCGTAGTAGATGTGTTTGGCTTAGGTATGCCACCGGTTGGATCATCCATATCAATCCCCATTAAAGCAGCCATTATTGTCATTAATCTTTGATCCGTTAAAAACTGGGTGACATTTGCTTTGGGATTTGCTTGTATATTCCGAACTTTCTGAACTAGTTCAGGATCTTTCATTAGTTCGCTTGTTTTTGGGTTACTTTGCAACTTAGTAATTAAATTTGGATCTGAGAATATTGATCCCAAACCCATGTCGGGTTGTGTATCCCTTTGTTGAATGGCATGCTGGACACTTTTCAACCCATCCTTAGCCATCGAATTGTTTGAATCTAATTCCAAGGCCCTTTCATAACCTTTCTTGGCTTCCTCTAAGTGTCCTAAACCATGTTCTGCTGCAGCAACTCTATTGTACCCTTTACTCCACGATCCATTGATCTTGACACACTCCTCAGCATCCTGCAACGCCTTATTAAAATCTTTCAAAGATGCATAGCATGCGGAACGATTGGAATATAAAACATGATTCGGCTGCTCGGAGGCTTCGATTGCCTTAGTAAAGCTTTCAACGGCTTTACTAAAATCCTTAGCAGCAAAATATTTATTACCTTCGGCCTTAAACTCTTCTGCAGACATGACTTATCAAAATGACCTCAAATACTTGATTGACTTTATTGCTGATATTATTGCGTTATAGATCATAGAGGAATTTTATATTCATGAGCCTACATTTAAAACTAAAGTTCTAGAAGATTCCAAAGCGCGAACCACCTAAAATTGACTGCACTATAACCTGGATAATTAAATAAATATAAAGGAAGGCTGATCAAGCGAAGAAATAAACAGCATATTTACTCCGAACCTTTCTCATTTAGCCCATAGAGGAAGATTCATTTATGATATGATTAATTAGATTGAATGAATAAGCAGGTCCGTAGCCATGACACTTTTCGTTACCTTTTAATTTTGCCATAACATCAGCTACATCAAGAGCCTCTTTTTCTTCTGCCTTTAGTTGCAAGTAATCCCAGAGCGCACCAATGGTAAGCACCTTTTCGCTCGGGTTTTCTGGTGAGTCGTATATCTTGTTGACAGTATCAGGATTGACTTCATGATAATCCGCATACTTATTTATAAATTCACTCTGACTCTGAGGAAACAGAAACTTATCTAGACCTTCCAGCCTCGTCGAGTTATTACCATCAGATCCACTAAGCTTCAAAAGTTCATTTTCCATCAGGATCGATATGTTTTGCTGCCTAATTAAATCCAATTGATTTATGAGGTTTTGCTTTTCTTCTTCACTCTTAAGCAACCTGTCCTCATATTCACGAAGCTTTGTTTCCTTACGTTCCCTGAATGCTCTCTGTGCAGCTCTATTCTGAGCCTTTCTTTTCATTGCTAATTCTTCTTCTGTTAATTCTGAGTCATCTCGAGCGATTAATTTTGCATCTTGCTCATCTAGATACTGCTTCTTTAATTTACCTTTAAGATTCAATGGTGCTTTCTTCTCTGATGCATCTGGTAAAGTAGAGTTAACACTCGGTGACAATCCAGATTTTTGGCTACCCAAAGTACGGGATGGTGACGATCCAGCACTGTACTCATGTCCCTCAAATATTTTATTTGGGTCAGAGCTACTTGATATAGTCCCATCACTTTTGATATTGGATTCGAAGTTCCTTAAGTTGACAGCATCGTTTAAAGCATCCACATTTTGCTGATTTAATTCCAACCCACTACCTATTTCAAATTCGTCAAATGGCAAAGAATATTCCGTGGCGGTACGATCGAAGTAGTTATTTCCATATGGCTTATTTCCGTCAGTATATGCATCAAAGGACATCTTAGATCAGAAAGTTGTCACTAGGAGCATGAAACTGTGAATCACGAAGATTCCAGCATTTAAGCTTTTAGTATCCGAGCTTCTTTCAGCACGTGATTTTAAATTACAGGAATGTTGAGTTATAAGTCAAAACTATGATATTAGTATATAAAGTACATTGATATGGCATGCTTTTCTTTAATATTGCCATACTCCGGTTTTTGAGTTTAAGATTCCTTTAGGACTAGGAATCAAAAAAAAAAAAAAAAAAAAAAAGGAAAGAAATAATTACAAAACC